ACAGAGATGTCATGGAAAGGGAGATCTGGGGTTATGTTTTAGAGTATAGCATAAACCTGCTAGAATGCTTGATAGTGTCTGACTATCTAAGCTGTTACTGATTGTCATCTGCAGCAAAGGGTAATGACAGCTAAAAGACCTAGTAGCATTCTAATGATAGAAGCTATCAGTTTGAAGAAGTCATGATTGAGGTCTGCGGTTGTTGCTGGAAGCATTCAGTTTCTCAGCACAATTGGGCTTGAGAAAGAGAAGGTGATAGCTTCAAGCTAATTGTTAGGCTCAAGCCACATGTGATCAACTAACACATGGTAGACTAACATAGCTTCATGTTTGAGCCTTCTGTTAGAATCCACTTGATGTGTTATTGTTAATTCCCTGTGCTTCAAGGCATTCTGTGATTTAGCATGAGAGTAGAATAAGAGTGTATAAACTTTAGCTTGAAGCTGGGGATTTACCAGCAAGAGCAAGCTCCTTAAATACTGTACAGGCTTGTCTAATAATACTATATACTTATTATGTGTCCCTCTGGTTTTTATGCTCATTGTCCTAGAGCATCATTATCATACATAAAAGATTGGTTGCATCGCTGGGCAAGGCTGTTGCATTGAGAGACAATGGCAGACTTGGTTAGTTGTGATGACTAAGCCTTTTATCCCATGATCTTAAGCACTTGTTCTAGTGCTCTGACTAAGCATAAATAGGAGTTGAAAAGTCAGGAAAAAGGTAGAAAATCATAACAGATGCCCTCTTGAATGGATGAGATTTTCAGATGAGATCAGGTTTACACTAAATTAGTGCAGAGTCAGAGGCCAGTGATATTATCAGGTTTAGATACTGGTCAAACAACAGGTGTCTCCATTTGGTAGAAGGTCTAGAGAAGAAATAAAGAGAGTGATTATCAGCAACTGGACTACCAGTTGGTTCTATTAATGTTACTTAGATGATTCTTCTATCTTTGATGGTGAAGTCTAGTTTAGTGGCTTCTAGGTCATCTCCTGTTTGTCTGCTGGTCCTAGCTTCATCAGCAGATAGTTGTCTGGAAAGGAGTCTACTCCTCTTACCCTTTCAAAGGAGTCAGGTCAGGGTCAGCTTTTTGGCAGATTGAGAGTGATATCATGGCATGTCTGTTGAAGTTGTTTGGATGGAGAGTGCTATGAAGATAGCTCTGGCTGGAGGTGCCAGTAGAGATGCCAGCATTGGCTGAATGTCAAACCTAAACTGATACAATAGTAATATGGCCATCAGATATTCCAATTGGGCATTATTATATATATAAGTGGCCCATTCTGTAGCATAATACTGTAAAATGTCAATTCATTCCTGGTCATCCATAGCTAAATATCTCTTCCCCAAGAGGTTCAGTCTCCAACTGACATTTTGGGGAATTTTCTGCAACTGCTGTTGATAGATTTAGTTAAATTCCTTCACTCTCTCCTGGCATATAGCCTCTTTGAGCCATTTCTTATCCACATCTCTCTCAACCCCTTCAAGAAAGTCTTCTGGCAGGGCATAAAAAGATGAAGCCACTCTCACTATGGTCAGAAAGCTGTCTGTGATTTCAGCTGAGGCCTGGCTCACTGTTGTCAGAGATTTCAGTGGTTTCAGTTGTAGTAGAAGGGATGATCTAGCATCAAGGAAGTCAAGAATCAGATTCTCTACTCAAATTGCTTCTGCTTTCTTCTCCTTGCTTCTCCATTGCTTGATAATATCAGCAGAACTGCTCAAGAAAGTTGAGGAATAGTCAAACAACTGAGCCTCAGAGAAATTGTCAGAGAGTGGAATTGCAGATGGCAATAGAACTGGATCAATGGATAGCAGAATTGTCAGGAGTTTTAGGAATGGGTAGATCAGTGGAATCAGGTTCTGCCATAGGTCAACTGGAGCTGACAGGAGTGAAACATAGAGGAGTCTTATAATGACTGAGCTCATATCATCATAAGTCATTAGAGCTCCAGAATATGAAGTCTTGGAGCTTGGCCTGCCTGACATAGTATTGTTGTCAAAAGGCTTTTTTGTTTGCAGCCCTTTGCTGCTTGATACTACTGCTTTCCCACTCAATCCAGCTGTCAGATGGGCTGCCATTCTGGTGAAAGAGCATTCTAGCTGCTTCCTGATCCCTCAGGTCAATGGCATTATGAGAGAATCCTGATGCTGGGGTCTGATAACAAGTCTCAGAGGTTTGAGCCACTCAGGAGGCATCAAGAGAGTCTCAAGCATGGTCTCCAATTCCACACTCAGAGAGAGCAGAAAAAGAGTTGAGAGTTGGTATAGCATCAAAGAAGTCATTGGGAACATTCTCATCCTCATAGTCAGAGACTGAAGAGAAGTGCATTGGGACCCAATTGTTGTTTCTTAAAGGCTGAGCTCAAGAGGGTCTCAGGGAGTATCAGTGGCCTTCTTGCTCTTTCAGAATATCTCCTCAAGTCAGAACCTTGAGAATGGTTTCTGGTATAGTTCCTTCCTCAAGCTTGTTGAGAGCTTGAGGAGACTCTGAAGGAAGGTCATAGAAAGAGAAGATAGGTGAGACATTCTGTAGCTGTCAGTGGATGGCTCTGAGAGTTTGGTAGTACCAGACTACTCAAGCAATGATGAAGCAGTTTTCTCTGCAGAGGACAATAATGGCAAGTAGGCTGAGTAAGATACCAATGATAGCCTCTATGACTCAAAGAAAGTCTGCAGTGATCTTATTTGTTGATGGCATTCAGTTTCTTTTGTGCTAGTGTGCATAAAAAAAGAGAAGCTAGAAGCTTCAAGCTAATTGTTAAGCCCAAGTTATATGTGATCTGAACACATGATAAACAAGTGCTATATCAAGTTCATACAATCACACTTGAGTCTACTATATGATATTTGGATAAAGTGCTTCAAGGCCAGAGACAAGTCAACTTGAGAGTAAATGGTGTGAAATAAACTTTAGCTCAAAACTGGATATGTACAGTGAAAGCTATGCTACTTATATACTGTTGAGTCCTCAGATAATTATAGTTTTACTAATTATGTATTTCTGTACTATAGTGGTCTAAGAAAGTGACATGCATTTGTAGCACCTAATAGAGTATGCTGTTAGCTATAACATAGATCTCACACAGCGTAGCGATAAGCAGAAACGCAGTGGTGTATTCACTGTACCTAATAGAGTATGCTGTTAGCTATAATGTAGACTACAGAATACCAATCAGTGACATAAACGAAGTAATATAAGTAGATACTCACCCTCACACAGCGTAGCGATAAGCAGAAACACGGTGAGGGTGCTCAACAGACCGTATTCAATATATATAGTCCATCCCGACATAAAGGGGTATCAAGCACCTAATAGAGTATGCTGTTAGCTATAACATAGACCTCACACAGCATAGCGATAAGCAGAAACACGGTGAGGGTGCTCAACAGACCATATTCAATATATATAGTCCATCCCGACATAAAGGGGTATCGAGCTTGGCCAGCGGGATATGATGGAGCTCCTGCTTGCTAATCCAACAAGTGGTTATTGTCTCTAGTTGTCAGCATTGGTACAATATGAGATTATCTGTTGTCAAGGTGTCCATTATTATCTGGAGGATAATGGTGCAGGTTGCCTATTATGATCATATAAACATGTCTCATGCCCAGCATAGATGCTCAGGTTGGATAGATGCTCTGACTAATCAGAAATAGGGGCTAGACAAAAAAAGATAAAGCATAGGAATCATAACAGGTCACTTTCCCATGCCTTTATCATAATAAGAACTGCAGCATACAGAAAGCTCACTATAGCAATGGCATAGCAGAACAACAATAACAAATAAAGCAAGAGCACAGTCATCATCACTCAAATAATAAGTAGAGAACACAGAAACCAGACAATAGTCACCTGTAAAGCAAAGGGCTCTCTAGACAGTATTTAAGGCAGTAGCATATATTGATGTACCCCAGTCTTGAGCTAAAGTTTAATACACCTACTACACTCTCTGATTACCTTGTGCAAATACTCTTGCCAAAAGGGCAGACTATCTCTATCAGCCTCACCCTTTCATACCCTTAACACACATCATCACTTATCTCATTATCCTCATCATACTCTTATACCAACAATGAACCCAGAACCAGAACCCAGAATTAGACTCCAGTGGTAGCAGTGCCAATCATTTGTGAGTGTTTGGTAGAAGCATAACACTCATTGCTTTTTCATATATGCTAACCATGTACCATTGTGTCAACCAGTCCTTAGTGTCCAGCCATAAGGTTATGAAAAATCATTTGGAGTCACAAGCTAATAAGTTATATATGACTCATAGTTTTTGTTGATCAAATATGACACTACAAGATGCAGTTCAAAAATGGTCACCAAGGAAGATATAAGCTTTCTCCAAGGTCAATTCTTGACCTATGCATCCAGCTGCTACTTCATCTTGTAGATATTTATCAATGATGTCAGAATTGTTTTTGGTAGAAGGCATATTTGGAGGTAAAAAGATTGATGCAAGAGGAGAGAGATTACCAATAGGTGAACTATAAGTTATATCAAAAATGAGATTAGAATACTTGCTTGACAAATTAAATTTTTCCAATATACATCACCATTCTGTCAGATTATAGGATGTTACAACTTTGTGTGTCTCAGTTATGAGTATATTTCATCACTCTAAGGTGAGGGTCAGCACACAATGAACATGTGTAGAGGCCATGTTGTAGAGAGGGCTGAAATTGGCAGGTGGTAAGATTGAAGTGAACACAGATGAGGATTCCATCTGAAATTTGGATGGGCAAACCATCTCTCCACTTGATGAGAAAGGACTGCCTACTCTTTGCAATAATATGATCTGTATCTCTCAATACTAAATACTGTCCTGGAGGACTTTATTTACTGTTATTGTGCAGAAAATAGCCTGTCTCAACAATGCATTTTGAGATGGGATTCTGTTTTATGGTACTCACTAAGGTGCGAGCTCTGGCCAAAATTATCTTTGTGGTGGAAATCATGATGAGATCCCCTGTCTGAAAAAGGAAATCGACCTGCATCTTTGTGACCGTAACACATTTCGACGCGTCAGCGATCGATACCTCTTCCTCTTTCGCGAACCATGGTGTGCCCAGCTTGCTTCATTTTCCCATATAAAACGTGTTCTTACTCTTTTTCATTCAGTTTCGGAATACCTACGACTCGGACAACACTGTTTTCTCTCCCCAAGGTCGTCTTCACCAGGTCGAATATGCCCTTGAAGCCGTGAAGCAAGGCTCTGCTGCCGTCGGCTTGCGTTCAAAGAGCCATTCAGTTTTGCTGGCCCTCAAGGTTCTTCTTTCCCAACGAGGTTCTCCAAAATCAACTACTTACCAGCCTCTTCTAGCGTTCAGCCGGCGAATTGGCTTCATACCAACAGAAGATGTTCCGAATAGATGACCATGTTGGCATCGCTATCGCTGGTCTGACCTCGGACGCTCGTGTTCTGAGGTCAGTAATCCTTCCTTAATCCTTCATTTGTCGTTCTTAAGATCGGAGCAGTAATTTCATGCGCCAACAAGCAATGTCATCAAGAATGATATTTAACCGCCCCGTTCCCGTCAACAGGCTTGTGTCGGCAATGGCAGATAGTGTGTATAACCTTCGTTGCCTGCAGCTCTGTTCGTTGATACCTTGAACAGAGGCACAAGTCAACACTCAGGAATACGGTCGACGTCCTTACGGTGTTGGGTTCCTCGTCATTGGACAAGACCAGTCTGGGCCTCATCTCTATGAGTTCTCACCTTCCGGAAACTCGTACGAATACTATGCGATGTCGATTGGTGCCAGAAGTCAGAGCGCGAAGACTTACCTCGAGAAGCATTATGAGAGCTTTGCGGATTGTATGTCGCCACTTCTCCTTCGCTTCCATTGCTTACCTGGGCTAAAAGGCGATCTGGACGAGCTTATTCGGCACGGATTGCATGCTCTGCGAGAAACGCTGCAACAGGACAAGGAACTGAACGTCAAGAATACTTCAATTGGTATCGTTGGTTCTGCTAGTCCCAACGAAACTGGCGTTTCCCCGACTGGTGCATTCCGTATTCTCGAGGGTGAAAAGGTGGATGTCTTCATTAAAACTATGATACCAAAGGAGACAGATGCCCCTGCACCAACAACTGACGAAGACGTGCAAATGGCCGAGTAAACGATGCTGTATCAATACATTCATATTTTTTGTTCTCCGCTGTTGTCCTGAGATTGAGTATGATTATACTATGTGCTATGTAGGTATTATTTCCTGGCTATTGCGGCCAGCTGGGCCTTGGACTTCCAAAGCTTCCAAGCTTGAGCTGCTGCCCCGGGCTTTTTGAATGTTAGCAGGGCATGTATCATGGCGCTGAGCAGCAGAACACTTCCAGCCTGATGACTAGCTGCCAGTGGTATGGGAACCAGGTACCAGAGCGTGGTTATGCCCAACAGAGCCTGAATGTTCGCCATACCAAAGGCAGCTGTGATAGCACGACGAGTAGCAACAGGAACAGTAGGTTTCCGCGATCGGAGCCAAAGCCATCCAATGCCAAAATAAGTCGTTATTGCCTAGATAATGACAGTGAGCATGGCTCCCAACATCTTAACGAGAGAAACGAACCAAAACGCGATGATCGAATTGCACTGTTGTGGGATTCTCGAAGATGTTACGCCACCAGAGATCTAAACCGTCGGACGACTTGCAGTAATCGCGGTTGAATAGCTCATCCACTGGGGGAGCAATTCGTCCGCCCATGAGGGGGAACTCATTATACAAAAGCCCGGCATCCAGCCCAGCAACGAAAGCACCTGTCAACATAGTATTTGGATGACCGTATGAGGGTATTCGTGTGTTACTCACCCGATAGGGCCGTCAAGAAAATGAGAGCACTCAAAAGTCGTGTCTGCAGATGCAAGCGCTTCATCATAGGCGACGCGAGCGCCGCAGAAAACGCCTTCAGCTTCTGACCCTGCCATGACGCGCCCTGAGCAAACTTGAACTCCTTGATCGTGATCATGGCCGTCGAGAACATCCCTGCATATAGGACCAATGCCAGTCCTAGGTGTGCCGCTAGTCTGTACTGCGACACTCGCGGCACCGCGCCCGGGGTTTCCATTAATGACTGGTCAAGACCAGATTTGACCATGTACCATCCGAGCAAACCCTGAGCAGCGAACAGCGCGGCAATTCCGCTGAGCTTCACTGCCAGAGAGCGGGAGATCTTGCGTCTGATCACAAAGTAGGCGAGGGGACCCACGAATACGAGTCCGGCTATTCGTCCCAGAGCACGGTGGGCCCATTCCATATAGAAGATCCGTTTGAATTCTTCAATGGCGATGGAATGGTTCAGACTGGGTGCAGTGAGTTGATCATCTGTGAGATAGGGAAAGAGAGTATGGTGGCGTACAGATGAAATTCAGGCGTAGCCTTGTACTTTGTGAATTCTACTTCCCATTCATCGGGGGATAGAGGTGGTATCATGCCGGTTATAGGGTTCCATTCTGTGATGCTGAGGCCAGATTCAGTGAGTCGAGTAACCCCGCCGACTACCACGATAGTAAGGACCAAAGACGAAGATATCATGAGCCAGATCCCGACGGATTTGGGAGGGAGAATCGGTAATTCATCTGCTTGCGAAGGTCCAGCTCTCGGTGGTGGTGGTACGTGTATTTTCAGCGCGTTAGGGGTTGTTTTCTGAACTACTGGAGCCGGTGAAGGCCTCTTCGCTGCCTGAGTCGACGATGACTTTTTGGGTGCCTTGGTAGCGAACCCAGCCCTAGTCCTCAACGATGGAATTAAAGGTCGGTTTGAGAACAAATTTCTGGTGGGAATCGCGCAACATGTAGGGTGTCTGGGACACCGCAGGAAGGCTGCAGCCCTTAGCAATGGTGGCAGCATGAAAGGGCTGTTGAAAGGAACAGGTCGAGGCCTTACCAGCCATGAAGGGTCTGCCGGACTCGGAACGCGTCGCTGACCAATAACGGGAAGAGGCTGACTGTCGAGGCCTTTTCACCATGCTGTCATCTACTAGGCGGCTCTTTCCTGCTGCCCGCCACTTGCGGTCGTTAACGACGGCTGCTGCACCTTCCCCGGATCTATCGGAGGGAGAACAGAATATCTACTCCAAGTTGACGGAGAAGTTTTCGCCATCCCAATTGCAAGTTCAGGATGTATCCGGTAGGCAGCAAAGGCATTCACATTGAACTATAGGTGCTGAATTATCTGTAATAGGTGGTTGCGGGACCTTTTATGCCATTACTATCGCCTCTCAGTCTTTCAAAGGATTGCCTATTGTGAAGCAGCATAGACTCGTGACGGAGACGCTGAAGCAAGAGATAGAAGGCATTCATGGTCTGCAGGTACGCTTGGCTTTGTTTTTCATGTCTCCATTCTGTTGACGATTATTTCAGATTAAAACGATTCCTGTGGCCTCCTGAAGTATGTATGTACGAATACCCGTTGCTGCCCTCCGAGCTCAATTGCATCCCCGCCGGAGACACTGGATCAAAGGCATCAAGGCTCTTGCTAGTCTCACGACAGAATCCGTTTCACCCGTTCATTTCAGCTTGTAAAGTCGTAGGAGCGTAATGGAGTCCCTGTTATAGATTTCGCGGTCTGGATCATCCATAACCTGGAATCCAAGAGAGCTTAGATCAAAGTAGAAAACTAGCAGCAAAGTATCACCTGTTCCCATGAGAAGCTTTTCTTCAAGATCGCAAAGAATCGTTTGTCAGCCTATACAAGGCGGTCACTTTTGCGGCGGACTGGAGAGTAACGCGTAACGTCTGACCTTTCGTCTTTTCTTGTAACAAAAGAGTATTTCGGGCTTGTTCTCGTAAATGTCGCAGAGTGTTTGTACCAGGAGTGGGAATGCTGGTTCGAAGTATACACAGTCCGCTGCGAGAACCACGTCCGGAGCGGGTATATCAGCGGGTGTCGGTTCTCCCCTAGTCGTCGTGAGAAGGGAACTTTGACGGTGATGAAACACATACCAGTTGAGTTCGGAGACAGTACAGGACGAAGCGAGATTGTTTCTCAGGACGTTGCGTCGCATGATATCTAACAGCGGGCTGAGATGAATCATCATGCATCAGGAGCCAGATACCCAGACACAACGAGAAGACTGACGCTTGATCTGTAACGTAGACCTTTGCGCCAAGTTTTGCTGCGACGATTCCTACAAGGCCGGTACCACTTCCGAGCTCAAGAACCGTTTTACCTTGAAGGAACGAGCGGAGTGTTCGTACGAGATAGTTGGACAGGATCTGAATTGGAGGACTCTTCTTAGATTGATGGATGGATGATGGATAGTAGAAAGGATCAGGACCTGTCCTGCGGGCCAGACGATCCCACCACAGCCTGGAGATGCATCGACAGACAAAGTAACGACTAGAGGTTCCTCTGACGGACTCAATCCTTCGGTGAACGTAAGGCGCATCGTCTTTTCGTCGCTAAAATACTCTTGTCCTGGGAGAACAGAGACGAGTTCTCCGACTTGTGGATCTCGAGTCACCGCCTCCGAGTCGTCCATGGATGGAGCGGTCTAATAATAAGCAACGGATCTCCGGCCCGAAACGGAGACGGTTCGTGACTGTAACATCTTCGTGATCGCATAGCCAAGAATTGAGATTGTATATCTAACACACTCAGTTCGTATCATGTCACCTCCGGCTCCACTCCATGCTCCCCCCACGTTTGGCCCTAGAACCCAATGATTCTTGTCGTAGTCCTGTCTCTGTGCTATTCAATGATGCCGCATGGTGCTGGTAAGCCAACTCGATTAAACTGCGTTCTGATAAACAACTGAATAAGTAGAAGTATTGTAGAATGTCGCTGCTCATTAAAACGAAGACCACATATTCGCTGCCGTTTTGGGCGCAGGAAGATACGAATGCTCCCTAAAATACCGGTATCGGAAGGGACAGCACCAGTGAAGAGAGCAGTCCGAAAACTTCCCGCACCTCCTTCCGAATCATGTTCAGTGAACATACGGAAACTTCCTGTTCCACCACCATCTGGAAGTCGGACACTTCCCGCACCGCCTCTACCACCAACAACAAAGCCAGAAATTCGCCGGCTGCCTACCCCTCCACTCACACAAACACAGGAAAGGATGGCACAGAAACAGCCCGTTCGCTTGCTGTCATTTCCAACTACGTCACCAATGGCATGCAGTACACCCATGTTGATGCAGAGGATGTGTTCACGGTCAACTGCTGGCGGACATGCGGACGAGACGCTGTTGTCGCCCCTCATTGATTGGGATGTTGTGATGGATGAGATCATATACCGGCGTTCGAACGCGAGTTCAACAGTACCGGAAGCCATGAAACCACGACGTGAGGAGGTTGTAATTCATGGGAATAATAGTAGTTGGATGAGAGCATCATTCACCGTATGCGAGGACTCTACAACATAGGTTGTATATTATTGATAAAAGTAGATAGACCAGTTGGTATACATCCGACTAAATGCCGTGTTAACAGCATGCAGTGCGCGCTAGCTTGCAATCGTCCAGGCCTGGTCCTCGAGGAAATGGCTAGGCCCCGTGCGGCAACTTGGATCGGAGGCGACATTTCCATAGCCAAAAAATGATGCAGTCACCTTATTACCGAACCGATTCTGCACGACTACCCTTGCAGGAGCTGCTCAACAACTTCAATCCCCCACTCTCGAAGCAGAGGTAACTATGTGGTTACTAGGCGACTGGATTCATCAACGACTCGAAGGCGTCCTCGTCCAGCCCGTGGCTCATGTCTTATTTTGGATCGGTAAACAGATGCAACGTCATCTTGCTCTTAATTCGACTTTGTACAATCTTCTCCCTTCTTCCTCCGCTGCAAATATGCAGAACAATCATGAGGTTCTATTTGAATGGTATTTTACCTTCATTTCTTCTTCCTTTATTCTTATTTTTTTTTACCAAATTTTCAGGCCTGATGCTGAGCCAGCAACAGTTGTAGTCACCGGCACTTTTGACCAGGTATTATGTCTCACTTGAAATACGCGAGATATCTGCTCAACGCCCAATTCTCACAGTGGTCCTCATCTATTCATCTCACCAAGGGCAGTAATGGATTCAAAGGTAGCACACAGATCCCATGGAACGAAAAAATCGCGTACAAATTCATCGTCGACGGCCAATGGTCGATCGCCCCTAGTCAACCTACTGAGACGGATCCATCTGGAAACGTCAACAACATATACATCGCTCCTTCGAAACCTTCACTCCCTACCATGGACTCGACGTCACCAGCAACTTTGGAACCTATCGTCAAGGCCACAGAAAAGCCTGCAGCAAACGGTGATGCTTTTGCTTCTGATAAGCATGAAACAGAACAAGTCACAAGCGAAGGCGTTTCTCAAGCTGTTTCAGATCTGGCAATCGCTCCTAAACAAAGTGTTGTCGGCGGAGACGAGGGAAAGGTGCGCTACCCATTACGTAGAGGAATTTGCAACTTAACTCTGCTCTTTAGCCTGAAGATACAACTACCGAAGCCCCTGCACCCGAACCCGTTTCCAAAGCTGTATCAGAGCCAACGACAGAACCTGCTGCCGCTGAGCCCACTCCAGTCATACCAGAGACGCCAGCGACTTTGTCAGAGCCAACGACAGAGCCTGCCTCAAAGTTGGCCCCACCGCCTTTTATTGAACCAGCGTTGTCAGCTCCTACAGTTGTAGAGACTGTACCAGCCGAAGAACATGCAGAACTCCCTCCCAAAGCCACTTCGGAGCCTATCTTAGAGGCAAAGTCCGTCTCAGAGCCTACCTCGACGGTCCTCGCGGGTGCCCCCATCGTCCCTATTGCTATCGTACCAGTCAATGCAGCAGAAAACAACGAGTCACCGCCTCCGTCAGTAGGAACGAAAAAAGAGGCCTCAACCCACAGCCCTTTCTCGTTCACTCCCACCCCGGCTCCCCCTGTGCCAGTCGAACCTGCAGTAGTTGCCGGTGCAATACCATCTGCGTCAGTACAACCTCCCACAGCAGTTCCAGAGTCCACACCCGCGCCTGCTGAGGCTGTTGCAGCAACTGAACCGGTACCGGAGCCTGTGGCGCCGGCTTCCTCTGATGTCATTCAGGACCTGAAATCTACTTCCCAGACAAATTATGACGTATCGGAGAAGCCGACCAACGGTCCCGCACCTCAGGAAGATAAGGCGTCGCCTCAGCCCGAACCCGTAAAGCCTCTTCCAAGCCCACCTTCCACGCCCAAAAAGAAAGAGGCGTTCCCTTTGACAGAATCTCCTTCCAGCTCCCCTTCCTCACCCTCCAAGTTCGGCACTCCTGGTCCTGCTCGTAAGAAGCGGAACTCCATTTTTGGCAAGATAAATATCAAGCACTTGTTCAGTCCCGGAAAAGATAAAGACAAGGAGAAGAAATGATTTAAGGAAGTCGACGGCTTGTTTTCATGAATCTCACGTCAATTTTACATTCGATTTTTTTTTCTATTGGAGGACATCGGCACCTATCCATACATCCGCCTCTTAACTAAGTTTCCTCAGTGTAGAATTCATTGTTATTTCAAGTACATGTTCTTTAAGAAACTGTATTATACACAATCACTAAACAGTGACAGTTATCCTTACAATGTTGAGAATATCTACCCGAAAATCTCGAGGACGATACCTATTGCATGCTCGTCAATGGCTGTAACAAAGGCAGTCACCAGTTCCCTCACCGGCACCAATCGTTTCTCCCCCACGTCGAAGGAGAATCCTTCCCATGTCCTTATTGACTGCGAAGGATTCAAGTGGAATTGGAAGCGCAGGGGCTGAACTCGATAACGATGTCGACCTCAGAACAATCTGCACCTCTGCCGAAGTACCTTTCGTAAGTACCCTGGGGTTCTAAATGTTAATTCCAGTGACAGGAAGTGAACAAACCAAAGGAGGTTTACCTCGGCTTTTTCTTAATGACGGTGCCAGTCGTTCTATCGAGGGAAGATATCAGATTGGCGATGGTAGCAGGGACGTCGCGTGAGTGGTGGAAGAGCTCGACCTGCGAATAACGGACGTTTGGTTCAGATAAGGATGATAGAAGGACAAGTTACACGAACAGACGCTCCGGCAGTTATAGGAAATTGTACGTCAAAGATTATGATTCGAGCCGTGAAGATTGTCGCCAGCGGGACGACGTCAGCCGGAGGACAAAGGACGCTCCCTACTGCTAGATGAATTGGATCAATGCCAGTCAAGAACAGCGTTGCATTAGACCCCGCCATTGCCCACGAGGCGCTTTCTTCCTCGACTTCGATGGCTGCATCATTTCGTATCAGTTTTTGTGTATAAAACGAGGGGAAAACCGGAAAGCGTACATTTCACGGCAGCCGTTTCATCTCCAGGCAGGACACGAAGACGTTCTCCAACCTGGACAATACCGCTGCACAGCCTTCCTGTAACGCCGATACCAGCACTCTGTCCCTTGAAGACGTTTGAAATTGGGAGTCTCAGTGGGGAAGCGATGTCACGCGTTGGAGGTTCGAGCTTATCTATTGACCATAAGTCACACTGAGCCCATCTTTTTTTTGTTATGAGCGCGTACCGAGGCAATCAACTAATGTAGGTCCCTTATACCAAGCGGTGAACTCTTCGACCTGTAGAGGCTTCTCGACTAGATTAATGCCATCGAGAGCTCCGACTGGCACAAACTGTGTTTTGGAGGGATGAAATCCCGACTGAACCAAGAAGGGACGCATGAGTTTGCAGATCTCTTCGAAACAAGTTTGGTCCCATTGAATCTGCCACAACATAAGTGCTCGTCGCAGTTGATAAAGGGACCCATACAAACCACATCCAGTTTGTTGATCGCAATGATGACCTGAGAGACACCCAGACTCCTTACTAGAATGAGATGTTCTTTAGTCTGTCCACCACGATCAAATCCAGCTTCAAATTCTCCAGGAGACGCGTCGACGACAAGTAGGGCGCAGTCCGCTTGGGACGCGCCCGAGATCATGTTCGGGACAAAATCCTTGTGTCCTGGAGCATCCAGGATGGTGACCTGACGATGCAGCGTTCTGAGAGATTGCAAGGCGATGTCCATCGTAATGCCTCTACCATCGAACGTCAGAATCGACATGCAGTAAGCATAGTGTTTCACTAACCTTTCGCGCTCTTCAGTAGTGCCATCTAAGTTCCATGCCCAGCTGAAGCTGCGCTTGCCTGCTTTGGTACTGCCTCTTTCATTGGATATGCGTGTTTTCTCATCTAGACGGCCGGTTTCATACAATAATCGACCCATGAGAGTCGACTTTCCAGCATCGACATGCCCTTGACATTCTTGTTGTCAAGAGTTTCTAGTGCATTGGAGAAAACCTACCTATTACCACAAGACTAACAAGTTTGAGGTCACTGGACTGTTGAGCTTCCAAAACGCGTTTGGCTTCCTCCAACGTTTTTTCCCTGGCTAATGTTAACTTAGGCGCTTCCTCGACAGGCACAGATTCGGCCCTTGGAGTCAGGTTCAGCCCCGAAAGATCCATCATTCGTTGATCAACTGGTGTCGAGGTCCCAGATCTGCCGGCAGCCGAAGCCCTTGTGGGTGTTACCGGTGCTTTGAATCCTTTGGCAGGAACAGGCGAGCCTGACCTGGAGTTCGATGCCGACTTCACCGATGCTAAGTTCTTCTGTGTCTGAGCTTTGTGAAGTTTCTCGCGTTCTTTTGCAGCTATAAAATTACACACAAGTAAGAATATAGACACCAAAGAGAAGAGAAAGGAAAAAAAAAGATAAGAAGTATAAATTAAGCCTTGGTAGAAGAAGACACTTTTGTCCGTTGCGCGGCAGAAAGTAAAGCGCCTTTGTTGGCTAACGATGAACCTTGCCGTGCACGCATGACAACGTCGTCGGGACTCGGTTCGTCAAACTTGAATGCGGCGGGAGAAGTAAGGCCTGGCACAATCGGTGGTGCGGGTTCTTCACGACTATGGCGTGTGTCCTGTTCTGCTGATCCATGACGCATGTGTTTTGTCGTTGATTTATGATGACCGTCTCTTTGTTTCGCTTTGTGCTTGGAAGACGTCAGATCATCGACGAGGATGGTAGCAAATGCGGAAGGTAACGCGCGAGGAGCCGAACTAGGGAGGAATAACGGGGCAGTAGAAGGCAACTCGACTTCTTCATGCTCAGGCAAAACGATGCTCCGATGTTTTTCTTGCATTTTCTTGATCTTCGCTGCGAGCTTCGAGGGTTTCTTTTCCAATGCATCCTCAAGCGTAACAACATATGGAGCCTCTTCCGGTGGTCGCTTTGGATCAGTCAGCGTACGCAGTGATTCATAAGAGTAGGTGATGGCAGTGGTCACTGTGTCACCGTTGGCCACCGGGGCCAAGTACTTCGTAAATTGTTGACCAGGTTTTGGTTTACGTCCAATATCAGAATCCAGAAGACTCGGACCCTTTGTAGGAACAGGTTTAGCAACTGCTTTAGGAGCCGCCTTGGACTGCGCCAATAAAGCAAGTTTAGAAGGCTTCCGCACGGTGTCTGGGGATGGCAACTCAGCATTTTTGGATGGCGTTGGGGCAGCTGGTCTATTGATAGACAACGCTCGGCGTGGAGACATAGGTGGGGTAGGAGTCTGAGGCTGAATGGACTGTGGTTGACTAGGTGCAGGGGTATGGCCTTTCGAAGCAGGAACGGGCTCTATTGGGGCTGGCATAGGGTCCCTGGGCGGATCTTTTGGAGGGACTTTCGGTGGCACTTGATCTAACGCTTCGAGCTCCATCGCTGTCTGGATGGCCTTTCTGATAAGCGATGACGTTGAAGAGTGGACAGATGCGTTCGCAGACAAATGGGCCACTGGGAGAGGTGAAGGTGAGGGGGGAACAGATGGGGGAACAGATGTCGCAGTTGGACGGAGGGCAGGCCAAGTCCTCACAGAGCCCTCATCTATTGCACTCCCTGAAGGTCCTGACCGCTCAGTTTTCGCAAGAGACATATTGCTGGCCCGAGCATTAGCAGCGAGCTGAGACAATTTAGATGTCTTCTTGACAGCCGCGGGGACATGACATGTGGATCTACTGTTGGTATCTGGGATGTCTGGTATAGTATCGATCGGTGGAACGGATACACTTGGCGCGTGCGCTGACGATGTTGAACTCCGAGAATCCGAACGGGGGAGAGAAGGGGGAGGCGAATATTGAGATAGCCTGCGAACAACTGACTCTGATGGAGATGGAGGAATAGAATTGGGGTTTTCAGAAACATGCGTCTCGTACTGAGTATCCCCATCTGATGGGATTGTCAGAAACAAGGGAAGAGCGAGTATAGAGGCACTTACTGATCACCTGCCCATATGATGTTGCTGTAGAACTCGGTGGTGCATGATGATAGTGTGTATTGGGTGACCAATAGGGCTCAGTTCTTTCACTCCGTTCCGTAATGGTGCTCAGCATTCGTCGAGGAGGTTGAGGGGTCATTTCACTTGAAGAATCATCATCATTCAACGGTTCATAATACGGTATGTTTTGACGTTGCATTTCTTCCTGTTCTTGCATCCGTTGTTGCTGCTGCGCCAGAACGATCAAGGGTACTCGAGATCTCCCGTTGTTTTCGTAATGTGGAGGCACCTTGCTGCTCTCAGATGAATAGGGATTCGGTAAATGTTCGTCAAGGACAACGGTAGGAACGTCCGAGTCAGTTTCTAGACGAGCTAGAGTCAGTTAGCATTCAAGGAACTGTGGAATGTGGGCAGACTGAACATGTTGGTGAAGGGAGTAGGCGATCTTCTCGTCTCTACACGCTGGAAGGCATCGACAGGAGGAGCACAAGATGTATCGAAGGAAGCAACGCTACCCTACGAGAAACAATGTCGTTGTGAAGAGCTTACCTTTCCGTTCCCTAGCTAAGCGTCGTCTATCTTGTTCATCTAGCCCGGTATCAGTGTTAGCTCGATAATCTGCGACGCCCAACACTCACCGAGCGCCCACTGGACTGTCTGGTCAACTTTGAAAAAACAATCCCAAAGGTACTCTTTGATCTCGCGTTCAGAAATGCCCGTAGTCGCTTCGTCTCCGATGACTTCTCGCACTTGCTCGAAAGTTGCATTCAGTTCAGCTGTGTGATCATGGCGGTCAAGCACAGAATTTGGATTCTTCACGGCTGTTACCTTGCTCCTGTTCAGTCATTTCTTCATCGCCGCCATCAGACAAGGCGTCATCGTCGAGTTCATCTGGATTCAGTCGCGTCAATAGGCACTCTACAAGAACATGCTCTGCGCGTGTTACCATCCAATTTGACATTTTTTACATCCCTGTGCCGTGACATCGCGCAAGATCGTGCTAGAGACAGTAGTGAGTGTAACGAGTACTTTCAGTAATATTTGCACTCCCATGATGACATCACCTTCAGGAATACACAAACGTCAATAAGAGCAACTCTTAAATTTCTTTTTTTCCTCCCTCAAAAACCATCTCCTGCCCAAAATGTTCAGCGTTATCCGTTCTTCTGTCTCTCGCGTGTCGACTCGCGTACGCTATCTTTTCTTTGCATATCATTCCCCTTGCTCAAGAATTTTCTTCGTTTGTTGCAGGCATTCTCCACCAGCAGTCCGTCTCAGGTGATGGCCAAGCTTGTGCTCATCGGCAATTTGGGTGGAGATCCCGAAACGCGTTCAGACAAAAACGACACTCCCTACGTTACGTACGTGTAAATGTGATTTGCATGCCTGAAATATGACATATCTGTATTCCAGGTATACAGTCGCGACCCAACAGTTCGTACCAGCTCCTGCAGACTCTGTCGGTAAGCAACACGTCCATTTCATACTTAATGCCCCACTGATTATTTTTCCAGACCGCCCTCCGCCGAAGACCACTTGGCACCGCGTTTTCTCCTTCAACGAAAATACTAACAAGTACCTTTCAACTCTGAGGAAGGGATCGAAGGTCTATGTCGAAGCAGGCTTCGAATTGCGCGAGACTCCCGTTGAGGGACAGAATACACCACAGCGGTCGGTCTTCCTCAAACATGGTATGAGTCAAGTCTTTGTTCTCATTCTCAATCTCACTGAAATGTTTTAGAGAGCATCAAGGTGGTTAGCCCGCCGAAACAACCGGCTCACGAGGAATCACCCGAGTCTCATGAGTGAATTTCTGTTAGAAATATATTTTCATGATCTAAAATCTTATGTATCCTCCATTTATACAATTTATTTGGTCCTCATTTCGAAGTGCCCAGCCCCCCCACGACATTGCCAAAATGCAATTGTCCTGCTGGTCAGTAGGCCAACCAATAGATCTAAGCATTCAAGTGTGTGAATAGGGTGCTTCTGAGAGCCCATAGTCGGTGGTTGCATGTTCCCAGTCCTTTGTCTTTCATCAGAAGAAATAATGACAACAAAAGCAAATACCTACATTGCTTTCGCGGTTAACATCGGGAGGTGGAACGTTGACCATTGGAGGGATAGCCTCTGGTGCTGTTGTCCCGGCACCCGCTGGCCTCATGAGCTTGGCCAGATAATCGCGGACAGTGTGCACGACCAACTTGGAGAGGTATCAAGATAAATCTCACAAATAAGAAATGCGTAGAAAACAAACGGTATGGTCGTCTTGTGAAGAGCCCGAGTAACAAGCGACTACACCAATGGGACAACAGGGTGCATTCTTAGAGAAATGTCTAGGTCAGTCGAACTGAATGAATGCTGCAAATTCCACTTGGACATTCACCTGTAACCATATAGGAAACGCTGCAGAATAGCAAGTAGGCATTAGAAGGATACGGCAGGGAAGATTACGTACCTCCTCCATTTACACGAAAATCGCCTTGAATACCCATCTGCTTGGGTGTCTTGCCCATTGCACTCATCGATTTCTCAACGTAGAAGCTCGAGTGACCCGTCCTGCGTACGACACTGACCATCCCCTCCAGACAGGCCCAACTATCTAGACTGACGTCGCCTACACCATCAGGGTGGCCTAGATCGCCGACTGTACAGGAGAAAAGGGTGTGCCCCGCAATGGTTTGAATCGATATCACTAGGCCCTTGCCCTTGACATGGCGTGAAGAGCCGCGGAATCTTTTTCGGATCGACAAGCCCTAGGAGCGAAAATCATGGACATGTAATGAATGTTGGTCTGAATGTACCAACCAAAGTGACAGCATCGGATGCGGAGAAGGACGTGAATCGATAGTCGCGCTCTTCATGCAACGACAGAGTGGCTAGCTCGGCGTCTGTTTGTGTCATGGAATGGAACCCGGCGAACATGGATGGCGCTGGAAAGGTATCCTTGATAAGAAAGGAATGGACTTGAATGTGGCGGAAATTGAAAGGATCTGGACTTGGAGAATGCGTAGCAATGAAGCCGATGTTGATCCCTGAGCGCTGCGCCAAGACCTGGGTCAGGTACTAGAGGATTAGAGGTCATTGTACACGCATACAATTTATTATCTTTGCTCAATGTTCAATGAGATCAACGAAGTACCGACATGCGAAAATAGAGCCTCGAAAATTATAATATGTAACAAATGGAGGCAGACCCACAAACGGCAAAGGAGCCGGGTCGTGACACCCGTCTTCCAACGATGAGGGACGAGGGTTGACCCCAAGCAAACATGGAGTTCTTCAACAATGTCGGTGTCGACACCCTCAAGCCTTCAATCTTCGAACTGGTATCTCAGGAGCAACTCAGAGACTTGCTGCAGCCAGCTCTCAAGTATGTCCTAGCCGTGAGTCGCTATACAGTTGCCCCCTTCTTACTCATCTCACTGGGCTGCAGGTCTTTGCCCAACGACATCCTCGATACCTTCTGCGTATCGTGAATCGCCATGAGGAGTTCTATGCTATCCTTATGCTCATAGTCGAACGGCACTATCTCAAAAACCATGGTATGCTGCCTCTACGTCTCAGCCATCCGTTCGGCTTAGAAGAAGAATAGGTGCATCCTTCTCAGAGAACTTTTACGGCCTGAAACGAAGACGTAGACCATATATCGAGCCCGAGAGAGAGAAAGCTACTACAGGAGGGGTGCCGGCAGGAGAGAAGCTTCGACAGCGAGAGATTTGGCGATCACTTCTCTTCTTGGTACGTCGTTGGCTTATCCAGAGCTTTGGTTGCCCTGACTACGCCCAGGTCGGTGTGCCATACCTACGAGCCAAAGCGCAGGATTACTTTGAAGATTTGGGTGGAGGGATCAGCTCTGATATTCTCAACGATGGAGCAGACCTGCTTCAAGTTCGAATGTTGACTGACCAGGTATGTTTGTACTCTGACTGTCCCTGAAGCTTCGCCTCACCAATCTCGTAGTCCTTCAAGGGCTGGCTGCGACGGACATATAAGACTTTGTATCCTTGGTGTAATGCTGTTTTCGAAGTCTGGCTACTGGCCTATAACGTCGCATATCTCTTTGACCAAACACCTTTCTACCGGCCATGGCTGGCATGGATGGGTGTAGATCTCCGTCGGCTGGGGATAGAAGACCTCGTAGGGATGCTTCTAAATCCTTGGAAACGAACCTGACATCCTGTTACCTGTATAGCGTGCCGCAAGCATGAAAGCCGGACAAAATGCGCCCTTGACCAAGGGACATGGACTACGACAACTACTGAGGTCGTCACCGCAACTCCTTCTTGATTCCCTGCGGCTTCTTCTTCCAACAGCTGTCTTTTTCATAAAATTCTTGGAATGGTGGTACTCACCTGGCTCTCCAGTGCGATCATTGTCAACGTCTCCATTAGGACCCGCTGTTCCGCCTCCGCACATGTTACCTCCGCATCCGCAAGGTATTCCTTTCGACAAACAGAAATATGGAACATGCCCCCTTTGTCAGAGGAGTATCAACAATGCCACGGCTCTTCCTTCTGGCTATGTGTTTTGTTATCGATGCGCGTATGATCACATAGAGAAACATGGCAAGTGCCCAATAACACTGCTCCCTTCCAGGGTGTGGCAGCTTCGCAAAGTGTTGGTGTGAAACTGCAATTGGGTGCACGTTCGTCGCGGTCGCGGTTGCGATTGCGATTGCGAGTGTTATCGATGGAGTAAAGGTAGATAAAATCGAGTTGTATAGTACCTTACCGTACTTGTAAATCGATGGCCTTTGACGTGGATGGAGAAGTAACCACGTTTGTGAATATATCCGTTCAAATTTTGGAATTGGCGTTTGGTTGTTCCGGCGGCTCACGCTTCGTTTCCTATGAACACCATTTTGTCACCGACCCTATTCCTTCTTGTTCTTTCTCCCTAACCGCACTTGTCGTGCACGCGACCGTCCAGCAATGAAGGTCAGCCTTACTTGCTTTTTAACCGGATCTTTCTCCTGATTCCATTCCAGTTTGGCAAGCACATCCAGTCTCACCAAGTACCAGGATGGTCCGCGTACTACCTCGACTACAAGTTTCTCAAGAAGATCATATCTTCCCTTGCTGCCAATCGTCCAGCTTCGGAGGCAGCTGCATTGGCCTTGGGCTTGCGTCCAGTGGACCTCTGGAACCAGTCATCGACCCCTAGCGAGCAGTTTAGCGCGTCGCTCGAGGAGGACCCAGGTCGTCCGCCCATTTTCTCAGAGTCTGGACTAGACGAAGATCGGAGCCTTGATTTTCGAGCTCACAAAGCGGCCTTCTTCTTCAAACTTGAGCGGGAATTGGAAAAGGTGTGTGACGGCTAATGCCTCCATTCCTGTCCTCGCTCATCCTCGCGTCCAAGATCAATGCATTCTACCTGCAAAAGGAGGCAGAATTACAGCTACGGCTGGAGACTCTGCTTTCTAAACGTCGCGCTGCTGCCATGAGAGGTCTCCCCGATTCAGTCAATGACTCCACCCAGACTCATGTTGAATGGAGCGCCGTTGAGGAAGGATTCCGACTGCTTGAGCGTGACCTTGGGAAACTGCAGGTAGAGATCATGCAACGTCTCCACGAGGCTTACGCTCTTAAGGATCTTTCTAGCAATTTGTCGAGATAAATGCCACTGGATTTCGCAAAATCCTCAAAAAGTTCGACAAGCGGTCGAAGTCTACGACTAAGGAGCTGTACCTCGCCAGGCAGGTTGATGTCCAGCCTGTATTCAATCGACAGGTCCGACCCTTTTGTCTTTTGACCACCTTGCACTCACTCTGATATCTCATACATGTCATGTAGCTTATATCAGAGCTTTCTGATACCGTCGCTGCCTGTCTTCTTGACATCACAGACCTCTCTTCAGGTCTCAAGTTCGAAGGGCCGGGGGCAAATGATATCTTCATGCAGCAGTTAATGACTGAACGAACACCATATGTAGGCCCATTCCACGACCTTGAAAAGAACCTACGCAAGGCTGTCACGAGTGCCGACCCTGCTGCCATTAGAGACTGCGTGCGCTACTCCGATGTACTTTCTCAGGAAGCCGGCACGTCGAACAACATCGCGCGCATACTCTGGAGTGTCATCATCGAGGCCCCCCCCGAGCTTGCGGATCTCATTTTGTCCTCCTTGTCTTCCCCATTTGATTTTCACTTTATTGATGACATCAATGGACGGACGTGCTTGCACGAGGCTGCCATGGCAGGCACACCTCGACTGGTCGATCTTTGCATAGAGAAGCAGGTCCCGATCGAAAGAGTGGACGTGTACGGACGGACAGCTCTTCATTACGCTGCAATGAATGGTCATGCAGCTATATGTCGTCGATTATTGGAAACAGGGCTACCTCTGAATACTCTGGACATCGACAATTACAGTCCATTGGTGTACGCTACCTTGCGAGGTTGCGTCAAGTGTGTTGAGGTGCTTCTTGAGTATGAAGAAATCCCTGCGCAGCCCACTACACCTGGCGGGGATCTTATCCCTTTGTCACTTGCTAGTCAATGCGGCTATGTCGACATCGTCGTCCTGTTACTCCAGCGTGGTGCGCAGTGTTTGCCTAATAGTAATGGTGAATACCCTATGCATCTAGCGGTACGCGAGGGACATGTTGAGGTGTGCAAAATACTCCTTCACCATGACGGTTGGGACACGCCGGATAAATATCATGAGTGGACACCATTGTTCCATGGCTCACGTTATGGTCATGACGCATGCGTCTCCATCCTCCTGGAAGCGGGCAGTAGAGTCTCTCTGACCGATGAACTAGGCCATTTACCCGTACACTACGCTGCATGGTATGGTCATCACGAATGTCTAAATCACCTTCTGGAAGCCTCAACCCGCATACCGGCTGTGGCAGAAATCGTCGCCATGCCGGACATTTCGTCCAATTCAGATCAGGGTGGACGTACTAGAGAATCCGAGATCGACATGATTCCTTCCCTTTCCTTGCCACCACCAATCATGCCTCATCGCGTGTATGGACACAATTATCTCGATCGTAGTCACCTGGTCCAAGTAACTGTGGGAAACCCTTCTCGCAGTCAACCGAGCGTCAGACTACATCATCGTCTGATCAGTCCTGCCTTCCGTGACGAATATTTGCTGAAAACAGCGCCGCTTAAGCTTGTCATCACAACCAAGAGCCCAGAAGTCAGCTCTGCGCCATACAGCATATCGCTGCCTCAGAGAGATGACAAGGGCGTGTTTATATTCCAGATACCTAACCTCAATTGTTTGTGCTTAGAGTTTTCCATCTATCCTAATTTTGGGACTAAGACTATTGGGCGTGCCGTGGCGCTTCCTTCGTTATTTACAAATATCGAGAATAACCAGTCCTTTACTCTTCCTATTATGGACAATAGGCTTCACGTCGTCGGGGAGGTGAGCATTCGTTTTCCACGCCGCAGATGATTCTCACATTCAAAGCAAAGGTTACATTCGAAGTCAACATCATTACATCTTTCAACGGCGTAACCCTGGAAGTAGGAGGCGATGTCGAAACTTACTGGAAGTCGACAATCTCTTCTTCAATACAACAACAGCCGATCTCGACGTCACCATACCGGTCAGGTCATGTGGGTTCTACACAGACGTCCCCGTCGACTCACTCCATATCTGGAGCCGGCAGTCAGTCTTCGACTATTTCTTCACTGAGAGGAAAATATCTCTATGTTATCGTTCAGGTCACACGGGATTCTATACCTGTCGTGTTCTCACACTGGCGTCTCCCGGAATCCAATTTCAATCTCAGTGTATGTGATATCACCTTGGCGCAGTTCGAGGCTCTTGCAGAACGACTTGGACGGAATGTTGATAACGTTACCGCGTCATCAGTAACTGATTGGCCAGCTTTTGTATTTTGGTCCATGATGTCTCTCTCACAGCTGTTGAAGGTATTTCCTTCTCTACACTAGTTTCTATTTTCTTCACTGATTGGATCTAAAGATACTTCCGCCCAACATCGGCATCAGTTTAGAACTGGCTTATCCCTCACCCAAAATTCGGGAGCGATACTGTTTAAGCCGGCTAGATCTCAACACATTTGTAGATTCGATTTTGAGGACAATATATTATACCTCCACGGCTGATGGCCGACTTCCTCGTCGGAGAATCGTCTTTACATCGTTTTCACCGGATGTCTGCGCCGCCCTGAACTGGAAACAACCGAATTGTTTGTGTAATGCATGTCAATTTGCTGTCTGTCACTAACGCGGTGATGTTCCCAGACCCTGTTTTCTTCGCTTCTCATTGTGGAAAGAAGGATATTTTCTTGTCTAGTCCTTCGCCGTTTACTCTTGAAGATGAAGATGATGGAAGGTTCTGTAGCCTTGGGGAAGCAGTTGAGTTTGCGCGGATCAATAATCTTTTGGGTGTCATCGTCGATGCCGATCTCTTGGTTCGTCGTTGCATCTCTTGATATATTTTCACGCGCTCTAAACGGTTGAATTGATTAGTTGCAAGTACCTTCATTGGTCCAAGGCATCAAGAATGTCGGTCTGCTGGCTGGCATCCATGGGACTTCAGAGCGATCAACGTCTTTGACGACCGGGGGGGATGGTTCCATTGATGCATATCTCTCCGATGGTTTTGCCGTATATCTTGACTATTCAATGCAGGAAATCTAACTACTATACATTGTATTAGCCGACAACGGAAATTGAAAATACGTGTTGTATTAATGAAGGGATTATTATCTTCGTATCTTACCGCAGTAGTTAGTGTATAAATATTCCAGCGACTATCTTGTGCTGTACTACACAGATTGATGGTACAACGTTGCGTATTTGCCATTCAGGCGTACCAGTTCTTCGTGCGTCCCGAATTCACAAATGGTCTAATAAGACAAGCCGTCAATGAGATGTTTTAATAGACGATGTCGGAGTAAAATTACCCCATTCTCCATCATTGCGACTTTGTCGGCACGACGAGCGGTGGACAGTCGGTGTGTGATAAAGACAACGGTTTTCAATGGTTGACCGTCTTCAGTATGTGTTATCCGATGTATCGTTTCAAATATTTGATGCTGTGCGTGTGCATCTAATGAGGACGTCTGGATGAAGGGCACGCTGAGCTTATAGACGGCAAAAGAAGCCTGCGCAGACGTACCGGCTCGTCGAACACGAGTAGATCAACTTGTGGTTCGACCGCCTTGATGAAGGCCCTTGCGATCGCGACTCTCTGCCACTTTTTTTTTAAAAAAATTTTTTTTTTCCAAAATCAGTAACGCGCGGACACGCAAACGTCCATGGGAATCTCACCTCGCCGCCCGACAGTCCATGGTGATGACGATCGCCTGATGGTAGACTTCCGGGATACGGGAGCATTTCAAATCCAGGTCCCTCAAGGATCGTTTGGAGACCATGAGGTAAGGACTTCACGATCCCGTCAGCCTGTGCGAGGTGAAGGGCGTCGTTGATCGCCGTCGGGCACTTCATTTTGTCGATGCACCCAATCCCGACATTTTCCTCGAGGGTGTAATTGTACTTTGAGAAACCTTGGAACACCGCTGAAACGCGCTTGTGATAATCGCGGACACGGTGTTTTCTTAGGTCGACACCGTTAATAAATAGCCTTCCTTTGTCGAAATCACAGATGCGAAGGAGTATCTTGGCGAGGGTTGACTTGCCACTGCCGTTGTAACCGACAATTGCAAGCGTCTCCCCTGCCTCGAGAGTGAAATTGACGTCATGCAAAGCGGGCATAATACTGTCCGGATATGTATACGACAAGCCTCTTCGAAGAAATGGTGAGGGTCACATAAAGCTAAAGATTGGAGACGATGTTGCCCACCTGGCTTCAATTTTGACTCCGCCAGGCCGTTTCCTGTATTCGACAGCCTCGTGCTCAGGTGGTTGCAATTTTGGCTTTACCTGCATGCTAGCGCAGAATGCCGAGAGAAGAAAGATGGTTTGAAATGCCATTCTTGTGGTGGTCAAGAGATTCCTGAAGCCATAAATGATAGATTGCACGGATCCTCGGTATAAAGTTAGAGATCCTAATGTTGCGGAAGACGATGATTGAAGAAGAAGGACGAAGGGAATCTGTGTGGATGGATCAGATGAGAAGACGGAGAGTGTCAAACGGACAAACATTTTGAAGGGAAATAATTAGGTCTGTAAAACCGTTGCCAGATAGCAATGAGAAGCTGGGAGAGCAACGAGCCTGTTCTGAGGCGAAGACAACCTTCCAGGCTGTGGACCAGGAGCTTAGGATCCAGTCGTGTAGACCAAATAGGGCAACCTCGGGACGGTGCATGTCGCTATAGGCGAGGTTCCGCATCTGTTCTTGTCTACGTGCGGCGCGTGATTCCTGGGATGTGTAGAAGAGGTCCGTCGGAAGATGAGAGATAGTAAACCAGGGAAGAAGAAGCGGAAATATGACGGAGAGTATCGAAAGCAGCAATATGCCCATATGTGTCGCGTTGCTGGTCAAGGAGAGAACTAGCCATATATGTGATCCGATTTCTGTGAGAAGCGCGAAAATCTGGATGAATTCGAGTGGGGATATCAGCCCGAATCCACCCCCAGTGAAGGAGCGGGCGAAGATGTCAGATTCCTGCAGCAGGTCGCGAATAACGGGGTCGGAGAGAGAAGGATTGTCCAAGCGGATGCGTTGTTCCATTTGTTTTCGTTCCACAACAAATCGCGCTGAACCCAGGACCAGATGCTCATTTGAAGCACTGTTGGCATGTTAGAGAGGTGGAAAAACACATGCGACTATAATAAACCCACGCCATGTAGTCCAATACATTTTCACATATCCGCCGTGCAATTTCGAGGCCGACGAGACGCGCCAGGCGAGACCAGGTGAAGATACCAGAGGTTAAGAGAGACTGAACCTGACGTGTTTCGTCAAAGTAGACTCATAGAGCATAAAGAGAGGCCAGTACCTCGTCAATGATCATTGCCTGTAAAGGACATCAGGAAGGTTATTAATAGGGAAACCGCGCGCCACGACATACTTGGGAATAGCCACGAAATGCTGGAAACAAACTTCGAAGAATGTTGAAAGCCAACATGCATCCAGTTCTCGTAGGGTGGCATTGGAACATGTATTGAATCTTGAATGAAGAAGTGAAAAAAAAAGAAAAAAAAGTTTGAACTAAAAAGAGTGGCTCATACAAGTTCCGGTGTACACCGTTTGAGAATTTGGAGAGCGAGGTGGGTATTCGCAAGATTAATAGGCCGCTGTGCACCAGCTACCAGTGTGGTTGTGCCCCCGCTCTCGGTAGGAATTAGCCTGGACGTGAGCCAGACATCATAGACGGAGGCGGATGTGAGAGAGTGGGATCCAGATTTTTCGTGAAGCGATGAAGTGTGGAAACTGTCGGTGGCAGCGAGAAGGAAAGGCCAAGGAGTGTAGGGGATGCTGGTACGGCAGAAAGAAAAGGGATGCATAGCTGGGGGCCTTTGTGGAAAGATGGGATAGATAAATGAGAGGGCGCACGTCTGTGTTTTGTTATTCGCAAGGATGGAATTAATATAGAAAAGAGCCGGAATACGTCCATTGCCGTTGCAGTGCTACGCGTGCAAACAGATCTAAAAGCATACAGAAAAGGCTGTACTGACGCGGACGCAAACGGTAGGAGCGACCCGACACAAAGTTCGCAACAACGCTGTTCGGCGATGAGCCTTCAATTCTCCTTTTCAGGAAGGTCGTACCATCCCAGCGGGATTATGTCATCCTTTCTTTTGTAGCCAAAATAGGGGCAAAAAAAAATTTGAAAAAGTAAAATTCGAGTCACTATACAAAGTACTACTGCTACTGGTGTACTTACGCTTCATGGGTCGCCATGGCAGACCTTCATTCTGATGCTCTTGTCAATTCTTTATCCCAGAAATTACAGGCTCATACAATGTCGGATCTGCGTACGGTCCCGGAGCTTGCTGATGAACCGACGCGGGTCAGCCTGCAAAGTACTACCCCCACCCATCGGGTACATGAAGGCTACGGATTCCGCCCTCCATCCGGAGTGTCGACGCCGCTGACAGGCCACCCACCTGCGGATCCCCTCGTACCCGATGTAAATGGCCTCGGTTGGCCCGGTACGTCTACGATTGGTCTAACGAATATCGACGCAAATAACCTAGAAATATCATACAGCAAAGTCCACGTACTCTCGTTTGACTGCGACAGCCGAGGAGAAGAAAGAGCGAGAACAGAAGATCGCCGCCGCTGTTCGTACAATACTTGACTGCATCGGAGAAGATCCTGACCGCGAAGGTCTGTTGCGGACGCCTGATCGGTATGCTCAAGCAGTGATGTGGATGACAAGGGGTTATGAAGAACGCCTAGCAGGTAACTGTTCTCTTATATTCTTCTCTCCAATCTCCATCCGTCACTCTAGATGTAATCAACGACGCTGTCTTTGCCGAAGACCACGATGAAATGGTTATCGTTCGCGACATTGATATTTCCAGTCTCTGCGAACATCATTTGGTTCCTTTCACCGGAAGGGTCAGTGCTCTACAGATCAGTTCCCTACCCCCCCTTCGAGCTCGTTTTATTCTCCACAGGTTGCTATCGCTTACATCCCCAACAAGCTAGTCCTAGGTCTATCCAAGTTGGCACGAATAGCGGAAACTTTCAGTCGACGGCTGCAAGTCCAAGAACGGTTAACGAAGCAGATCGCAATTGCAATTCAAGAGGCCATAAAGCCTCGCGGAGTAGCTGTGGTCATGGAAGCAACGTAGGTTATCATTCATTGAATCTATCAATCATTCAACATGCTTCTTTTCAAGACATCTCTGTATGACAATGCGTGGCGTTCAGAAACCCGGCGCCATAACCGTAACGTCCTGTATGTTGGGCTGTTTCCGTACACATCAAAAAATTCGAGAAGAATTCCTTAGTCTAATCAAACGATAACGAACTAGACGCCTTTTTTCACCCATACCGATTCAACTCTGTATAATTTTTATTCATATCACAATAATTGGATACCTCGGCGGCGAGGGCTAACGGAGGAGTGTGTCATTATGTACTTCTACAGATTTATACATAAATACAGTAAATGCACTATCGTACATGCTATTATTGTAGACCATTCAACAACACTCTTATGTAAGTTAAGTTATCGTCGACCTCCGCCCCGTCGTGTATTGTCACCCAGTAAATAATCTTTGGCTGGATTATGCTGCCGACTGTATCGAGTCCGGTCCCTGATCAGTTTTGCGCGTTTGATGGTTGGCTCCAACGATTCCGCGCCGGTATCATCCCGTTCTGATAGCAATTATACGTTAGCGAGAGGCACAAACAATGTCTAGAACGCTGACCTGATATCGTCCGCTTTCTACCATCACGATCATCCTCGTCCCGCTCAGGTCTGCCGGAGTATGATGGCGACAGAGCAGTCGATCCTTTGTCACTTATGCGATCCCGTAAGCTGCCCCCTACGTTCTGGACGGCATTCTCGGGAGGTACCGCTGCGTTATTCGTACTAGAACTTGAAAAATTACGTGGCGGGGAAGAGTTATGATGATCACGATGGCGATCACGTCCCGCGTTCGTTTCAGGTTTCCTGGCAGGATCTGAATTCGGAGTCGTGTGCATCGCTCGGGGCGCCGAAGGGGTCGATGGAGGTAGAACTTTCGTCAGAGATGATGGTGCCTCTGGCGGAGGTCGTTTGTCACTATTCTATGTAGAATAAATAATGGGCGTGCATCAGAAGGGAAAGGAACGTACTTTCTCTACGTTACCAGCAACATTACGGCCATCAGCGTCAGACGGTTCCCGGTCTCTCCTCCGAACTCTGTCGTATTCACGATCTTCGTATTCACGGCCCCTTTCCCTATCATGAGCGCCCTTGTCAGAACGTCTCACTCGGTCATGACCCTCCTTACGTGAACCACGCTGCTTTAGCGTTCGCTCAGCCTTGAAAGAAATGAGCACTACCATATACTGAAGGAAGCTAATCTTACCTCCTCCTCACCCCTCCTCCTTTTCCCAAGATTGTCATCATTTTGACTTCGACCTGGTCGTGTTGTTTCTGAAGGCGCTGGAGCAGTGGCGTTGGGACCACGAGTGTTGCTGTCACGGTCCTTCCGTTCACGGTCACGTTCCTTGTCCTCTCCACCTCTCCGATGACGATCGCGGTCTCTCTCCCTGTCACGATCACGATCTCTCTCTCTCTCCCTATCTCCCCTGTCTCTATCCCGGTCTTTGTCGCGCTCTCTCTCATGCCTATCGCGCCCTCTGTCTCGCTCGCGGTCACGATCTTTCTCTCTCTCTCCATCTTTGTCGCTATCACGTGTCGAGGTACGCTCCCGGACGGCTCGTTCACTGCGAGTATGCGTAATACTGTCGCGACGGGTAGGAGGGCCCGGTTCTCGTGCTTCACGGCTTTCCCTCTCGATCTTTTTCTCATCGCCGTCAGCTGGCCTTCTATCAGAACGGGTCCTGCTTGTCCGGCTATCAGCGCTAGAATTTCGGGTACCTGGCCCACTAGGTGGAGAGATAGAACGATGGCGGGGGGATGGCGCCGCTGACCCATTACGACTCCGAGATTCAACTGCGGGTCTGACATTTCTATCATCGGTGTTTTTTTCTGACCGAAGGATCGACTGCTTCGCAGTCTCTCTAAGCTCCTGGGCAGAAAGGGTTTGGCTGGGCACGGATGGAGGCGGCATTGTAGGCTGAGCTTCGGGTTTGTTGATCTTATCATCTCCTGCGCGATGACTTCGAGGAGACTGCGGGGGTTCCTTCCCAAGGGCTGGATTCGTGGTCGCCTGTCCTGCCTCCCTGACTACAGGGCGAGTAGAGAGTGGGAGATCAGTGGCAACAACGGGGCTGTCATGCCGCGACGGAGGTTGAGAACGTCGGGAAAGATTTACGTCCTCCTTGGATGGTGCAGGTCCTGTCGGCGTGGCGCGACCGGTTTGCGCACCCGATTTGCCGTGCGTATCAACGGCAGACGGTCGAGGGGATTCGTTGCCAGAGTCGCGTGCTACGCGTCTGACAACAGGAGGTCGTTTATCGCTGGAAAAAAAAAGAGGGCATTAACGAAGGGCGACTTCCCGCTGAAATAGTTTGTGACATACTGTTCCATGGTCAATTTAGTTGATGTTGGGTTACTTGTTGACTTCTCTGTCGAGCCATTGCTGACGTGGGCTCGTGGTGCGGAAGGTGTCGATGCCGTTTGAGAATTAGAACGTCTGATTTCACCACCATTGACTGCTGACTGGGCGCTCGGACCGGTCGGGGGAACAACACTTCGAGGTTTGTCTGGAGTAGCATTGTTTGTAGGCACCTTCATCGGTGCCGCTGTACCATTGGGCTATATCGAAACGATGTGAATGCCGATCTTGGTAAAAACAGAAGGGACATACCTTGCCAGCCGGCACTTTGGGTGGTGTCCAAAATGGCTCTCGCTTCTTCAGAGTTGCAGCGTAACTACCCGGGCATCAGAGAGTGACCACATCGCGAGAAGTCAAGATATGCTCTCACGCTCTGCCAAGAATCATCAAGTCTCCACGCTTCTCATTTTCAAGGAATTTCTCCATAGCATGGTTCAGCTTCACACCGCCATGAGTAGCAACTGTCGATAGAGGAAACACCGGCAGGATCTCCTTCAGGACGAGGATTGCGTTATACACATGCATGAACTCTCCAGTTTCTATGGAGTCGATGAAGGCCTGAAAATAACCTATTAGGCAGTTGTCAATCAGGGAAAAGAGTGGACTTACCCCAACCAACTTCATATGCCACTTTCTCAATAGTTTTTGGAACTCCGAGTGCGATATATGGCCGGTTTGACCAGGACGATTCTGAAAGCCCGGATGAATCAGAGTCTTTCCTTTCACTGTCGACCGGTTGTCCGATAACCAAGCTTGTTCATCGGAATGCCACTTGTAGAGGTCCGTCAAGATAGCATGAAGGAACCGACCTGTTCCACAGATGTAAGCAAACGCTGCCGCTGAATACAGCTAGTCATTACCATAATTACGCGCTTCGTATTCACTACAAGAGAAGAGGACAACCTTGACGTCATCGCTGAGTAGCTAAGGTCGGATCAACAACACGAAGAAGCGACAACGTGTTGCGGACTAACCAGATTATAGCAAACAATTGTTTGGAAGCCCGGAGTGCCTTGTGTATGCAAAAGTCTAATCATTTGGGCTGTATAATCAGCATCCATGGGAGATAACAAGCAACGCGGGTAAATGCAATGCTCTAGCATTGCTTCCACAAGAGCAAGATTTCGCCTGCTTGACACTATTGGGGACTAAGACAAACAAAGAGCACATTCGACAACATGAACTTACAGTGAGCAAACCAGTGCTGTTTTTCTTGAGCCAGGCGCTTCTGGGTGTATTCCCTGGATATGATCTGCTGCTTCAGCTCCCGATTCAGGGTATTTACCAGCTGGTTGTATCGATCCCGTTTCGAGCGATGAGCTGCTGCTGTCAGACGTTTCTGGCGATCCGCGGAACGATCTGCAGCCACATATCTGGAATCCTCCTGGTGACTGAGGGCTCGTAGTGCAGCGCCTTCTTCGTCATATTTAGCCATAGGTGGCGACAAATCATAAGTAGAGAGTTGCCAAAACGTCAGATAGAAACCAGGTCTGGCACTTTCATTCAACGTCTGTCATTGAATGAAAAATCTCACTTACCCAATGGTATTGATAGCACGTTCAGGGGCGATACCCTTCACGTCATCGAATAGCGCCGCTAGTTGGGGAACCCATGGGCTCTGTAAGGAAAGATAATATCAAGTCACAGAACAACAAGGAAAATGTATGACAAACCTCAGGTGCTACGGATGCAGGTGTTGGTTCAACTTCCATGACAGCTTCATCATTGCCAGACTCCACTTTGGATTCGTCGTTCGCCTCAGGAGGATTAGCAGAAACTACGGCAGGTGACGCAACCCGAGAGATTGCTGCCGATGGTTCGCGCTTTGCCGTAAGAGCAGCCTTCAACCGTTTCTCGGCTTCCTCGCTAGCAAGGCGATTTTGTTCATCCTTAGCTAATGCCGTTTTCTGCCGTCCCAGCCTCAATATACAGCTCAAAGGAGGAAAAGATGAATGACGAACCAGCATTGCATCATGAAGCACAGGCCTTAGAATCTGCATGCATATTGGAGCACAGATCCCATATTTCTCGCCTAGTTCACTAATGGGAGGTATTATCTTGTTTGCGTAGTCTTCAGCTGGTACAACAGACGGTGACGTCAAAAGCTCCAGATACTGAAGCAGCACACCATGAGTCTGAAGACAGTTTATAAGTATTGAACAATTCAGAAGAAGTATGCTATTTTAACGTACGGTATCGTATAAACTGGCCAGTGACTTCAGATGTGCATCGGGAGCTTTGTAGATCGACGACTGCCGCTGCTGAGCTACCTGTATCAAAAGCGGGAGAGCTAAGCCAGAATCCACCAAAGTCTTGCCAAGTCTGGATGGTCCCTTCAGACTAGCTTCAGCAGGATCAAGCCTTGCACCACGTGTCGCTGATGCAATAGCTTCTATGCGTAGCGCGGGACCTCCGGCCATTGCCGTTATCTGGGAGTCAGATAAGCTAGGCAACGGCTCTACGCCCGCCATTTTCCATATTAACTCTCGAAGGACCACGATTTCTGATGTCATCCCATTTTGAAGCTGATGCACAATATACCTCAAGACAGGAGTGAGATCGGCACTATAACGTCTGAATAACATTCCGGTGAATGACGCCAAGCCTATTGAAACAGTCAGCACACTTTATTCGAGTGCCATACTCCTCGTACGTACTTTGAAGCCAATCGCTGGTGTTAACGCCATCGTCCTTGACCCGCTCTTTCCTTTGATTGGAGAGAGCGTCAAGGATAATGAAAACCAACACGTCGAAGCCCATGTTAGTCACAAATCGCAGAGCCTGGATAACAACACTAGCCAGGTTGTCATAGGCCATGATTTGGTTCACCGCATTGATAAAGAAGATGCACGGGTTGGAGTGCGCAAGCTTCGCTACCGTTCCAGATAGCGAATCGATGGTGTTATGTGAAAGGCGACGTAAAATCCCTTTCGACTCCCTGTCAGCTTCAACCCGACGAACACCAAGTTCCGGATGGGAATCGTATATATGAGATTTCCACTCCCCATACAAACGCCACCGTGCTGTTGTTTCGTACTGTCGAATGATGTTCCAGACTTCAACGGTGCAAACCGCATTCCCCCGAATGAGTGTAAGAGCCGGTAGAAGATACATACGCAACACCCTGAACCAAAATACCCGTATCGGGTTCTCAGGGTCAGGCTCTCCTAGCGGCTTCTTGGTGATAGGGTCCATTTCAACCTAGAAATGGCGATTACTATGTCGGCGCAGAAAACGGGCAATAAGAGGGCCTCCCACCGTAGTCTGGAGCTGCGTCCTCCCCAGCCTTAGGAACTTCGTCAGGAAAATTGTATCACGAGAAACGTGTAAGCCAATGAAGCGCATCAGTGGCTCAATAACGTCCTTCAAATCATCCAGAGTAGAACATATGGGAACCTGTTCGGACCAGTCTGAGAAAAAGAAAACAAATTCTGTCGTAGCTGAACATGGTGGAGTGGGAGCCCACAGAGTCAGCACTTGTTTTCGTGGCGGCGGTTGGGTAACACCAGTTGTTCCATAACGGGTCCTAGGCTGCAGGAAACTTGGATTACGTTCCTTGGTGACCAAGATAGAATCATAGAGGGGCTGGATAGATAGCTTCATGATACAGATCATGAGATCAGCTATTTCAGGTTGTGCATCCACCATCCAAGGGAATTTCGACAATAACCAAAGTGCAGGCCTGATTGCGCCTACAGCCAATAGAGCTGCGATCATACCACTTTTCTGAGTATAGCGATCTTTGAATTCGTTCTCGTGCTTCTGTTCTGCAGGAGTGGAAGCCTTGGTTTTAGAGGACGAGGGTGTAGACTCCAGCGGGGCAGCCATTGCTAGCTGACTGACTTTTGCGGCGGCTATCCTGGATTTGATGTCGGCCAAATACGCTTCATGCGACCGCTCCAAATCTGCATCGGGGAGGGACAGCTATGACATCCGTCAGTATAGTGTTAACGATCGAGGTTAAAAGCTGACATGCGGGTACAGATCTTCCAGGGTAATGAAATTTTCGCGTATCAGGAGAGCCGACGTCAGATATAAATTTCTGGGCGTTGGCTCAGAAACATCAGGACCCTGAACAATCCATTCATTTCATTCAAAAGAGATTCACGAGACAGGTACGTACGGCGTAGTAGACGAATTTGAAACCTAGAACTTGGGCTAGTACAGAAGGTTTCTGGTCTGCCGGTGGTGTCTCGGAATTAGACCTTGGATTGGCCAATGAGAGGACTTCTTGAAGTGTTTTGCCTTTATACCGACTTTCTGACCCATCTACAGACATGGATGCCTCTCCAGAATGATTTCGATAAGAACCGGCCCATGGGGAAAATGAGAGCAGGGCGATGAAGAAAGTGTAGTGAGTGGCGAGATGGGTGCTCAGAACATCTAATATGATATCCAACGCGCGTATAGGATCCAGATCAAAGTAGCCAATAAGACTGATGATCTTTTCCCAAACCGGTCGCGCACGCTCCTCGATAGCAGACCAACGCTCGGTTGGTCGACCGGTGGAGGACGAATGAGCGGGGCCAAGGTTACTTGTAAGTTCAGTAGTGAGCTTGCTGTATCCCTCAGACTGCTCCCGGAGAAGATTGAACTTGTTCTGCTTGAAACTGGACAGGAAGACGTCTGTCATCCTGTCGCATACATTCGAAGAACCACGCACAATAATCCTGTCCTCGTTCGAATATCTCTTTTGTCCAATGTTGATTTGTCTGCGAATATCCCAACATTGGCCAGAATGGAGGAATCCAACCTTTCTCGAGCGATTGCGGGTGTGATGATGCCAACGTTCTAGGAGAGGCGTGTTCAGTCAGAACAAGGCATGTCATAGGTCGCGTGCAACTCACCATGAGCTGTTTAACGATAGATATTACCCTATCTTTATCAGCATCTGCATCCTGCTTGGCTTTCTTCGCCTTCAACAGCGCGGCAGACTTATCGACAGGTGATTCTTGGGTGCCACTTTTTGCTATTGTCGCCTTGGCGTCAGCCACGATTTCATCCAATTCTGTGTCAACAGTCCATATGATATCGACTATTTGCTCTTTGAAGAGGGCAGTATTGGATGAAGTAATTGTTGACGAGGAGGAAGAGGAAGGGAGAGAGTTAAGTACAGACTGGACAAAAGCAACGAAAGTCTCGGGTGACAGGTCTCCTTTACTAGTCCATGACGAGAGTGTCGAGAAAAGAAGCGTCTGATAGGCGGTGAAGACGTCGTCGAGGACGTTTGGATTTGGAGGGGCGGAGTGAAGTGGAACAAGGAATGCCCGACTGTATGCAAGTTATGTGGCGTCGTTGTAGAAGAAGGCGAAACGCACCATTCCGATTCACCTCCCTTCGACCACCTGGACAGATAGGTGTTAACAACAGTAACACCATTCATTGCCCCGAAATGGAGTATTCCAAGGATTCTGGTAAAGGAACGGGTCAAAGAGAAATGTGCACGAATGTTATGTTGATGCTTGTTGTCCACGGAGCTTCGCCGGCATATCGGCCGCGACATGACCCCCGACAATACTCTTATTGCGTTACCGACCAACGAAGACTCCAGCCATCTATCTTGTTCGCCCATGCTGCTACTCTCATTGTTGTTTATGGTCAGGACGCCGTCCAATTCAGCCTTGACGCTGTATTTATCTTCTGTGACAATCTGGACCTGCAATTCTCCTTCTACTCCCAAAGATCCAAGAGGTATAGCCTCTAGCTTCATCATATTCTACTTTGGCCTGCAACGAGATTGATGGCGAGAAAGTATTCTGTCTCCAAAGATGAAGCTCTCTCGCTTTCCGTGATCGTACCAACGACTTTGGATGGCTTACAGCCGTTTACATACGGGTTGGGCCATCAAAGCCACTCAGAGATCCCCGACATAGCCTTAAATTTCCATAAACTCCAAACCTCAAAGTTCAGGTCGCTCTTTCCACTTGCAAAGAAGCGCGTTACTGTCAAGCTGTATTTAAATGGCTGTAAACTATATCTAACTCGATCTTGGAGTGGTGGTAATCGTTTTTGTACTAGCTACAGCAATTTGTATACACGCTGGCCTCGTGAGTAAAACGACGGACCTCTTAAGACGTAGTCCGTTCTCCAACTGTTTTCGCTTTGAGGGATGAGCCGGCTGGCCATTGATTCAAAGGAGAGAACACAGGTTTGTTGGAGGCAAGTGCTCCTTGATGGGGCTTTGCACCCTCGAGTTCTAACCGAACTTTCTCCAGACTCCAGCAGAGGAGTATCTACATCGGTGACACTGCTACTGACATTTCGAGTCCGTCTTTGCTGACAAAGGTGAAGAGAGGGTAAAGAAAATGTGTCCGGCCAGACCAGCTCCTCATCAGAGTCGCTAGATTCGAGAAAAGCATCCTCTCCGGAGACAGAACGCTTCTCGTTCATCAGTCTCGTTACATACCATGGTAGAATATGATGGAGCTAGAATTTTTATAAGTCCAGCTCGTCATAAGTAAATGTACTATCAAGACTGAAATGTACTGCATCCTGACCCAAGATGACATGAGGAATAGTAGCATGGGTGAGCAACAGAGACGGAGACGGCTGGAGGCTTTGGTACGGTACATCGCTTCTGTCTTAGAGTGAGAGGGGAGAAGAATGTTATTTTAAGATGCAACAGTGCGAAACAAAATAAACCTTGACGTCGCCTAACTTGTCCGACCTTCGGTTGCGAGTTGAGGGGATGGTAAAGCTTGTTTTTCAGCAAGGAAATATATTATACAACCGATCTATAATAATATAAATACTTAGTGAAAAATCAAAAGCAGAAACTGTTATTCGTTAAGCAAGAAGCCAGGAGGTACCCACTGCACGGCATATGAATCGATCATAAGCCGTGCGTATCCTCTATGTAACAGCCTTGTCAGTTCTTTGTTCCGAACGACCTCAAATCCATCCATCCTATTCTATCCCAATGCGGAAGAAGCGCGGTGGAAGCTGACGTCCTAATAGCGCGCGATCGCACGCGTTGAGGGGCCCAATCGCGACTTTTAAATCAATACAGTCCGTACAGGCCTGTAAGAGATGGAGGCATCCACGGCTCATCTTCCACCTCAACGACAAATTCATCAAGGAACTTTGTCCGATTCATTCTGAGAAATTTGTGCAATCCCTCTTGTACCGAAGGAGAGAAATCGGAGTTGGAGACGGCATCAAGGAGAGGTTGCAGGCCCACTGTGAAGCCGACGTGGATATTTTCTGGAAAGGATTGCCTGTTGAGAAAGATGCTGGCCTAGGTGTAATTGATGCTTACCAGGTGTATCGGGTTCCGAATACTCAGAAACCAATTGGGCTATATACTCTGGAGCCCAAGGGTAATCTTCTTCGAGGAACACACGCCATCTCGAAATGAGACCCTCAGAAATGGGTATACGGCGTCCCGCAGATATTGGGAGCTTCCATCTGTCCACTTCTGCTTGTGTTACTTCAATTCTTCCAACTTCCAGGGCGTGTAACGTCTTCTCGGCTAAGGAACATGAGTAATTAACCAGACAGACGCGGACTAGACTCACTGGATTCTCGATACACATCTCCCTTCTTCAACACTCTGTAGCACATCATGTCCGTCTCATTCAGTGGCGCTGGTGACTTGGCATTGAACACGGCTTGCATTAACAGCAGCTCCCAAAAGTCTTTGAGGATGGTATATCCTACTGTTTTGATAATTCTACGTATGAATATGGAGGTTGGTGAAGGAAATGGGGCCTCTGATTGTGGGTCCTTGGTTCTGATGGTAATGCCACTATACGTATTTTCCTACAGGCCAGAGGATGATAAGCAGCAGAGCCGAGGGGTGATGAGGGGACGTACCGCGAATATGTGCATAGACTGCATGTTGATTTATCTCCCTCCACAGTAATGGTATTGAACGCGATTTTGGCGATTTACCAGTCTTGCTACAGCGGTTCAACGTCCTCCTTTGGTCTGGTCGACGTGACTTGAAAGTGCAGGAAACGAAAAGAAGACACGTGACGTCATACTGATTTGTATCGATGAGGATATGTTTTTCTTTCGCCTTCCATGACAGAAATTACGAATATCGCTGGACCGCAACCTCTGCACAGAAATGTTGCAGAAAAGCTGGCGGAGCTGGATTCTGTTCCGCTTTTTATGAAAAGTTTACCTGAAGACACGGACGATGTAGCGATCACGGCACTCCAAGAGCTAGCTTACGACGGAACTCCGGATGGTGGGTGAGAATCCGCCGTTCATCTTCCGTCTTCACGTACTTACTGCCATGCAGAGCAAGCACAGAACTTTAAAGAACAAGGAAATGAGTACTTTAAGGGCAAACGATATCGCGAAGCGCTCGGATTCTATAGTCAAGGGGTCAATGCAAAGCCGACAGACGTTGCCCTTCAGGAAGCATTACTTTGCAATCGCGCGGCTTGTAATTTAGAACTTCGTAGGTGCCAAGAGACTTTTTTATCACCACCAACTAAACAAGAACAGAGAATTATGGCACTGTGCTAAAGGACTGCTCCAAAGCCCTTACCCTTAATCCCAAATCATCCAAGGCATACTATCGCTCAGCGATGGCCCTGGTATCGCTACAACGTGTAGATGAGGCAATAGACTGTTGCACACGCTGCCTGGAGTATGATGCCGATAACAGTGGTGTTCGCGGAGTTTTAGAACGAACGACCAGGATCAAAGCAGAAAAGGAGAGAAAGGAGAAAGAGCGCCAGGAGAGATTGCGAAAGGAACAGGAAGCACAGCGCAAAATTAACGCCGCGTTCAAAGTGAGTGATCTTGTACGAGTAGCGCGTATCTGAAACCTACTCTTCCGTTTCAAGGAACGAAATATTGTAGTGGTGCCTAAGCCTGACGGTTCACAAAATCCGTACGCGCCGCACTTTGACCCAGAGGACCCGACAGGGAAGGCGCTCATTATCCCTGTCTTTTTCCTCTATCCCCAATATGCAGCGTCAGATATCATACCTGAATTTGTTGAGGATACCCCATTTGCCGAGCATTTAAAAGCAATGTTTCCGCCCAAGGCGGCCCCTCCAGAATGGGATCTTAACGGAGAATATGTGGATGGCCAGGTAGTGATCTACGCAATGACAAGGCGGAAGCGGTTACTCAAGGTAGGGAAAAAGATGACATTAAAAGATGTTTGCAGAGCCTCAAAAGCAAAGGAGGGCGAAGCGATAGACGGACTGGAACTGAAGGATGGATGTTTGACATTTGTTCTACTGCCAAAGGGCGATGTTGAAAAACGTTGGGTAGATGAATATAAGAAGAGCAGATAGCTTGTGTGCTCCGTCCGATATCTAGTTCTCGGATACTAAGAGGGACCCACGTTGCCTGCGACACAAAAATTGCGAATCCGGAAGAAGATAACGGGTGCAGGAAAAGGAAACTTCAAGGATAACCCTTCTCGGAAGACTCACTACAATCATAATGGTGCTACGCCACCATACCTAGCGATTGTCCTATGCTTGAGAAAATGCCACAGCGCCCACGCTGTCCAAGGATGCTGACCGTTATCGGTCACATGCTCTTTCATTTCAGCCGGGCAAAGTGGCACCCAAAATAGAACCTGCCGGCCCAGCTTCCGGAGGGTGCCGAACCTGTGGCCGTGCCATATCGCTGCTCACTCGCCCTCCAGTTCATCTTTCGTCGTCGTCAGGCTCGGTGAGTACTTTCTGCCCTTTTTATGCCGTGAATGGGACCATGGATGGTACATCTATGATTCTGCGTGGTTAAGTGCTGAACGAGTGGTCGCAATTGGCTGGATGGCGGATTTTTCGAATGGATGTTGACCAAGGACGCAAATTTTTTAGGGCCATTCAAGATGTCCGTCACCACCAAAATCCTTCGTACCGCCAATGCGCCCAGCGCACCTCCAGATGAAATGGAAACAAGCGTCGCGCAAGCCCTGCTTGACCTCGAAAACAACGTTCCCGAGCTCAAGGCTGAGTTGCGGCCTCTTCAAATCTCTGCCGTCCGTGAAGTCGATGTTAGGGGAGGCAAGAAGGCGATAGTTATCTTCGTTCCTGTTCCCCAGTTGAAGGCATTCCACAAGGTGCAGCAGAGGTGCGTAGCTTCAGGCGTTTTCGGTTTTTCTGATTGCTCAAACATGTTTCATGCAGGCTCACTCGGGAGTTGGAAAAGAAATTTTCTGACCGTCATGTCGTATTTGTCGCGCAGCGCCGGATGTTGCGGAAGCCAACCCGTACATCCCGCGTCAAGCAAAAGCGCCCTCGCAGCCGTACTTTGACGAACGTCCATGAAAGGATACTTGAGGACCTGGTGTTCCCCACGGAGATTGTGGGCAAGCGGACCCGCGTTGCCGTGGACGGCTCAAAGCTTTTGAAAGTGTAAATGTTTTTGTTCCGTTGTTATTGCGTTCGCTCATGTCCCGATGTCGGATTAGCTACCTTGACTCCAAGGACGCCAATGTCTTGGAATACAAGCTTGACTCGTTCTCATCGGTTTATCGTCGCTTGACCGGCAAAGATGTCGTCTTTGAGTTTCCCGTAGTGGCGCAGGAGTAGATGAATATGGCGTGCTGTTATTGACACTATTCCATGAAAAATACATTATACTTTTCGCGGCTCGGTAGCAGAGTATATATAAGTGGGTATCAATGCATGGGCGCTGCCTGGAAGCGCTATTGCGGAAATTGACAGCAAGATCCGCAGATTCCAAGACCAAGAGACTAAGAGATACGAATTAGGTAGCACGTGGGTGGTTGGCATAGCTGTTCAGGGGCGAGCAACTGAGATTTCCATTTTCTTCTCCAGCTTCGTCTTCGTCTCGTCCTTCCTTTATCCCTCTGCCCTTGCGGCCGCTGGGCCCATCTTCTATCCCACTTTTTCAGCTCCATCTCGTCTGCATTCTTTCAGGGCTCCGACGCTGCCCAGAGGATAAGGTCTTGGGCCAATGATGGAACAATATCCTCGTAGGGATCCCTACTCGAGATCAAGGTATGAACAGGGCATTGACAGCAAGATTGTCATCATGGGAAACTCTGGTACGTTTTCCATGTCCCTGCGTGTATCCTTTCCTTTCTGATATTGCCACAGGGGTCGGTAAAACCAGTCTGCTCCAACGATATACCCAAAACAAGTTTGATCCCAAGAACACGACTTCCACGAGCGGTGCATTCTTCGTAACGAAAAAGGTGCATGTAAATGGGCTGAAGGTGCGTCTGCAGCTGTGGGACACAGCGGGTCAGGAGAGATTTCGCAGCATGGTACGTCAGTATTGCTGGACGCGACGACATTGGTTTCTAATGGCATTTGTACCCTGCTAGGCACCCATGTATTATCGAGGTTCGTGTATGCTACTGTCTGGACAATCCTGTTACTGACGCTCATATAGGCGCCAACGCGGCCCTTCTCTTGTACGACATAACCAATGCTTCAACTTTCAATGACATCCGGGGTTGGCTAGAAGGCGCGCCATCTTTTTTCGTCCTTCCTCTCTCCCGCTAATTGAGTATTTCTTTGTAGAGCTGAAGAAGAACTGTTCGCCGGAGCTGATAATATATATCGTTGGTTCTAAGGCGGATTTACATCGCCATCGGCAGGTTACTTCGGACTTTGCACGTCTGTCTCTGCACAACTGGTTTCCGCCACCCCGGCCACCGCCTCCGCCTCCTCCGCCTCCTCAACCGTCGACTTTATCCTATATTCGGCCCCGATTTACCTCCTTTCCAGGCATCCGCCCGCCCCCAGCAACACCCATTAACCAAACACCACCTGAAACGCCGGCGTATCTTGACTTAACTTCGGCTCGCTCTTCGAGTCTTCATCGTACCAGAACTACCAGTTCAAGAACATCTGGACCACCCTCATCAATTGCCCGCTCCACCTCAAACGCTACCGCCACTCGACCGCAACCTTCCCGTTTTGGTTCTCACTTTGGATTCGCTGCCGGCGGCTGGAATGAAGTAACTGATTCTAGTAACAGCAACAGCATTGAGGAGGACGATGAGGGCGCTGCCGAGGAAGAAGAAGAAGAGTGGGGGCTGAGCAAGGGCATGGAGCTCTTCGAAGTTTCTGCGAAAGACAATCTCGGTAAGCTGTCTTCGGGTTCTAGCAACTTGCGCAGATTTCTGACTCCATGCTGTCGCTGTCAACAGGCATACAAAGCCTCTTTGACCATTTGATTGCTGCTATCATCCGAATGAAGGATCGAATAGAAGAAGAGAATCAACTTAAGAGGCGGGATAGCGTCTTCCTTTCAGCGACGCCCACATGGAGCGCTCAAGCTGAAGAGGAAGAAGCTCGTGAGAAAGCTGAACAAGCCACAGGGAGTTGGAGCTGTTGTTAGTAGCTGGCGCAGGCCGTCTCACCGTATATCCATCCATCGTCGTTCGTTGCTCTATGATTTTTCTTTTCTTTTCCTCTTGATGACCTTGCATTTCCGTCAGCAAACCCACCGTCTTTGCGTTATCTCTCCTCTTTCCTTACTACCACATGTGCCACGCTTTCCTACCATCTCATGATCATCCGTCTCGCTCCCATTTCCCTGGTATTGCTACCCGCTCTCTTATTTTTCTGAGCTTTTGAGTTATTATACATTATATCCTTACACTGCTACATAAGTACGTACACACATGCCCATGTCCATGGTTAGGGAATTCCTCTGGAATAACGACGAGTGATCGATCAATAATCAATAAATATTGACTGTGACCGCTGTACAGCCCTTGACAAGTGACACTGATCACTGACCATCCATGGCTCTGGTGCCTCCCGATCCTGCTGCGAACGAGGGCCCGGTAGATCTCAGCGTCTGTACTGCTGCACACTGTTTCCATGCATTCGACGCCCTGTTCTGCGCTCTGACCCCTTCAGCTGCTCCGATAGCGCCAGAGTTTCCGGATGACAAGTAGTGCGAAGTCTTTCTAGCTGCTTATCAATAGAGCGTACACCATCTAACCGAGTTACCACGTAGTCCACTCTTTGTAACTTGGAACATTCATCGCCCAGGTCGCCGTGCAAGACTCAGAGGCTGCATCGGCAACTTTGAAGCACTCTCTCTCCACGACGGGCTCGCTGAATATGCGCTTATCAGTGCTTTCAAGGATTACAGATTCAGACGGATCGAAAAATCTGAACTGGACAGCTTGGAATGCATGTATGTATTGTATTATATGCGCTGTCACTACGAGTCTATTCTGACACTCCATCCCCCAGGATATCACTCCTTACTGATTTTGAGGATGCAGACTCGTACCTCGATTGGACCATCGGTGTTCATGGGATTTATATCACCTTTCCCCATCCTTCTTTATTGCCCACAGCGTCTGGAACGCCGTCCCCCATGTCGTCTTACCCTTACCTGCCTCGACTTACCTCGAAACATTCCTTCTCTGCCACCTACCTGCCCGACGTCATTCCTGAGCAAGGTTGGGATAGGATTGAAGCCGTGGATAGTGCCATCCACAAGGCTGGATGGAATGGGTCTATTACTGAGGACTTGAGAAGAAGTGTCAAGCTCAGGAGGTACCAGAGCAGATTGCATACAGTCGGGTGGGACGAGTACATCACATGGAGGACTGAACACGAGGCGTCCAAGGCGTGACTGTTTGAACTTCTGTCTTTTAATTAGAACATACCTACACAAATGAACTGTACTATAGCCAGTCGCTCTCTCGCCAACCACCGCTGTTATCGCTGTAGTGTTCCAGCTCCTGAAGGTATTTCCCCGCTTCTTCATCCGGCAGAGCCAGAGAACGATGCATTCGCTGCAACCGATTGTCCGGTCCCCCCCATGGCCCGTGAAACCTTTCCACCATCTCGGTCCACACCTGTCGCATACACGCTAAATCTCGACCCGAAACTTTGTTAAAGGCGACCATGAGCCAATAGATAGTGGTCTTCGTAGGAACGTCGTCACCAGGCATAATGATGAAGGTGTCATATATCGACTGCAGCGCATCGAAGGACCACGGACGTTTTTGTTGCAGTCGAGACGCCAGCCCATCTAGCATGTGATCCCCATGTCGCGCGAAACCGAGGAAGAAGGCGCGGTAAATAGCATGAGTGGCGTTGTACGGCACCGGCTTCAACATCCCATCAGTGTTAGGCTGAAGAACTGCACCAACTTCGACGTTATCCGTGGTCATCATGTCGTAGAAAGTATCTAATGCCGCATCCAGATCCCCGTTATAAGACATGCACTGAACCATCGACGTAAACGTTATCTTGTTCGGCCGCATTCCTTCAGGTATGAGTATCGTTTCCTCCTCCTGTAGCTTTTGTTTCAAAGACGCAATCTCCTCGACATTCGGCTCAGGAGATATTGAGTGTCGGAGAATGCGATAGATATCTCTGACAATATCGAGACGTCTGTGCGCAAAAGCCCACATACAAGAATTAACGCCATCGATGCCAAGTTCTAGCCCTCTAGAATGCATCTGAATCAGGGTGCCTCGAATGCCATTTAGATCTCTGGTGGAAGTATAGTATGCCATGAGGCAGAGATGGGTTATTCGATTTGGAGAAAGCCCCGACGATCGTAAGAGCGAGATTGCTTGGCGCAATGCATGACCTTGCAAGGTCTTTGCAGCGATATTAAGAAGGGTGGTGTATGTGATGATATCAGGCTGGATGGGCTCACCCAAACCCGACATGACACGGTACTCGCTAGGGGAGTACGTCGCGCCCGGGGGCTTTCCAGTGATCATGTCTGTGAAAACGTCGAGAGCCAACTTGAAATCCTCCATCCTTGGCTTCCGCAATCCCTTTCCTGCACAATCTATGAGCGCGTTCCAATGAAAGACTTGGAGTTGTCCACCGGACCGATATATGAGGTACATGACGGAGAGCAGTCGAAGGAAGAGTGTTCGATTTTTTGGTTTGCTGCGAGACAGCAGGCGACAAAGTCGGTGGAGGTTCGGAAACGGGATTGGGATATTTTCCGGGAAGCTCTCGGGAGCAGGAAGCTTCAACAGCTGGGTGTAGGATGCCCACGCTTCTGTCTCTGACTGGGTAGACGCCAAAACATGGAGGTGATGGTAGTACGGAATGTCGGGATTTGGAGGAGTAATGTCCTGGCCTTCTCCTCCATCCGCCTCGTCTTCGGAAGCACTGTGTGGGAAGTTGCACCTCGGGTGAGACATAACTTTTTTCTTGATTCCCCATTGAAGAGGCTTCAGAGGAAGCCGACGATATGGCGGCGCAGGATATGAAGGAGGATCCCGGACAAGCCGTTCCATCTGTGCCACGTATTCGCCCTGGCTGTCGTTCGTGACGGAGCGACTCCCACCCTTCCCGGGGGTCGTGGAGCGCTCGAGCCGAGCCTGGCTTGCATATTTTCGGGAGACCTTTTTGCGCTCCTGCGCGTCTACGATGATTTCGACATTGCGGTCGGTTGGCCGTACGAAAGAGCGAATCTGGGTCCAACCGAACACAAGGGGGATATAACCAAGGTAACATATTCGAAGAGCTCGACGAGATGACGGTAGTGTAGAGCTCAGCGAAGACGCTTTCAGCATATATAAAGTCACGAAGAAATGCAGTCATCCTACAGGTTTCTGTCAGACAGTGAACGACGCGTACAGATGCAAGGTAACGAACCGAGACTTGCACTCTGAGGACGGCGTAACGGGGACTGGGTCTGCCCCCCGGGCGAGCCTTGATTCTGTCTTCTCCAGCGACGCGTAGTTGAGTCCCAACAATTTTTGAAGTTGCTCATGTTTGTCTCACGGCCTATTCCCGGCTCAGAGCGACCAATGGTGTCGATGCAATTATTTCACAAAATTCTCAGTCTCCCAGGTTCATTGCAGATATCATGACGCATAGCGTATATAACGGTGTAATGGCATATCCTAACGTATGACAAACTACAATCATGCACGGGCCTTGAGTGTTCCGAGGAACGCAGCCTTTTCTTCGAATGTTTGGAATGAACCGTGCTGCGAAAATCGAACAAGTGAATATGAGGCATGGCACAATGAGAAATTGGACATACACCGAATTTCGAGGAAGTGTCGATGAATTTGAGTTGGACCTTCTCCAAATCCCGACGAGAAGTGTGAACCATCAACGACTTGCGCAGAGTGATCACACGCTTCTTCGTTCCAGGAATTGAGCCCTTGAGCATCAAGAAGTCATTCTTCACAATACCGTAATGAGGGAATCCGCCCATAGGTGTGATGGTCTTCTGAGTGATATCGTGCTCAGTAGAGGCGTTCTTCTCATCATCACCAGCACCAATGCGGTAGATCTTCTTGTTGATCTCCGTTCGGTGGTGGTAACCATCTAACAGAAAAGTCAGAACAAAAAAGACAGTAAGGGAAATAATGTGTACGCACTTTGACCAGCACGAGCAACTGAGAACATGACCTTAGAAGGATGCCATGCTCCAATACAAGCAACCTTGCGGAGACCCTTGTGCGTCTTTCGTGGCAGCTTCTTCGTTCCCCAACGGTGAGTAACACCCTCAAATCCATGACCCTTGGTCACAGCAATCACATCAATACACTCGTCTTGCTCGAAAACGGACGAAACGTCAATGGGCTTCTCAAACAAACCATGGGCAAAGTCGACTTTGTCCGAGACAGAGCCACCATTGACCTGGATCTCCATAAGATGGGCCTTCTTCTGACTGAGACCCGTCTTCCTGATCTGTGTGTGGGCGAGAACACGAACGACAGTGCAGTACTTGCGGATACGCTCGAGTTCACGGGCTGTGGATTTGCCATTGTCCTCGGCGTGCTTCTTGGCGTACCGGGTGAAGGCCTTCTTCTTCGAGCGGTACCAGTTTTTGTAGAAGCGACGCTTGACTTCGTCTGACAAGTGGGATGACCAGACGGTGGTGAGGGTACGGAGGCCACGAGGAGTTTCGACGTATCCAACGACACCAACAGCAATCATTGGTGGTGTCTCGATAATGGTGACGGCCTCGACAACTTCCTTCTTGTGCATCTCTAAAGATATCCATTGAGTACGTGTATATGGAAAAAGAGCGGGAGAGCATACTGGAGCCAGGACGGTCGAGGTCACGGACGACATGGGTCATACCAGCCTTGTATCCCATAATGGCGGTCAAGTGGACACGCTTCCTGTGATCATCCTGAAGCCAAGTTAAAAAGTGTTCCTTGAAAACCTAAAACAAACATTTCTGCACGAACCTTGGGAAAAGACTTGACCTTACCGCGATGACGAGCAGCACGTTTTCTTGGAAGGAAACCAAGAGAACCGTGGCGGGGAGCCTCGTACTGCAAATTCCGTACTTTCAGTGCACCACTTAAATTTCGAGCCAGGGTCTACTAACCTTACGGTGACTGGAACAGGAGATCAACAACTAACCTATACAGAACAGAGAACTGGCTGTACTCACCTCATCTTGAGGGGGGAGGGGCGGGGGACGGGAACAATTTCGTGCAGCAGAACTAAAATTCTACGATACGATGCCTCGGGAAACTCCGGTGAATCTGTACAGTTGTCACAGTGGCTGAGGATCACAAGTGACATCTGTAAAAGACAGTTTCCTCTCACGGTTATAGTCCATTTGCGTTCGGCAGATCCTATCCCCCATATTTTTAAAAGAGTATAATATACTTATAGGAAGATAGAATAAAATTCAAGTACATATAAATGTTTGCAATGTATAATGCGCGCGCGCATAGCTCTCGCTTTAGACTGCTGTAAATGAGTATCATTGATGATCAACTGGTGTTCATGTACATATTATCATAGCTGATATAGAAACCTTGGACTGACGTCCAGTGTTTTGTCACTGGTCAATAAGATTTTACAATATGAGTCAAATGCATCCATTTCATGCTACTGTTGCAGTGTATTACCAAGAGGAGGCAAAAGATTACATTGAACTTAACTTGTTGACCCATCGATTCCTAGCCAAGCACCTGCACGGAAAGGTGGATCTGGGCTGCTCAAGAAAGCGTCTGTTACCTCAGCCCCAGCAGAACTTAAGCAAGATAGGAACGAGCATCCGATGCACACAGCCACTTCATTGCCATATGATCGACATAGCCACCTCGGCCAGTCGCTAGCGATGCAGCTGATATGATGAAGCTCATTTCACAACTCCAACAGCCTGAGAATATTTGGGAGAAGGACTTACAGCTCGACCACCACCACCCTCAGTGTGATGCCCTAATGGAAATCCCGTCATTTTCCCCGGAAGAAGGGAACATAATCGCAAAGCTAATTCCTCGAGACGCCCAGTTTCTCGGTGCAGAGGCAGCTGTGGACGCTTGTGAACCGGCCCGATTACCGCCAGAGGTTCTAGCGAGAATATGGGACATTGCCGACGAAGGAGCAAAGGGCCACCTTACACTGAATGAAGTTGGGGTGGCTGCCCGTCTTATTGGCTGGGCACAACGGGGCTTTGCGGTACAGGCAAATTTAGTCCATCGACGTGGGTTCGAGCGGCGTCTCTCTCTGCGATTATCAAACTCATCTATTTCTTGTTCGCAGCGGGTCCATTAGCAATCTTGCATAACAAGCTTGATCTTACGGCCGCTTCCGAGACAGTGTCCTCCACACATCTACCAACACTTTCCTCGGAGGACAAGGCTCGACATAAGATCATATTCAACGACAGTGGGCCCGAAAATGGTATTCTTGATGGTGCGTCCGGATGCAATCACGTTTTCATATAGTAGCAATCAGTTGTGTAGGTGTCAAAGTGTGGGATATCATACTCAAGTCGAGGCTTCCTATGGACACTCTGACCAAAATATGGTACGTGCGCGGCGCTACAGAGTGTATGTCTCCGTTGACAATTTCTCGTAATAGGGATCTTGTCGACGTTCGACGATGTGGGGCGCTGAACGTCACAGAATTCAACCTCGTTATGTATCTTATTCACGGACTGTTGGTTCACCGCTTTGCAGTTGTACCGGCGTCGCTACCTTCCCACATCCGTACACAGGCCGAACCAGATCAAGAATATGCTGTCCCTTCTCCTCAAAGTGGTGCCGCATCCGTCACCGCCACACATGCGGATGCCTTCCAGGGCAAACTCAACTTGAGAAATGCTTTCACAGGTGATTTCCACTTCATCCGGGCCAGTGCAAATTTAGAAGCATGGCATCTCCCTGATGTGGTCAGAAAGCATTCCAACTTCTACTTTGATGCGTTGAATCAGCAATCCAAGGAATTTATTGAAGGGGACCAAGCTGTTTCATTTTTACTGCTCTCCAAACTTCCTTCCACTGATTTAGAACACATTTGGTACCTTTTTGTCTTTTTTTTTAATGATCTCATGCTGATATATCGCAGGAACCTGATAGACTCTACTTCCAAGGGACATCTCACTCGTGATGACTTCGCACTGGTCATGTTTCTTGTCTACAAACAACTGGCGGGCGTTGAAATACCAAGAACCCTCCCCTCCTCGTCCAGGATCTCTTCCATAGTTTCCCCTCTTGCTAGTCCGATACCTACGCTAACAAGTAAGACCCACCCAGTCTGTCTAAACCCGCAACATCTCTGATCGCAATACAGGGCCCAATGTAAAGAGGTCGCCACTTGCATCTCCAGAAGAGAAGCCATTAATACCCCGCGATTCTCTTAACGAAACTGAAAGTCTGCAGCAGCAGCTAACATCCCTGACCCAGCTTCGTTTGACCGAACGAAGCACGTTACGCTCCCAAATCCATGAGTTACAGGTTTTCAAAGATGACTTGTTGACCGAAAATAGTGAACTACGCCTCTCGCTGCGAACTATGGATGATTCACTGAAGCGTTCAGTCTCGTACTACGGTGACAGGGCAAATGCTTCAGACACCGAGAACACGAACCTTAAGAAGGAAATTCGGCTCATGGAGAATACGATATCGCAGCTGACCGCTTCGCATCAATCAGCTATGGAGGATCTCACTCACGCAAACCAGTTTCTTCATACGGAGGTTGACAGACTATCTGACCAACTGGAGGTCACCAACACTGAGCAGGCTGTGCAGAAAATGGTCAACGAGGAGCTTTCGGATGAGCTTGACCGCCTCCGTGTACAGATACGGGAATTTCGCGACTCGACAACACTATTACCACTGTCCGGTGGAGACGAGGAGCTACAGACATTGATCAATGAAGATCTTGCTAAGGAAAATTCCACGCTACGAGGACAAGTGCAGGAACTTGGGGAGACATTGCGAGAGCTCCAAACAGCGAACGCCAATTCAGTCTCGAGGGAACAAATGGATGAAGTTTCCCGTCTGAATAGGCGTTTGACTCGTCGGATACGACAGTCTGAGACTCAGGACGGGGAGCTACAAAGAGAGCTAGAAAGGTTACGGGCCGATAATCATCGCTTGAGCGTGGTACGTGTCACTACGGAGGAGGCGCCGCCTGCGTATGACGACATTTAGGGCTACATGTTTTTTATTTTTTTTAATACCCCTGCGCTTTCCTTCGTTATAAAAGGTTCGACGGATCATTGTGCTGCCTACGAGGGATTATCGCTCCAGATCCCCGATAAATATTACAGTTCGTCGTCTGTACATAACATACAGCACTGGGAAAAAGACGTGAGTAATTCTAGGCCATTGGTACTGCGATTCTAGTAATAAACATTGCCATCCCAGAGGAATCCGGGCAAAATGAATCCTATTCCAGATTGAGATCGAATATAAACAGTTACAGCCGTTTGCATACAGCTTGACAGTAACGCGCTTCTTCTGCGAGTGGAGAGAGCGATTTGAACTTTGTCATAAGCAAAGTCCAAGCCTTCTTTCATCAGTCACAAAACCATCGCAGACTGTCAACCTGTATGCAAACGGCTATAATTACCGCTGGTAACTCACGATATCCTTTTCAAGCCTCAGAACCGACCACAGTTACTTTAGCAACAATACACTTCAACTGGGTCGTCCGTGATGTCAGCCGGAGTGTTCATGTTGCGAATCAAAAATTTTCCCAACACCTATATCTCGTAAACCCGTTGAGCTATTGTCGGAAAATTGGTACTCACTAAAATATCTCCTGTCTTGAGAGCAAAATTGCTTTCGATTCTGACGTCATTTACGAAGGTACCGAAGGGGGAGTCCAGGTCTCGAATATATATCTACAACCGTCACAAATTAGAACGCGGATGGGAAATTTTTTCGATGCATACACGACCGTTTTCTAGCCAAACTTCAGCATGATTGACACTCAGAGTGAGAGGAGAATCTGAGGTCTGGGACTTTGGTGCAAAATACCCATTGGTAGAGCCGGCTTTGCGGGTGGTAGCGCTGCCTTCTACAGCGCCTAAAAGTACTTTGACTTTCCCAGCCATAGAAATTTGTTTCGTCTGGAAAGGAAAGCCTCCAGAGACGGATGTGAGGTTGAGCACGGGAGAAGAACTCATGGTGCTAGGGATGTTGCCTGGGTACTTATGAACAGGAGAAACCCTCGATGCCGCCTATATATGGACCCCACGGGATTCGTAAGAAAACCGAGAAAGATCCCGCTTTCAACTCGGTCGCTTTTGTCTGTTACTTCAGATACATTTGTAACCGAAGCAACTTGAAGGGTGAGCGGGAAGTGAAAGACGACGTGTTGGAATAGTGCGACGTAGCGGCTGTCAGCATTAAGATACATATTATGGTTCGTGGTTCCCACTGGCAGAACTCGTTCCTGGCAGGGGTTCCTCTCTAGCACCCTTAGAATCGCTGGTGTCCTTCGAGAATTCAGGTCCAACGTAAGTCAGTTAAGTGTGCTCCCTGTGGCTTCCCAAATTAATTCAGGGGTGTTAATGTCCATCATAAATCAGAGAAAATATGGAATTCGAAAGCTCGATGGTGAGCAGTCGACCTTGACACTCACTGGACACCCTCCAGAAAATGTCGGGAAATGGTCGCGGTTGGGCGGGTCGATGGTCAAGCGTTCGGAGCGGAGGCTTATATAACAATTACTCCAGATTCAGCCGATCCGAGGCATAGACATTGCAGAGACAGAACCTGTTTTCGAATAGCAAAGGACACAGAAGACAGAATCCTGACACGCGCCACGCAGTATTAGTGGTTCATGATCGGCGTTAATAAGGGACGACATCACTTACAATAATCGTACAATTATTTAAATTATTTCAGCGAGGACGGATTCAGTGTTATTGTAGAAGCTATCGCATCAACTACGACACCAGTCAACCGGTAGCTTTAGAAGATGCAGAAGTGGCAAAAAATGCTTAAGTGCACATTATTATCATAAGCGGAGAGTGGCGTGGTGAACTTGTGGCGGAAGTACTACTCAACTTATACTATGTCAACGGGAAGCACAACCTCTTCAAATTCTGTTTCATGATACTCAAAGACTAGTATAGAAGGTCGTCAACCCACAGAAATGGGTAATCCCATAGCCTTTCGTCCCAGAGGATTCAATATATCGTCAGCCTTTCCAAAGCCCACTAGTGCATTTTCGGGCTTCGCCTGCGCAGGGTAATCAGGCGGCGTGACGGCCTTCAAGAAGGTTTCCTTTTGTCTCTCGATGTAGGCTTGGTTCAATGGAGTTGTAGGAACGGCCGCGATATACATAACTGGATATGGAGCTTTCAGACGCATCGAATCGATTATTGTTGGGATAGCATACCCGCCGAGTCACTGTTTCCAGTGTGGTCCTTCTCGACTGAATGGATGAGGTCACCATGCCAGAATACCGTGTCGCCGGGGAAAACTTTAGGAACCGAAATCATAGTCTCCTCGAGGAGAAGGTTGGGGTGCAGTTCAGGCGTCGGCCGAGGCCCGTACCATCCTCCGTTGCGAGAGAAGAGACCGGGAAAATCTGCGCTTGAAGCATCTTCATGAACCAATTGGCTACTGTAACCGTACTCTGAGAGGCGAACACGTACCAAAAGCCCAGCTCTTGGGATTCCAGACTTCTTCGCTGTCCGATGCCACCAACAAACGAAAGAAGGGACGTAGGATCAGATAGGGATTTGACAGGAATAGATCGGGAAAAACTTTAAGAGTCCCTTCGGTTGGTGCCGTTTCACTGACATACTGAGCTTGCATCAAGACGTCAAATGCCAATGAAGTACACGAACCTCATGGCAAGCCAGCCTTGAAATGCTCGAAAAATAGATGACTGTGAGGTCGTGTTAAACAAGGATCGGACTTCTCGGACACACATACCTGATTTGGCCTACCGTGGAGGGAATTTTGCGCATCCACACGACCTGCCAACAAGAAGGGATCATGCTTGCGCCATTGGCCACTGAAGATGTCAGCAAAGCAAGTCCTGAATGCTGGGTCCTCCCAGCGTTCGATGCTGCCACCTGTACATGGTCAGTACGAGATCGGCAACAACAGTCGGGAGACAGCGTGCCGTCGACGTGAGGCGGGAATGTAGTCCAAACGGTCCCAGGATGTCTGATGCGGAAACGATCAGCGTAACTAAGTGGCGAAGATAAATCGACGCCCTCCAGCTTCTGCCCTGGCTCAGCATGGTACAAGTTATTCAACCAAGCCGAAGCAGCAAGCATGTTGGGATGGGAGCGCGCCTCCAATTGAGATTTCGTCCAGCTTTAACAAAATTAGAGTCAAATATCTTGAGAGAGACTGCATGATGATAACTACTAGAGCTGGAAAAACTGTTTATCGCCGTCAGGAAAACCTGCAGACTTGCTTGAGAAACCGCACAGGCTCCATAAAAAAACGTACCGTCGACATCTGGATTGGTAGATATGAAATCTTCGAGCGACTTCCTCCAAGCAATGACTTGAGCATCATCGACAACGTCCTTGATTACAAGGCAACCCTTGCGTCGTATTTCGTCAATCTTCTCGGCTGGAAGGCTCCCAAGTTCAGAGAATTGGACTTGGGGGATGAACTAGCGTCTGTTGGATAGGACACTGGAACAGCGATAAATGGAACTTACTTCGGGTCCCCCGGTGCTGATTCTCTGGGTTCCCTTCTTGAGTTCAACAAGGATGTCGGCCCAAGCTTGGGTAACGCGTCCTTCAAAGTCGGGATACGAAGAGGCGATTTCTTCCTTAATATGAATGAGGTGAGATGACCCAGACATGGTAAGATGTGGGACGAAGAAGCCGCCGCCCATCGTCCTTTTATCAAGCTCATCCGAGCAGGGCTTCTGACTACAATTAACGGGGAATATGCTTATCCGAAGTTATGCCGGACCGCGAAATGAAAGTGGAAAAGCATCACGAGAAGACGCCGCCCACGCTTTATCGCAGCAGTATTCGATGTACCATACATGATGCTAAGATGCCTTGCGTCGACACCACCTGACGTGACCACCGCGCAAAACGAAGGGCCAAATTTGGATTGCTGCAGCTCCGAGTAGTTGATGAATCGCGGAGAAGATATAATTGTGGCAACATCTCGACGAGGAAGAGGCATTGGGAATCCTATATGTACAGAAGTAGATGGAAATGAACACTAGCTGACTATTACCTGCCTCGTGTTGAATGCTGCATAGAACTTACAACAAGTTGGTCGTTGGCGCCCTGCCAACGAAGTAAAGAGACAGGAGCACCACTTCGATGAAGTATTAGTAGGTCGCAGTACATAGATTTGGATAGAAAGACTAACGGGTTGTTGTTTTGGCAACGTGACGTTCACGGGGGTGAGATAGTCGCTATTGCACACTTCTCGGGAGTGAGATTCCAGAGGGCCGACCTCCTAGGGATGGGTGGGAAGGGCAAGAAATTTGATAATTGTGGAACAGACGAGATATGGTGGACGCGACGACGAATTAGTCAGCACCTTATGAGGCATTCGCAAGCTAGAGGTCTGGCCGGCCCGGACGAGGCGGAAAGTGACTGCCAAAAACGCGCTAGTCACAGTTTGTCGCGTTTACAACGACAGCTTCTCTTCTGGTCCAGCCAACTCTGCCATCGCCGCTGCAAGACAGCCGTCCTGGTATCGAGTTACGCGTTGCAAAGGATGCCCATTTCACATGAATCCTCATTTGTGGCAGATTCTACTGTTACATCTTCGCCAGCAACCCCACCACCAAAGCCACCTCGAACTTACGGACGCAAGAGTCTAGCTATTCCGGGTTCCTCTTCACGCTTTGAGGTGCTGAAAACGGGGCTCAAATGTGGTGAAGAAGTTCCTGCAAGCTCCGACGGCGAGCGGGAGCTCGATCACGTTGTGAAGGATGCAGCGACGGGAAGCTTCAGGTTTACTTTTCAAGATGAGCTTGCAGCCTTGGACGACAGTTTCGATGAGGATGGTGAGGAAGATGAAAAAACCCTTCTTGGCATGGATGCTTATCCACAGAAACAATACGGTTCACCTGCTACCACCTGGCCAGCAAAAACACCCACAGGAATCCTCGAAGAATCACTAACAGATCTCGCCATTTCTGCGCAGGCCGACATGCCTAATACGTTCTCTGCATCATCTTCATTGCCAGCCAAACCTCGACGTGTTAACCGCATAGACTCGGATTCAGAACCGGAATCCGAGAGTATACAATCCACGTCATCCCCAGTCAAGCGTACCCGTCACTCCTCGACGCCGCCTACTTCTGAGGATGAGTTGCCAACAACGGATAAAATACGAAAGATTCGGGTTAGTAAACGCGTCGTCGAGGAGCAATTGGTACACCCTCAGCACTCTGAACACGAGTCCAAGTCAGCGGCGGGGCCAAGCAAAAAAAAACGAACTAGGATTAAGGTGCGCGTATATGTACTCTTGTCATTCCATACTCTCAATAGGCTGTAGGCCCCAACGAAGAAAGAGCGAAAGGAAACGGCGCTGAACGGTGCGCGTATCGCTGCAGATCGTGATACTTCCATTCCTCAGAGACAAAGTGAATGGAACGTGTCAAAACTGCTTCATACGCTCCAAAATCGGTGAGTGGTAAGCTGCTTACCATTACACAGTGGTCTAATATGCGAATAGACATGAACTGTCTTCGGACCCTATCCAGCCCTTCTCATCCCCACATGTCATTTCCCAAGCTAGCGCCGCGCCTATTTCAGCCCCTCCTCTGAGTTACGAGGAAATCAAACCGGCTGTTTCCGTTCCCACAGTCGTGGAACCTGATGACGAAATGCCAGAAGTGGGTGACTCGCGGAAGAAAGAAGCTCAGTCTCCCAGGCAAATCCTGGCAATCCGGAAGATGAGAATCCTAGCCTTGCAAGCTCAGCAGTCGGGACGAGCTCAAGAAAGTGATGAAGACGACGATTTGGAGATTGTCGCTCCGGACACATCTGTGATTCAAAGAACAGTTGGCATGCAAGGTCCTTCTGGTACTAAAAAGACACATTCAACTCTAGCCGGCATTTCACTTGGGTCAGGAAGCAAAAAGAAGGAAACCCATCACATACCCTCCGACATTGGTAGCTCCCTTCGAAACCTGAAGAGCCATCGGGAACTAAATATCGCATTGATGGCAAGTGCCCAGAAAGTTGCCGCTGAGGTAAAGCATGCCAAAGAACACAATTGGAAACGCCATGGAGGCACGCTCAAAGAAGTCATAGCCGCGCGCGCCTCGGCAGCGGAAGTCCTGGATCATTATATCCAACAAGGCTTGGAGCATGGTGAAGAAATGAAGGAGGAGCAGGACGAGGAGGAAGATGAGGAAGATGCTGATTACATGCTTCCCGATCGCGGGTCAGCTAGTCCTCCACCTCCCAAAGCAAGCGAAGATGACGAAGGCGACAACGAAGAACTAACGGAGGACGAAGACATCACGATGGTTGAACAGGATGGCAATACGGAGACTGAAGATCTCGACGAACAACCCGTCGTAAGACCCCGCCAACGGGTGCCTCGAGTTGTAGAGGATGATGACTCCGATGTGGAAAATACACAACTCCGACCGATGCGACGTTTACCTACAGGCAGAATCCTTGTCGAAGACAGTTTGATCATGGATGATCAGAACACGCCCATTGCACAAGCTACCCCCAAAAATTCTTTAGACGAACAAAGCGACAAAGAGAACAACAGCGAGCTAATGTACGCTATGGACGACGACAAGGAGAACGTTACAGTTTTTGCCCAACCTCCCACGTTTCCAAGGTCTTTGTTTGCGCAAGAAGATAATCCGGATGATGGTTTGTGGGACGCTGACAAGGGACAGACGGCACCAAGATTGCCTTTGAGTATCCTTGAAGAGGACAAGAGCTCTCCAGACAGTCGGTCTTTTACAGATCGCCTACAGAGCACCATCAAACCTGAAAATGATGATGAATTCATGCCATCACCCTCTTTGCGACCTCGATTTGGTCTCTCCGCGGAGGGTGACTTGGGATTTTCACAATTTCCTGAGACTCAGAATGCCACATTGACATTACAGCCTGGATTCTCGGATTTGTATGTGAAAGGGACACAAAAACAACCTTCTGATGGGCCTCAGCGTGATGACGGGTTTACAGAGCTCTTCGGTGGAAAGGTCAGCACATATCCCTGAAAATACCAAAGAACGACACTGATTTTAAAGAAGGGTGGCTTTGGTCTATCCAAGTTGCGGAAAACTGACTCCACAGACTTTGGTTTAACCCAAGATATCTCCCTTGGACCTGCTTTTCAGATCGGCGATAGCTCGAAACTGAAGGAGGCAGATGCGATCTTTGAAAAAGAGCAAGAGTACCTTCTTGAAGAAGCTAACCAGGTTCCTCAGAAGCAATCTAACCTCTACGTTAATAATGATGGGTAAATGATTCCATATTCTGTATGCCGAAAGAGAAGAGTGACCTGTGGTTTCTAGATATCTCACACAGACAAGGCCTGACACCAGTCCCGAGGTTTATCGACCCTTTTCACGGCAGACGCAGACGCAAACTGAAACGCCAGCAATACTGCCGACGCAACGGTCCCGGTGGCAAACTCTTGGAACGCTAGCGTATTCTCCAAACATCACCCCGAGTCTTCCTTCATCTTCCCATAAACGCCGCATCATGAAGCGTTCGGTTTCCCCGTCTCCTAGTTATGGCGCAAATCGGTTGAACTCATCGAAGCCACAGGAATCTAAGACCAGTAAACCTAAGGCCCCATTGAGGAAGTCGGAGTTCGTGGAGGCGGAAGCACAAGAGAGCGATGATGATGAGATGCACGGATTTGGTTTGTTTAAAGGGACTGCTGCAGAGGACGACGAAGAGGGTCAAGACTTGGATCAAGAGCTCACGGCGTTGGTGGATAATACAGCTTTGGACGAAGAAACCATCGCCGAGGAGAAGGTTCGGGAGAAATATCAGTATGTCACATGCCCGGATCCATGCGTGAATCCTCCTAAGGATAACTTTACAGGGAACAAGCGGAGCAAGACGACCTCCGCCTCCAAAAATATCACCAGGATGCAGCTGATGGCAAGTACCGTTCCAAGAAACGGAGGAACGGCGTCGATTTGGACGATAGTGACTCTGACTCTGACGATGATGTCGATGATGAGAGACGTCGACGGCGTATGAACAAAAAGCAGAGAACAGATATGGTCGCGCTTGGTATGTGGGCTTCGCCTGAGACGAATACGTAGTATTTACTAGTGAAATCACCAGAGTCGAACCCAACGACAGCTGCTTTCGCTGGCGAGTACAAGAAGACCATAGGCGACGATGAGGATACGGTGATGCTACATTCTGAGCTCATGGAGGAGCCAGAAGTCGTTGGAGCTGAGGAGACTGTAGACGACGAGGACGATGAGGTGCAAGAAAGTATCACGCGTGCTGAAATAGTGCGTCAGGTGCAAGAACGCGCCCAATATGGCGAGGTAAGACTCCATCCATCATATGAACATGAGGATGAACTCAGTGTGCTACAGCTCGACGACGATGAACCCTTCGACCCCCACAACACTGACTGGCTAAATGCCGGTTCTGATGATGATGAAGGTGTGAAAATTCGCCCAACGGCCGCAAGTCGAATTGCTCGAGGGCCCCGGCGACATTACCACGACAATCAGGAATGTGATGAAGCGTCTGAGGTAAGTCTGGATTCTGGAAGTTCATATTATTGTCGCTCCCTAATTGGTTTTCCAGCCTCAATACAAATCGACTGTTGAATACGACAATAGGATGAAGGAGTGGGCTAAAACTGAAAGCAGATCGGGGCGTTTAGGAAGGATGAGCCGATCTGTTGGCAGCGCAGCAATCACTGGTCATACCAAGGTCAAGGCTGGTGGCGGGTCTTTACGACAGAATGTCTCCAATCAGACATTATCTTCACGGCGTACGGAAGAGAGATCTAGACCGTTGAAGCCGACGCCGAGTGTTTTGTCGAGCCTCGATCGGAGCAGCAAATTCGGATAGGCCTGGGAATGGAGATAGATAGATCTTATGACAAGGTGGTTCGATTTGATTGGTTTTGCATTCCCTCTCGCAAATGTAATGTACAGTGGCTAAATAGTGAACGAGAATTGACAAACTCGATGGGTATAAGGTATAGTCAACGAACAAAGGGATGGTCGACGAAATCAAGCAGGTGTGCTGTACATAGGAATTAAATAATAAGGGTAAAAAAGGTCGTGAAGGGTAAAACGGGGCGCGGTCACAATCACACAGCAGACCAGCGCAATCGCAAAGTGAAACTAACAATGTTGCTTTCCGCCAAATGGTCTCCTAAAGCGAATCCAAGAAGGTTTTGGTCTGGTAGGGATGGAGTAGGATCGTGATGTTTGACGGGCTTGTGAGGCACTTCGTCGTCTACGGTTGCTGGTCTGGATCTATACAAGATACACGGTCAAGCCAAGCCACAATTAGGCATACGATAAGGTGACCATACCTTATGGCGCAGTAAGATCAACTTGGCCATGTTGGCTGGCGGACCGCTCTCCCGAAAAGGATTGCCTTGGATGCAAGTCAGTACAGAGTCCCATAGAGAAAGCACCCGCACTCACGAGCAGCCACCGCAGCCAAGCCCGACTCGTGAACATCGAAGGATTCGTCGACAGCCATGATAGCAAGCCATAATGAGGGCATGAAGAGGTAGATAAAGAGAAGGGCGGTGAGCGCAGTAGCCAGTACGGGTGCCAACATGGCGAACGATGGCACTAGCTCGTGAGGGCAAGCCTCGAGGCCTCTCGACGACGGGTTCGCTGAACAGAGAAGTATTGGCCGTACTTTTGTTTGGGGAGAAGGGTAGGATAATAAAGATCACGCAATTCTTTTCTCGCTGCCACGTGTTTTGTAATCCTACACGGAGTAATAAGGGGGCGACCTGTCTACAGCGGCCTTCCATCATTTCAATCAGTTTCTTTGTATCTCAGAGAATATTCTACGGCACCATGCTATCCAGAAGGTTCCCAGAGCCAGATTTACACTGCAGCGGTCACTTAATATCCGCATATCTTCTACGTTTTGGTGCCTCTGGAAACTGGACGCTGTCAGTGGCAATGGGACGATTACTCTGGGTTTTCTATTTGAAGCCTGTCAATCCCCACCAATCAAAATCTGTTATTACCTGCCTGCGAGATCGAGTTATTATACTTCCTGACGGTGGTCGAGATTACTGTTATCTTCCATCAAGTTCCTTGTATGCACAAACGGATCTTCTGTCACCACTGTCGACAGGAGCTGGACATTTCTTCGCCAAGACCATTATAGAAGCGCTGGCGATAAATGATGGGATCATCCTGGTCGTCAGCAACCGAGATCTCGCTCTGAAAGGAATACCTAGTAGTGGCGCCGCTCTGAGAACTCGAAGCAGCCAGAAGTTGCCCTGGAGTTGCCCGAGTACTCGGTGGTATGCGTTACTTACTACATGTAAACGTTGTAGCAACTCTAACTAAACCCTCCAGTCAAGTTTGTCGGCCCAGCAACACTTATTGGTATTTTGATCCTTAGCTAACTCTTCCTTCCCAGGTAAAAGTACTTGTACCGGACGGGTAGGCGTTTCCGTTTCACCGCCTGCGATGCATACGCAGCTATCTGGAACCACACAAGTCCTTTCTTGCCAGAAAAGCGGCATAGCTGACATTTCTTTAGAATGATTCATTAAACATTGAGCTGATGTCATGTGTTTAGTGCGCTTCCGATGTCATACATGTTTTTCTTCCTTATGTCTCGGCTCCGAAGTCCAAAGTTATGTCTGCATCACCCACAACCCCGTTTTTATCGGTCACCACCTAACTGCATCACTCCCGATCTATCATTAGGGGAATTCAAACCTGCCGATTTTGCTTTGATTTTACTTTGATTTCGGTGTGCTTTATCCATTCCGCATGCTGCGGTGGTTTCAAGATAGTATCATGTTCTTTTCCAGTCTGCGATGCGTCGACCGACACCCGATGCAATGTCCCGGGATATGTTTTCTGGGTGAACCTCCTTTCCATCTTCGAACCTGGATTTTGGTGTTCAGTCTGGTCTCCCTCTAGACCCAAGCGACTGTACAAGGAAGTTGTCGCAGCAGGGCTCAAATCACTGATGTATGTGCTACAAAATATTGCACACAGCGATTCTTCTAACATGCAGGAAGCTCCATCCTGTATTTCGGTCGGAGTCCTTGATAAGTTCTCCCGTACCCGCTGGCCGGCAACCACGTCTTTCCATGTCATTTCATTATCTGAAGGAGAATTATCTCTTCACACCAACTCATGTTTCATGAGACCAATACCAAGCAGCTCTCGTTTCTTCGTCGAGGGCTTTAACAATGCTACCTACACCCCATATTCAACGTTTCCCGTGAAACATGACCAGTACAACACCTACACTGCCGCGTCTACCAGTTTAAGTTCCTGATCTTCGTAAACCATTGGACAATCATCCTCAAGTAGGACCCTTGGAAGACACTTCCAAGAAAGGACTTCTTTAACGATATGCGTTTGTCACCCAATTCTAGTTTTTGCGGAGTACTCGGAGCCTGTCCAAATAACAAATTTTCCACGAACTTATACATAGGATCGAGAGTGCCGTTGCTCGTCAATTCTAATTGATGGTTAGCTTTCGAGGACAATGAGGACATCAATGTATGTACTGAATGTATTGGAAAAGAAACTACATGATTACTTTAGAACTGGTTTTTCTAGAGGGAGGCTTGCTTCGTCGAATATTAGAACTTCAAGGTTAGTGCGCATTCTCTAATATTTACTGCTATTCTAGCTCACGATCCTCTCATGTCGTATTTCAAACACATGATGCAAAGAGTACATTGCGACATCACTTGATCATCCTTACTCGGTGCCTACTTCGAAGTAGACACATAAAAAATAGCGAGTTTGGTGGTCTAAATTGCCGCTGTTTAGCCCGGACTATACTAGATCCCGGACTCTTCTACCTAGGTGTCTGTATCTCGTTTATGTCGTCACAACGAAAGTACGATACTCAAGTCTTGTTAATGGTAACTTAAGGGTGTAATCTTGCGTCCCATTGCATTCAGCGTAGCCTAACGATACCCACGACTTTCTAGTGAAGTGCACAACTTACACATTCTGCTTACGATGCTGCGTAACAGAGTAGTGCAGTTCACAAGTTGACCACTAGTGGACCTACCCTTTTTACTCCTCACGAATCCCTCCATACTAACGCTGCACCCCGGTCCATGCCAAGAAATTTGCTTCTATTGCATCGAAGGACGCAATGGCGACCAATACATGCCAAGGTCACACTCACTCCCCACTGTTTTACAGTTCGGCGCATTATCAGTATCAACACTTTATCTAGTGCCCAGCCTAAACTACTTATACAAAAATTGCGTGCTCCGTACAAATACAGGATATAACGTATAAATGCCCTATCTCATAAACCCCTCATAAAAGTCGCATTCTCATGAATCATCAGAACTAGTGGAATTGAAGAGGATATAATCCCTCCAGGCTGCTGCGAGCAATATCACAAACGACTGCCCTTCTGGACTATACCCATCTGCTGCTGTGGCGGTCGTAAAGGTATATGGGTCGACGGTATCCTGTAACCATCCTTCGTCATCGATATTGCCTTTTATCAGCTCGAAAGCCTTGTCGGCCTTGGGAATGAGCGAAGAGTCGTTATTGAATGCAGCCATTCGGTATGTCACTGCGGCGAGCAGGGCTGTCGAGGAAGAATCCGGAAAAGTTGACTCATCGTCGATAACATTCCTCAGTGTGCCATTGTCTGCCTATGTGCAACGGGATTATGGAATGGTTTGGTAAAGGCTTAATTGAAACCCACCTGGTATTCCCATGCAGCAGAGAGGATTTCGCCGATCCATGACGTCAGATTTGCACTTTGTCCGGTGAACTCGTCTGCTTGTGCGGTATGGTTCATTGTCACTAGGACACGGAGCATCCCTGCAGCAGCCCAGGCGTTCCCTGTGGTAGGTTCAGAGACAGATGCCAGCTGGGAACGGTAGACTTGCCAGTAGCCCAATGCGTCGTGTCGTTCCAGGTACCTAGAAGGACGTGCTTCCATAACCCACTGTCGTCTCTCAACACGTCGCGGTAAAGTGAAATCTGTTCGTACGCTGTCTGTATGAGCTGAACCCCACTGTCCCCACCTTCGAGTGCGCCATAATAGGCAATGAACGGGGGGGCCATATATATAAAGTCGGCCCTGGGCTGACGTTAGGCAAGTCCCACAATAAATGGGGTTCACGGACCATAGTTGAACTTGATCTGATCGATGAGAGATGGCGCCGGAATCTGACCGTGGGGCATAATTGAGGAGGTAGTCAAGTTCTTCGCTCGCTGCGGTAGAGAAGGACGTGTCGCTTTCATTTGTTCGTGTCCAGTTGGCAAGGAGGACGGAAACGCCAAGACCTAAAGAGGGTCAGTATATTTTTCCGAGAGGGCTTTCATTTCCACTGGTCTGGAAAAGAACTCGAAAATGCCTCCGGATAAGGCTGAATGAAAAGATGTGGTGCCAAACATAACAACCACAGACCGGGTGATTTTACAGACTAGTTGGGAGGGACTTACTTGCGGGATCACCAACAGCCGTGTCTTCCACCAGAGTCATGCTTGTGTTCGACTTGGCCCGAACAACCCTGCATTCAAAACTCAGGACTCTGTACCCTTTATGAACGACAATGTTACGCACTCAGTAGCGATATCCAAGACCTTCGAATCATTATACGTCGTATTCAACGTGTGTCCAGGCGGGAATGCACTCGAATTGAACACCGAAAACTCGGAATACAAATACTCCAAGAGTGCCTCGGTAGCCGTTCCCAGTTCCCAACTAACAGGAAAGCATTAACAAAGAACACGCGTAAAAGGCATCGAACAAACCTTTTAGTAGATACCTGGACCATGTTGTTGAGAACCAAGGAAAGCGTGTCATTATCGATGCCTCCAACGAAGGGGTCGTAATTTTGGTTCGTCACGTTCGTAGATAGGGCTAGTGCAGCAGCTACCAAACGGCAGTAGGGAGCCATTATTGGAAGGGGGCAGGATGATAGCTGCTGCGGAGCAAAAACTGTGAGCCGCCATTTTATACGTGATTGGTTTGATGATGAGCTGGTATGTCAGGGTTCCGCCATCAAAATGGCCGTTCCCTCGGAACCACGAGATTCGGTGTTTTTTTTCTTTCTTTAGCTAATTTTTGCGTTGCTACTCGTCATGGTGAATGCCTACAGAAGCTCGGGATCGTAGCTGGTCGTAAGTATGTATGTCCCCAATATCCGGTACCTGACGCGGTGGTCGGTGAATAAATGTTAAAGTGATTTCAGCTTCCAAGCTCTTCCAAGCTTTTTTAGATCGTTACTTTTTATATGCAATCTTGACCGCTGCGGAGCGTCAAATGGTTTCGTTGATGCATGTACCTCTTTCCGATGTGCGCATAATTATCTCGGAGGGACCACTTATAATAATCTCCCCCTGCCAGCGCAATGTACCTGCCAGTATGCGTATGCGCTTTCTTGCGCTATATAAATCGACAAGTGCTCACGAACATCGGGTAACCGCGTCCATTTTAGTTCTTCAACGAGCTTCGTGATCCGAGGAACAAAGGATGAAAGTGACTTGCTACCATCTATGCTCTGAGTATGGTCGGATGCTGCTCAAGAAAGTTGGATATCCTAAGTTACGGATCATAATTCCAAGGGGACATTTCATCCGCCTGCGGGAGTCGATCGATTGTCATTAATAGCGGCGAATCTGGTTCGAGTCTCCAGGGCCCTGCAGTCTGAAGACAGGGGGAAGCTTAGAAAACAATCATACATCCAACGCCTCTCGCGCCCGTCAAGACAGCCGATGATCTCCTTCTTCTTTCACCTCTTTGCAAAGAGAGAAGCCGATGGCTTTTTCAATAGAGTGTCATGGAACAATGAATGGCTAGTTCTGAGGTGAATAATCGCATCTGTCCACTTTTGCTGAACGAGTACTAGAGGGATAAGGGCTAGAGTGACAGTGGTACTTTGATGATGTCATCAAGAGTGTAGTCAAAAAATTGCGTTGGATATCATAAGAACGCGAGAAGGATCCGCGTTGGTATCTCATCGACAGTCGCAATAGTTTCGATAGTGCAAAGTCGTCAGCACAATCACGGAAAGCGAGTGTAAAGCCAAAATAATTACGCTTTGTCGAGACAGCCCTTTTCTGTTCAATCTCATCGCTGCTCGCGGTTTACGGCTTCTTGGATCCTTGAGGGCGGGAGGAGAAGTTGCAGCTTAGTGAATGCGCAGCCAAAGCTGAAATACGCGGCATCCTGACACCAGACGACATGGGGAACAGCGGTATCAGCAAAGCAAGATACTAGATAGTTGAGTGGTTGGAAAGTGAGGACAGGAACCGGACTGAGCCGAGTCTCTGACTTGAGCCGAATTCAGCACGGGCTACAGCGAAAAGCTCGCTAGCGAACAGGATGTCACATAAGGACTGGAGAACTTGTGGCAAACGTACTACTTCCGTCAACGAGCAGCACAATCTCTTCATATTCTTGTTGGTGATGTATAGAGTGAAGACTATAACAAGACATCAGGCCACAGAAACGGGTAATCCCATAGCCTTCCTCCCCAAAGGACTCAAGATATCGTCAGCCTTTCCAAAGCCCACTAGTACATTTTCGGGCTTTGCCTGCACAGGAAAATCAGGTGGCGTGACGGCCTTCAGAAAAGTTTCCTTTTGCTTCTCGATGTAGGCTTGGTTCAGTGGAGTCGTAGGAACGGCCGGGATATACATAACTGGAGATGGAACATTCAGGCACGCCGAATCGATTATTGTTGGAATAGCATACCCGCTGAGTCACTGTTTCCAGTGTGGTCCTTCTCAACCGAATGGATGAGGTCACCATGCCAGAATACCGTGTCGCCGGGGAAAACTTTAGGCACCGAAGTCATAGTCTCTTCGAGAAGGTTGGGGTGCAGTTCAGGCGTAGGCTTCGGTCCGTACCATCCTCGATCGCGAGGGACGAGACCGGGGAAATCGGCGCTTGAAACGTCTATAGGAACCAATTGGCTACTGTAACTGTACTCTGAGAGGTGAACACGTACCAAAAGCCCAGCTCTTGGGGTTCCAGATTTCTGGGGAATCTGGCGCCACCAACAAACGGAAGAATGGGCGGAGGATCAGATAAGCATTGGACAGCAACACATCAGGAAAGACTTTAAGGGTTCCTTGGGTGGGAGCAGTTTCACTGTCAAACAGAGCCCGTCAGGGTATCAAATGCCCGCAGTACTAGAAGTGCGCAGACCTCATGGCAAGCCAGCCTTGAAAAGCGCGGAAGATGGAGGACTACATGGTCATACTCAGCCAAGGATATCCCGGAGCATATCTTCGCGGATACATATACCTGTTCGGGCCTTCTGTATATAGAATTTTGCGCGCCTACGCGGCCTCCAAGCAAAAAAGGATCATGCTTGCGCCATTGGCCGCTGAAGATATCTGCGAAACAGGACCTGAATATCGGATCCTCCCAGCGTTCAATAGTACCACCTGAATTTGGTCAGGACGGTATGGAATTAGTGTTGAAGGAAACGATGTACCATCGACGTGTGGCGGGTGCGCAACCCAGCCAGTCCCGGGATGCCTGATGCGGAATCTATCAGCGTAGGTGAGTGGCGAAGATAAGTCAACACCATCAAGCTTCTGTCCAGCCTCGGCGTGGTACAAATTGTTCAACCAAGCCGAAGCAGCGAGTATGTTGGGGTGAGAACGCGCCTCTAATTGGGATTTCGTCCAGCTTTGACCAAATTAGTGTCGAATACCTTGAGAGAGAGCTGAATAATAAATACTAGAGATGGAAAAACTGCTTGTCGCCGTCGGGAAAGCCTGGAGACTTGCTTGAGAAACCACACAGGCTACATAGAGAAACTTACCGTCTGCATCTGGATTTGTGGACACGAAATCTTCGAGCGACTTCCTCCAAGCAATGGCTTGAGCATCGTCGACAACGTCCTTGATTACAAGGCAACCCTTGCGTCGTATTTCATCAATCTTCTCGGCTGGAAGGTTCCCAAGTTCAGAGAATTGGACTTGGGGTACGAACTAACGTCTGTTAGATAGGACACTGGAACAGCGATAAATGAAACTTACTTCGGGTCCCCCGGCGCTGATTTTCTGGGTTCCCTTCTTGAGTTCAACAAGGATGTCGGCCCAAGCTTGGGTAACGCGTTCTTCGAAATCAGGATATGAAGAGGCAATTTCTTTCTTAATACGAATGATATGGAGAGCTGAGGATGAATCAGACATAGTGAGAGAGGTGAGACAAAGAATCTGTCTCCTCGAACTTTTATAGCCTTTTATCTATCTCACGGACCTAGGGCATTGAATTCTCCGATGATTTTCCGAACCGCGAACGAGGTGCAACAGTAAGTGGGGTCCAATTGCGATACTCGGTCACAAGAAGCAGTCAAATGAACGTAAATGCTTCGCGTAAACAACCATGGGACTTGTGGCATGACCATCGCAAGAAAGTAGCCAACAAATTTGAGCTTTGGCATTTGTTATAGCATTGAGGGATGCAATGAGGAGAACATGTAGCTGATAGTAGGTTAATATTCCATAACAAGCATCGTTGTGGTGAGGTCTTGTCGTGGAAAGTTGAGGAACCAGTCGTAAGTCTTCCATGTCGCCGTGGGGGCCGTGTAAAGCACAGCACCTGTAAATCAAGATATCTAGGTTCAGATAAAAAGAGACAAGCATGTGTCTGTCCAGGCAGCAATGGTCGTTTCCAGAGAGTGAGGCAATCCCAGATTCATGAAGACGAAAGTTTGGGATTGGGGCACGCTGCCAAAAAAGGTATGCGTGTGACAAACTGTGACGATTTTCTTTCCTCTTTACTGCTACTCTATCGTCTGTTTTCAATGGTCGTAATGTGTCGTGTTTAGTAGTACGCAGGGTTGAAGAGTAATAGTGAACTGCCATTGCGCCCGTTGTACTATGTTCCGAATACCACATCCCTGCATATTTGCAAGGCTCGCGACAGTCATCTGGTTATTCAGGTTCCACGCCAGTTTTATTTGTGATGATCAAGTCACCAGCCCCATGGTGATACATTTACGTTGGCTGGGCTACCATTGGTGCGATAATGAAGCACAGGATATCTTCTCATGACACAACTTCGGCTCATGGGCCCGGCTTTTGCACCTCTCCGGTGAATCCTCGGAGAAATGCATCGACTTTATCCTTTTAGCGGTGGTGGGGTACGGGCAGAACTGGGTGGACGTGGCGAGTGCAATGCCAGGGCCGACGAACGACCAGTGTCGGGACCGGTGGATCGAGCGGTAAAAGGCGGCGAGTTTCTGGATTGACGACGATGATCGCCGACTGGTGGAGCTCGTTGACAGTGGAATGCCGCTGCGAGCGAGATGAGCGACAGATGGACCAACGTGAATTGCTGGTCGAGGTATAACAGGATCAAGCCGACACGTCCTCCGGAACCACCAAGGAAAGTCAAAGAAAAGGAAAAAGAAAGCAATCTCATCTGGAGGCAGCCTCCTACATATGCGCTTAATGCCCCGGTTTCGGCGGTGCCTCCTTCAGCTGCTCCTGTATTGACTACCTGGGCACTGAATCCACATACGAAGGGAAACCAGGCCGTTTCGGATCCAACTCGGCGTGCGTGGAATGCTTTCTCACATATACAGAGCTGGTGTCAGCATCCCAACCAGGTCCAGAGTCTGATGCTATGGATATTGACCCTGTGGCTCCTCAACCAAAATCACAACCGAAAGCAAAAGGACGACGATGGGACGGACGTAGATACCGAGACTGCACCCAAGCCAAAGGCAAGGCAGAACGTGGAAGCGGATGCCAGATATAAGGTAAAGGTAGGGTTATTATTCTGAGTATGCAGAATAAATATAGATGAAATATCCTCCATGCTGTCGGCGCTATGGTGTAGTGGCAGCACATGGGATTTTGATTGCACAATTCCCATAACCCAGGTTCGAACCCTGGTAGTGCCTTTAAGTTCACATGTTCATCATGCGATGTATATTATGACTAGATTTTCTTAGTTTGTGCGTGAAATCTGGTGTGGGGAGGTTTTTGGTTTTATACCGACTCCTACGCTAAATCACCGTTTCTTTGTCAAAAAGTGTCGAGGCTTAATAAGGCATAAGACACTATTTAGCATTTGATTATATGAACACCCCTGACAATGACCTCTGTATTCCCAAAAATGCCAAAAATGGCAAGGCCTTATAGCTCAGTGTCCGAGTCGTTGAGGTCTAGCTATTGAGCCAAATCAATCGCTGAAGCAAATATAAAGTTGAATATTTCTCTTTTCAATTTGCCACCTCGATTATAGCGAGCCATTGAATTTGAGCTTGGGCCCATCTAACTAGGTCCAGGAGATCCGACAGATCTGGGACCACTTAAATAAGCCGGAGAAGGAGATTGTTGACCTCTCGCACGCGCTACAAGATGATTGAGTTGTGTGAGTTGGCGCTCCTTCATCTCAATGAGGCGTGACATTAGGCCAGACAAGCCTTTAATGCCCCCTTTCATGGCCTGGACATTTTGAGAAAGTTGCATGTATTCACGGCCCTGTTGTTCTGCCCTCGACGTTTCTTCAGTCAAAAACATGTTTAAATTCTCTGTTAAAGATACGGACATCGCGCGCAATTATCACATGATTGGCGCGCTGAAGATTTTTTTCAAGTCTTGAAATTGGTTTTGGATCAGATTGCTTGAAAACATTGCATTGTCATGATTCACTTTGTAGACAGAATATACATAGACTGGTATTGATTACCATACTCAGTTTGCTGTTCATGCATAGGACTCACAGCATAGCTACCTCTCCTCGACGAAATCGCCTCCAGTGAGAGGAGGTAAGTTATCAGTAACTACATGGTCATAGCGCGGTAGCCTTGATTTGAATCGATTTTTTAACTTGCGACCAATTACCAATATCCCCGCTTTTCGAACAACGAAATGGCGGATATTTTTGGCTAATATCAGCAGGCTGGCTGCATCACGACCCCACTCTCCACCTCTTCCTCGAATGAGTACTGCTCTGCCAATTCACGATATGACCAAGTAGCTGCGCGTCCTCCTGGCCCTGGCCCGAGGCGTCCTCTGTGGCAAGCATGAGGTTGCGCAGGGACTCTTGCACGAGCCCGGCCGTCTTGAGCTTCTTCTCGAGCGAAGGCAAAGCTGCCTTTTTTGGCGGAGAAAGGGGGGTCTGGTGGTACGTATGTTTCGGAGGGAGATCGGGGAACGAAGTGGGGAGATTGCGCAGCGTGAATGGGACGGATGACCCGACATCGTCGTCATCGGATGGGAGAAGCTCAGGGGAGGGAGAGCGGGAGGACGGCGGGATCAGTGCGGGGAGCGACGCCGCATTTCTTTTCCGAGTCTGTGCACGTAGACCCTTCACGTCGAGCTCGTAGTCCTTGCAGGCGAGCATCAAGTCGGTAGCAACAGCCCCGGCACGGTTGGAAAGATTGGCGTACTCATGGGCACGGTGGTAGAGGGCCTCGACGATGGCGACGACTTCGTGCTCGAGACGGACGACGGCGTCGGGTTCTGCTGCATCGAAGCCGGCACGTTTGAGCTCGATGGAGACGAGGCGCCGGGTGGCATCAGAGGCGGCTGCGGGAGAGATGGCAGGCGGTACGGGAGAGGGCGGGGAGGGCTCTGGCGGCTGCTGGGGAACGGGGACGGCTGTTGTGTAAGGGTAGTAGGCGGGGTATGCTGACTGGTAGACGGAGTATGGATTCGAGCCAGGGATCATCGTGGTAAACAAACAAGTCCCAAAACAGGACTTGGACTCTTTTATGACTGCCCGTCCTCCTCCTGCCCTCTTCCCCACGGACAACTTTACCGACAGTCGTCCTCTTCTCGTAGGCCCCGACGAACCCCAGTCTCCGTTTCCTATCCTGCTCAGTGGCTCAGTACAGCGTGGCTTTGGACGTGGAGGCAAGGATCTCAACTGTCCTACCGGTAACGCAGTCTGCTCTTCCCAGCCTCTGACCCTGACGCCCTCGCAGCAAACCTCCCTGATGAAGCGATAGAGGCGATCAGTTCAGTGGCCCGGCCGGGCGTGTACTATGGCTACGCGCAGGTCCCAGATGCCCCGTCAAACGAGGTCTGGCCAATGGTAATGAGTCTCGGCTGGAACCCATTCTACAAGAATGAGCGTCTTACTGCCGTACGTCCTGTCCTGTCTCTAGGACGTCACCCTCACCCTCCAGCAGGAGATCCACGTCATGCACGAGTATACTACCGACTTTTACGGCATGCAGCTTAGAGCCGTCGTCCTTGGTTATATACGCCCCGAATTGGATTTTACTACCATGGGTGCGCTTTGTTCTTCATGATACCCTCTTATTTCTCATTCGTTATCAGAGGCATTGATAGAGACTATAGAGACTGATAAGCGAGTAGCGTTAAACTCGTTGGATCGGGAAGCATACAAGACTTTTGCAACCCATCCTCACTTTGTGTTAAAGGAATAGAATTTATATATAACCCTCGAAATTGATGCATCACTTACTCCACACAGAAGGAAACGTTCAAATCAGGCCCTGCTGGCCACCGTCTTTGTGGTGATCCTCAAACTCGGGTGCATTGGTGGTTGAGCTTTGAGACCTGATACGAGTCCTTCGAAATGTAATGATACAATTCTTCATACAGGAACTTGAACCGCTCCTTCCGCCGCCTCAACGCTCTCTCTCTCTGAGCTGCTCTGTATATAACACTAATTCTTCAACAGCATACGATATATGCGTTCGGATCGCAAATACATCCAAGAGGTGGTAGCGGAGGATTATCGCCATACAGTGTTGCTAGCGATGTCGGGATACAGTAGTCGTCGACCAGGACCCCATCCTTGACTTCTTCGGGCACCAAGAATGGCGGTCGTTCCGGTACAGATCTTTGGGAGCCCAAAGGACACACCTCTCCGTATTCCGTTCCGCCAGCATCTCCTTCATCATCACTTTCCGCAAAATAGTACTCCCGGCCTTCCTCCTGTTGCGCCCTGAGCTGTTCGAAAATGCTGATATTCTTCGGCAGCTTCGCCATTGCAGGGTCTCGGAAAACTAACGTGCATTCATATACGCGCATTCAAAGACGAGGCAAGGAACCATTCGTGGTACCCCAAAGTGATTGATTACGCAGATCCTCGCATCAGGCTCTTTCATGGATCCATCCCGTAGAAGCAAATCGGCCGACCCCGACATGTGTAGGTGATCTCTGCTCCAAATAAGCCCTGTGTCGGATTTGCTGTTATACAGATCTATATATCCTCGGTCGAATACGCCTATGAACTGCTGTGAAGACTAGTATGAGGCGTACGAGCTGACTTGGGAGAATGCCTTTCAGGCGATGCGCGCGGTTGTGAGGCTAACCGCATGTTGGCCAGGTGTCAGAAGACGGAGTGAAGGTTTACTGGTAGAGGACTTCGAGTATCTGAATATAAAGGAGAAAGGTTTCTCCTCATACATAAAACGGGGCGATTCGTAACGGTGGTGTTGGCTTAGACACGGGGGACGAACAGTCCTGAGCTTAGTCAGCATCGTCCTCAACGCCCAAGTGTCGCTTGTCCTTGATCATTGACTGAGCATTCATATATGGCACATTGGGAATTTCAAGGAACTTTGCCGAAAATAGCCTTGTTCTGCGATATTATAGGCTTTCCTAGGGAAGCTTAAGATGAGTGGTGTTGATTATAGTGTAAGTAATTCAGGATTACTTAGACCTATACATGATGCTCACGGCATGCCCTCTATCCTTGCCGAAGTCTTTTCTTCTCCAAGAATACCAAACTTCATAGCGTGGTTCTTTCACACTCCGAAGCTGATATGAACTCGAAAACGCAAATGAATATATCGGATCGCACCGTCTTAGAGCAAGCTCCCGAAATGAAATGCACTGAATCATGGATGCCACTAGCATCTGAATGTCACCAGGCCCGACGATTTCACTAACTGCACGCTGGGCTCCCAAGGTGAAAGCTTCAAGATCCTTTGCAACGATGCTCTATCATAGCCAAGACGGTGAACGATTCGGGAGAGAAACGGCAGAATTCGCGAACAAGCGATGTTTTTGTTCACGCACAAGGCGATGGGCGACCAGAGATGATTTAAAAGAACATCATCGGCTGCGAACAGAAGAGCAAAACGTAGATATCGACTCAGGTCTGTGACAGTGTTGGACGGACAAGAGCGAGCCGGTTTCTCCCGCTCCCACCAATGAGCAGCTCCCCATTCGTCAAGGGATTCCAATTCTCAAGTTCAAGTCGCAGTCAAGACAACGCAGACGTTGGTTTTAATTTCGACGAACAGAGAAGAATCTACTCTTCAGCAGCTTCAACGTATTTATGACGAATATCTTTCCATTGTTTCTACGTCGGGTTGAGTTGATGTAAAGGAGTGAATAGAAACAGCGAACACGTACCCCCCTGTTCCAGCGGTCATAGAAAGAATCCAAGGCAGCGTCGAACCCAATACCGAATCCGAATGCCCCAACAAATACGGTGGCGACGAACATGCCTATGCAGGTCAGCGTCGAGAAGCAGCCAAAGGTAACGGAGACATACTGTTGCGCTTGAAGAAAGTATTGTATAGTGTAGTCGAGAACTAGTCCAAGGCGAGTTAGTGACTGATCATCGCTCTGTAGGGAGAGGGCTAGGACATACCGCCATCGTTGGAAGGAAGGAAGAGAGAATTACCTAATCCGGAATTTTCATGTTTGCTCTGCGCCGTATACTACCGCGAGCAGCACTACAGACTCGCTCTGTCGTCGTTGGTGGCGGCGCCCACACGATAGACTCTGTCATCGGCGAGCTCAATGCCGACCTCGCCGCCTCCGCCGCTTCTCAGTCAACATCGCCCGCCGCCTCCGCCATCGACTTGAGTCACCCACCGACCGCCCCTTCCAGCGAAGAAAAACCCCCAACGCCACTCGACCCCGTTGACCGCCGCAACTGGCCCGTTTACCGCTTGCACTGCCAAGCCACCCCCAACAACACCCTTCTCACCTTCACCGCTCCAGACGGCCTCGTCCGGGCATGGGCCTCTGCAGGCTCATGTGGATTCAAAAACACCCGGAGAGGATCACCCGAGGGTGCATACGCTGCATCCATCAAGATCTTTGGGAAGATTTTAGCAGCGACGAAGGGCGAGGAGTTTTATGTGCACCTGTTTCTGAAGGGCTTTGGGCTGGGGAGAAACACGCTTGTTCAGACACTATCAAGCACGGAAGGCGAGGCAGTGAGGAGAAGAGTGTTGTTTATAACGGACCGGACTCCAATTAGGATTGGAGGGACGAGGGCGAAGAAGATGAGACGGATTTAGGTGTGTTTTTTGTGGATTTATCGACTTTTCTGACGGTTAACAGGCAATTCCATGTCGTGTTCCATGTTGAATGCAGTTTCTTTACAAGTTCACAGAGGCTCACAAGTCACAAGACCGCAGATTCCAGCTCCCTCAAGCATCCAATCGACCTCGACTTCTTCCAGTACCACCCAAGATTCTTCTCTCGCCTAGGATAATACGGATCCGCCGGGCACTCTCCCGGGCGGCCCTGAACTTCCTTTACTGACATAGCCGTACTCGTCCTATGCCCTCATTCAAAGAACATTTAGGTTCAATATGGACCAAACTCACCAGCTCCCGGTAATACTCTTTCCACAACTTCCTCTCCTCAACATACCACCATGCCATATCCTTCGAATATGCATCGTACTCAATCGCCCGACGGTAGTCGAGGTCCGTGCGCCATCGCTGCCATTCTTTGTACGCCACCTCGTCCGAATCATCTTGGAGAGCTGGCCACAACTCGCGGCTCTGCATCGGACTTGTTAGTACGTGTAAGGACGCGTATATGTATCCACATACGCGAGAACTCTCCCCTGCTGACCCACTCGATGCGCGCTTGCTCATCTCCAGCGTGTATTCCAAGCCGTACCATTCATCTTCATCTTCCATCTGAGTACAGGTAAACAATGTGTGCGCATATACAAAACGTGAGACGCACCACTTCGTGATTAGGTTGCTTTCCCAAGAGAATGTTCATGTTCGGTTGCAGCTGTCAGAGGCGGAGTGTCGTCCGAGAAAGTAGTTCGTGAGAGATCTTCAAGCGGGATATCATCAGGGTCGCTGGTCCCAATAGAGCGAGATCGAGAGTGTTTCAACAGGCTTTCGTGAGCAGGCATCAGAGTAGGCGTATATGCGTGTGCATGAAAACTACAGGCGGGATCCCAGAATTCATCGCTCAAGACTGTTCCGTCGTCCTCATTGTCACTAGCAGCAGTAGAGAAGAAAGAGTCGAGAGTATTCATTAGTGCGTTGAAGTTCTTGACGCGCGAGAAGACGGTTTGCTGAGGATGGCTCATAGTGGAGAAAAGCAGACGACTGGAAGCGACAGTAATCAACGCGATCACGTGATGCGAACCCTCTAAGTAAGTATCATCTAACTGTCACAGTACCGCCGCGACACCACCATAGGACATCATAAGCCCATATATCACTGAAATTTTCTGGGACTTTCTACCATAATGGATGAGAAACAGTGAGTAATACTTGCTGCAATCGTGACGCGGAACTGCCAACGCGACTTACAGACTATGAAGTCCTCGGAAATGAAACAGAGGATTCATACAAGAATTATAACAGCAACTGTCTATCAATTATATCTAATCTGGAACATCCATCCCTTTCGGCTCATTTTCAGCCACCATGCAGTAAATTGTTTGCGCCTCTGCGTGTAATAGACTTCGGTCTGAATATAAGCAATGCATCGAGTTGGGTTAAGTATAATTTATGTGCATGCATATGCCAAACCTCGAAGATTTGCTACAGGTTTTATATACGCAAGTCTCGGGAGGTGAATCAGAAACTCTTACACGAAAGAGAGAGAGGGCGATCACTACAACTGTTCTGAGAGCGTGAAACCGGCCAAGGAACGGATTCAACGCGCACATGATGACCCTCTTTCCGGGGATGTTTTGATATCTTGCGAACTAAAATATCGATGCCTCCACGGCGGCCATTACAGAAACCGGTCGCCTAGGTGAAGTAACCGAAGACAAGGTGCACATTAATGACTAGGTCAGAGAAATCCGTAGACAGAAGCCTCTCCTACAGAGTCAAGTGTGTCCACAGAGACACCGGTGAAACGAAGAAATTCACTGATTAGCCTACCGGAAAGCGCGAAACTAAGCTACATTTCCATTAAGATACTCTACACGCCAAAGCGATGGATCCGAGGAACCAATGAATGATGTGGGATCGAGAGGGATGGGGTCTGAGGCCATAACTTTGGCCCACGTCTTAGTAGAAAGTGATTTGCTGTTAATCAATACAGATTCTATGATAATCGGAACTCAGCATACTGCAGGGAGCGGTTTCAACGGGCTTGGCGACATGGTGGCACGATCATGATTCATCACACGACGTCCATCGTTTATCGTTTTTTGTCGCCACAATTTGAACATATTTCCTCCAGGTATCAGGAACCCGACACTGAGCGAGGTCGCACCATGACTACCGTAAGTCACAGAATTGTTCAACGTTCAATGAAATGTTTTTTATGAAAGACGAAACCGACGGGGAAACAGGCACCGTAACAGCTTTGCCGTGTCTTCCGAGTGCAGTAATGAAGTGGGACAGTCTTTGTATTCAAAGAACCCGAATTCCAACATAAGAAGCAGTGACTGTCGTGATTCGAAGGGCGTAAAGAAACCCACATGCTGCAAAGTTGAAGCGTCGGCTTCAACACCGCTCCCTGAGATTTTGATTTCGAGAAACGGTGGTTACGTTGTTTAGGATCCGCGGTTGCGACAAAGATTCAATGGAAGCCCAAGAAACTGCGCATGCACTGACTGTGAGCCCACGTCAGTGTTACCCGGCAAAAAGTCCATGGGGGGTTTTTAATACCTCCGGAGATCGGGTGTGAAAAAGGGAATTTTAAAGCGAGAGAGCGCTCGCGGCTTCTGGTATCGATACTACCAGGAAAACGAACAGGGAAACAGCAAGGAGCAAATCCGTGACGTCGACCAAGAACAGAAAGATCCCATGTTCAAGCACCGGCTCTTTAGAAGATGAGTGATCAACCGAAGCTTAACCTAGAGCCTGACCAACGATAGGCGCAATCCCAGTACAAAGTGTCGTGAAAAAGTGTGATACTGACATCGTTGCTTATCGATACGAACACGGGGGTCGGACTGTCAAGGTTCCGTTAGATAAGAAGGGCCAGATCAAAAAGTGTAAGTAGCGGTTGTCAGCTGCAATGCTAAACGGAGGCCCAATCTTACACGTTGGCCATGAAAGCAATAAGAGATGGATAAAGATAATACGTTGCCGATCTGGGCAGCGAACGCACAATCGCCCTGCTCGGCCGCAGTCTGGGCGTAGTCGCCGTACTGAAACACCCGTCGGGCGGGAGATCCGACTAACCAGTTGGGGTCTAGATGACCACCCGATAATATGAAAACGAGCCCAACGACGCACCTTTGACCGACCAATTGAACTGTTAGGAAGCAGTGGGGACGGAAAGAACGTCTATCTTTAGTATTAATACTAAAGGGAGATGCCGGAACCGGTTGCCGACTTACCCGCATCTTATCAGATAAAGGACAACCATTACCAGGGAACTCCCGCCTGTCTCACCAGCCTGCAAGAAGTAGAGGCAATTTGAGAGAAGTACGAAAGGATAAGGAACACGGACGTTTCCTCCTGACTACCACCACGATTTCGCTAGCCGCTTTCCCCTGGTCCTTACACGTCATTATGTTCGCCTTGCGCCGGGTCGCTGCCCTCGTTCTCGGCCAGGATAACTCGACCCAAGGACTCCATGCAGAACTCGAGGCATCGGCAGTTCCAGTCACCAATGCCCAGTGCAGGTCCTGTCCAGATCCCTGCGATGAAGGTGAATTCTTCTTTTTCGACGTCGCCTTGCATCTGATACATCCCTCGTCAGGACACGATAGTTTCCCCAAATTTGATGTGGATATGGAATCGCATATGCTAGGTAGCGTGAAGCCATACCGTCGGCAGGTAATTACTTCTTTCGTCCGCGTGCTCTTTGTTCAGCATCCGCGTTCAGCTCGTCATCTCCACCGGGAAGATCGACTGGGACAGGGAAGTCACCGACACCAAAGGTTCTTTCGCCGCCTTTCTCTCACAGGTCGAGCATCGGAAGCTGCATTCATCACATCCCCGGCGACCCAGTGTAACTGCCATATCTCGTTCACCCCCAAATGATTCGATTCTTCTTCAAGAAAAAGTTTGCAGCATCGTTTCTCCTCATAATCCTCTCCCCCCTCCCCCGCTGGCCTCTCACAGTACGTTTGGCGTGTTCAACGCTACAGATTCGAAAAGGGTATCAATCCTGAATGGCAGCCATAACACTCTATGTCACGATCCAGACTATGAGACGATTCTCGTTTTTCCCGATTACAAATTGGTGACAGGGGTTCCACGATCCATCGAAGGAGCGCAGAACCTATGGAACATCTGTATCGACCCGGAGCTCGGCCGTGCTGGTGGGGTCCCTGAGAAGAGTCCGTTTAATTCTTGGGTTATACCCTATTCTTGTGTGATCCTTCTCTGTGAGCTGTTTCCTTTCGCGTTCCCCCTATCAACCGTTCTGACATATTCTGTCAAAAAATTAGGCTCGCATAAAAAACGTGACAAGCGATGTTCCATTGCCGCAGCAAAGCTCGAGCATGGTGCGTTCCTGTGCTTTTTGCGTTATCATTGTGGGGTCTGAGGGTGTCACAGCGTTTACACAGACCCTTGAATCCAAAGGCTGGACGGTAGATACGCAGTTGGAGCACCCGATGGACGAGCCGCTAGAGGATTTCGTTGGGTCGCCCGAGGAACAGGAGGAGAATATTATTCGGCGGTTGCAAAAGCTTCAGGATGCGAAAAAGGCGCTGATTATACGCAATTCACATATTGGGGGCCATCGATATGCAGGGAATTGTATCGTGAGTCGACGGTAGCAATATTCTTCCAAATGGAGGATGCTAATGGAGGCGCACAGATTTACACTCCGCAGGGAGCCGGTGTATGGTATGGCCGCGTGTCGACGCACGAGGTTGATTCGATTGTGGCGAATACGATTGAGGACGGGTTGGTTCTGCCCAAGCTGCTCCGTGGAGGCGTGAATATCTCACGGCCGGGTTGTAACAACTTGCATGATTGGTGACCGTCTGAGGTACGGCCCGTGTATCTTCGTCGCTGTATTTGCTTTTCCGTTTTCCTGTCGATGGGTTTTCTGTAGAATCTACGTTAGCAGTGCTGTCCGATCTGGGGAATGGTGGCAGAACGTACCGGCTAATGTCTTGAAGTAGTTATAAGTAATACTTTGTTAATATCATACGCATTTATATACTTTTCGTATGGTTCTGGGGAGGTCTGGGGAAGCTAAGTTCAAGGTAGACCGATGTAAAGATTGTCGTCATTGCACCCGCCAAAGATGTACTAGGGTGCACGTGCTGACTGCTCTTGCCTTTCTTCGCTTCCTCTATATTTGACAAGGAGCGCTGCTGGCTGGACCGGTTGATTTCGTATGCGCTGTCTGGTATTTCGAAGGTATCAGACATAACTCATCAAAACTGCCAGCAATCGCTGTTCAGCATATGCATACTGCTAAAGTTGCTTGCAGGTAAGATTTTTGCTTTACTTTTATCGTCACGCCCAAGGTATACTTGCGGCTCGAGTTCCCTCTCGTTTTCAGTCTCATCTGCTGTTACTACTAGCAGCTGGGATGTTGGTGCCTCAATGCTTTCCAGCAAAAACGGAAGTGTTCTCTACATCGTGGCTGTTCGGTCATCATCTTCCATTACCCCGAGGTACGAGGCTGTTCTTTGCCATTCGACTAAGAATACTACTCTTAATGGCTTGTTTCGACAGCACCGCGTCTGTTTCACCGTTGCTCGAAGCGTCTTCTTCAGCCTCGAGTCCTGCCTGCATCACTAATGGGTCATTATTTCGATGACAGACCGCGCTCGAAATACTTGATACGAGTTGCTGTCTACGCTATATCAATCTATCTCCAAAATCTAGCCTTGGAACGTTTCAGTGTCTGATCCCTAGGTGTCTACCGTGGGGGCTGTTCGAGGAGAATCCCGGAGCTTCATTCGGGGAGAGATGGACGACGTCCATTTCGCCGGAATCGTTACGGCAGGTATACAATGTCTAGAGACTCTTCGTTTCTTGCAGTCTCGTATTGTCATTGACATCGAGTACTACATACATATCGTCATCGACAATTGCACATTTACCTTTGCCTTTGCCACGGCTCGCTAAGCAATATGTGCCTGCGAAACGTTCCAGGTACGAGCTTGCCTTTGATATTGGTCCGACACATTCGCGGTGCATCTGGACTACGTAGAATGCAGCGTGTCTTTGTGCCCAAGGCCTGCGAAGACAGCTATGACATCGACTTGACAAACGGATCAGCCAACTTAGTCACAAAAGATGGATACGTTTTTCTCTGGTCCTGTGCCCCTTTGCAAGATACAGTAATATTACGCCGAATGGGATCTCCTAAAAAACATACACCGGAAGGACGATAGACCGAGAAAAAGTATGCTAATAGTACGGGCCGAAAAAAAATGGAAAAATGGGCAATTGAAGGCGGGAAAAAAAGCAACGTGGAACATCCGAGAGGTCATAGGGACAATTGAGGAGATCTTGGCTGGAGTATATACGAGTAATTTAGGCAAATTCAAGGCGACAAAGCGCAGGCCGGAGCTCCACTGTGATGCGGTGATTTTGTATCGCTCCACGAACAGGACGGACCGTCATCCTTTCTACTCGCCTACCATCTCGACCAGCATTTCGAGCTCGTTGTCTAGCCTAATGATTAAACTGTGGTCCACGACGGCGACAGGAATGGATGATAATATGACGCCGAGACCCGGAGTAATAGATCGCAACCCGTTTGACACGCTCTCCTCATCCCCATCACTTGCTGCCAGTTGCAGCGGCCATACTTCTACCGCCGGTCCTCGACATCCACTGCTAACACCGAATCACGACATCACTCCCGGCGCGACGTCGTCGACGCCAGCTTCCAACCCAAGCTTTGCTGCAGCCCTGCCCCCAAGTCTCTCCCTACATGCTTTCAACAACATGCAGATTCCGTCGCCAAAGCGTTCAGACAAGTCCCCAGCGCCACCGGCATCGACCTCCACGACCTCTCTCTCTAACACTTCCAGGGGTCAGATACATGTCAAGCTCATTCAGGCAAGGGGTCTGAACGTGCTCTCCTCAATGGCGAGGCCGTATGTCGTCGTTCAGTTCGAGCAGAACGAGTTTGTCAGTCGTGATCCTACAGACGAAGCAGACAAGGAGGTCAAGGGCGTTCCTATTTCTCGCGTATGTTCAGGTTCAGCGCTCAGTGCCCTCGCAAAGGCGTCGGGCAACCCCCATCCACCTTCTCCCTCTTCCTCGGTCGGATCTCGCTCATCCGCGAATAGCAGCGGCAACGGCTCAACTGGGGGCCTATCTGGCCGCATGTCGTCCCACAATCCTGTCTGGAAACACGAGGTTTCCTTCGACGTCACTTCCGAGGCCTCCCTCATTACCTTCAACGTGTACGATCGTTCAGTCGATGACCTCGGTTTTCTTGGCACCGTCCAGATTAAACCGGTACTCATACATGAACATTCCGTTGACCAATGGTACAAGCTACTACCTTTTGAGAACGAGGTCGTGTCTGGCGAAATGCGGGTGCAGATAACCTTCGAGCAGTACAAGGTACGCCTCAGTGGTGCAATACTCAATCCGTTCTCATACCGCGTTCTTTCAAGGTCAAGCGAGCCCTTACTCCTCGTGACTTTGAGTTCCTCAAGCTCATAGGACGTGGGACGTTTGGCAAAGTCTTCCAGGTCCGGAAAAAGGATACCAAACGCATATACGCTATGAAAGTCCTCTCTAAAAAAGAGATAATAGCCAAGAAAGAAGTCGCCCATACTATTGGCGAGCGCAAGATCCTTCAACAGTCTCTTGAATCACCTTTCCTTGTTGGCCTCAAGTTTTCTTTCCAAACTGATCAGGATCTTTATCTGGTCACTGATTTCAAGAGTGGTGGGGAGTTATTCTGGCATCTGCAGCGAGAAACGAGATTCCCTTTGGATAGGGCTCGGTTTTACATCGCAGAACTGGTGCTTGCGTTGGAGCATCTACACAAGTATGATATTGTCTATCGCGATCTCAAGCCGGAAAACATCCTACTGGACGCGACAGGGCATGTCGCGTTGTGTGACTTCGGGTTGAGCAAGGCGGATCTGAAGCCTGACGAGCTCACGACAACATTTTGTGGTACCACCGAGTACCTTGCACCAGAAATTCTGCTGGATGAGCACGGCTACTCCAAGATCGTTGATTTTTGGAGTCTTGGAGTATTGCTGTTCGAAATGTGCTGTGGTTGGAGTCCGTTCTATGCCGAGGACACCCAACAGATGTATAAGAACATCTGCTTTGGCAAGATCCGTTTCCCTAAAGGCGTAATCAACGAAGAGGGAAAGCAGTTTGTGAAAGGGGTATGAACTACTCTTGTTCTCTGATTCATATACTTATACACTGGCGCAGCTTCTCAATCGGAATCCAAAACACCGACTAGGCGCGACGCGCGACGCAGCTGATCTCAAGGAGCATTCGTTTTTCTCCTGTATCGATTGGAATGCTCTCAGCCTCAAACAGGTCACGCCACCCTTTAAGCCTGTTGTCGAGAGCGACGAATCAACGGCCAATTTTGATCCCGAGTTTACGACCGCCGATCTTTCCCAAGTCGGGGTTGATGGTATGGACGAGAATGACCCATCGGAAGATTGGGTGATGAGTGGCAGCTATATAGGTAGCGTTCACACACCCAATGGTCCTTTGGGTAGTGAGCGCAATGGTTCGAGCAGCTCATTGGGAAGTATGCATGGAGGATTCGGTGCGCTGAGCATGACGAACGGCTCCTCGGCGAAGAGCAAAAGTGTGGATATCAAGAAGACGAAGAACGGGAAGCGGAAAAGTGGGACGGGAGGACATGGCAGCCCGCTGACTAGCTCGGTGCAGGAGAAGTTCAGAGGCTTTTCTTACTCTGGGGGCGAGAGCCTGCGGGACGAGATGGATATGCGAACGAAGATAAATGGGAATGCGAAGAGCGATGACGAAGGACAGTCAGGCCCGGAGCCAACGACGGAGGATGAATACGAGGACTTCTCGAGAAGCGCAGGACGGTATGCGAGAGGGAAGAGACGAGGACTTGGATTTACAGAGGTGGAGTGACCTTATAACCACTCAGACATTGCGTATGGGTTTTTTGTCATATCAATCAATTGTCATATTTAGACTAGTTTTGTAGTAATGTAGTATGGGTTTTGTACATTTTTTCTTCGGGGGGGTGCTAACGGGATGTATGGAATTTTTATGGCATGAATCAGGTTTCTGCGGTCATCGTGATCAGCTTACGATACGCGAATACGAGCAAACATCCGACTGTTGCAATCTCTGAAATAGCCATAGCCGCCTATAAACTGATGTTTAGCCTCTCTCCCAAGTCCGCAAAAGCTTCAGGTTGCTTATGACAAAGTTCAAATCGCTAGAAGTGCGTTATTGTCAGTTATCTAATGATATGACGGGTCAATGCGCTGACCACGGCTAGCATTGCCCTAGTTGGTGTGATGAACTTGAAACCTTTGATCGCGGGCCCTGTGTATTCAAGCGTCTTCTTTCATATTTCTCACGATGACTATAGGAAATATATACAGGCTCTTTCCTTTCAGAACCGTGAAACAACCCCAGATACAAGATGCAGCCCATCCCCGCAGGTTATCCCATAGAAAAGCTGTAAGTTATCATCGTGGAATTGGCAGGTGTATCTTAAATCATCTTATTTCAGATCTGGACCTTTGGTTCGTCAAGTTTTCCCTTAGTCTACCACTACCAAGTCTCTAACAGGATAATTCAGATCGTCGCCCCTCTCTTGCACTGGGGACTCTTCGGGACCCTTTCTGTGCAGCTGTGTACGTCACGCTTTTCCTACTAATTTATTTCTAATGCATTCTCGTAGATCTGTACTATCTGGCATTTCCGAACGACAGACAATTCACAAAGTATCTCGTCTATGGCATCTACATCGTCGAATTTGTTCAGACGATGTTTGTCACCCACGACACCTTTGCAACGTTCGGGTACGGTTTCGGTGATATGCAAGCCCTCACCGACATGCATTTTAATTGGCTCACTGTCCCCATCATGAGTGGTGTTGGTGTGTGCATCTTCTTCTGTTCATTTTCCGTTACTTATGATGAGTACAGTTGCTTGTGTCGGGCAGGTTTTCTATGCCTACCGAATCTACATATTGTCAAAGTCACCAATTGTCCCGATATTGGTCACCTGTGTTTGTCACCGTGCTCTTTCTCCGTAATAGTCTTGCTCATATATATATACAGGTTTCTTTGACCAGCTCTGTGGCAGCTATGATCACAGGCGCCTACTCGTTCCAAGCAGGCAACGTCACTGAACTCAATAACAGGAGGACGACCATTGCCGTCGGGGTAAGCAATTGACCAGACTCCCCCATATTCACCGTGCTGACCCATTCGTAGATTTGGTGTGGAGCCTCCGCCGTGTGTGATATCATCATCGCTATCTGCATGACTTTCTACGTGGGGTCTTTGTCACTTTGAGTCATCTTCATTGATGTTGATAATTTTTCGTAGCTTATGCGCGGCGGTACTTGTTTCCGTCGTACCCGAATGCTTGTAACGAAGCTAATTCGCCTCACTATTGAAACGGGATCTGTGACAGGTACTCTGCACCATTCACCTTTGTCGCAGGGCTGACACCACCTACATTTAGCTGTTGTCGCTCTGCTCAACCTTATCCTCTTTCTTGCGTTCCCTCATCAGACTTTCTACGGGACAACAGCCCTCATCATTCCCAAGCTGTATTCTAATACTGTCTATATGGTCCTGAATTCACGAATCCAAATTCTGGGCGGACGGGATACCTATACGTCATCATCCGATATGAGCATCACGTCCACGATGATACGGGATGTCAGTTCTCCAACGACGCAAGACTTACGGCGGACGGATGGGATGCAACAACGGGTACCAGTGGTTGCGATAACTAAGGAGGTGTTCAACGCTGATTTTGGAATGGGTCGCATAAATGTCAGTCATGGTGATTTATGTGCTCTATTAGAGCTGATTTTTTTCCCAAGGACAAACCACAGGACAAAAGCAGGGGCTACGCCTCGTAACTGTTAGATTACATTTGAGACGCGTCCCGTTGAGCTTACATTGCTTTTCTGTTCGACTTGAGCGTGTCTTACAACTGTTTGCATATTGACAGGGACGTGTGTTTTGCGTGAGAGAAGAAAGCGATTTTAACTTGATCATAAACCGGCTATTTCGGCAATCTCGGATCTCCTTTGCACGTTCCAAGTCCGAACCTTCTTTCATTATCCAGAAAAGTGCGCCTGACTATCAAGCTGTATGCAAACAGCTGTAAGTACCTGCGTACGTTTTGAGGCTAGTCAGCCTACACATGTTTAAATAAAGGAAGAGGAAATCATTGTACAGTTGTCGTTATTTCCTCCTCAGCTTCTCCTTTAAAACTTTCTCTCGAGCTTGAGTCGCGAAAGCTCCCTCTCCAAAGCTTCCGCAGTTCCGCGTGTACACGCTCGGCATCTTCTCCTTTGGGATCATTTAATCTCGTGGATAACGCTTTTATCTCGGCCTTGGTCGCAATGATCAAGTACCTGCCAGTATGTTCAGGAAGTGCAGACCACCGGATGTACATGCTTTCATTCTGCAGATTCATCCCACGAGGAAGCAACCACTGCAAACGTCCAAAGGTATACAAGACATACTATAAATACATACATTCCAGAAAAACGTGTGAATGCGCCGTATCATTTCAGATCTGGAATCTCTGCTCCGGGCCGTCGTGTAACCCTCACAAGGAGCGGTTTTTCTAAGATTACGGTGCGCTTGTTGAGAATACCATTGCAGAATGCCTCTTTATCAAACGACTCGGGGAAGGACATATCAAAAGATAGAACCAAGCGTGCGATAACATATTGCAATTGCTGGTAAGCAAGAGCTTTCCCGACACATACATGGTGTCCTATTTATATCAATGAGCTCTATAACCTAAGAAGGCGGCATCTCCTTACCCATTGAAAAAGACAACAATGCATTTCGATCAGTTTTTGTATCAGGTCCTAAGCCGCCTGGCAGCCATCGTTCTGGTCTGAATTCCTATATCGAGAGATGAACGGACATTCAAACGTTCAGCGCACAGAGTAATACTTACCAAAGGGTCGGGGTAAAAGTTCTTGGGGTCAATTTGCTGAGAATATGATGCCACAGCAACGATAGTCCCTTCGGGAATGAATGATCCATCTATTGTGACGCCTCCCGGGGGGACTATTCTGGGAAAGTAGAAAGCAGCCTGCAGCCTCAGCGCTTCATCGATAACGCCACCGAGAAAGGGTATTCCAACAAGCCTGGAGCCTTCTAGATGTTCCATGGGGTCAGAAAACTCGGCACGCAAGACATCATAAAGCTGCTTGTAGTATTGCGGATGCGAAAGAAGATAGAAGAACACCATTGAGAGTATTCCAGCGATGGTATCGCCACCTATGCATACGAGAATAAACCAATCGGAGAGTCCATTGTAAGATTCGTACCTCCGAAAAGTGCAGTCGCTGCCTCTACTTCAAGATCTGGAAGTGGGATAGACTTTCCGGACAGAGATTCTTCCAGCTACATCTACTCTTCGGTCGACAGTGAAGAAATCAGTAAGAGGTACTCACAAGGTAAGAACTGAGATCTCTTATGCTTGTGTCGTTGTTCAATTTAATTCGCTTGTGCATCATTGCTGCAGAGATGGCGGAATACTTGACCATAGCTTTACTAGCTGGAACATGTCATATGATATCCATTAGCCAAGGTGCTTGCCCAAAGCTATGATAAGCAGTCAACAACGAAAATCAACACTCAGAGGAAATTCATACCTCTCAATGGCCACCATTCCTTTCTTGCCGGTCAAAACCAGACGCTCAGAGTCGCCTTTTGCCATCAGAGCCTACAGTGTGTGACAGATATGAATGAGGATCAAGGAGAATAGGATAAAGAATGCACGTAGTCGTTACAACCCCCGTACATGATGTCACCCTGAGGAACGAAAGTCAGTGCCGCTACCATCAGAGGGAGAATAACTCACCAGCAAGTCATATGACCAATGAGAGAAGCATTCCGACAAACTGGTTGCATCTTCTTTCGACGCAGCTTGCCGACGTTCGATGTATGAGGCAAGCTCCCAAGTACGCTGCTCTATAAAAGGAATATAGTTTTTGGTGCTGTGTCAAACATCATTAAGTAGAAGGCTCGACTAATCGAAAGCGAGAAGTAATTACGCTGACGCGGATAGACCCTTGGTCCAAATTTGTTTGCGTTCATTATGAAGATCTAAGTCTTGCTTAAAGAATAGACTCATCACATCTCGATGTCCTGGGAGCCTATACATGTCGCTTTTTTCCATGGAAAGTGCAGGCCCGTACAGAGGATTAAGGGAGGACAATGAATTGATTGACAGAGTGTTATGTCCTATAATATAAAGGGTGAGACTGTAGAATTTAGCAGAAACATTCACTCTATTGCTTACCGACTCTTACGATGGGTCCGTATTGCATGTGAAGCTGATGGAGCTTTTGGTGTCGCTTGCCGGACATAGCCAGGTGGACAAGCTGTAAGTCGGAAATCCACCATGATCGAGGCCCTGGGTAGCTAGCTAATGGATGAAAAGGAGAAAATCGATAGGAAACTGAGAGAAGAATGGACGATGTTGTGAATACAACAACGTAGAGCATCGTTAAGAGAAGAGGTGACGCCTGAGATTCGGAAAGCAGAGAGCGAATTGCAAAATATATTATCGGAGTGGAAATGGCGCATGCCAGAGCAGCATAATCCCCTCGGACATAATGCCAATGGAAGAAGAGCCACGATACCTAGAGGAGACATCAGGGACTCGGAGCACCTAGCGCGTCCAAACTTGGCGCAAACAACATACTAGAGCTCCTCCCATACTGAGAGCGCTGACGTTCAGTACCACCTTTGAAGCAGCATCCACGGCCATTGGCAATTTGTATGCAGATCTGGAAGGACTGTGACGGGTGCTGAAAGCTGGTGTTCTACTATCCAGCTCGGTTATGAGAGTAGCAATGTTACGTCCAGAATTAACAAGGAACGATTGGAAAGACGTCAGAGATATACTTTCATGACCTGAGACGGCAGAGGGTCAAGAAGGAAAGATAGCAAGAAGACCTCGGGTTGAGATCAAGCACCAACAAGTTTCTGATTCCCAGGCGCATTTCGTATAGGGATGCTAGACAATTATGATGTGTAAGATATATAACTACAGGCCGGCCGGCCCCTTACATAGGTTCGAGTTTAGCTTGGCCAATCCCTCACTATTGTATAGAGTGACGTGCTTTGAGCGGAGTGGAGAGCAAGTTTTGGACGATTTTATGACTTTGATTCCGAGATCGCCGAAAAAGCCGCTATGACAAAGTCCGATCTTTCCTTCCCAGGGACATCAACCTCCTCAAGTTAGATGGAGACCATTAATAGGTATTTTCGGACGCCAGGCCAAGGCGTCAAAGTCCGCAAGGTTTAGGCTAATTTATAAAATCGACAGTCTTTCTATCGTCCTTTCGTACGCTTTCTCTGTCTGACGACATCTAAATGTCTGGCCAACTCATTCTCGTTAGCAGTGTTCGCTACCATTGGATTATCCACTTACACAAGCTGCCAGGTTACCGGTGCCACCGGATTTATCGGATGCCATATCATCGAGCAGCTCTTCAGAAGTTGTTATCGGGTTAGAGCGTACGTCCCCATCATCGTTTTTTGGACTCGGAACCTGACAGAAAGACAATGTTGCCCGTTCTCTGAAAGTTGAACAGCTCAAATCTACCTATGCCGACTTTGGTGATCATTTCGATGCTGTTGGCATTACAGACATCGCCGAAGATGCCCTCACTGGTGCTTTTGAAGGTGTAGATGCTGTGATACATGCTGCCTCAGCGATGCCGACCCGAACCAGCAATGTCGAGGACATGATCACGGTACGCGAGTCGGGACATGTCTTCGCCTCATCGGATGCCCTAATGAGGGCACCCATCTGTAGGTGGCTACTAACGGCACACTTAATGTCTTGCGTCGGGCGGAAGCTGCTGGCATACACCGCTTCATTATCCTTAGCTCAATCACCATAATGGTGACTCCAGCCATGACCTTTTCCCACAAAGGTTCGTGTATACACACCTTTACCCCATAAATTGAAGCTCATCCGTTCCAACGAAAGGCTGGTTTCAAGTACCCGAAGGTGACAACAGCAAACGACCGCCAATGGCAGTCTACGGTAACGCGAAGACTCTCGCAGAGATTGCGATGTGGAAATGGGCAGATGAACATCCCCACGTCCAGATATCTTCAAGTAAGGCTTATTCATTCTTTTTAATTTTCCGTGTCCAACTCACATACCCTCAGTTCATCCACCGTATGTCTACGGACCAATATCTCGGTACTGGCAAGTTCCAGAGCCCCCTGATTATTGGGCTTTGACTAGCGCCCTTGCGATTGCGACCATGCTGAAACCTGATGGGATGTATCCTCCTTATCCTGCGCATGTTGACGTTCGCGACGTCGCCAAGGCCTGTGTTCGTGGGCTTGAGCTTTGGAAGCCAGCTTCAGAAGGCGAGTGCAACCGTGCTGCCTTTTTATCTCCTCAGTGCTTCGATTATCCTCGGGCTAAAGCAGCGATCTTGGAACGCTACCCCATTTTGAAAAACCGCATCATCGCAGCCGACCCTCCTCCCTTTTACGGGCCGTCTCCTTTGGAACATGAATGGGTCGAACGTCTCTTTGGAATGAAAAAGGAGGACTTCCACACATTCGACGAGGTTTGTGTCTTTTCCATTGATGAATGTCTGGATGATGATCTTGCGATCAAACCTAGACTGTGCTAGATACGGTTGCCTGCATTTTGGAATTGGAAGAAGGATGGAAGACCAAGGGATATAACCCTCAAATCCCATCGCCTGATGTAAACGATCAGCAGTAAGTAGTGGATTTTAATTGCGAGAATCGTTCCAGTCCATCATCACTCTTACCGAGTGTTTCCACGCATCGGCATCACGGAATAACGACATGATACCTTGGTTGTCTCGTAATAGTTTTACTTGAATCCGGCTGTATAATCCTGGTTGACACAATACCTGGCTACCTCGTAGGTTCGGTCCATCGTGGTCACACTCAGCTAGCTCGAGAGCTTTTCAATTTTACAAAAGTGTTGGTGCTATTACCGTGCAAAACTATACGCATCGGCTATACGACTGGGTTGAATACCACATACCAGTAAATTTCAGGCCGGAGAATCATGTGTTTACTTGTAGAGCTTCGTCAGGTTTCTGGGTCCGACACAAAATCATTTTAGTCGCCACGGACTATTTCTTACCTTTCGTCGTATGGAACCGACACGAGTCACTTGCGGATACCCATCTTCTTCGTGCAACTTCTCCGATTTGTGTTGGAGATGATGTCGCAGCATAATGTTATGAAACAATTACCAAGGTAGATGGCTGAAATTCGGTAGGAGAACATGGATCTTGATTTGCCGCCGTCACCACTCTGATGACAGCAGGGACAATTTATTTTCGTACTTGACAAGCGTTAATTTCGAAAAATAGAACAGTTGGTAATTTACTTGTTTCCCTGTGCTCTCGGAAGTTCATCTTCATCTATGTCTTCTTATTAGACTCTTTCGTCACTGGTAATGTTGTAATTTACGACCATAGCATATTTATTTTTGCAATGCTCAGTAGCTTGTCATAGATTCCATAAGAAAATGCTGCTGCTGATGTCGATTCGAGAAGGAACGGAACTTCATCCAGAGTGCGATCGTTCTAGGCCTGTAAATACCGAGTTTTCACAGAATTACTTCACAGATGGTGCATCGCCTTCAGTTTCCAATTTTTGATGCCTAAAGATAAGTCAGCCAATGAAGAAGAAAACAAAACAAAAGGCCGACTCGGACTCACTCTTCAACATACTTCCTTCCGGCCAAAAGGGCTTGCATTACACCGCCCATTGTCGCTCCGAGAGCTACCGTTCTCCCAGATGTCTGCCATCCAAGCCGATAAAGTGCACTGATGACTGCTGCCGTGCCCGTTCCTGCTGCAATCTCTTTCCCTGGCCATCCTTTCGTTTCGAAGCCTTCTTCAATTCCAGCCCATCCTGCCCCTACTACGGCAAGCTTCGCTCCTTCTTTAACAGCTCCTATGCTTCCTGCAAGGAGAACCTTATAGTTTTTGGTTTTGTTGTAGAAATACCATCCTTGAAGAGTTCTGGGTGGACGATGAGCATTTTCTGCTAGAAATCTTAGGGACGCAGAGCGTGTTCCGCGAATAAAACCGATGAGAGAACCGGCAATAAAGAAGGCAGGGGGGAGGACCAACAAACGAGGAGGTATAGAGAGGTGAATTTGCCTTTTTTTCTCGACAGGATCAGTGTCGTTGTCCAAGTCGGTAGACATGATGTCATCAAAGGTCGTTGCTTTTTTTCGCCGTCAATGGCCGACGCATCTGCTCCTCGCAAACGAGTCCGTCCTCGTAAATTCGTCGGCTCCACCAAAGTACCCTCGTTGTCGTCGTCGGCAGCGCCATTGAACAGCATTCCACAGTCGTTGCTAGAGAATGAAGCCCTCAATGCCGCCATCTCTGCACTACCAAGCAACTATTCGTTCGAGATCCACAAAACTTTAGCCCATATCCAAAGACACGACTCCATGATGGTTGCCCTGCAACTACCAGAGGGTTTGCAGATGTATGCTTGTGCTATTGCAGACATTATCGAGACATTTTCCGGCGCGCTTACCGTCGTTCTCGCGGATGTGACATACGGTGCATGTTGTGTAGATGACTATACCGCGAAGGCTCTGGAATGTGATCTGTTGGTACATTACGGTCACAGCTGTCTTGTCCCTGTGGATGTGACGACAGGTATACGGACGCTGTATATCTTCGTTGAAATCGCCATTGACGAAAAGCACCTTGTCGAGACGGTGCGATTGAACTTGCCGGACACCAAGAACCGATTTATGGAGAGTTTTGGAGAAGAAAAAGCCGTCGGGGAGGCTATTACCAGCGGTCTCAAGCAGCATCTCGCGATTACCCACGATGGCGAAGACAAGGAATCGAAGGAAGAGTTCGCTGTTGGTCCACCTACCAGCCTTGCACTGGTATCGACAATACAATTTGTGTCTGCACTTTCTCGTCTAAAAGAATCTCTCTCTTCACCATTGTTGAATTCATCTTCATCTAATCTATGGCCTGGTCCCTACGTCACGACAGTGCCGCGCTCTCACCCTTTATCGCCAGGCGAGATCCTTGGATGCACCGCTCCCCGCCTGCCAGATGTGCCAGATGCATTCATATATCTTGGTGACGGTCGCTTCCATCTTGAGGCTGCAATGATAGCCAATCCCGGCGTCCCCGCATTTCGGTATGATCCATACTCGAAAAAACTGACGAGGGAGGAATATGACCATGTACGGATGCGGAATATGAGGTCAAAAGCTGTCAGGAATGCGGAGAGCAAGGGGACTTGGGGTATCATACTGGGCACACTGGGAAGGCAAGGAAACCCAGGTCATCTCAAGGCCATCTCGTCGCTCGCTTCGTCGGGAAACCAGACCACTAGCATAACTCCAATTCCCATTCTACTCTCAGAGCTCTCACCCGCAAAGTTGGCCCTGTTCAATGATAGCATCGACGTCTTTGTGCAGACATCGTGTCCGCGGCTTTCTATTGACTGGGGAGCAGCCTTCGAGAAACCGTTACTGAGCGTATATGAGTCCGGCGTTGCGTTAGGCAAGTGGGGTGGATGGTGGGAGGATGGCGACTACCCAATGGACTTTTATGCAAGAGGTAGTCGATGGGTCGAAGCCAGGAAGCACGGGGAATTTATTATGACGTGACGGCCATTTGAAGTTCCCTCATTTTACGAAGACATACCTAGGACTTCTTCGCCATGTACGACAAATACTGTAGCGGTAGTGTACCCATTTGTACTCATGACAACAATTATAGAGGTAACATGATTGTCAAAATGCAGCAGATGAACGAAACCTGCAAGCATGAAGACTGTTCCTGAGATACACAGAGGCATAAAATTGCTGTTCAGACCAGCGCACTAAGTATTTAGAATCGATAAAATAATCTCGCCGATTACTCCTCCTGCATACGCCGTTTCCCAATGAAAGCACTCCAAAGTACGGTGGGTACATTATATGGTTGCCATGCAGCCCACCCTCGTCTGCCACTTTTACCTGGTAGCAATGCCGTAGAGCGCGTGGGGACAACCAGATTGGCGTAACAGAAATCATGCTATGGTATGTACAATGCTGAAGATCGACAAGTGCAGATAAAGAGACGAAGAAGGGACAGTTGGACAGATAAGGAGATCGAAGATGGTCTCCGGCAACGGTCATTCAAACTGTCTATTCAAGTACGCCCGTACAGCGTCCTGAATACTTCGACGGGCATCAGCAGGTAAAGACTCTACGAAGAATTCATCAAGAGCGGCCTTTCGTAGAGAGAAATAAGACAAGTACTATGCGCATTCATATTGAGGTCGGTGAGCATATCGTGAATTGACAGTGGGTTCATCTCTTCTGCAAGCTCTGCCATTGGGTTCGGTAAATCAAATACACGCAGAGAATGCGGAGCACATACTCCTACCGGAACTCCTAAGCTGGTCTGTCCAACCACTTTCGTCTAGTTGGGCTGTGAACATGGCCTTGAGCCTAGTGATTATGTTGAGCTATAGCTCTATAACCTTCGGCATACAAGAAAAGGATACCTTTGCCACTCTCCTGTCTCTATCATACGCTGAAGAATCTGCTTGAGGTAAACATCAACGTCAGCAGCAGGGCCAGCCATGATGGTGGCAAGTAAGAAACCGCGGTACCGTGATTATTCGTGATCAGCCGAAGCTGTCCTGCCGGCCGAACGTACTATTCACAATCGGCACAGGGCTCTGACAGCAAATAAATAGGATAACCACAGCTAGTACATTATATACATTAAGGTATGCATATCATCACTGATCTGACCCACTCAGAATTGACAACTTCTAACTATGGGCTGAGTATCGATTCCTTGACGACGGGACAGACGAGGACAGTGGGCGTTCTCCCAGTTCGTGTGTATATCTCTGCGTATAACGTGCAGAAAAGGAGTTAACACCCCACTCATACACCATCAGAGTCGAAGGATTGCCCTTCTCATCAAATCCCACCTCGTATTCGCCTACCTGCCTAGGTCTAATTCCTTTAGTACTCTGCCAAGACTCCTGAGAATATCTCAATGTGAATTTTCGCAAGTGCGGGTTCTCACGAATAATCTGCGTAGCAGTGGTCAGCATCTTTTCGTCCTCGGGGGAGTGCATCTTTGTCAATATGATAGACTGTAGATGAGTGGACTCCGTATCTTGAATGGCTTGCGAGAACAACTTCTATATTTTCATGCTCAGACGGGGAAAATCTACGAGGCAGGCGAATAGACTTACGATGTCAAAGGAGGGGTGGGTGAAACATGTCAAATCCAAATGTGAGAGTTGTGGGCAAGAAGACAAGAGATTGCGCAACAAACACCCCTGGTCGCGATCTATCTTGGTATTGAATGATAGGTCGAACCATATACTCAACGATGAAAGCGACGTCAGCGATTCAAGGATGGAACACAGGTAGGGGATCGACGACGTCGAGTACAATAAGGAGGACAGGGAAAGATTTTTGATCAGGGAAGGGTTGGGTAACGTAGCGACGTATTTCAACGGCCCCGTAAAGGCCTCAAGATGGGGCAGCGCCATTGGGGGAAGGACCAAATTCGTAGGGAAATGATCTCCCCCAGCATATTGCAGGTTAAGTTTATGGAGCGAAGGATGTGCGAGTAAGAAATCCGTGAATGTGGGTTCTTTGATCCAGGATACACGTTGTCGTTTTCTCGGCTGGATGGAGAGGTCCCCTAGGGTAAGACACCTAAGATGCGGCCACCGCCCATGTGTTATGTGGCGGATATCGAAAAGTCGTGGTGATGGTGCTGCCCCACCTATAGCGAACCTTTCAAGATGAGGACATCGCTCGATAATCATTTCCCAGAATCGTTTCGGTATTTTCTCAATGTCTGGCAGTGTATCTATAATGGAGGTGTGCGAGTTAGTAGCGGTCTCGAACCACAAGGAGAGTAACAAACCCGGTACCCAAGGAAGGGATAGTGTTTTGACTATGAATGAGAATGCCGTAAGGTCACTGAAGTCATAAAGCTTTATTTATAGCCCTCAGTGTTTGAGTCTAGCGTAGGCTGAATTAGAACCCACATTACTAGCCGGATCCAGCCTCCGTGTTCCAACAGTAGTGCCAATATTCTTCAGTAAGGGACATCTAAAGGAATGGCCCAGGCATTGGTCGGATTCATAATGACCCCAAGTAAAAACTCACGAGTTTCGTAAAACAAGCCATAAGTGATCGTCGGGCATTTCAACGCCGTCCCAAAAGAATGTATGAAGCGATGGCATGTAGCGTACAGCGCGTATGAGTAGATCGACTACCCCGGATTCGTTTAGTGAGACATCTATTGCGGTCCATTCGATATTGTTGGGGTGAACAATTAATTTCGTTACATGTCGGGCAATATCAGGATGCTTCAACAGCATGCCTAACACCACCTTGCATTGTCTGCTCGTTTTGAGGTCGACGTTGCGATACAAGTGTGAGACTAAGAGTGAGTGCATGCTGCGAGACTGAGAAAACCGATAAATGACTGTAAAGACAAGACTAAGTTCAGAACTCACCGTTAGACTCATACTCAGGATATCTCTGAGTAAAGGGATTCGCCGGGCCATTTCTTGAATGACATCTGGCGGCAGTCTCTCAATTGGAGTTAGAAGCTTAGAGGAGCGACGACCAGGAGAAGCCTTGGTCAAGAAGAAGGCTTTGACTCGCAATATCGATCGTGAACGTGAGGGAGAGAACACACCCATGATTGATGTACCTGGAATGAAGAGTGGGGCTTTATATCTTTCTAGAGTCTAGCCGAGATTGAATTACTGGCCCGGCGGAGTTCCCTCGGCGACTGATTGTGAGATCGTCGGATAACCGTGATGACTGGCGGCTAAAGCCTGTACTTGAAGAAGTAAGGCTAGGATAATGATGGTGTTAATATCCTCCCATCCCGAGCCAATTTATGACCTGGTCACTTGTCAAAATGTAAGGTTGTTATGTATCCCCATAGAGTTCGGTCATCCTGTTAGAGCAGGGAACCCATGGACATTTGGTTCTGCAGTTTCAAAGGTAAGTTCAAATCCATGGCTGAATGTGTTGCCCGTAGGCAGCGAAAGATGTCGAAGCTGGGTTCTAGGCCAATTTCTTCCCATCGTAATGTTCCATGACGACCGGACGAAGCTCGTATCTAAAGTCTTGTTTCAGGACTTCGTAAGGTCAACAGATGAGCAAACAAAGAACGAAAGAGGTGGGTATAGGACGGCAACCGCTCGCAAAGCCGATGGCGGTGGATGTGGCGGGCACTTGAGCCAATTACACTATGCTCGCACCAAACCACTATCAGGAAAGTGTACATTGGGATGTTTCACGAAGTGGAGACGAATAACTCTGGAGCCGCCAAAGCTTGATCGATTAATGAATTACGCTTTAATGCTGCGGAGTTGCCTGTTGGAGACTACAGGTAAGACGGTAGAAATATATTTTCGAACGAAGCAAACTCCTAGAGGACACACAAAACAAGAAACCAAAATAGCATGGAAGACCCACCAGAATAGCAACTGCAAGTTGCGTCCATCCCATGCAGGCCACTAAAACATCTGATCTGCTTATTCTAGTCGGTTTTCAACCTGAGAGCTTTTGGTACCGTTTCTTCGCCCGGGCCAAGGAACAAGAAGTCAGCATCCTCGTCCCCATCACTGCGATCCAGATTGAAGACCGCAACCTGACCACCATTCTGGGACACAGTTTCAGCGTATCCAGCAGCAGGATACACCTGCCCGAGTTAGCAGGATGGAACCGTGCCAAGTAGAATCTCACCGTTGAGGACGTCCCAACCACTAAACATAAATCTGCCTTGTCAACCAACTTGTCAATGACATTCAGGTAGAGCGGCATTTCCTCGAACCAGACTACGCCAGGTCTCGCCAATGCATTGCATTTTGAACATCTCGGAAGCTCTGTTTTTGCGATATCGGGATCCATCGCGTTTTTATCTACAAGCTCTTCCACGCCTCTGAGTCCCTCACAGATGGGAGAGGATCGGTCAAATTGAACATAACCACATGTCTTTGAAGAACATTTAACGTCGAAGAGGCGCCCGTGCATCTCGAGTATGCGAGGCTGCTCTTCTGGCTCCGGAGGATTTGAGGAAAGGACATCATCGAGAGCAATGATGCTGAGGCCATCGACATTCTGAGTGATGAGAGTAAATGTCGAGTTGGGTGCATGGAGTGAGCGTATGGACGACAGAGAAAATTCGGCAAGAGCACGATGGGCAGCATTCGGTTTGACCTTGAGGGCCCTATCTCTCATCTATTCAGATGTACTTTCCGATAAAATGGCGCACTCACGTCTCCCTCCGATAATGATAGAACTGCCAGACAAGTGAAGGGTCGCGCTTGAAAGCCTGGGGCGTGGCAAGAGTCATTGCATTGTATTTTCGCCAGAGTCCGCCGGCGCCACGAAAAGTTGGAATTCCTGAAGCAGCAGAGAGGCCTGCGCCTGCTACGACGATGATATGTTTGGCCTTTGAAAGGACTTTGCTGAATTGTCTGTAATCTGAGCTTGGTACCATGAGTGAAAGGTTCGTGGGTGACTATGACATCAGCGAAACCTAGGCTGCTCTCAACAAAATCCAGCGCTTCCTATTCGCTACTATGAAAGCCTCAGCTTGTTCCGTGTTCCTAGCCTTGGGTCTCCAAGATTATTCTGGCTCCTACCTTGACTGTCCTACTCAGGTCTTCGATACAGCACCCCTTCTGAACATTACTGTCCCAATGGTGTCCACCCAAGAGCAAATTCGGTCTGCTATAGTTGTGTTCGAGTCTGCCGCTCAGGGTACCAAGCCCGCCGACCTGTTTGAGATGCAGAGCTGGATGATGGGTGGTGCTCACGTCAGTCTTGGCTATGGGTTGCTCAGTCTCTATCAAGTTCGTATACTCGTATCCACTTGGCTTGATAACTAACATGGCTTCAGCAAGCGGAAAACATTCAGCCCCAGGATATTCAAGACTTTGTAGGATATTCGCTTCAATGGGTAGCTGCAATGGAAGAGCATCATGAGTACATTTTTCTCCCCTCGCCATTTATTCCGCTGGCTGATGTGTCTATAGCCACGAAGAGAGGTTCTACTTTCCCCTGTTCCCTTCTAAATTCGCCTCTACCTCTGGAACAGCCATTCATGACGAGCATATATCTTTTGCTACTAATCTTCAGTCTATGCACGATTACCTTGTTTCCTGTCTGCCTAACGGTGCAACCTATGGATACGGCTCGGTTGCCGGGGAGCATGAACAACAGGAGTTTGACGGCAAGAAACTGAAGGAGATAGTGGACGGTATGATAGAGAATTGGTGCAAGCATGTAAGAAGCACCGCTCCTTGCACGCATGCGAAACACTGAGTTGTTTTCTTTGTCATAGATGACAAACGAGCTAACTTATCTCTCCCCGTCAAACCTCCGCGAGTCTGGTTTGACTGAAGACGAACTGAAGAAGATTGGGGCTGAGACGGCAGTGCATATGAAATCTCAGGCATGTCTTGAATATTTTATTCTGTCGGCATTTTCTCACTGAGGTTTAGCCTAAAACAACATTTGGTGTCTATGTTGTGATCCATACGCCAACCTCGTTAAGCTTCCCGCCTATGCCTGGTTTCGTCAAGAATTATATTATCCCTTATCTTTTGTACCTGCCCTACCGTCGTTTGTGGAGGTTTGCGCCGAAGCTTTAACTTTAATCTTGAATTATTTTGAGTCTGTATTTGATACTTTGTATATGGAATCCGAATCTGACCACTTTGAGTCCACGTGGGATTTACATACGCGCTCACGCGTCTTGCTCTTGCCCTCCATCATACCTACGTAGTCACTGTCATTTGTACAGTGCTTACCACCACCATGGCTGGGCAATGTGCCATGCGGGATACTTGCGGGAGGAAGGGCATATTTGGTAGAGACTTACCATGTCCGTATGATGGGCCTCCAGTCCAAGTGCGTCATCAGTCTGCCTCTGCAACCGAAATCCAACTAATTAGCAGGACCCATAGCCAGACAATCGCAACCTCCTTATCTCTATTTGTGGTGCCGACTTTGCCACAGGACCCACCTGCTGTACCTCTGCCCAGCTCACTACTCTCCAGGACAACTTTGCACAGGTCACCGGCCTCATTTCCTCTTGCCCCGCTTGCTTGAACAACTTCAAGTCTTTCTTTTGTTCCTTCACGTGCTCTCCAAACCAAGCGTCTTTTCTCAATGTTACATCTACTCAGTCGACCACGTCGGGCAGGGCGGTCGCTTCAGTCGACTTCTTTGTTGGAGATACCTTTTCTCAAGGCTTCTTCGACTCGTGTAAGAATGTCCAGATGGGTGCCACAAATGGCTTTGCCATGGATCTCATTGGAGGCGGGGCGAAGGAGCCCAAGGCCTTCCTCAAGTACCTTGGAGACGAGAAGCCCATTGGCAGTCCATTTCAGATCGACTTCCCCCCGTCTTCTGTAGAGATTCCCGAAGGAATCGAGAGGCTTGACCCTCAACCACGGAATTGCGCATCCACTGACCTCGGTAGTCGATGTTCGTGCATCGACTGCCCCGACATATGTCCATCTCTTCCCGACATCCCGGCCGCCGCCACGTGCAATGTAGGCGTTATTACGTGCTTGTCATTCGTACTCATCCTCGTATGGTCTCTGTGCGTGGCAGGCTTCTTGGGGGGCACCATTGTAGGGAGAACCATCAGGAGGCGGAGAGAGAGGGGTTATGAGCGAGTTGCGCTAAGTGCAGAGACAGCTTCGCTTTCGCCACGGTCATATTCACGAGGGCTGATCGGTGCCGGTTCTTTGGCGCAGTATTTGGATGAGAATGAAGCCGGAAACGGTATGCGCATAACGACGGAGGAGGAGCTGGGACGGGGCGCATCGTTATTAGACCCCGTGGAGACTGCGCAACCACGTCAGTACAAACTGAACAACGTCCTGAGGCGGGCGTTCTACCGGCTCGGACTCTGGGCAGCTTCCAGCCCATGGCTCACTTTCTTCATCTTTTTCACTCTTGTCGGACTGCTCAACGTGGGATGGAAGAATTTCGAGATTGAAACAGACCCAGTACGGTTATGGGTCTCACCTTCTTCGGAGAGCAAGATCCAAAAGGAATATTTCGATGAACACTTCGGGCCATTCTATCGAACTGAACAGATTTTCATCACTACCAGTGGCGAAGACAAGGAACCCGTTTTATCTTGGGACCACTTGAAGTACTGGTTTGACGTCGAGGCAGATATTCGTGGGCTCAAGTCTCCGGATGGATATACACTTGAAGATGTATGCTTCAAACCGGCTGGTCCTGAGGGCGCATGCGTCGTTCAATCTCTCGCTGCGTGGTTTGGGAACGATTTAAGTGGGTACAACGAGAAGACATGGAAGGGACATCTGCAAGGATGCGCCGAATCTCCCGTGGAGTGTCTTCCAGATTTTCAGCAGCCACTTGCACCACAGTATGTCTTGGGTGGCATTCCATTAGACCAAGAGGGTCGGAAAAACTACTTTGGTGCTGAAGCCATGGTGGTTACTTACGTGGTTTCGCATGCGCCAGGTGTGGAGGAATGGGAAGAGCTTCTTCGTGCCTATCTCACTGATCTGTCCGACCGGGTCGTGGAGGAGACTGGGCTGGAGCTGGGTTTCTCAACGGGAGTGTCACTGGAGGAAGAGATCAATAAGAGCACAAACACAGATGTGAAGATTGTTGTGCTTTCATATGTCGCGATGTTCGTCTACGTATCGTTGGCCTTAGGCAGTGGGGTTCACACAGAAGAAGAGGGGGTAGTTTCATCACTTGTCAGATGGACAAGGAATTTCCCTGGTCTGTTCAAACGAAGCACCTCTGGTGCCATGTCGATTGACTCCCGGACTACGCCACGATGGGTACCTAGACTCCCACGTACATTATTCACTACATCCAAGTTCACCCTCGCTCTGTTTAGCATATCCCTGGTCATTCTGTCAGTCTCATCATCTGTGGGATTCTTCTCCGCGATTGGTGTCAAGGTTACTTTGATTATCGCGGAGGTCATACCGTTCTTAATTTTGGCTGTGGGGGTAGACAACGTCTTCATCCTGGTGCACGAACTGGGCAGACAGAACTTACTTCATGGGCCTAATGCTGGACTATTAGATGGAGGCGTATTGTCGTCAGCCACCGATTCTAACATGTCGCGAGCGGGACATTTGTCTCCTTTTGATTCTTCGCATGAAGAGGTGGACGCGGCGTCGGTTCCTTTGTACTTTTCCGCAGAGGAACGAGTAGCGCGGACGTTGGCGAAGATGGGTCCTTCGATCTTGCTGAGCTCAATAACGGAGACAGTGGCCTTTTCGTTGGGTGCTGTAGTCCCCATGCCGGCAGTGAGGAATTTTGCGCTCTATGCCGCAGGGAGTGTGTTCTTAAATGCATTGCTCCAAGTTACGGTCTTTGTCAGTGCTTTGGCGCTGGATTTGCGGAGGTCTGAGGTGCGTTTCATGCGACACTTTGTATGGAGTGCTGTCATTAATGGCGTTCTAGTCTGGTCGTATTGATTGTATTCCCTGCATCAGAATTTCGAGCCGCATTGAGCTACTTGATGTCCCCAGTGGCACAAGACTTGGAAAAATTGCACGGTTCGTAAAGAGACATTACGCGCCATTCTTGTTGAAGCCTGCTGTGAAGGGCATCGTCGCTCTCGTATTCTCTGGCATATTCGTAGCTTCTGTCATTTCAATACAGCACATAGAGCTTGGTCTTGGTGCGCAATTTTTCCTTCATGTCTTGTACTGTCTCTAATATATGATGTAGATCAACGTCTGGCATTGCCTTCTGAATCATATCTTGTACCATACTTTAATAAGCTCGATGAATACTTGGACGTCGGACCTCCCGTCTACTTCGTTTCGACGGACATCAACGTAACCCAGCGATCCGGACAACAGGCACTTTGTGGCCGATTTACAACATGCAACGAGGTTTCTGTCGCCAACATCCTTGAAGCCGAACGCAAACGCCCTGAAACATCTTTCATCTCTGAGCCTAGTGCTTCTTGGATAGATGATTTCCTTGGGTGGTTAGATCCCGCTAAAGAGGCGTGTTGTCGGGTACGGAAGCGAAACCCCGAAGTGTTTTGCACTGAGCGCGACTCGCCTAGATTGTGTCAACCTTGTTATGAAGGCAGGGAGCCTGCTTGGAATATCACGATGCGGGGGCTTCCGGAGGGCGACGAGTTCATGAAGTATCTACGCCAGTGGCTTATATCGCCCACAAATGAAGAATGTCCGTTGGCTGGGAAAGCATCGTTTGGTATGGCGCTATCACTGAGTCAATCCGACGAGGAGGGACCAGGATCCGTAGTTGCCTCACACTTTAGGACGTTCCACAAGCCGCTCAAATCGCAAGCGGATTTCATACATTCCTTTGAAGCAGCTCACCGAGTCGCGGATGATATTTCGGAGAAGACGGGATCATATGTGTTTCCGTACTCACTGCATTATGTGTTTTTCGACCAATACGCGCATATTCTCGCCATAACGCAGGAGGTCCTTGGACTCGGGTTGGGTGCAGTGCTTTTGGTAACCGCGATCTTCCTGGGTTCATGGCGCACGGGTATGATTGTAACGGGCGTTGTAGGGCTTACAGTGATTACAGTCATGGGTGTGATGGCCGTTTGGGGCGTCAGTTTGAATGCTATCAGTCTGGTGAACTTGGTCATTTCGCTAGGTATCGCGGTGGAGTTTTGTGTACATGTAGCAAGAGCATTTATGAGTGCAGGCTCGGGTCTTCCGGTGGATCACCCTGCAGGGCAGAAGGAGCGAGATGAGAGAATGTGGACCGCTTTAGTTGATGTCGGGCCTTCGGTGAGTTTGCATTTGGTTGATAGTGACTTTCTTTCCACGAACCTACTTCTAGGTATTATCTGGTATCACATTTACAAAGCTCATTGGAATGTGTGTATTGGCCTTAACACGCTCAAAACTATTAGAGGTTGAGCATAATTTCATAGACAAGGACATTTACTGATTCTTTCGGCAGATCTATTATTTCCGCATGTGGCTCACGCTCATTATATCGGGTGCTTTGCATGGGTTGGTCTTGCTTCCCGTGATTCTGAGCGTTGCCGGAGGGCCAGGATTCCCTCTACAAGAGGCAGACGAGGAATGGATGACGAATGCTATAAGAAATGATTATGAATATGCGTGAGTTGCTTATCGCTATGATGTAGTCGTTTGTTCAAGTTGCCTTCCACAGGCCTTTCTTGGCCGACGATGATTCGGTTGCTAGTGATTAGATCTGTTTGTATTACTTGGATTGCTATATGGACAGCTGTGTATCCTTTAACGACACCTGCAAGTAATTTCATTAACGCAGAACTTTTTTTCAATACTTGGAAGCATCTGAAAGTATGGTATATAAGTATAAGTATCGTAATCCCACAAACCCACATACAGAGGCGATGTGGATTGACTGTCCCGAATCCCTAGTAAAAATCAGATCTTAGCGGCATCCATTGCAACCAACGCGTTTTATCTCGGGAGCCTGATGGCGGAATCCAGATTGAGGTCCATTCCAGCGTCAGATTGAATGTGATAGCATCGGCTACTTGAGTGGTAGGTAGGTAAGCAGCCGCAATGTCCACAGTGAATGCCGGTCCCCATTACGTACACCATAAGAGAAGTAAGTAAGTGGCGTCACTCAAGACTCTCCACCGTTCTATAGGCCCAACCCTGAGAGTTTGGCCAACCTTGCGACTGGTCTGACAACCGCCCTCATCAATGTGCAGCGGGACAATCCTGGGGGTTACTTTTAGCAACAACTGGACAAAGTACTGGTTTCGGAAGGCGAGGTGGGGAAGCTTAACAAATGCTACAAAATGCTTGGGCTATCCCCGAATCTGCCAAAGACTATCAGCATATTTGAACAGCTCAGGGTGCAACGGGAGGTAGGCCAAGAGTACTGTTTTGAAGAAAGCGATGATAACGAAGGAGACACTGGTGGGATGGAATATGAATTCCAACATCGATCGCTTGAATACTCGCACCCACAACGAGATGAAGGATTTCAGAGTGAGCTTTGAACATGTAACAACTCGCTTGTATGAAGAATTGTACCAATTACATTTTGAGGTTGTATCATCCGACGACCACATTTGAAAACTATCTCGTACAGAAGCCGGGAGTTTGCCTAGTCTGTTCTGTCGATTGACTCACGAACTAGGCCACGATGGATCCCTAGACTCCCACAAACATTATTCACTACAAGAATCTTAGTCCCGCATAGGTGATCTGGATCGACTATCCCGAATATCATCCCGGCTATGGCTCCTCCTACCTCTGCTAACAGACCTAGACCGGCTCCTACTTCTGCTGTATTTAGAATATGACGAGTAGGATGATCTCGAGCGGGAACGCGAGTAAGACCTTGACCTTGAGCGACTCGAGCGAACAGAATAACTTCTCGACCTGGACCTCCTTCTGCCGTAACCGCCACGCTGATAGCTCGGGGACCGCCTCCTGGGACCGAGGCGGTCACCACTCCGGCGTGGAGGTGACCGAGAGCGCGAATGCGTGCGAGAACGTCCCCGACGATAGAAGCCCCCACCTCTCCTGCCGCCTCTTCCTCCTCTGTACCCATCCCATCCCCCTCGACGACGGTATCTTCCAGGTGGAGAGCGCGAACGACTTCGAGATCGGGAGTAGGAGCGAGAGAACGAACGTGCGCCCCGACGCGCCTTTGGCGAGCGCGAGCGCGAACGTACTGGAAGATTAGATAACTCGACTTTGAGTATAGCGCCATCAAGCTGGCCGCCATTCATATGCGAGGCAGCTTTGTGTGCTGAAACAGGGTCAGAGTATTCCAGGGCAGCCTTTCCTTTGTTTTGGCCAGCTGTAAGTAGGCGGCTTATCAGCGAAAAAAATTAAAAAGGCATACAATACAATACGCACATTTCCCAAACAAAGGCAAGTCAATTTTTATTATATGGCCATAAAAGCCAAAGATGGTTTGCAGGTGCGATTCGACGACGTTTCGAGTAAGGTTGGTTACAATGACAACCTTAGCATTGGCATTGGGAGATATTGGCGGAGACATGGATGCATCGCGGCCTCTGCCTTGCAGCGGTTTTGGCGACGTCGAACGACCTCGACTCGACATGGTGGTGTTGATGAAAGACGCGCTGTAGGCGTAGCAAAACAAAGCACAATATAATTTCTCACGTAATAACCGGCCCGGTGGATCATATGCGGCACCAAGTGCTAATATTTCCATCCATTCCTATTTGCTATATTTTACAATGCTGAATCATAGAGACGTCGCTACAGATGAGACTTGAAACCTGCCTTCTCCAGCATCTCTTTTTCTTTCTTCTTAATCTCTGCCGCTTTCTTAACCAGTGCAGGAGCCCGCTTGAGCTCCCTCTGACCGACTTGTTGGATGTGCACCTGAAATAATCAGTAGAGTGATGAGAAGCTTGCACTGAGCACCTACCGCGTCAGGTCCCTGTGAAGAAGATAATAAGTATTCTGGGTAACCAGACAAATAGTTAGCACTCACATCTGCAATACGTAGCGTCCTCAATCCTGCCCAGGTCTCGGCCAGATTCTGGTCTTGGGATACACCCTCAGCGCCAAAAGATTGCATAGCTCGGTCAAGAACAGTCAAGGCCATGGATGGAACAGTGAACTGCTCACAGGATGAGAAATGTCGACAATTATCATTATGTCGTCGAATTTCTTACCTTGGCTATACCGATCTCCTTAAGAGCTCCTTTGGCCTTGTATTTGTCGATCTGCAGGACATATACGAGGTAAACATGACAACTTTGTAAGAGTGGTTGCACCAACCATCAATGCGGCACTCAAAACGAGTAATCTTCCGGACTCGATTTCAGCACGAGACTTCGCAATATCCGCGATGACGGTACCTGGTCCATGAAAACACCCTAGTTAGTGCTGTTCCCTATGATGATGGAGACTCGTGAATTCGAACCGTGCTCATAAAGGTATTTCCCAAAGGTTTTCCGTGAAGGATCAGTGACCCTCTGAAGCATGGTATCTAAAGCGGCCTGTGCAGCACCGAGGGTTCGCATACAGTGGTGGATACGTCCAGGGCTGTGGGCTGGTTAGTTCTCGCAAACTGAAGAGGACCCCAGTAAACCGCACCCAAGACGTCCTTGAATGATCTAGTAAAGCTTAGATAACAATTAACCCCTACGGTGCAGTAGTTACAAACCTCAAATCCTCTACCCCATCCTAAAACAAGGTTACTCAAGGGCACGCGGACATTTTCATATATGATTTCGCAATGTCCTTCCGGCGCGTCGTCGTATCCCATGACTGTCATGGGTCGAACAACTGTGACCCCGGGTGCATCGGCAGGAACGATGACAACGCTCTGCTGATTGTACGCATTTTTGTTGGTGGCATCACTTTTGCCCATGACAAGGTGAAGGCGCGTTCTTGGATCGCCAGCACCGCTAATCCACCTATCAATGCTTCAGCATTATATTATCAACAAGATTGCAAAGGACAGACCATTTATGACCATTAATGACAATTTCGTCACCCTCTCGTCGAATGGATGTCCGGATGTTGGTCGCATCTGAGGAAGACACTGCTCGAGAAGTGATGTTAAGTACTTGTCAAGAGTACCACTAGGCACTGACGAACCAAACTTTTCGGTCATGGAAAATGCAGAACGTATCTCTCCATTCAGCAAAGGTACCAACCATTTCTGCTGTTGCTCTCGAGAGCCATAACGAGCCAACACCTCTGTAACCATTCATTGATCTTGGAAGCAACACTCATATTGAGCGACAAAGCGTACCCATGTTTCCTGTATCGGGCGCTGAACAATTGACAGCTTGCGAGGCAATAGGACCTCCTCGACCAAGAACCTCCGCCATCACGGCATACTATTGCGGTTTAACGGATTTCAAGAAGAGTGAATGCTGACACGAACCTCAAGATTACTGAGTGGTACACCAAATTCGGGATAGTGTGTATTGCTCAAAAACAGATTCCACAAGCCCAACTTTTTAGCTTTAGCTTTGAGTTCTTCGATGACGGGAATGACAGTCTTCCATCGCTTTTCGGGGTCAGCGGGCAGTTGGGCATGGGCCAGTTTCGTTGATGGCATTATTTCATTCTGCACCGATGTCAAATATATTATCCAAAGAATTAACAAGACTCACTTCAAGGAATGTGATCAACTTTGCTAACGTCTCCTTCGCATAAGGCGAGAACTTGTCCTCCACCTGGGGCGGTCAATTGGACACTATACGACATTTACGTTGAAAAGGCGAACCATTGCCCATGATGCCTCAGAAGTGAGCTCGACGACTGGATGATATACCATTGCTATAGTGGGGGAAGAAATTGAATCTGGGGAACCAGGTCATCCGGCGACCAAGTATAACCGGACCGAGGTTAACGCTGACATGAGACTTCGGAGTCGAGTTGATTCCGGTAAATGGATGCAGGACGCACTGTGTGGAACAGTGCAACTTTTTGGAGGAATCCTGGATATACAAAGGACTATAGGTTGCTATAGTACTGTGATCACGGAAGTAAAACATAGTTGTGTGCTACATGGTGAATCGATAACCTGTCACTGTAATCAGCAACAGCGGCAGCAAGTCCTTCAAGGAAGTTAGTGCCTTTTATATATCCTAAGGCAGCACCTAGCCCTAACATAAGTACATAAGGCTTTATCTTGCTGCTCATTAATTGGTATCAATTTATGCTCTTTAGTGCCAACATACACGTTCTTCAGAATCGTTAGAAAAAATACATATGTATATGAGGCAAGAGATAGTGTAACCAGACTTAGTAGAAGAAGGTAATCATACGATATCGATACAAAAAGGAATTACATACATCTCTAATCATACACGACAGGATCATTCATCACTGTTCGTACGTTCATGTCAACAAATATAACGGCGTCATAGAGGATGATAATCGAAATCGAAGGATATGTTCAAAGGTAAGAGAAAGTAACGCTATGTCTGAATATCTGAATCACCTAGAGTAAACGGTAAGTCAGGACCGTAATCAAAATCAATGGGGTCGTAACTCTGCCATAGTGAGTCCTGGTCCATACTATATCCTCCGGAATTATTAAAATTGCGAATAAACTCAAGGCCACGGAACGGAAGTCCAGAGGCGTTGAACGACGCAGTGGGAGGTGTCGTGGATAATCCCATGGACCCGATACCATCCGAAGGCTCATAACCAGAGTAACCGGTATCAAGGCCGGCAGGATAAGCACCATACGGACTTTCATATGTCATGGCACCATCGGCTGAGTAGGCGTCAAGTGCGCTCGAACCGTCGGAGTTATTCCACTGCTGCGACGTCCCTTGACCCAAGGGATTGGACGATAGCCCATAGTCGAAATCATAAAGAGGCGATGCAGGCGGTTGATTCGAAGTCCCAGGGTATGGATATGCAGATGTCGAAGCGAGTGTGGGGCTATTGTCCTGCAAAAGGCCATTGGCGGACATAGCAGGCGATGGAACACTCATGGAAGAGGGCGAACTATTGTTGCTGGGGGCCAAAGTAGGACTCGTGAAGCTCTGATAGTATGAACCATCCTCTGGATCATCGTGTCCACGTTTACGGGATGTCGATCTCGCTCGGAGGGCGGCTATTGATCCGCGAGTCAATCACAGTAATTCATGAAAAGAGCTACTCACTGTCAACATGATAAGGCGACGCAGCTAGACGACGAGCGCCGCTTTGTTCCCTCGATCGGTTTCGGCGCGAAGTGTTTTTGCTCTTCAGCATTCTTCCGGGAATGGTATTGGCTGGTACGGTGGTTATTGTGACTGAACGTCGACGTTGGGGAGCAGGGGAATGAGGAGCAGCCGGAGGGGGGGTGTTAGAGTCAGACTTTGTCCCTTTGGCTACGGCATCGGTGGCCGTAGCGATAAGTTCCGCCAGTAACTCTTTGCATTTGCGAGCACCAGGCCAAGTCCCTTCCCAAGATTCAATCGCAACAAGGGCGGCCTTGGCTTCTTCGATGGCTTGTGTGGAAGCTTTGGCTTCAGACGCATGCATTGCGTACAGGAGAACGATGACAGCAGAGCCAAACAAGTGCTGTATGAAAAATGCCAAATGGTGTGATGGAGGCACTACATTTCTGATCGAGGGTGAGAGCTGTATGCACGCGCGTGCTGACGACACACCCTGAGAGGCTGACTTCTCCGTCGATGGATCCTCTCGGTTCACTGGAAGGAGATTGCGATGAAGGGTCGTAAGAACGGAGTAGTAATGGCTGCAAAGTACTGCAGCCAGAGCGGATTGCTCCGGAGTCTTAGGATCCTTCTTGAGCATGTTAGGTAGATCTTCGCACCACTGTGTAAGCTCTGCGTGAAGAACTTCCACGGTAATTTCAAGCTCGGCCTTCCTCTCTGGTTCCAAATTCTCCCTACAGTTATCCAATGAGTAAACCTGCCGGAGAACCCGACCCGTAATCTCGTATAACTTGGTCAGAGCAACCGTACCCGTCATCAAGAACGGCTGATTAAAGGTGGTCCCCTTGAAGTACTCCGAGAGATAATCGTCATCCACCTCGCATGGGTACTCGACATCGCAATCAGAGTCACTGATACCCAACGGTCTGCCAAGAGCTAAGGCAAGCATACGGTCTAACGTATACACACCCCACCAGATCTTTCGACGCGTTTCTTTCTCGATGGGCGTGAGTATGAGTCTACGCGGAGAGCGCTGTGGGTCCAAAGGTGAGACAAAGACGGTACACTAATAATAACCGGACTCACGTGAAGTCCAAGGTCTTGACCGGTTCGAACGGCTTGGCCGACGAGAATCCACGCTTGAGGAAGACAATTGACGGAACAGAGAAAGGAAGATAGAAGGATGAAACACTGGACGTGTGCTGCTTGTATGCTAGCATGGCTAATGTATTGGAGGATAAGGGCCCTATCTCTTGATTATCAACCGTTTTCCGCTCCTGATCGGCATCAGAATAGATACGCACCGCTCGTAATATACCATTCCCATGCCGCCATCATCAAGCCGCCCGCTTGTCGACAAACGGGGATCTTGCACGATGTTAGCAGCACAAGCGAAAACCGCGAAGATTAGAGATATAAAAGCGGTTTGGCTGCGCACCAGATTACGGTCATGAATGTTATTCATGACGTTCGTGTACTGAAGTAAAAAAGAGGGCTTATCAATGACAGGCATGAGGAAATGGAGACGCGCGAAATATGTTTCGACCTATGTGAGAAAAGTTATGGAAGTTTGGGGTGACTTAAAGAGACAAAACGTACGAGCTTGTCCGCCAAATCCCGCTCTGGGTATTCTACTTCTTCTGGTCCGGGGAGAGCATGAACTTGGCCGAAAAAAACAGAGGCCGGAAAATATAATTTATTGATGCTCGGGCCAGGTGCATGAGGATCCTCCTCCGCAGGCGATATCCGATGAAGTGGAGATGTTGTCAAGGCGCGGAATGACTGGATCAAAGACATCGATGAAGAGCCCCCCATCCACCTCATGTGACCATACTCATCAAGTGCGAGCTGACCAAATGATTCACTGACATCGTCCTCGATCTTGACTGGGGAGGCTGGCTCAGGTGGCCGTTGGATAGGCGCTATGGACCGTAATATGGCCGCAGCAGCAGCAGCGGCAGCAGTTTTAGATGGATTTAATGCTGGTGCTGATGTCGTGGTATCAGATGAGGACGAAGCGGTGCCGTTAGTCGAAGTCCCGATTTGCTCGAGTACTGGGGCAACCTGCTTGAAGAGTGATTCCATGTGAAGCAAACGCGCCTCAAGCTCCTGGACATAGCTAGAAATTTCTATCAGAGCCAATCATGGCAAAGTAAGTGGCAATGACGCACTGCCGACTCAGCGCGGCCCTATCTTTGGTTTGCAACCAAGTACATTGTGAGCCTGAAGTGCTGCACTGGGAACAGGTAGGTTCACAGCCATCGCATTTGATCTTCTTGCGCCTGAAAAAGAGAAAAAAAAAGATAAGTTTCTCATTGAAATCCTGAGAAGCGAAGTCAACGTGCCTACAGCTTTCGCAAGCCCTCCACACCCTTCTGCGTTGGAGCTGGATTGGTTTCTGGCCTACGTCCGGAGTGAGAGGTTCCTCGTCGGTGCGCTTCTTCTTTGACTGGTGTGCCATGGGCGTGTTAAGGGGCCCCTTTGTCATGAATGTAACGAAGAGGCGATGAAGGTATAAATCCAAGTAAGACGTCTGACCAAAGTCCTAAATTTGCGCTTTGCACGTGGTTATTCTCGAAACGGGAAGATGAACCGGGCCGATTATGCCGAGTGCGGCAGTGCCTCGCGTGCCTGAGACTGACTGTGGAGTCGTACATGTATCGCTGTGACGGTTGTATAAGGCAATCGTAGCGCTCAGTGTGTATGAACTTGACATTTTAATTGGGGTATGGAATGCTGCGATCGTCACATCGGTAACTATCTCCCTTCGAAAAGGTCCACCACGTCATTCTCCTGCGCCACGAATAGAAGCGGATTTCGCATTTCGCATCCCCTCTGACGTAGCCTTGGTTTCACCATCTGGTCTACTGACCAGGCAGATGGCCCCTGGGCGCCGAACAGTTGCTCGTCGTCCCGTACACGGCGGAGAAATCAAGGGGGCTATTGTTGGTATTTTCGGTGTCTCGTCTCCACCTAAATCACATAAGAGACATGACAATACCCAGAAGAACAATGACGCAATGGATACCACGTGCCTTTGTTTGCCGAAGAGCTTCAGGCAGTGCAACGTGTTGCCAAACAAAACACACCTCTCCCCTCACGCTGTAATGACCGAAGTCGAGTCAACGCAACCTCCGGCGACCGGTGAACCAGAGGCGATAATCGACGATGGCGAGGAAGCTGAGACCAAGGTATCTTCGTCGCGCGTTACTTTCATTCTTTGCTGACGGACCACAGGAAATTATGCTAATGAAGCAACGGGTGGAGGAAATGGAAAAGGAAGCTATGAAGCTTCGAGAGATGCAGGCTGAGGCGGAAAAGGTCAATAACGATGGCTTGGATGCTGGCGTTCCGATGGAAACAGATGAAGATAAAGCCGCTGCGGACAGTCGGAGCGTTTATGTCGGTAATGTCAGTGCCGTCGCGCCCTTCGGTTCTTCTGTCTTTTTTTCCTGATCTTTCAAACAGGTTGATTACAGTGCCACACCAGAGGAGATCCAGGGTCATTTTCAGGCCTGTGGAACTATAAATCGAGTTACCATTCTGTGCGACAAGTTTACAGGACATCCGAAGGGGTCAGTTTCTCCAGCATACTGCCTACAGCGATTGATGTCTCTTAGTTACGCGTACGTGGAGTTTGCCGAGCCAGAACACATTGATACTGCTTTAACCATGGACAACTCTCTATTCCGCGGCCGTTTGATCAAGGTCAGAAGAAAATTTCTTGTGGCAGGTATGCTATAACTGATATGCTTTCAGGTTACGGCAAAGCGGACCAATCTCCCTGGGTTCAACCGAGGGCGTGGTCGGGGTGGGTATAGAGGAGGCTACAGGGGAGGCTACCGAGGTGGTTATGGCGGATATAATCCATACAGAGGGCGTAGCCGGTATGTTACCTCCATCATTTTGTTTCTTCTGCTAACATGCACCCACAGAGGTCGTGGACGCGGGTTTTAGGCTCAAACGGAAGTGCGTCACATTCTCTTTTGTCGTTCTTCGTTTTGTTTTGTTATTTGTGTAACGTAGTCTATCCAAAATTACATTTACAAGGCCATCATATAATTCTACGCTTGTGTATTTGTGTCCAGCCGAAAATTTGGTCAAGTTATTGGGTGAAGAATTTCCGAAATCGGCATATCGAATTTCTGTCTTCGACCACCATTACGGTCAGGCTTACCGTTCTGCGGCGTCATGCTGCCAAACTTCTTGCGATGGACTACAAGGTCCATGTCGACCGCAGCCAAGACAGAGGCAAAGGCAAAGGCGTACCCATTCTCCAAAGCCGCCATTATACGTCCTGAACCAACTTCGCATATTCCCAATGCTCTGCGGGAAGGCAAAGGCCTTATGCCATACCTCTTCAAAAATCTTCCTCCTCGGGACAAGCAAAAGATGCTCCGAACGTTATTTTCCCGCAAGTCTCCCAGCCAATTGAAGCCAGGCTCCATCCTCACCATCACTATGGACCATGCGCCATCCGTTTTCACGGGCGTGCTGCTCTCGATACGGCGGCGTGGTCCCGACACTTCCGTTGTTCTACGCAACATTCTGCAGCGAACGGGTGTGGATATGCAGATATTCGTCAATTCGCCGCATGTGAAGGAGATAAAGGTTGTGCGAAAACCGCCGAGGGGTAGAATGAGACGGGCGAAGCTGTTCTATTTGAGAGATGCACCCGACAAGATGAGCATGATTGCAGGTGCCAGAAAGTAACCAGCTAATGGTGAGTATCAAATGTTTTTTTATTCGAATGCCAATATTCATCGTGTCTTTAGGGTGACTGACATTGACGTTCAATTTTCAATTTTGCGTGACACATGGCGTGTCAAAGCAGAACGGGTGGCAGAGGAAATATCATCTGAGGCGTATAACGACCGTCAGCTGTTACTGTCTCCTTGCAAATGATGTTCTTGAAATGACAGAAATTCTGAGCACACTAGAAGTGTGACTGATACATCAACATTGGCGAAACAAAGTGCGAAACATATACGTTGCACAGTGACATGCAAGAACTTGAACATACAAAATAAAAAAAGCGAAAGTTTGTGGCGCTTGATCCGGAAGAGCATACCAAATAGAGCGTGGTATACGGCAAGCGCATATCTGCAACTGCGCGGTTTCGTCACCTACCATCACTATCATGGCTCGTAATCGTCCTCGTTCCCTCCGAGGCCTTGCTTTCAGTTCAAGGCGCAACTCGTCACCAGGACCCCCTTCACCTACTTTCTCCGATACTACAAATGTCTCACAAATGAATTTCGGCGCAAATGGCCCAGAGAAGATTATAACAAGGTCCAACTTAAAAGCAAGTCTTCAGGCATATGAAGAAGTAAGATCTTTCGGCATTTGTTGAAACCTAAGTGTTCCAATGCACCCGGATGCAGCTCATGAACTCTTCTGCAAATTACCGTCTCGCTCTGGTCGCCATGTCGAAAGCAACTGCAGCATTCGCGGACGCAATGGAGGCCTGCAGCAGGTGCGAGATTTCTTATGTCCTCGCTGTTGTATATTATTCTTATCCTGCTCCAGCCTCAAGGGTCCATCATACGAGTCGGGGACGCGCTTACAAGCTGCTTCTGGTCTTCACCATCTCATCGGGAACCATTGGCATGTTCTGGTCAGTCAATCTGTGTCGTCAGAAATGAACTTGTCCGTGCTGATATGTAGAAATAGGCTGAAACAATTGATAAGAGCTTTGAGAAACCGCTGCGCCAACACTTGGAGACCTACCGTACCATAGTGACTGTGCGTTTGAACTGGATATGAACTTGGGTGATAACACATTCAATGACTCCACAGGAACGGTCCGCATCATACGAACGTGCACTGCGGGAGAAGAGTCGAGTTATCCGGGATACAGAAATGCGGAATATGAACAGGAAAGAGCGAAGTACGAAAACCCGATCATGCAAGAAGAAGCCATAACTGAGACGAGGGTTGCTTTCTAGATTTACAGAGCTTCCGCGAGGCGTTGTCAGTTCTTCAGCAGCAGGTGGATGATCTCGACGACCTTAAGGCTGCTCATTACCGGGAAATTATCGAACATGAAGAAGAAGTGTGGGACGTGGTACAGGGCAAAGTGGGTTTTCTACAAAGCATACTGTTCGTTTACTTTGAACTTTGACGTGCAGGTCTGCTTAGTCGTTCGTTCTACCATGGACTTGTTTGATAGATTCACCGCTAAAGCGTGCGTACCATGTGAACCAAGTCTAGGACCTAGCTGACCTCAAAACGCAGTTCTGACCCAGTCATTGAGCCGATGTTGCAGACGGTACCCGACCCATTTGATTCTTATGGCCCACCCCAAGCCGAAGACCAAATATTCAGCATTCTTCCTCCTCTTTCCATTCTTACGAACCCAACACCTTCATCATCAGCCGCTACACCTATAATGACAACACCAGAGCTTAATTCTGTTGAGGGGTTGCCCAGCTCTTCGAGCAGCCGAAACAAGTCAATGGCGTGGGCTCCAAATTCTTCAAATGGATTGTACACATCCGAATCAACTGAATGGGCGGACGTGTCTTCTCCCACCTCAACGTCGCCAACTCCACCGAGATCGGTGTCTCCACCAGTGTCGCGTAAACACTCAGCATCTCAAGCTGGACATCATTCTCGCCGTTCCGAGTCATCAAAACTTCGCAGTGTCCTGTCAGCCATCGACGAAGGTCATTCGCAGCAAGAAAGCCACGAATCTTCGCAGACAGAACCTGCACCTTATACTTCTGCACTGAACGGCACATCACCAGCGCAACCGCAGCCAGAGAAAGAATCCGGTTTCAATTGGACGTTACCTTTTACCTATGGCAGGTCACCGTATGATGACATAGATGACAGTGCCACGCCTCGAGTCTCAGCGTATAGGGGCAATGCTACTCCATCACCTCCTGGATCACCCTCACTTGACGATAGTAGTTCGGAGAGAAAAGAGTCCGATGAAACAAAATCGGAGCACAGTGGCTCGAGCATGCCCGTTACCACATAGCACAATTACCTCTTCCGACAACTTCACATCGGACCGAGATTTTCAGGATTATGCTTTCATTTAGTGATTCATCATATAGCTGTTTTTAGTAGGTAAGAGGCTCTCTAGATAGTTTGTTTTGGATAAATGCCATTCGACTTCACGTTTCCGCGTCGTGTACTTCTGAAACCTGGCGGTAACGTCCAAGTCCATATTGTCGTAAAGTGTAGTCTGGTACGGGCGCAGGACTTTCGAAAAGCATATCGGTGCCGGAACTTGTCTTCGGAAAAGCGATCACGTCGCGAATGGACGATGAATTGCAGAGTATAGCCATTAGGCGATCGAAGCCTGTGAACAAGCCATAATAAGAAATGCATGAGCACACGGAGTGAGGTGAAGACAGACCCAGAGCAATACCGCCGTGAGGTGGAGCACCGCATCGAAGGGCCTGGAGAAGATGATTGAAGGGCTTCCTCTCTTCCACCGAAAACTATGATAGCCGCTGATTACCTCCGAGACCAATTAACACGTTGCAATCCAGCTGACCTTGAGGATGTCCGTAAAAATGTATTCTTGCATGGCTGCATCATGGACACGCACAGAGCCACCCCCAATTTCAACACCGTTGAGGACTAGATCGTAGTGCTGACCCCGGACCTGGATAAAAGCCGTATGAGTATACGCCCAGAAGTGTGAGAAGTAATCTATTACACTTTCAATCTCACCATTGAACAGAGCTTCGACGTCCTGCCACATTGGAGCAGTAAATGGATGGTGTGTGCTTGACCATTTCCTGTTGAGTTCTAGTTCTGGCGTGAATAACGGAAACTCTGTTACCCAAAGGAAGTTCGGTGAATCAGGTAGGACAAATTTTTCTGGAAAGAGCTTGTTAGTGAAGCGTTTCTTACCTCGATGATTTGCGCTGCAGCTGACCTTGGTCAATAGTTGCCTCTAGCAAATTAAGCCTCTGTCTTCCTAGAACAGTGGATCCACCCTACATACGAAGTCAAGAAGTGATCCCATGTGGCAGGGATTGACCTCACAGTAGCGATCCTCGATCTTCGAGCTAGCCATAGCCCGTCACCAGGTGATATCCCCAGCTTCTCGCTGAGCGCGCCGACTTCAGACGCGTCTAGAGCCTCTGACATTTGGGGTACAATCCGGCTACGATTCAGCCATGTTTGGACGGTCTTGACGTTCACCGGAACGAACTCCTGGAGTAAAAACAGCCAGGTAAGAGAAAGCTAATCATGGAAGCTGTCTCGTACCGCAAAAGATTCGGTTTTACACTTTGGTGAAACTGATAGGAAGGAAGGTTCCTCGCGGTGCCGCAAGACGATACATTCGACGATTTCATCGCTCTCCCGCAACATCGTTTGCATTTCAGGGGGTAAAGCTTGGGTGATGTCTGAAATCTATCAATTGAACGGTAAACGGCCCTGATGTCCGGCACTAACGTGCAGCACGTACTTCTAGACCGAAACGTGTATCCGGTTTATCAGACCCAAACTGAGAAGAATAATTATCACTGTCCATTGAATAAGAAAGACACCGAAAGGCTTACACGTCTCATCGCGTCAAAGTAAGTCATGACTTTGAACCTGTTAGGTAAGGTTACACCTTTGAACTGCTGCCAAATGTCCTTGACGATGGTCTCAATGATATTCCGGACTTCAACACCTCCCATACGCCAGGCATCAGAGCTCGGGGACGCAGTAGTATCTTCCTGAGATCCCCATGATACAAAAGCCATCTCCATATCAATCTGAGTAAATTCCGGCTGCCTGTCCTTCCGGCCATCCTCGTCACGGAAGCATTTAGCAATCTGGTAATAACGATCTACCGCCCCCGAACAAATCAATAGTTGCTTAGGCTGCTGCGGCGACTGGGCGAGAGCGAAAAAATTAGGCGAATCCGAATCATTGCTAACCTGTGTTGGGACAAGATACTCCTTTGCGCCTTCAGGGGACGATCGTACGAGTAGGGGAGTTTCCACATCGAGAAAACCTAAAAGATTCTAACAGACTGTTCTCGATAGGGAAAGGCGAAGAAGGACCATTTTCGTGCAAGACATTTCTCACCAAGTGCGCCACATTCGCCCGCCTCTTCAAGTTGTCGGAAAGAGAGGAACGCCGGAGGTCAAGATACCGATAGCGCAGGCGATAGTCTTCATTTGGCTTGTGGAGCGGTTGGTAAGGAGAAAGATGAGCACGAGATGTGCACCTACTAGATTGTGACCTGACGGAACAAACGGTAGTTGTGTTGCGGGGTTTAACAGGACAAAACTGTGAACCTTGATGTCGATGTCACCTCCGGGGCCCTGGCACAGAGTCAAACACTAGAAGGATAATGTGCAACGTATGCTGACACTGCGACGGGCGTCTGAGGGCCTTAAAAGGACAGAGCCTTGAATTGAAACGACAGACTCTACAGGGACCTGGGATAGAGCGTCTGAAAATGCGTCGGTGTTGTCGACGATGAGCTGGACTGTGCCGGAAGGGTCTTTGAGCGGAAAAAAGGAGCAGACACGACCTTTCCTTGTCGAAAAGCATTGGTGGTGGACGAAAGGAGTAGTTTGACAGTAATCACCGTTTATTCAGGAGCCAGCCAGACAAAACGACCCGAGATCCAGCATCTGACGCGGACAAGGAGCCGCAGCGGTGAGTTCGAGTGGGGAATGGTGCTAAAAACGCTGATTGAGAGAAGAGAGGAGGAAAAAGGAGACTACGGCTGACCGCAATGGGCGAGAAAGTGCCGACGGAACGGGTGGTGATAATAAGAACGGAAAATAGCTCGGCAAGAGAAAAGTAAAGGACAGCGTGGAATAGAAAGAGGCAGTGCCCGGAGCAATGCTCGCATCACAGGCGCAAGAGAAAAAGAACTCGTCAAGGACAAAGTAAATAAAGTCTATTACGTAACTCCAAACATCATCAACTTACTACGAACAACAGAATCCTCTTCGCTGCCATCACTTTGTCCCTGCATCTATTAGCCGATTATAAAGTAAGGCGGTAAGGTAAATCCCAATGTCTCTCCTGCGACTCCATGCCTCCTTCCTTCCTCGCCCTTCCTGTCGAGCTCCTCGACTCTCTCTGCTCCCATCTTGGTCCCTGCGATCTTCTCTCCTTGCTCAAGGTATCCTCCAGGCTCTCCCCAGTCGCCCAGCGTCGTCTCTATCGCACAATTTTCGCAGCACCCGCCGCTAAAAATCTCTCCGTGGTGCTCACCCTCGCGAGAAGTCCCCTTCTCGCCCAGTATGTCACCTCTTTCTCTATCAATCTAGACTCCCAGCCCTCCCTGTTCCTGTCCTTCTTTCGCCATCTCGCGGTGGCGCTTGGGAACATGACCAACCTTGTCCATTTGTGCGTCTTCGTCCCTCCTCGGGTCAGCTGGATATTGCTTCCAATCAGGACATCGCACTACCCGTCCTTATCCTACTTCTCATGCTCGTTTCCCTTTAATTCTCATGTCGCGTCCTTCCTAAAGGCAACCCCTTCCCTTCTAAAATTAGAGGTGGACACATTATCTCCTTCATTTCAACACCATTATCTCGACGCCCTTCCACCTTCTTCGGTACCTCACTTGTCCCACTTTACTGGTTCCTCCCAGACCGCCCGAGCCATCGTCCCAGGACGTCCAGTTCAAACACTCCGTATTAATACAGGCCATGTCGATGACAGCGTTATTGACGCCATCGCCCAGTCCACAGCTGATGTGACTGTCTTTGAAGCGACAACTACATCTTTCCCCGCATCGCTGCTCCATCTTCTTTCCCAGCGCTTGCGCAAAATGATTTATCTCAGAATTTCATCCACCTGCAATTTCTCGGGACTCCCCGACACGGTACCTTTTGTTTCATCCACTCGTGCCTTCTTCGTGCTCATTATTGTTTCAAGGCCTTTTACCAAGATATTGCCAATGCCTTGACAAAATTCCCAGCGCTCGAGGTTTTTGAACTCTCTGGGATGCTCTGGGGCTCCGATGAAAAACAGGCCGGAAGAAAAATTTGGCAGTCAAAGCCGCTTGACATTGACTTCGGCGCCGAGGAAGGTGTTGAACCTATTGATTCTTATATGGATTTTTCATACTACTACTGACGTTGCGTACCAAGTAATTACTGATACTTCTTTTCACAATATGTCTTTAATCTTCGACATCACTTCTGATACGTCGATACCTAATTAGGCATATGTCACACCGTAGCATACCGTGACACCAATATTTGGCTTCTCTGGCTTCGCATACTTGAATCATCTGCCCTGTCTCCTTTCTTCTTCTGTGACTGTCATGAGCAAACGTCCACCCAACGAGATCGAAACCAAAATACATCAAGCCGCGTTATCTTCTGATAATCATGTAAAGCTTTCCTTTGTCGAATAATAGCCATCACGCTCATGTTGTCATAGGAAATAACCCCGAAACAAATCGAAGAGATTGTACCCGACACCAAAGCCAGGCAGACGGCTATCAACTTTCTACTAGCTGTTGGCCTGTTCAAGCCGTTCAGCGACGGGAAAAAGAAGATTATTTTCAGAGCCGTCGCCAAGGCTGAACTGAACGCGTACTTGTCATCCCTTTTATCAAGTAGCCCCGCACCTGACCAGCTTCCAATAGAACCAAGGATCTCAGCGGAGAGGAGAACCTAGTGCTTGACCACATAAAAACATCACATAATGAAGGTCCGCGAAGCACAATATGACTTAAGCGAAATTGTTTTCGATGATATCCCTGCAGGCATATGGACGAAGCACCTCAAGGCAAAAACAAATCTACATCAAACAATCATCGATCGCTGCTTGAAAACATTGATTCAGAAAAAGCTCATCAAACGCGTGCAATCCGTGCAGGTGGGATTCTTCAAACGAGGCAATCATGGTTTCTCTAATGCGTCTATCAGCATGCGACGAGGAAGATTTACATGCTCCAAGGCATAGAACCATCGACCGTCCTCACAGGGGGACCGTGGTATACAGATAACGAACTAGACACTGAGTTCATCGAAACCCTCATCAAGGCGTGTTTCAAATTGATACGTGATATGGTGCGGCCAGCATTCTCAAGGACGTGGTTCTGTGTTAACATCTTACGACAGAGTTATCCAAAACGCGGTTCCAAGTATGAAGGAGCGTTATATCCCATATCCAATTCCCCACAGTATCCTACCGCACAACAGGTTCGGAATACTCTCAGGCAGGCCAGGCTGACAGAGACCGATCTCACGGTGGAGCACGTCGAGATGTTGTTGAATGTTCTAGTCCTGGACAGAGAGATTGAAAAGGTGCGTTGCATCTGCATTGGCTGTCTGATGATAATCATTGTACGTCCAGATCCCCGCTTTCGGCATTGCGTCCTGGAATACAAATTCGATAAATGAGGACGACTCCGGAGATGAAACAGACAACAAAAAGAAGACGAAAAAAAGAAAACATCGCTCTTCTGATTCCGACGGCGAGGACAACACGAGTAAACGGAGAAGGAAAAAGCGAGCCGCGACGGACGACTCAGACTCGGATGATCTCTTACCTAAGAACACAAAGAAAAGGAGAAGGAATGACTCTGGGTCCGACGTCGAATCCACTAAACGCAACAAGAAAAACCTCGTTTCCGACAACGAAGCCACAGGTTCAGACATGGATACCAAGAAGAAGTGGAGGCGGTCCAAATCCAAGAAATACGACAATTCTTCCGAAAGGGATTCATCGAATTCTGAGATGGAAACACGTCGGCATAGTGGTAAAACATCAAAAAATCAACACCGCTCGTCCCCTCCTGTGCCCGGTTCCTTCTCGGATAGCGAAGATGGGATATATGTGTATAGGGCCATACGACAGGAACGCCTGTCGCTTGGCTGGTCCGAATCACCATGTGCCAAGTGTCCGTCGTTTGAGTTCTGTAAGGATGGCGGACCAGTGAACCCACGAGAATGTGTTTATTATGGGGATTGGTTGGCAGGTGGCCCGGTGGCTGAAATTGAGGACATGGCGTAGGACAAAGAAGATCGTTATAAAGACTATTCATAATTCGTTACCCAATAGAGCTCCTGATCTCTAACCCTGAGCTTCTTTAGCCTGCAGCTCCTTTACAGCCTGCTGCGTGAATAGATGTGCGTCGTAGGTGATCAACCAAGGGTGTGCCTCGTTTTCGGAGGTAATCGTGGTTTCCGTGCCTCCTGTGAACTCAGCGACAACGCCCAGATACACGTCCTGTCCCTGCATCAACATAAATTTTGTGAATTGCCATCCCGGAGGGACGACAGCATCTACCCGGAATATATCCGAAGTTACATCGAATTCCAGTCGACTGAAGTCAAACCCAAGCCCAAGCCCAAGAGCTTTTGTATAGGCCTCCTTTATCGTCCATATCCAAAAGAATCTGCGGAGGGCTTCGTCTTGCGATACTCCGGGGGAGAGTAGAGAGCGACGCTCAAGTGAGGTTAGCTTCGTTTCGTTCAGTTAAAAATAAACGGCGATGTAGTGTCCACACTTGCCTGATCTCCTACAGTCTCTACAAAGGATCTGAAGGAATCACGCCCTGGAATCCGTACCTTCATCACATCAATCCCAATTGTAAAGGATGGCGGGTTGGCAGTGCCGGGTCCGAACACCATTACTACAAGACCATTATCATGGGATACATTGAATGCAACGGGCGGATCCAGATCAGGTGTGGTCTTGTTGATGGTCAGCGTATTGAAACGGTCAAAATATGCTCTCCACATACAATATATGGTTTCCTTGCCTCTGTCGCACCAAATGTCATAGCTTGTGGCAAAACGCCACGGTCCCTGAGCATCATACGGGGCAGTAAACGTCCGATGAGTGTCCCTAGGCAAACTGTCAAGCGCCACCAAAATCGGAAAAGATAGATACCTACGACAGGCGTCCTCCCTTCTAAAGAACTTTTTGATTCGCGTCGCACTTTCTGAGTCAACGACTAAAAGGCCTGCGTGATAAAGCTATTCAGGTTAGCGTGACGTTAAGATTAAACCGAAAACTCTTGAATACATCTTCAGAAAACAGAGCGGGATCGTACTGGACCGCCCAGACCTTCATGGGAGGGCAGAGATGATGCCAGTTAGTGATCAAGGCCTGATCGATGATTGATGATCGACATTCCTGGCATCCTTATCTTATCGCATTGCAACTCTGCTTCATCTTTCACATCTGAGTTATCCTTCTTCAAGGATGAGCCCTGCGATGCACGGATACGGGACACCACAGTTTGTTACCCTCGGGATGTTTATCATCGATGAGTTTTCTTTCCTCGATGATGACGGAAACCCGACGGGAAAAGAACTTTCTCCTCAGGAAAGCCAAACAGCGTGATTATTGAACGCGATAAAAGTGCTCATGTCTTATTATCACGTAGATCGGCGGTGGTGGCACTTATGCAGCTCTCGGGGCACGTATATGGTCCGTCGCGTTGTTGCAATATAGACTGGATACTGAAATCCGCCGTATCTCTTGCATAGGCTCCCTCCGGATAAGATTGGAATGATAGTCGATAGAGGTAATGACTGGCCATCTGACATCCAAAAGGAGCTCGATAAATATGGCCATGAGATGTGGATGTATCGCGATCAACTTTCAACGCGTACCACCCGCGCTCTCAATTCTTATATGGGCGATCACCGAAGGCGGGCCTTGCAAAATCTCAGTGCCGTTGATTTTCCAACTGAATGACTATGGCTGATTTAGTTTTGACTATCTTACCACACGTATCCGTATCACACCTCGAGATCTTCGAGGAACGAGGCTGGCGCGGGCGCCTACTGTTCATTTCGTGTGCTCTCCTTCCCGTGCACAATCCATCGTGTCTGAGATTCACGAGGAACCCAAATGGAATCCGATCACCATTTGGGAGCCAATTCCGGTGTGTTCTTGCACTCTGGATCAAGATTCTGCATGAAACTGATATATGTCAGGATCGGTGCGTTCCAGAGGAGCTTCCAGCTCTAATCAAGGTCCTGCCGCAAATTTCTGTCTTGAGGTAGAGAATGAAATGCAACATATACTGTTGACTGACAAGACACAGTCCAAATGCAGAGGAGGCGCTTATGGTGTTGTCTATGCCGCTTCCACCGACTAAGACGTCCATAGAGAAGGCCGCACAAATGTTCCTAGACTTTGGGTTAGGAAACAAGGGTAGGGGCTCCGTGATAATCCGCAGTGGTGAACTTGGAGCCTATGTGACCACAAGGTCTGGTGGTGGTAAATGGATCGACGCATTCTGGGCAGATCAGGAGAAAGTTGTGGACGTCACTGGTTCGCTTCTAACTTATTTGCAACGACGACGCAAATTTACAATATGTACCAGGTGCGGGAAACAGCTTTCTTGGCGGGTTAGGAGCTGGACTGTATCTCGCTCAAGGAGATGTATATCAAGGTACGTACAATATATGCAATATATGTTTGCCACTGACCTTCCTTGTCCTAGCCACTCTCTATGCAACCATTTCAGCTGCCTTCGTTATTGAACAGGAAGGCTTACCCGAGATGTCTGAAATAGCCGATAGTGACGGTTCTACAAGGACTCTGTGGAACGGGGACTCGCCAGAACGGAGATTACGTCTGCTGCAAGACAGATAAAGAAGAATAACTATCCGATTATGTATATACAACTACTACAAAATGCCGGTACAAAATAAAAATAAGCCGTGGTAGAATTTGGATACTAATACACGCAGACAGGCGCTGCTCACTGTTGACCTGACTCGAATTTTGCTCGGCTGGCAGCGAACAGCTCTTGTTGAGCTGCTAATAGTTCTTCTGGGAATGCAGATGGCTATGTCAGGGTCGATCAATGCAAGCAGCAAGTAAGTGGACTAGCCTTCCGTCATTCCAGACTGCTCGAACTTGGAAACCTTCTTCTCTCGGTCCTAACGAACAGTATGTTAGGAAGGCAAAACATGAGAGACGTAACACATACCTTCTGCTGTTGCTTGTGGTCCTTCAAAACATCCTCGACCTCGGTAGTGAACGAGTCAAAGCCCAATCGCTATATACAAAATGAGAACTACGTCAAGACGTGGCGGCAACGAGAGGTAAACCTTGAGCGCGGAAATGATGTGATCTGGAGCAATGGTCTTTTTGGATTCTTGTTCACAAATCTCGTTTGCTTCTGACGAAATCAGGTGTATGAATTCTGTGGAACAGATGGTAATAGGCTCTCATTGGGGGTAAGCAAGCGAAGTATTTTACCTACACAACACTCAATGACAAGGTCTCTTGTCTCCTTTGCGCATACGACATCGTTGGGCAGCAGCTCTGCAACCAAGAGACGCGTCAAAATAAGCCGGGAAGGAAAATGAGTCGACACACCTGATATCATTTTCGTTATGGTCGCCTTGGGCAATGAAAGATCGTCATCTGTGGGTGCCCCCGAGTGTCCCTCACGATCTGACATGGCGAAGAGACAGTAGAGCGCCTGCCCGAGGGAAAATGTAGTGGAAGTGAGGACGTGACAAGAGGATTTTCAGCGGTTTCAAACTCCGCCAGGTTGCTTCGAACTACCATGTCTGCTGTGTGTATTTTGCCCCTTCAAAATGATTCTTTTCTTACATTTTATGCAATTCTAGGTCAACCCAGTTAACCCCAAACCTTTCATGCAAGAACTCACTGGGAAACCAGTGTTCGTTAAACTAAAATGGGGGCTAGAGTACAAGGGTTATCTTGTCAGCACCGATGGGTTCATGAATCTTCAAGTGAGCGCTTCTGGGCTCCTCCTTTTCACAGCTTGATCTCGTTCTTTAGTTGGCAAACACAGAGGAGTATCAAGATGGAAAGTCTAATGGCGCACTGGGAGAGGTGTTTATAAGGTGGGCGTTATTTTTTCCTTGAGTTAGTGAGAGATGCCTGATTTTCACGGAACAGATGCAACAATGTGCTATATATTATAAGTATATTCCACTTCGTATCTTATATGCTTATTAACTTCATCCTTACAGGGAGGCACCCACTGACAAATCCGAGTAGACGGCGGTCGTGTTGCGCGTTGTGCGTTGTCTCACCTCCACTCAGGATTTCTGGTCGTCAATGCGAGAAGCGAATCACGTATTTGCTAGTCTTGCTTGTATTATATGTGACATACTGGCGAAGTATTCTTCCTCCTGTGCTACGCACTATATTGACTGTAGGGACGTCAATCGATCTAACGTAACTGAGAAAATACAATCGCTGAAACCTATGCTTAGCGTTGTAAACATGACCTCAGTATCGCTTCGGCTCTTTCCATAAACGCAACATATATTGCCCTTGCGACTAGGAGCGCTCCACCATATCTGCCTCTGTGCTGACCGCTCAATGGCTCAAGCCATGATTATGGTTATTGAGTACTCAGCGCTCAATATCCATGAAAGTTATATCGTAACGCACCAAGTGTGTGTACAACTTTCTTCAGGTATCTACGCTATCTATTAGGCAATGCCATTCTTACAATGCGCATGCGGGCGCGGCCTTCAACTCGTTTTCAGCCCCCATATATCTTCCTCCTTGTATGCGTTCCAGGTCCTTCGGGGCACGTTTTTATCATCGACTTGCCAGGACATGACGGTCGACAAAATGCTTGGATACAGTCTCCAGCCCTTTGTATGTTGCAATGGCGCACCTCCATAAGCGAACACTGCTTCGCCAACCGGCTTGGTTTAAGCAACTTTTCTCTGGATTTGGTGAGAGATACATGTCCACACGACGGGTATACCACTTTTCAGCGTCGGCAGTCCAAAACCCGACGTTTAGTGCAGAATATTTGAAACTAGCGTCTTTCGGGAACCAAGACATGTCTTGAGTAAGACTGTACCCGTCGGGAGACCGGTTGTACATCTTATAAACCCCACACATGACATCCATCTGGGATTCACTGAGGCTTTCCTCCCACATGAAAATCTCGCATTTTTCTCGGCCTAGGACTGTGAGTCTATGGCATTTGCCATAGCAAAAAATGTCATCGGTTGGGCGTCGGAGGACGGCACTATAATCTTCGGTGTGCTCCATAGCGAGGCGCCATATTATCCCTCCATGCATCAAAGCAGCCCTTGCAACGACGGGATCATGTAATAACGCGGCCCTTCTGCGCACATAAGATATGTAGTCCAATAATCCAGCCTTGAAATTGGCTGGTCTGTATGGGATGAGTTGAGTATGGCGAGCTTGACATCCGTTCTCGTAGGATTTTCTCCAAAGCTTTGGACCCGAAGGATCTGCTTGAACGCCCACGGTGAAACGGATACCATGGCAGCAAAGTTCCTCTATTAAATCATCAAGACGCGTCACTCCCGATAAGCGTAGACAGTGCAGAACATCGTCAGCGCGGTAGACAATGAGCAAGTACCGCTGGTCCAGAACCTTTGATTCGCCTTGGACTTGGATGCGGTATCCAGTTCTTTCTTCACTTCCATCGTGCCATTGGACGGCCTGAATACCCAGAGAAGAAGGGTCTTTACCCAGATAGCTATGTGATTGAGGCGATAAATCCCACCAAGCAGCGGATATTGTGCAAGAAAGCACATGTGGCGGCTGCACGTGTGAAGCCGTTATAGCATGGTTGCCACTGTCTTCCTTCTTCGACGCATGCCACGCTAACCATGAAACGAATTCTCCTAAGCTCAGAAGACTCGAATTTTCTACTCCTTCCTGTGGTACGCTGAAATGGTCTAGCGATTTCAGACAGGTGCTGACCTTTGCCTTGTCCACCACAGTTAATGGACCCGGATCTGTTGGTCTGGCTATTTGTATGCCAAACCGGAAGCGCAAGACATCCTTCAAGGACCAATATTCATACTCTTTGGGCTCAAGATCTTCCTTGAGCACCTGGGTTTGTGCCTCAAAGAGCTTCACATATGCCTTTTCCCAAGCCTCTGCACTACATGGCCTAGAGCACCTCAAGCTGGATGCTGTCAGCTTCCTGACTGAAGCCTCAGCGCCTCTCTCTCTAGGAAGGGGTGGATATTGCTGCTGAGGAATATCACTGTCAGAGATATGTCTCCTTTCAACGTAATCTTTGTTGTCGACTCGGACTTTTTCCCGAACGAAAACGTCAACACTCCTTGTCGGATATTGTTGCTCCTCGGAATACCGATCAAGCTTTGCAGCCCGAGCATGATGGCTGTGCTTTTCATTTGCCGACTTGTCCAGGAGCTGCAGTTTCTTTGAGCGTCCATCTCTTTCCGCAGAGACGCGGGTTTCGTCTGAACAACTGGCAGCACGAACATCCACATATTCAGTGGTTTGTTGAAGCATGGTTTGTTCTGACTCATTGGCTACAGACATTTCACCAGCCTGCCACCTAATGCCAAGCTGAACGTCGCGCGCTTGAGGTTCAATGTGCTTTGCTGTGGTACGATGAACAACCTTATTGGGTGGGAGCCGAATGGCATACTTCTGAGATAATGACCGGTCCAATGCCTCAAAAGGGCTCGTGATCGGACCCCAATCTATCCAGACGGGAATGCTGTATGCGGTGTACGCTTCCAGGAAATTTGCAACATTTTCGCATACCCGAGGATCTACAAAGAGACCGACTCGCCGTGATGCCTCTTCACCTTGCCAAAAGCCACTATCATTCTGAACTAACCAAGAAGTTCGAATGAGATCGGTCCAGTTTCCGCCAACTTCCTCTGTGAGCGTGATTTCCCAGTCGTCCCCATCCTTTTCCGCCAGAGTGAGCGCCAAGAGAAAAGAGATTTCCCCTGCCAGTACTAAAAATGCGTCCCGCGATCGCATCGCGGCGTCTTCCATGTCCATCTTGTGGCATTTCGCATGGTGATATCCATACTCCCATGGCGGAGGGAATCTAGGATAGGGAAATCTTTCGACACAATCCAATTTTTGTCCTAATGTTTTCCTTAGGATACCCAAAAGATTTTCCAGATGCTTCCATTCGTCGGCGACTCTTGTTTCCAAAGCCCATTGTCCCGGCGAAGGAGAAAACAGTGGGATAGACGCGGACGAATAGTTCAGGCACTTGAACAAAACGCACTGATAAACGCAGCTCCGATGGACAGGAAGAAACCCCTGGTATGGCATAGTGTCGGAAGCCCAACTGCGTTCCATGAACTTGTTGGGATCTGGAAGCCACAAACTTTTCGGATCTTGGAGGGGTATGCCCCTCGCAGGCACAAGGGGAAGAGTGTCTGATTCCAGACACAAGAACAAGTGGTTGTGATCATCTTGAATGGTCGTACGAATTGGCGAGGGCATCGTTCTGGGGGTCCGCGTCGTTCAATTGGTGACTGAAATCCGTAACGCATGAAAACGCACCGACAGACACACCACCAATGCACTATTGTTGATTCTAAGGCTGGTCTCTAACACGAATACCTATAATTCCTGCTAATGCACCTCTTGCGATCCGAGTTGTCACTCAAGATCTCCGAAGAATCAGCTTTGCTACGGCTCGCGAGGACACTTGGACGGGTATAACCCAGATGTTTTGCTTTGAACACCCAGATAGCTTCAACTAGGCAGCAGCGTAGTCTTTGGTATGCCCCAAAGTGCGAGTTTGTGGTCAAAAGTTTTGCAAGTTGTCATTTCCCACCAAGCTGTGTGGTTCGGATCAATTTCGCCTCAGCGCGATCTCGCACTGTTAATGCTGGCTAAAGTGCATCTTACAATGTATGGAAGCCTCTGTGGTGGTTTACTTGGCACAAAACGCCGATACTGATATACGCTAAAATGAGTAGCCAAGTTGTAGTTAAGTGTACCACTAGTGAATATTGCTCAAGATTTGATGTCAGAGTGCCCTAACGAACGGCCTGGCTGAACTCGATCACGAACTCGCTGTTTCTGAAGAGCGGTTGAGCTCAAGGAAGTACTGAGAGAAAGGTGTCACATACAAGAGCTTTGAGCTCAGGGAAGCCGCCCTCTATCTTCCTATCCCATAATAAATGTGGGGACTCATTTTCAACAATAATCCAGACGCGGAAACGGCCGGCAGTTTCATCTGAGTTCAGAGGATGCAGAGATATATTCCCTATCAAAGGCGGCGGAAATGTCAAGAAGAGCTCTGTCTGCGTCCACGTTGCTCTATGAAGCCTGGCGTACATTGGGCGCTCGATTTATTTACCATGTTTTTGCAAGCTTACCATCGGCACTGGAATGCGGTGAGCTGGGGGATAAACGCGAGTAGGTGTACTCACCCTATTGCAAAATTCGATGGTGATGCCAGTGGTAGTGGAAGGCGCCGGAAAAACAAATGTGGAAGGATCTAATAAAGTACCACTACTTGGTTGGACTTCATTGGACGACATCGTGGCGATGGTCAAGCAGTGATTGTTTAGTCTTAGTCATTCGCCATGCATGTGATGCGTTGGCAATATTGACGCGTTGTTTGGTCCAACCGGACGCGTCCTTCCTTTACCCTGAACCACCATCATGACAGCCACTGAAGCCCCAAAAATAAGGTGGACAGTTCATGGTATGCTCTTTCATCGATGAATCCTTCATTATGCCGTGACTGAAGCGTCTCTGTATAGTTGAGGTTCGTTTGAAATCCCGAGCTACCGCCAGGTTCGAAACGATTCGCCATCGAGTTCATGACTGGATACATACATTCGACCGCATCAACTTGTCCTCGACTCTTATCGGATGGGAGGTCGTTCCAGAACTGGGGACATCTGTTGATCGGATCGTTGTCTGCGAATCAACATGTCCGTCACAGTCTCTTCCACTAGACGAGTTGACCTTACAGGTCCACGTTTATCAACCTTCGGACACCGATTCCTTTGAGGAATTTTCCAACGGCGCTGGCTCCAAAGATGACGAGGATGATACAATGGCTGCAAGTGTCTGCGAATTGCCCAATCTAAGCTGGGAGGGTCTCTGGGATTCTTTGATATACGCGGATGATATAAAGATGAAGCTTTTGGACTACATTCATGCCACTCTCATCTTCAGCGATGCTGACGTTAACTGTGAGTACATTATGTTTAGCGGAATGCAGACGTTAATCCTACAGTCAATCTTGTTTCATGGAATCGCGTCGTTCTCCTGCATGGACCTCCCGGAACAGGAAAAACATCACTGTGTCGTGCACTTGCGCAGAAGCTCTCCATCCGCTTATCCCATCGGTATGATCATGCTTACTTCTAGCCGGTGCACATTCTCATTATCGACAGTTATACCAATGCCCGATTACTTGAGATAAATGCTCACTCCCTCTTTTCCAAATGGTTTTCAGAATCTGGAAAGCTCGTCCAGCGGCTTTTCACAAGTATAACAGAACTTGCCGAAGAAGAAGATGCTTTCCTCGTTGTCCTCATAGGTTCGTCTTCTGTTCCTCATCGAACATTGAACTCCTCTGATTGTCTGTAGATGAGGTAGAATCTTTGACAGCGGCAAGGGCCGGGGCAATGGCAGGTACGGAACCATCGGATGGCTTACGGGTACGCATATATGCACCTTCTCAACATTTGCCTAAGATTTCATCAATGTCTTTCAGGTCGTGAATGCCCTTCTAACCCAATTGGACAAGTTGAAGCACAAGAAAAACGTCCTGGTCATGTCGACAAGTAATCTTGTAAAAGCGATTGGTGAGCTATTGCATCTACGTCCATGCTCTGGAAATCTCACGTATTCTGCAGATAGTGCATTTGTAGATCGAGCAGATATCATACAATATGTTGACCTTCCTTCTCGCGAAGCTATATACGATATCCTCCGTTCGTCGCTATGCGAGATTGTGAATAAAGGTCTCGTCACTCCTGTTGTAAGGCATCTCCTTGTATACGGCCGGCTCTATCTTGATTGCTATGAGTAGAACGTTCCTACTCTACAAGCAGCACGAATGTATGAACTGGCAGCTCCCGCACAGTCTACGCCATCCGCTTCAGCACCTATAGATGCTCACGCAAAGTCAGGGCATGTAGCTCTCAAGCTTCGTGCGCTAGCAGCTGATTGTCGAGTAAACACGCAACTTATTAAACGCCGCCTATGTACATGCTGATTTGGTTTTCAGAGTCACGGCATGTCTGGTCGAGCGCTGCGCCGGCTTCCCGTGCTTGCTCTCGCAAGATATATAGGGATTAGTGGCGTCTCTAGTGTTGCACTATCGTCACCTTCAAAAGGGCATGCTCAAACACAGCAGGCGTGTGCAGGTATCGACCAATGGCTGATTGGCATGGAACGGGTCCTTGCAGAACAAGCAAAGGAGAAAGAACGGTTATCATGATTAAACGGAGACATCTTGCTATTGCTGCTCTCTAGCCAGACGTAATTATTGCATGTTATGTGACCACATCACCGTGTACTTTGACAATGTACCAAAACCTATTTCTGCACAATACGGGCGAGTTTGCGTCTACGTTGTGCCAACATCCGAAGTCTCATTGCTGATGTCCTTAGCTGTTCCGCTTCCGCTTCCTCTCTTTCTGCGCGTTGTAGAAGAAGGTCGACGAACTCCGCTTCTAACACTCCATGAGCACGCATCGTCAGAGGAGTGACGTTCCCAACTACCCCAGTGCTTCCTTGCGACTGCAGATCCACAGTTCTACTAGCCTCGGGAAGCAAGGATGGCCGCAGGTTTGATTGTAATGGTTTGCGTTTTTCTAGACCGTTTCCCGTACGACCAAGTTCATCGACGACCAGGCGAAATTGCGCGATCGTCGACGCAGACAAACTTGAAGCAGGGCAGGTATGAGTACGTAGGGATGGTCGACGTTCCTCGAATGGCGGGGAGGGCAGTGGCGAAACAAACTTTTTCGAATGAAATAAGACGGGGCCCACAGTTTGAGACATTTTAGCAGTGTATATTTCGTCGCATACAGGCAGATGTGGAACACTCGGAATTTTAGCGGCAGGTGGAGGGCTAATAAGATATGGTAGATTGTGCCCTTCAGCTGCGTCCGTGGGTGGATGGTTGGAATCCAAGTGTTCAAAAGAACGAGATGATGTGATAAGAGCGGGATCCAGAAGGTATCCGGAGTGCTCTTCTGAGACACTTGGATCTGGTGTGAAGACTCGAAGAGACGGAGAGCGCAAGAGACCTCGAAGGATAGTTGGACTGAGCTTTGAGAAATGCTTCATGCGTAACGGGGTAGACAGATAAGGATGTTTAACATCGCTTTCGTCGTCCCTCGGCGGCAGGGAGAATGACGGAGGCTCGGCAAATGGCTCCAAGGGCGGCAGAAGCGGCGAGATAGCGACAGGCGAGGTACTGTGCAAATCGCCGTTACTGACATCGAACGCCTTGAATAGATATTCCGCGCTCTTTTCATCGAGGGAGATGGTATCGGCGAGACATTGGAGACACTTGGGACGGATAATAGATTTCGCAGATGTGTATCTGTCGACGTTGGGAGATACCATGACGAGATGAAAGGACAAGCCCAAGTCCATTCAAGTCAGGAACTATATGTATCGTCTGAGCCACAATTCGCCCCGATCTGGATATATTCATAGCTAGAATACTTAACATAACAGCAGTAGGGTAAAGGACACAGGAAAACGTTTAGTGTAATAATCGTACAGTTGTAGAGCCATGCTGGAAAATATATCAACAAGTCATGCAAGCCACGTTAATAACATAGTTGGAACCGTCAACGGTTGCCCAGATGTTTCTTGGTTTCAATCAGTAGGTCTGGGAGACATGCTGGTTCGGGTATCCAATCTTCTCATTTCTTTCTCCAGCCGATTGATGCCTGAAGTTTTGTTCGAATTCGGTAGTCCCCGGACACCGTGCTTGTCGAATAGATAAGTTAGTAGGTTCTTCTTCTCGTCGGCTAGACCATCCAGAAGAACGAATAGATGTGTTTCATCTCGAAGCACAAGCTGGGCAGCAATTATCACAGCGGCCGCCGACTCTCTCACTACAAGAGAAGTTTTGTCGTTTAGCGACTATGACAATCAGTTTAATCTTCAGCCCAAACAGAACATACTGATTGGACTCACAGCGATGAGAGTCGTCCTGAGACGTGGCATCTCTTCTTCTGCGATTTCTGCGGGCAAACGGAGGATAAATTTCCCAAGAGCGATCAGACCAAATGCATATGTTGCAGCTTGGACTTCTTCGTCCGAAAATTCAGGGTGAAGTTCAGCTCTGAAGGTCCGTAGGCAAGCATGCATGGTGGTCAATCCATACACGGGCTCTACGTGGGAAGTCAAGGCATCACGGATTGTGTTGGTAGCCTCCAATACCTAATCAACGCAAAAATAAGAAACCCATAAACACATGTACCTAGCACACTTACATTAGGCTTGTTGCAGTAACGTATTCGTAGTAGGACAGAAAGCATATCTGCTTCATGACCTTCAATATAGGCCGCCTGGTTTTGCAGCACTTCCCATAGGACGATAAGCCCGTACTCGAGTTCTTCCTCACTCTAGAATGGTGATATAAGTTAACGTGACAACAACGGGAGGGGAACGAAATTACTTTGAGTGGGTTTAGACATTGGATAAGTGCATTCAAGAACCGGTCAGAGTTATGGTTCCTCTCCCATATATCAGAATGAAGGTTTGATACAAAAGAAGAACTGACAAAGGGAGAAGGGCTCCCGGAATAACCCAGCTCGGGACTCATGGGCGATGATGGGTCGGCTACAGGGTTCGCTATACAGAAAAGAGCTATCCGTCGGAGAAGATCGACGTCGACATCGCCAGATTTCATGCGGGAAATATATCCTTTTAGTTCCCCCTCATGGTCTGAAATAGTGGCGTCTTCAAAACTTAAACAGTGGGCAATCACTACAGACCATGATATCAACTACTAAACTTATTCAGTTAAAAGAAAACCCTCCACTTACAAGCCTTCCGCTTGAGCCACCAACCATTCTCTTGTCGACGGTCTGGTCGGAGGACATCCATCAAAGACGGCGAGCTGGTCTTGTTCATGGGGCTATCTTTGAAAAGCGCAGCCTGTCGCATGACAGATGTAACTCGGTTCACAGGAGTGGTTGGCGGCGCCTGTCCTTGAACAGGCTGTAAAGGCGATGGCTTAGCCTTCATCTTAGGCGTCGCAAGCCCATTAGTACCACCGGCAAAGAGCGATGCGGGTATCACAGGATGATCTAGCTCTTCCTCCTCCGGTTCTACGAGCTCCAGGAGTCGCTCAGCGGCACTCTCTGCCTGCTCTGCGCGAGCTCTTAGCGCATCTTCAACAACAGCCTGGCCACCCCCAAGGTCAACCACGGAATCAGAAGACAGTACATTAGGAAGACCAATGACGGGCTTCGAGCCTACCGATTTCGGCGAAAGTGACTGGGACTGGGTATCTGACTTCGGCGTAGTAGCAGGGTATTGTTCGAAAGGTGCAGAAAATGACATGAGGTTTATAGAGTGATCATCAAAATCAGTGTCATAATCGGGTATTGGTATGCTTTGCGCTAGGAGTAGAGAATCTTCTGGACCTGTCGCGTCAATTAGAAGGGTAGAGTGTCGAACCTGTGTAGGTGTAGTGACAGGTCTCTTGGTGGGACTGCGGCTTGGCGGCGAACCTACAGAGGACGGAGGGGAGGCAGGTAATGCTGTTCGAGCCGCTCTCTGAAGAATGGACTGTCGATTGGTAGAACCAGAAAGAGGCGATGATGGAGATAATGTGCGCCGTTGAAACGAGTTTTCGGGAGAGTGTGGAGAAGAAGGTCTGACTAGACTCACTCGCGGATTTGAACGAGGAGGAGAAATCGGTGTAGCCCCTGCACTCACAGGACGGCTGGGGTTGTTGGATATAATACGAGAGCGCGTTGAAGGAGGCGAAGTAGAGGTACGCAAAGGGGATGAAGGTCGCGGTGTGAATCTTGATGGAGGTGAAGTTGATGCCGGTGATAAGGACCGCTTGAAAGGCGTATGAGAGGCAGTGGCTTGATGCCGCAATGTAGGAGGAGAGGTCGCAATTGCTTTCGCTTTGGCTCGGCTAGCTGCGATTGCAGCTGCTACACTACTTTTCTTAGTTGGTTTCGCGGCGACTGGCGGCAGGATGGCGACAGCATTGGGATCAGGACAGGCCTTTTCGAGCTGCTTTCGAGCTACCGAATCTAGTGATTCGGAGATAACGCTGCCGCGCTCTGGCCAGAAGCTCTGAAAGACCCAGAAAGATTTTCGCGCTTCTGCTTTGACGGCAGGATTAGGATCCCCCAAAGATTTCTTCAGTGATTTTTCCAAAGTCTCCAGCCCTCCACTACTTTCTATCGTCAATTTCGCATGCTGACCATGGACTTCCAAGTAATGCTTCGTATGGCTCGTCGCATACGTTCGTGCTTGCACTGTCTTTTCCTGTAGAGTCTGCCAGAGCAGAGGGATGAAAATGCGGGGTGTGCCAGAGGTGTAGTTTATTATTGCTGTCACAGCTGTTTGCGACTCCTGAGCCGTGATTTTCTTGGTGAATCCAGCCATTTTGAGAAGATTGGAAAGGAGAACATCGCAGAAAGGATCCAAAGCGATTCCCAAAGCAGAAGCCAATTCGCTATAGAGGGAAATAGTATTCGTAGCAACTGTCGTTCGCAGACTAATCAGCTAAGTGATAGATCAGTAATTGGATCGCTGCGTCAGAAAGCATCATATACCGATTTTATCGACCACTGGATGAAGCCATCTTTCAAGCAGGCCATGAAGGTGTCAGGATACCTCGTATGAACATCGCCTTTGAGCATGCCGCGCACTCTGGTTATGGATTGGTCGCGTATTGCCCAATTATGCTCCGTTTCCTTTCCCTGGAAACACAAACTAAATCAGCCATATCGTTGACATACAAAAGAATACTCACATCAAATGGTTTTGCCATGCCTAGAAATTCGTTCTCCAGATCGCGACTGGAAGCTATCTAATTGAAATATGAGACTATGTGGGGTTTACGATATACTAACAACGCTCACGTAGACAGCACGAATCTCGGAAGCCTGAGACTCGTCAACTGGGGTGATTATACTGGGAGACACAGCGCCAGCGCGACTAACCGGCCTTGGGATGCCCGTCGAACTAGCAGCTCTTGGAATTCCATTCCCGGCAGATGTGGAGGACTTGCGATTCTGAAGCATCATGCTAGGGGGGATATATTCCTTTGTCTTCGTGACGCTATCACTACTCTCTGATCCCTCTCTGCTATGAAGCCCATTCCCCGTCCCAGAACCGGCACCTAGAAGTTTTGAAAGCACTCCATCAACGATCGTCTTCCTAACGCCTTTTTTGGTTAATTCTTTCTTCAAATCAGCACGGGCCGCATCAGTGACTGCGGGTCCCGAAAAAAGTTCCACCACGGATTGACGCGAACATTCCCGTACATGAGCATCTGTGTCTTCGAGACTGTCGACAAGGAGGGTCAAATAAGGCCGGATAGGGAATGTATGGTGATTTCGGCGAATATGGACAAGAGCCAGAATGGACTAAGGTGAGGTGAATGAACACGTTTTCGGTGCGTACAGAGTGTAGCATACCTGTTCTCGCACCTTCCACACCTTGCTTGCTAGTCCATTTTCTCGAAGGAACCTTTCAAACATCGCTAGCGGTGTTTCGGGGCCCTTGGTCCCTCTTGAATTGGTAGACATCATGCCAGTCCCGCCAGCACGATATGCGAAACCCCCTAGGATTACTAAAGCTTCCCGAGCCTTGGTTTGAGCCTTTTCCTTATCTCCTAGACGTTCTATGAGTCCGCCCGCAGGAAGAAATGCAGTAAGCAGTTGTCGGAGGGTGACACTGTCCACGAATGAAGAAGAGGAGGATGTTGATGAAGACAGCGAGGGCGAAATGACACCGCGTCCTGCAGCATAAATTACATGGCGTGAGACGAGAAGGGGTATTAATGGTGGCAGAGCAGAGAGTGTTGCCGCGGTGAGATGCTGGTTCGACGTTCGTAAACATGCCTTGAGAACATTGATGAGACTGTCGGGGTCGTCGATCTGTACAGCACAGCTGGCATTCAAGAGATAAGACCTATTGGTTCTGAAGAAAACATACCTCTGCGCCGGATTCGAATTCAGATTGAAGTTTGGTTAATGCGTCGACTTTGACGTCAACATCTAGTCGCGTTTAGTTAGGATTGAGGAAATGGCGCGACGAAACAGTACCGTTGCTTTTGCATTTAATCACCAGTTTTCCGACAATTGAATCATTTGGATCCATTGCAGGACAAAGACGCAAATGAGGCCCGTACAGTGGTAATGGCGCGAGAAGGCAAAGTCTGTCGCGTAAACACACACAAATTCAGTCATAGGTTGCCATGTACAAATACTACTCATGCATTCCTACAGGCAACAAATGTATAAACTTCTTTAGAATATACGGTACTTCTTGGCTAGGAAGTATCCTACGCCCGACAGCATACCGGCGACATGGCCTGCATGGGCCTGAGTGTCTGCTTTGTAGGTCACAGATGAATAGGCCTCCCAAAGGAATATTCCTGGAACAAGGGCCCAAGCAGGAATAGGTATGATTCCGTAGAGTGAGAAAATCATCCTTGGATTGACACATGCAAGGAGGGATATCAATGAATACACAGCGCCTGAATTTGTTGACGTCAGGTCAAAAAATGACCGTAGAATTAATCATGGTCCTTACCACTTGCACCCATACAAGGTATATCACGATTGTCGACGATGTTGCTCCAAGCAACGTGGCAAGCATTAGCAATGACTCCTGCTATATGCATATATGAAAGTCCGCTCACTGAGACGGAGTAAGGTATGTAAACTTACACGCCAGATAAACCCCAATAAATCGCTTATTGCCTAACATCTCAAGCATTGTTGGGGCGAAAAAGAAGAATGTAAAAGTATTGAAGAACAGATGGCCGATGCCTTTATGGGAAAACATAGCAGTGACAAGGGTCCAGCTGGCGCGAAATGAATGAGTTATTGCGAATTTGGATGCAGGGTCCGTGTACGCACGGCCGGACGAGAGTGTTCCGCCAGCTGCTGGTGAAGTTATCCTGCATCCACGAATAAAAAGGGTGTCCCTATGCTAGCTGATAAGCTTCATATGAAGGCAGTAGAAAAAATATACCCTTGCAGCTGCGGCTCGCGCTTGACCATGCTCCGATATCCATGCCAGGAATACGAGACCATTTATGCCCATAATACCGTAAAAAATGTAGTTCCCTGGGATCTTGTCAAGCCAATCGAAGGGTCGACGAGACTGTAGTGAGCTGTGATATGGTCGAATACTGTGCGACCTTAGTCTAGCCAATATAGAGCTGAGGGATGACGCGGACGCGCTAGTAGATGGGATCCCTATGATTCTGTGGTGAACGTTGGAACGGCAGTGTGCAACAAACTCTCTTCGAAATTGACGTGTTACATTGGCATGAGAGCGCGAGAGTGTATTCGCAGAGAGGATATTTCTGCAAGGGAATGTGAACGGCGTCATGGAAGTCGGAAAGCAAGTGAGCATTGTTTGTCATGATCATTGGGGCCCTGTTTTGGCAGGTGTTCCTTGAAGATGTCCCTTCATCTGTTCGTGCTCTCGCCGTCTGACACGCCCATCTACAGTCTTACACATCACTCGACCAAACCCGTAACCAACGTCCCATCTCCGCTTGCTTCAAACTTGCCGGCTTGGTCGACATCCGCGTTCGCTGGAACGCTAACCGCGTTGTCTGGCGCGTCCAGTGTCCCGCATCATACGACTGGCGGCACAGTTCGAATGGGCGGTGGACAGGACCGACATGTGATACAGATGATAGCGAACGCAAGCCTGGATGTAGTAGAGGATGTGATGCGCAAGGAGAATACGATGTATGTTCATCAACGGGCTGTGAGACAATAACCCTGACAACAGATGGAGGTATCTGAAATCGGTGGATAAATTCAACGAATGGACCATTTCAGCATTCATCACACCAGGCAGTTGGTAACTTAATTGCTTTCTTGCTACCTTTCTCATTTGCTCTATCCAGATACGAAATTTGTGCTCTTACACGAAAGCAAGAACGACGATGGCATCAAATCTTTCTTCATGGACGTCTGGGAGTTGTATGTCAAGGTAACCACTGTGCAGGAAGTAGCCTACTGCGTACTGACCCCGATCCAGACCATGTTAAATCCTTTCCACACTGCGCACACTATTATCAGAAGTGGAGTATTTGATGCCCGAGTACGGCAGAGTGCGAAAAAGTATTTATAATTAATTAATTCTGGATTAATTTATAATTGATGTATCACGTGTCCCATTGATAAGTCTGTGGCTGCGCTCCGGCTTTCTCTCTCACTCTCGTTGACCTGGCTTTGGGTGGCCGCCCTTTCTCTTTCTTTATATATCGTCGTCGGCGTCCTCTGAACATTTTCTCTGCTCTTTGCATTGCAGTGTGCCAGACCGCATTCCAAAATACTCCTCTTCTTGCCGCCTAATCTCTTCTTTCTTCTTCTCAAGTCTTCCACCCAATATTAGCCACTGCGTCCACTTGTGTTCCCCACCAATCCTACTTTCACCGGTAAGTTCTAGAACCCGCTGCGGTTGTTCAATCGCATTGACTGATTTTCCCCAGTTGTATCACCTTACTTTCTGTTCAGTAATCAACAGCACATTAATCTCTTTCTATCGACACCATGACTACCGCACCTCCCAACAACCGTGCTTCTCTTCTTGCAGGCCTTCGCACAGGCGGCGTTCGCTCTTCCTCGACGACTCTTCCTCACACAGCCGCTCCAGGTGCATCTTTTAACATCACTCGCTTCGCATCACAACATCATCAGCCTTCCTCGTTTCCAGAGGAGGATGAAGATGATCAGCTCGCCGAAATGCCTTCACAGAATGTGTATGTCAACAGACAGTACAGCGGTAACCGGACCTTGCCAATGACTGCCGCTGTCGATGGATCCAACAACCGATTTGCTCAACAGCAACGGGGCATGAATCCGAACAGTGCTCCATTCACACCGTCTTTTGCTACCCCCAACATGATAGCGCAATCCAACAATGTTCAAGCTCAGGCATTTCAATTACAGATGATGCAAATGGAGTTGATGAGACTTCAGGTACGTCCAAACAATAGCCGCTCTTCCCGTTCCTACTGATGCCACATCTATCAAGGCCGTTCAAGCTCAGCAACAAGCTCGGCAGTATCAGGCTGAGCTTTTGGCTCAGGCGCAGCGCCAACAGCAACAGCAGTGTCAGAACCGCAGGGCTAGCTTGGGCTTTACCGCTGCTTCCGCAGGCCCCATGTCTACCACATTTGATTTGCGCTCTGCTGCCTTGAGCGCTCAGATGCGCCGGGCAAAGGAACAGCAGCCTCAGTCGTCCGTGGTTGCCGATGAGCCCATGACTGCTTCGTTAGGCGGGAGATTTGGAAGTCGGGCGCCAAGCGTCCCTACGGTTCCAATGGTCAGATACAATAATGACGATAATGACGGGGCTCCTATACCTCCAACCCCTAACTCTACGACCGTCATCAGCGGAGGCACTTCGTTGGGCAACCCTACCTCAAACAACTTGAACTCGACCGGCGCGCTGTCCAAGTCGGACTCTGCCACTTCGTGGAGGCGGGCTGACAGGAACAACTCTGTTCTTAGGGCGAACCGGGTCGTGACTTCCCCAAGCGTCAAAGTGACCCCTCCCCCTGGACTACCTGTCGCAGCACCTAAGGCTCGGCCTCAGCCTCTTCGTTTCAGCCCTGCCGTATCACAACCATTGCCCACTGTAACCATCGATACAAGCGAAGGTGATGACATCGATGACGCTGACTCGACCAGTTCTTCCAAGTCCGGCGGATCCAATTCGTCCCCTACCAGTCCTCATTCGTCCTCTTCCAACGAGATGCCTCTCTCGCCGCGCGAAGAGGCAAGCAAGAAGTTGTACGAAGGTCTGGGAATTGGAAGGCCGCGTTCAACTGTTTCTAACACCATTGGTGGCATCGATGTTTCTCAGGCCCAGGAGTCAGTCCCGATCCCGGTTGTGTTTGGCCACCGGTTGGCCAGCCAACCGACAAGGCAGCCCCGCGGGCCGCCATCGGGGGCCGACGAACTGGGTCCCAAGAACTTTGCAACTCGCATAAGGAGGAAAGCCATAGGGGGGTTGGGAATGTTGATGGGGGCAAGGGAGCGAAGGGAGCTGGTCGACACGTTCTGAATGCTCCTCTCTCTCCTTTGCGAGATATGATGCCTTTTTTTGATTAACAAGAACAGATATTTATTGTGTCGACCTGGTTCATCTGAAGTCGAGTGGTGTTTTAGTAACGTTCGGTGGGAAGGGGTTTGAGTAGAAATCGGAAATACAGAATTGCATCAATGTATCGTTCTTTCTTCGTCCGTCTCCACTCTTCCTCTCCACTTCCCAAAGCAGTTCTTCATCATTTTTAGTGAACTCCTACGTTCCTTCTTTTCATTCATTTTCAGCTTTATTCAACTTTATGATACGTGGGCAAATGTATAGGTCTGCAGGTATACTGGACACTCCTAGCTACCTGGCATTTTCAGCTGCTTTCCCTCTTTTCTTTCTTCTCCATTTGTTACATCAGTTTCCTTCTTTCCTTGCAATTGTCATGTTGGCTTCAGGTCGGTGTCCTTCTGCTACTAATTTTCATTTCAATGCTCACCAGAAAAAATGTATAGATGAGGAATACCAAAATTGCAGAGGAAGAATTAATAATCAAGTGACCTCAAGGCAGTGGGGGAGGGCTTTTTCTTGAATACTCGGGATAGCTGTGCTTCCCAGCGCGTTCGTAGGTCAACACACCTTACCTCAATCCTCGCATTATGTCTTTCCGAAGCCTTTGATTGTTGTAGTGTAGGCAAGTTCGTGTAAATGAGAGGATTTATTTAAATCAATACAACAGGATCCTGGGGCAAAAGATCATAAAGATACATCAAACTGCTCATTTACACCTTTGTGTGACAATGCCTTTTCCATGTTCCTACGAATGACACATGAGGAGGTTGGCCGCCAATGGAAGCATATTGTCTTACCTGCCATTCTTCTTTACTTATCCAAAGCTGATGGAAAGTACCCAGACTCGCCAAAATGCTGCCGCCTAGCCAGCCTCCATATCGGCGCTCAGTAGGATTTCCAGGAGCATGAATTTTGGCCTACGAGAACGTATATGGTCAGAGACCCCAATGACAGAAAACAACTTACGTGAGGGAACGTTCGACCCAGCTCGGCGGCAAGTCGGTCATTGAATCCAGAGAATAAACTACCTCCTCCTGTGAGAACGACGTTGCCCATCAAAACTTGGCGAAGTTCGATGTCGTATGATCGCAGGGATTCACTGATCAGTGCGGGTATCGTTTTGGGTAAAGAGTGATTGGAGGCCTGCAAGCGCTGATTTAGAGCGACATAGACATTGGGTGATGGCTCGACTTACACTCATTTGAGGGGAATGGTAGAAAAATTGTTCACCAACATAGTATCGCTCGGCACCAAACCAAGTATTATAACCAGTAGGGAATTCATACTGTTTCGGCGGTCGACTAGCCGCAGCCCTGGAAAAGTTGGTTCACTTAGACGGTCAACTGTAATAGCCAAAACACCTCACTGATCATTCCATCCTGACTCGAGCACGCCACCCACAGTTTGCAGCCATTCGTCAACTTCACGAGCCTCGTACCATTGACGCCAGCTATTAGTTGTTCCAGTCAGGCGATCCTCACGCAGGGTGAATTTCGGTGGGCTGTTGGGTTCAACAGGCTATACAATGCGAGGTATGACTACATTGATATGGAGGGAAACAGAGACGCACCGATTTATTTGCTATGAGTTGATGTGGAAATAAATCAATACCTCGTCGGGTGTGCGTTGGCTGCGTGAGGATCCTATGGGCACCAGAGTGGATGAGCGATGGAAGAGACGAATATACAAGGCCTGTGGTTCGTCAGAGGAGCGGATTTGAAGGACGACATATATCCACCTTTGCGCAAAACAAATCCGTCCACGACAGGTGTCACGCTCGCCATATCTTGACCGACATCAATGACCAGTGCAGAGCCCTTTCCCGCCGCGAAGCTGAAAGATATTAATCAACAGTGTCCTAGTACGTGGAAAATGGGTCTTGGAAACCTACGTGTTGAGAACCCCGGTGTTGGAAATGTAGAAAGCAGGTACCTGGAATTCTTCGAACATTATTTCGGCCATTCGCTCTCGATTTTCGACAGTATTCCACGAGGGCTCAGTGACTAGGACAGGGTGCTCGGAAGGATTGCATCCCATAACGTTGACGATAGCATGCTCGACCAGGGCATGTATAGGCCCAAAATCGTTTACTGGTAAAAAGATTATCATGGTATCCTATATAGCAGAAATTTGGCACTCACTAAGTCCTCCCTTGATAGGATTGGCTACTTCCATACCGCTTCTCCATACTGATGGTCCAGATTGTCCTATGAAGGATTTCGCCAATTTCGGTTTTGGGGCTACCTCTGTATCGTTTATATCGGCCATAGAAAAATCTCCATCGTCAAGAGCCTTGATGTAGCCATAAGATGTTGGACTTATAACTTTCGGGGTATCGTCTCCTGCATATCCAGCGCGTAATGACGAAGACCCAATGTCGAGGACTAGTGCCGATACTTCATCTACAATTGGCGGAAGAGAGTTTGTTAGAGAGAATAATAAATTTCAGAATGCAGGCACACTCACCACCACCGTAATTGACCATTTTTCAGTGTCAAGAAGGAGTATGGTTCGTAGTTCGAGCAAGGACGTGTTATTGTGATGTGTTTGACATCACCATCCGTGAGAAAACGCTGAAACATTTTTCGATCACGGTCCGGTGTTGTTGCCTTTGAGATTTTTTCCTCTTTACTTTTCCTGGCCCCTCCGCTCGTCGAGAATGACGGCAACAGAGGAGCATAGACGAAAGCGAAAACAACCAGTAAAGGATGACGCGACTGATGGCGTGTTCCACAAGGCCGTAGATATGGTCATGCACAGCGATGAGGAGGGCGGAAGTATTGCTTCAGATACTGACGACGCCGTTGACGAGTTTCCCGGGATAGATGTACACAGTGACACGGACGAGGATGATTCTGACTTTGAGGATGATGACGAGGCCGACGAAGCCGAGGAGGTCCTACAAAGTTCAGATGAGGATAACCATATCTTCCCCAAAGCAAAAACCATCATATCAGACATTACTGGTCAACCCAAGCGAGTCTACCCAGAGATTGAGCCTGAGTATGATTCCGACTCGTCTACGGAAGACGTACGTCCGTTTATTAGGCTCGTATACTCTCTACTAACATTACTTAGGCACCCAATCGTGTCGGTAACGTCCCAATGCATTGGTACGATGACCTTCCACATGTTGGATACGACATTGATGGGAAGAAGGTGCTACGTCCTGCGCGTGGGGACGAGTTAGACAAGTTCTTACTCACTGTAGAAGATCTTTCTTCTTGGTGTGTTTACTGAACAGTTGCATAAAGCGAGTCGTTAAAATTTTATTAGGACTTCCGCGTTTGATAAAAACACCCAAATGGACAAGCCTCTAACAACAGAAGAACTCGACATCATTCGGAGGCTGCATGCAAACGAAGTCCCTGACGCAGAATATGATCCCTACGAACCAATGACAGAATGGTTTACCGGGAAGGGGAAAGAAGAAATCATGCCTCTATCTGCCGCCCCCGAACCCAAGCGTAGATGGATACCTAGTAAATGGGAAAAGCAAAAAGTAAGCTTTCTACCGCTTCTTTACAATCTCAAGTATAATTTCCTCTGCCAGGTGATGAAAATCGTGCGTGCAATACGGCAGGGACGTATCGTCCCCTCAAAACCGAAAGCTACGGCTCAGCAACAGTTCTACCCCATCTGGTCCGAGGCCTCCACATCGCATGCACCACCACTTCCAGCTCCAAAACCAAAACTACCTACAAATTCTGAATCATATAATCCTCCAGAAGAGTATCTCCCAACCGAGGCCGAGCGCAAGGACTGGGAGAGTATGGACTTCGAGGATCGAGAAAGAGATTATCTTCCACAGAAGTACTCTGCCTTGCGACTTGTACCAGGATACGACCGCTTCATCAAGGAGAGATTCAATAGGCAGTTGGATCTCTATCTGGCTCCTCGCGTTCAGAGGGTAAAACTTAACATCGATCCCCAGTCTTTAATTCCGAAACTCCCTAGTCCCAGCAGTCTCAGGCCTTTCCCGATCTATAAGTCCTTGACATTTTTGCATAATGACAGCTTGGCGAGATGCCTCAGTGTTAGTCCGGACGGTGCATGGGTGATAAGTGGAGATGACAACGGCGTTGTCTGTCTGTGGGAGGTCACTGTGGGGCGAGAAGTCAAACGCTGGAAGTTCTCTTCTAAGGTTGGCGCAGTGGAATGGTGCCCAAGGACCGATGTCAGTTATTTTGTCGTCGGCATGTATGTACTTCTTTCTGACACTTTAACCAAACACCCTAAACCTTTCTTACAGCGAGGAGACTATTCATTTTGTTATCCCACCCAATCTTTCGCCTTCTGTGTACAATTTGACATATAAGTTGCTGGCGCCGGCAACATTACCTTCCCCTCCCGATGTCCCCTCTGCCGTAAAATGGACGACAGCACCGTCGAGCTCATGGTCGATAAATCTTCCGATTCTCACAGTGCAGCTTCCGCAAACGTCCGGTTTACCTAAACAACTCGTGTGGCATCGGAGAGGAGATTATATCGCATCAGTTTGTAAGTTCTCGGTTCTAGTTGGAAACAAGTTTATTGATGAAGTTTTTTTTACTCAGCCAGCGGAAGTAATCTTGGAGGCGTTTGGATTCACCAAGTGACTCGGCGGCATTCCCAAGCTCCTTTCAAAAAAATTAGAGGAAGCGTACAGCTGGTCTTGTTTCATCCTCTGAAGCCTCACTTCTTCGTCGCTGTATGTGTCGCTCCTTCTTTTCATGATCACGCCTTTACCCTTGCAATAGACACAACAATACATTCGGATATATAACCTTTCCGAACAATTGTTATTGAAGACGCTTGTTCCAGGTATCAAATGGATATCTTCCATGGACGTGCATCCTTCTGGTGATCATGTCATAATTGGAGGATATGACCGAAAGTTGTGCTGGTTCGATCTCGAGCTGAGTGACAAGCCATACAAAGTACTACGGTAAGTCGGAATGGGTACGAGAACTTAACATAAGCTAAGCCGTACACTTCTACAGATATCATACGCGGGCCATTCGCTCATTGCACTTCCATCCCGCATACCCTTTATTCGCTTCGGCGTCGGACGACGGGACTATACAGATCTTCCACGCAAGAGTTTACAATGACTTGATGACAGATCCACTCATTGTTCCTCTCAAGATTCTACGGGGGCATCAGGTGAAGGATGGGCTAGGTGCTCTGCAAGTGAAATGGTGCAATCACCATCCATGGCTTCTCAGCGGAGGCGCTGATGGTGCCATCAACATGTGGTGCAGCTGATGTGGGACTTAGGGCATAGACTATTTGCGATACATTCCATCATCATGTTTCTCAATTGTCCTTTCTACGAGAAGTCGGATGTTTAGACTTCTTTTCTGAAAATATAAGCAGTAAGTGGGCGGATCGGTGTTTTACTTGTTCAATGTCTGGGGGAAATCACACCCTGAAAAATGTTTTCTGCTGCTCCCGGAGTAAAGAGCAACAAGGCCTTGCGCAAGTACTTATTCCAAAACAATAACATTGAGCGCTCAAATTAAGTAAAAACATTCAATGTGTCAAGCAGTAGCCGCCACAAACTTGGGAATGGGGATCGCAGATTCCTCAGCCGGCATCACCAGTCCTCCCGATTTCAACCTGAGGCTCGCGCTAGCCGCGGAAGTCTCAAGAGGTCGGCTCGCCTCAAGAGGACCAGTCATCAGGCCCAAAAGCTTGTTGAATCTGCTCCTGGCAGAAGCCACGCCTTTCATGTCCACCACAGCCTTCTGACCATCGTGCAGCGTCTTGGGAGTAGTGCCATTGTAGTATCCAAGTTGTTCATCGCTCCATATGGGAACCAAGTTCTCTTCTGCACCGGGAGAACCAACTCCAGCACGACCACCAATAGCCTTCCAGTCACTCAACCGTTTGATGTTCAGTTCCGTGAATATTTGGTCGACGGCAGCGATAAGATTGTCCATTTGTTCAACAGTATGACGAGGAGTGACCGTGATACGAAGGCGCTCTTCACCTCGAGCGACGGTCGGATAGTTGATTGATTGAACGTAGATATCGTGTTCAACGAGTAACTTGTCCGAAGCAGCTTTGGCGAGAGCAGCATCGCCCACAAAGACAGGGACAATATGCGAGGTACCGGGGCTACGTCCATAGAGTCAACACAGGAAGTCAAAATAGGAAGAGATTGTCATACACGATGGGAATGTCAAGTTCGGCAAATCGTCTCTTGACCTCGCGAACATTGACCTGCTTCAATTGACGATCGCCGACGTAGGACATCTGATAAGCGATACTAGCATGTGCGCCAGCAACCGTAGCGGGAGGCAGGGAAGTCGTGAAGATGAAACCAGGGGCGTAAGACCGAATCATATCAACGAAGTCATCCGAACCAGCGATGTAACCTCCGACAGCGCCATACGACTTGCCCAATGTACCTGAGAAATATGATCAATAACGTTCAACGGAACATATTTTTCTGACATACCCGTAATAATATCGATACGATCCATGACAGTTCCGGGGATAGGATCTGGACTATCTCCGGCGGCCTCATGGACATCGTAGTCTAGATGTTCAGCAACACCAGCACCACGGGGTCCATATAGTCCCACAGCGTGAACCTGAAAATCATGAGAAGGAAGTTCTGACGAAAATTAGACTGCATATACCTCGTCAAGGAACGTCAAAGCGCCATATTGCTCAGCCAGATCGCAAATTTCCTTGATGGGTCCAATGCTGCCACACATTGAGTAAACACTCTCGAAAGCGATGATCTTCGGCGTCTCTTTCGGGTACTGCTTCAATTTCGCCTCCAGGTCCTCCAAATCATTGTGTTTGAAAATAACCCGTTTGGCGCCCGAATGACGCATCCCTTGAATCATGGACGCGTGATTCATAGTGTCTGAGAAAAGCACACAGCCTGGGAGCTTCGCTCCGAGGGTAGAAAGCGTGGCATCATTTGCTACGTAGCAAGACGAAAATACGAGGGCTGCAGGCTTGCGGTGCAGGGCAGCAAGTTCCTGCTCGAGTTGCAGATGCAGGGCACCGTTCCCAGCGATGTTACGCGTCCCTCCAGCACCATGGCCGTACTTGTCAAGGGTGCGACTAAACAATATCAGTCTCAGGTAAAAGCAGGGGTCATGGGAAGACTCACTGCATGGTCTCGAGAACGACAGGGTTGTTTCCCATCCCCAGGTAATCATTCGAACACCAGACCTGGACCAGATCTTCAGGTTCGCTCGTGTGCGCGATAGGGAACTTTTTGGCGAGTCTGTTAATGTTGTTGAAGTAGCGGTAAGACTTGTCCTGGTGCTTCTTGTCAAGCTCGTCAACAAAGAACCTCTCGTAGTCGAAGGCACCAGGATGGGCGGCCTCGACGGGAGTAGGGGCCTTCTTTGCGACCTCAGTAATAGCCGCTGCCTTGTGGAAAGGACAACCAGCTGTTGAACCGGTCACCTGAGACTTGGCTGCATTCTTGGTTGCAGCTGCAGCAAGGTCTTCAGCTGTACGGGCGGCGGCACGAGCTGCAGAGGCATGGGGACACATTTCGACGGTCGCGCCAGGTGGGACGTTGATACCCTGCTCCTTATGGATCTGCTCGACGTCTGAATTACCAGCAATGCTAGCGTAGCCAGCAACGAGCTCCTTGGAACGAGTATTCAAGGCAGGGCCCATGACGGGGCATTTTGTTGCCCTTTCGGTAAGCTTTGTGAGAGAAGGATACCTGGGAGAAACAGAAGTGCTGAGAGCACGAAGAGTCGACTGCTTGGTCCTTCCAAGGAAGGGACAGAGACGGGTGAAGGACGCGAGCTTGTCCATTGAAGAGAAAAGTGGATCGTTCGGTAAAGAAAATTGGGACCACATTTATCCTTCCAGCACTGGCCAATCGGATTTCTCCAATTCGTCCGGCCCAGAGACCCGAGTGCCGCGCTACCATTTACGGTATTTGATTTACATCCTTGTCCGGTTACAGCTGCGCACTGTGATTGATTTATCTACAGCTCTCCCAGGCAGCTTTCTATCACATCTACCGCAAAGTCTACTTCGCCCTTTCCAACATTCAGGCTAGGCACCAGCCGTACGGCGTCTTTTCCTGCCGTCAAGACAAATACACCTCGCTCTCGCGCTAACTGAACTACCCGACTCGGGTCTGAAACATTCTTGAATCCGAGTCCAAGGATCAGCCCCCTCCCCCGAATATGAGGCTGTAGCACTTCCGGGAACCACTTTGGCAGCTGTTCTAGCCGAGCAGTGAGATAAGCACTTGTTTCCTGAACTTGAGTTACGAAGGAAGGCTCCGACAGGCGCGAAAGTACATAATGACCAACAGCGCTGGCGAGTGGGGAGCCTCCAAAGGTCGTCCCGTGCGTCCCTGTATCAGGTAATTCAATTGCAGCAACTGTAAAATCTGCATCTACCGTACCTGCTGTCATAGTCGAAGCAACCGAGTCTCGAATCATAACCGCTCCAATAGGATATCCGTTGGCAAGCGGCTTTGCCATGGTCACGATGTCTGGATGAGCATCAACCGGCAGCGTGGAATGTGCCCACAAAGAACCCGTCCTGTACAACCCACACTAGTCACATTGTTCAGTCAATGCAAAACTTGGGCCCGGCAATGGTAATACACATTGACTCATTGGCTCACCTGGATTTCGTCGAAAATCAGAACTGCTCCAACCTCGTCACATCGTTTGCGTAAAGCCTGAAGCCATTCTGTTTGGGCCACGTTGATTCCCCCTTCCCCTTGTATCGGTTCCACAATGACAGCGCAAGTATTGTCAGTCACCAGCTCGTGCAGGCCCGTGAAGTCATTCACTTTACCAACGTCGACTCCTGGCAGTAACGGGGCAAACGGGGATTGATATTTGGGGTTGCTGGTTACGCTCAGGGCACCCATGCTCCTTCCGTGGAATGAATTCTCAAAGCAGACCAACCGCGTTTTAGTACAACCGCTTGAGTCCCAAGATCGCCCAGGTTCCGCTGCTGCCCACCGGTCCTTGCCAACCTTTCGGGCTATCTTGAGCGCCCCTTCATTGGCTTCAGTACCAGAGTTCGCAAAGAATACTTTGACTCCTTCAGCAGCAGCTGGAGCGCCGGAGCCAGAAGAGGGGAAGCCTAACCCTCCTTCCTTCTGAGTTAGAATAACGAGAAGCTCTGCGAGCCGGGACGTCCACTCATTATGATAGACATTACTGGTGTGCGAGAGTTTTCCTGCGTGATCCGATATGGCCTGTGAAGATGAGTCAACTCCGGTGCGGTAAAACGCAGCATGAACAAAAGAACGCAACGTACTTTTACCACTCCCTCATCAGCATGTCCCAGTGCATTTACAGCGATTCCGGCTGAGAAGTCCAAGTATTTCCGATCTTCTGTATCCCAAACGTACGATCCCTTTCCATGGGAAAGAACAAAGTCCGGTCGGGCGTATACAGGCAAGAGATACGTCGATGCACGCGACAAAGTTTTGGTGGTAGCTTCATTAGCGCTTTGTGTTGAAGGAACGTGAGTGGCAGCTTTGTATCGCGCCGAGGGAGCGGCCTAGTTTCAAAGTGACGTCGTAAATTTTCCTCCTGATCTCATCCAATCAACCCACGAACCTTGTTTGCGAATGAGCGCGACCCCGATGGCAAAGATTTGGGATTATGCTGGACGAGCCTGCTCTGGTAGATGGGTAATCGAGCGAACGTTTTCATGATGGGACCGACTGGTGGGAGAACAGAAGAGACAAGGACCTCGTGAGTCGGACGAAATTTCATACGTAGTGTCCGCAATGTGAGCGACTTTTATCATTGGGCCGTAAAGTTGTAGATCGACGAGCTGTAACACTGTAAAGTATACGTTCAAGGAAGCTGTAGCATAAACAGCTCAATCGATTGAAACACAAAAGCCACGCTAATGCTCTACACCTTTCTACTACCCTGATTTCTGTCTTTGTTCCCTGGTGAACTCTAGTGCCTTGTACTTCAAGGGATACATTGACTCCCTCTGCTTTGTTCTCTCGTCGCTCCATTCCGGTAAAATATCCTTCAACTCAGGTCTAACTTTGATAATATCCTCCTTGAGTCCGGAACAAAACTCCTGCTCAAAGGCCCCCAAAATACCCCACCCAAGTAGTGATGTAGGATCTGTGAGGTCTTCGAGCGCCTTATCGAATGACGCTAATCTCGCCTTCTCAAACTCTAGTCTACCTTCAGCGGTCTCGGGATAGGCAATCTCCCCACCCCAGGCGAGAGAGAGCCACGTACTGCTGAGATCACTGATGGTGAATGGCGTATAGCACATCATAGCAAGGACAAAAGCAAGCGTTGGATTATGGGCGTAGAGAATATAGCGATGGAGGCCAGGAATACGATGGGGCTTGATTTCTTCTGTCATGAGCGGCGTCACTTGCTTGGTCGTTGGGTCCAGAACATGCACGAAAGATGGTATTGGCCTGTAACCCGTGCCGACGAGTACAATGTCTATGTCTTCGATAGTGGTACCATCCTTCAGTGTCGCGGTTATCTTGTTCGTGGAGACATCTAGCGCGTACTTGACGACCGGGGCAACATCGACGATACGCGGATCAGGCAGACTTGGAAATGTCGGAAGGGCTGGTCGACGGATGCTTCTGTACACGGGTTCCTTTGCGACCCAAGCTAGATGTGAAGCCATGTCGTTCGCTGAGTTGGCATTACCGATGACAAGTGCACGCTATAAAGTCATAAGACTTTGATACAAACCGCAACGGAGCCTTTTTACCTTGCCTGCATAAGGTTCGGATCCTCTATACCACTTGGCATGGATCGCAAGCCCTTTCTCCTTGAGTGCTTCAAGCCCCTCCGTGCTTGGCCAAGTTGGATTATCATACCATCCAACAGTGACAACCATAGCGTCCCAGATCTCGGTCCGCTGCTCGCCTCCATCGTTCCAGTCATTAAACGCGACTTTCCAACCAGCATTATCAGGAAGTTCATCGACGCGAGTAACCTCATGGTTCAATCGGATGGCCCTGTTCTTTAGATACGGCTCAGCAAACGCCCGAAGGTAATCGTGGGTCTCTACAAGTGTCGGGAAGGGTTGATCTGGCGTAGATGGTGGCTCAGGGAATGGGAACTGGGAAAAAGAAAGGTATTGAGGCAAGACGTTGCCAACAAGTCCCGAGTACGAAGGTGATGGCCATCGAGGCTTGATGTCACCTTCCTGGGGATCGTCAAGGTACCTGGAAGTACTCTATCAGTCAGTAACACATCGTTGAAAAGGTATAACACACCAAACACCTCCAACATCGTCACGTCGTTCCAGGAGTTCTACTTTATCGAACTGACCTCGCTCAGTCAAGCTACGAAGAGTAGCTAATCCCGCTGGGCCACCGCCAATAACGATAATCCGCTTTGGAGAAGGAAAAGTCATGGCAGAGAAGCAAGCTGGCCGCCATCACTATATAATGACGAAAGTGCAGTCCTTTTTTGTACGTGCTACGGATGTCGTAATCTAGGCGCAACGATGTTCGACATGGCGTATTGTTTGTCTGGGCCATTAATTTCGACAATCATTAGTCTTGGATAGAGATAGAAAGGTTGTCTGTCGTCCGAATGTTTTTTGGATTCAAAATGTTGAGCAACTATTTGGTAACGCCGTGTCCTCAATTTGCAAGATCGGTCTTGTTGAATACTCATACACAGTAGACAAGTAGGATAAATGAGAGACAAAAAGCAAACGACCAAGCCGGCTATTCACGGCTTCGACTTCGACTCCCTGATGACTGGGAACTAACAGACATCGACGAACCACTTGAGGCAGAACGACCGCGACCCCGTCGAGGCTGATCTTCAGAATGCAGCCTTCGTCCCCTCTCTGCCCTTGGATCACCTTCAAAAGGAGGCCCCCTTCTGTCTCTTGGCCTATACGGCGGCGAATGGGATGCAGAACGTCCTCTACGACGGGAAGGAGGGCTTACATCGCGCTGACGAGGCGGAGTAGGAGGCGGAGAGCGACGGGGGGGTGAAGGCGAGCGTCTGCGACGAGGTGGAGACGGAGAGCGCGACAGAGACGATGATCGCGAACGTGACCGTGAACGCGAATCGTATCGTCGACGGGGAGGAGACACTGACCTTGAATCATGGCGAGGTCGTCGAAGAGGTGAAGGGCGACGACGAGGGCTTCGACTCCGACTGCGTCTGTCTGAACCACGATTGTCGCGGTAGGGTCGATCTCTTGGAGGAGGCAGAGGCGGTGGAGGCATGCCACGATCTTTGCGCCTCGTGGCGTTCTCTTCTCTCTCCCGTCGAATCCTGTCCTCTTCTCTTCGTCGCAGTCGATCGCGTTCCCTCTTCTCGGCCTCCCATTTAGCCTTTTGCTCCAACATCTGTTCCCGCTCTTCCTCTTTTCTGCGATCTCTCTCTTCTCGTTCAACTTGCCGCTTCACCTTGAGCTCTTCTTGCTTCTCTCGGTCAAAAGCATCCCCTTCGCTGTAGTTGCTACTGGTACCGAAAGCGCGTGCCATTTTGGCAAGCTCAGTTTTTTTAGCCGCAGCCATACCATGAGTGTCGGTTGGTTTAAGCTTTTTGGGCGCCATGCTCGATAAGTTCGCTAGAAGCTTTCCACGAAGGGCGGCAACTTTTTCTTCTATCTCTGTCTCGTCAGCACTGCGTGAGAGGTGTGAGACAATGCAGGTGACGGTACGTGAGTTGGAACTCACCCGTTATCCTCCAGCTCGAGCTGCAAGGTCAGACATTCAACCTCAACCTTTCGTTTCCTCTCATGTTCCAGAATGCCTTCGTCCGGTTCACGATGCTTGGGCGGTGCTGCATCCCAAGCGTTTGCACGATCCTGAGCTGGTTGATACGACCTCAATGTCGAAAGGTTGCGGACAACATAGCCATTTGTTCCACTACAAAAGAGTCAGGAAAGTATATATGATGCGTATCTATCGGACATGCGTACCTTCCCCGAGGTGTAGTAAGACCAATACCATTGTACATGGTGGTGAGGCGGTAAGAGTTGGCGGAGTTTTTGGTGCCGACACGGGACGTGGCCGGCACATGGCAATTCCCCTTATGGACTATTTACCCCTTTTTGACTACATTGCCATGACGTTCATCGACGGCATGGATGGACAAAAGCCGAGCAGTGCAACGCGTGTTCCCATCTTAGTTTTCCTTCACCACGTCGTCGAGCTCTCTGTTCAGTCTGCCTCGTGCGCTGTCTGTAATGAACGCGTCACTCAATCCTTCCGCACTGTCGTCCTTGCCACCTGCAAATGAGATTCCGTCTGCATTCTCAGCAAGCATGAAACAATGGTCAGTCCGCCTGGGGGCACCTCTATAATAAGTGTATTCACACCCGTCATTTTCAGGTGGGCAGCAGGGGAGAAGCAAAGTGCTATCAGCGAGGAACGGCTACTAAGGTCAGTCGTCTACCAAGGCCGCGATAACATTCAAGTTCTCATCTCCATTCACCTAAATAGGCGGCTGCCTTTCTTCCGCAAAGATGCATCAACTTCGGTAGATGGTCCAGTGGTGGCTCATAGCTCCAGGGTCGAGCTGTCCACCCCCAAACACTTTGTCAATACCTTCTCTATAGCACCAACCTCTCCATCACCAACGGCACCGCCGCCCACAGTTCTTCTTCACGGATACGGCGCCGGTCTAGGGTTCTTCTTTCATAATTTCCCGCCACTTGCCGACTGGGCTGGAAGGCGGGGAAGTCCTGTCTATGCACTCGACTGGCTAGGCATGGGTCGCTCTGCTCGCGTGCCTTTCACGGTCAAGGCTTCTCGCAAGGACATTCCAGGGCGAGTCAAGGAGGCCGAGTCTTTTTTCATTGACTCTCTGGAGGACTGGCGACAGAAGATGGGCCTAGAAAAGATGACCCTTGTCGGTCATTCTCTTGGTGCATACTTTACTGTCGTCTACGCGCTCAAATATCCCACGCGAGTCAACAAACTAATTCTGTTGTCGCCTGCCGGTATACCTCGCGGACCTGATTATTCTGTTCCCTCGCAAGAGTTGGAACCTTCGGAAGCGCATGGACCTGGTGGGTCGGCAGAACCAGCCACGAGACAGAAGGTTCAAGAAATTGAATCTCAACAGCGGAGGGTCAAAGCCCAAGAGAGCCGAACTAGAAAGCTTTTCACTTATCTGTGGGAAGAAGGATGGAGTCCATTCCAGGTCGTCCGATCGACTATGTTTTGGGGACCGTTGATAGTTGGCAAGGTTGGTTTTCATCTATCAATAGCATCCCTTCCCGGCATCGATATATCTATTCCTCGTAGTACTCGTCGCGACGATTCACAGGCTTGACGCCCGAGGAAACGCGTGACATGCACGATTATATTCTCAACATCACTCTGGCCAAGGGCTCTGGGGAGTACTGTATATCTCATATTCTCGCTCCTGGCGCATACGCCAGAATGCCTATCGTCGATCGAATCTCTGCCCTCAAGATTCCGGTAACTTTTGTCTGTGAGTAAATGCCGTGGTTTAAGCCAACCGAGCATGACTGAATTTGGCCAGATGGCGACCATGATTGGATGGACCCAGAAGGAGGCCAAGAGTCTGTCGAACGACTACGCCAGTCCGGTAATGGCCAAGGACGAATGTACATCGTCAACAATGCCGGCCACCACGGTGAGTGTTCTCGATCTCTGATGGTGCCCTCTTTTACGGGCGAACAGTTTATCTTGACAACGCCAAACTTGTTAACGACCTGCTGCTTAAAGAGTTGGATCGCCAGCCCCCGATGCATCCATAAATATTTTTGTCGCTTTTCGGACGCACAAGATTAGAACTATATAGAATTTTGTATACCTTTTTATTATTTAACATCTAATTTGATTAGCCTTTCTGACTGAGTCACCGATCATTGAGGCGCAGCCACACAGCCACACATACAGGCTCCGCTTTTATAAAGCTTGTGTCGTCCATTAGAGGCAAGTAAATTTTCCTCAACCACCACCACCACAACAACAACAACACACTCCCACTGAACACGCAATGGCGAAATCACTTCGATCCAAGAGCAAACGGAACTTCCGCTCAAAGAAAAGAGAAGATGGAATTTATGCAGCTACAGAAGCTGCTCGCCTGCATCGGCTTAATGCTAAACTGATGGCTGTCGTGTCAAAGGACAACGATGGGGACGTTCCCCTAGCAGATGCTGAGGGAGAGGTAGAAGACTCAACAGGTTGGTCATCACCTTGGCTAGCGACTTTTGGTCTTCTGGATGCAATGGATATCACTGCGGACACCATGCACTCGCTGCAGCATGGGTCTGCCGTCAGACTGCCTCGACGTCGTCGTGCGAGAAAGGCGGTAACATCATCATTTTGAAAGGCTCTTTGATCTCATTCGATTTATCTGTTTTCGAATGACGATCATTGATAGTTCTTTTCACAGTGCCACAGGACATGCAGGACAATTATAACCCTCTACAAGGTTCGCCCTGGAGTATTCCATCATTTCCGCATCCCATTTACACATCATTTATTTCCACCGCCAGAACCTATGGAAGTGGATACCCTAGGCGCCGTTGCTACCCGTATATCAACCCATGGACGGAGAGGTTCGCGGAGGGAAGAATGGAGACTCTCGAAGGGTCTTTCGTCTCGGCCAAAGTCGAAAGGCATGAATCGTCAAGGAGGACTAGCTGCTGTTCGGAGGCCAGGCCGGTCAAAGCGGAGGCGGTAGTATATGTAAACGCACTTTATTTATCATTTATGGGCTTCCAATTAGAAAAACTCCTTTCAGTCTGAGATAATTATCTGCATCCAAGAGCTAAAAGAATCAAATTCATATATCAAAATGCAGGATTACTATATTATGAGGAAGAACCGCGTATACGAAAGGAAGATGTCGCAAGTCTGTATCATACAGCTTATCGCGCTCGTAAGTCAGTGATTGACGTGACTCCCTCCTGATCCCCTTTCATGCCATTATAAGACTCTGAACCCGCCTCGAGGTCAAGGGAGTTTTGGGTATCCTGACTCTTACGATATTGACCGCGTCTACAACAGTGGTAATCAGTGACATCAGGGCAAAGAGCAGCCACTTACGGGTATTCATGCATGGTAAAGTGTTCCGTCGTAACATGAACTTCCGGCCTCGTTGAAGGCGGAGCTGCCACAGAGACCGCGAACGCTGCAGGAACAGGAGCACGGGGCGGAGGATTGCTACTAGACATGCCCGACAATGAGTGGACATACACATCGTGTGAGTGGAAATCCAGTAGACGCATTACAGCACGACCGGAAGCAATGGACCTGAGGTACACCAGGAGTCAGGCCTCAGATTCAGTTCCGAAAGAGGTAAGTTATTGCACGTACGACACTAAAGCAGCTGGCACCTTGGACGTATGTTTAGAACAGAGGGGAACGTCAATTGAATGACACTCACTGTCGCGATCCTAAGGAAAAGATGGAAATCATTAGAATGTGATTATTATATAAATGCGAGAGAATCTTACACATTCATGGGTACTATGGGTAGGACTGTGAGCATCAACGTTCCAAAAGAAAGATTAGAATCTTACTGTTCAAGTTGAGAATGTTCAGCACCTAAAATACAATTAACTCCAAGTTCTATTTAGCATACAGAGTACGTACCGCAGGGATACAATTACAGGAAAACGTCACCAAGAAGTAAACAAGACCGTCGTTGAAGAGCAGCTTCCATAGGTCCGTGCGGGCGGTATGTTTGGAGATCAGAGCCACGGCTGTGAAACAAAGAATAACAAAATCAAAACCCATGGCTATGTCGCTTGTCAGTGAATGCATGATGACACGGAAGGGTTAGCTCTCACTGAAAAAGAAAGTTACGTTAAGTATACCAGGACTGGTTTGCACTACGACGCAAGCGCTAGCGGTCTCTTCCCAAGCTGCATGAACAATGAACATCGTGCGATAAAGAAGTCCCCAATGCGCGGCGCAGAGAAGTGACAGTGGAATTACAACGCTCTTGCGGCGCTCCCATAAAGCCATTCTGCGGTCTCATCAGTGCCTGCAGCTCATCTCAAAGACAGTACTTACGTGCGGAGCATAAGGGACGTTGAAGCGCATAAGATAGTCATGTTGCCAGCCCACTATCAAAATATCAGCCCGACAGGAACTCCATGCGATCGTATGGGGACATGCACACCCCGTTGAATGTATACAAGGCCTGAGAAGGAAACTGTCACAATGACAGTAAGAGAAAAATGATTAGTAAAGTTGCTCACATTGCAATTGATCTGAAGAGACATTGTTGCGTCAGTTAAGACTGTCGAAGAGGAAGACAATTTATTCTACCTGGGTTGTAACGGACAGGGAGATAATGCTGTGGGAAGCCGTTAGAATCCTCTACTATGGCTTCGCATCAGAACAGCTCACAGTCCAATGAAGGCTAATAGGATACAGTAGCGAGATAGAAAGAAAAAGACTGACGAATAAAACAGTCGTTTAAATACAGCAAGAAATGCGAAGCACATACTCTGTCATACCGGGACGCCACCGTTAAAAAAATGCATGGAAGGAGAAACGTTGGACTCACCAGAGGCCATCGGAACTGACGACGACGTGTAATCAACGACCACTCGAAACCGCAAGTGGTAAAAAGCTCCCAGAGACAGACGCCGAAAATAGCGAATATAAGCCGTTGGAAGACAACTATCATAGCTTAGAGAATACGGGAAAGATAATGGATGGAACATACGGCTATCTTTCGCGATCTCGGTAGGGTCCGACCAATTGACCATCGTGAGGCACACTTATGACGCGTCAGAAGATTAAAGTGCAGTGCAGACAATGACAATGGGACGCGAGCTCACCAAGAAAATACGAAAAGAAGGAATAAAGAGGACAAAATGCGAATTCGCCTGGTCACACTCCCTGCAACCGATGCTGGCCTTAAGTAGTGACTGCTTACAAGACAACCGATCTGAGCTGGACCGCTTCTTGGATAGTCAACCTGGAGAGACTAAGCCTATTTGAATCTACGTTCATTCATAAAAAGACGTATTCGAAACAAGGCACACCACTTGTTTTAAATCAACCCATTTCCAGAATCCTGAGATACGTGCAAAAGAAAGTATCCCTGTTACATAACATGCAAAATAAGCACTTGTTTAATGTATCTTGAGAGATAAAATAGGGATTCATGTTCCTGGGCCGATCGTGACCTTTAACCTTTGCAGACAGAAAATGGAGAACAACTAGAATGCAGCTCGGTCATCGGTGCAGAGACATACGGTTCAACGAGACGTGTAACAGGTTATGCCGTGTATGTTCGGGATCTGCTGCTGATCTGGTTTGTTGGGCGACGGGGGAAAAGACGGAGAAGCTAAATGGTTCCTGATCAGATGCACCTGCATCAATCCGCTCTTGAATTTAGTGAATTTACGTCCCTTCGTATATCAAACTTCGAGGGATACGATGCCAACACGAGAGATGCACGAAGAGAAGTTCGAGAATTGGAAATGGAATCAAGCGTACTTCCGACGGCTTGGGAAGCATTTCAAGGTGGAATGTTCACGCAACCAACGTTTGAGAGGAAATGCATTGTGATCATACGCAAAGATAGGATGGGAATTATCGAAAGGACTGAGGGCGATGCCAAGACCAAGAAAGAAACATTCAGGACCTGGGAACATCTGTCATTATGAAGTAGCCTCCAGAACACTGAGGATCGCTCTGGCACGTAGCTCTTTGAGTTTAGGTTCTGGGTCCGCCTGCCCACTGGTGCCCTGTGGTTCATCATTGGATACGGCTTCTCCAGCCTCGGTGACGTGAGAGCGACACGTGTTAACGAGGTTCTGAATGGCCAGTCAGCAATGATGTATGTCCTGACATAAGAGTCAAGGAAAAATAAGACTCACTTCTCTCGCTCTACCCTGAACGCCTGCAAGGTACTTTGCAACCAGTGGCAGGTGAGGATCCGGGACCTGTAGAAAACGCCATTTACTCAATATTTTAATGCAGGAAGGAAGCGTAGAGAGACTGACGGCAGTAGGAGACCATATGTTACGTAGGAGCCAATTCTGTCTTGCTTTGTGGAATTTCCAGTGTTTAGGACGGTGAAATTGCGTGAACGCATATTCGAGTGCTTCAGATGGCAGCAGTTAGGCGTAATTCGATCCATGGTAGGAATAGAGTACCCACCTCTTCGGGCTTGTTCCGACAGTAATGAATCCTCCGATGGATCTGGAAAGCCAGTTCTGTTTTTATGTTTCTTTTTCTTGGGCTGTAATTCTGCCTCGTCCATCACCGCTTCAGAATGCATTCGCTTCTTCGATTTTTTGACTGGCCGCGGCGACTTATTTTCGTCCTTCAAGTCACCTTGGATCACCTTTTCCACTTTCTCCGACTTCTTTTTCTGCTTTTTCTCCTTCTCGGATGGGGCTATTACCTGAGCATTATCCAAGGTTTCCTTGTTGTGTTCGTCGTGATTTTGCTTTGGTTTATCTGCGCCCATTCGTAGCCCCGTACCGATGAGGAGCGGCAAAGGTGAATTTGATATGGCACGTGGTCGTCCCGATTATGGACATTTCTAAGCAACAGGACTAGCACTAAGCAGGCCAGGCCTTTCATCCTTACTCTCACATTGCATCGCATGGGCCTCTCAATATCGTCTCTTTTCAACTCTCTTTCGTCGCTTGTACGGTGGAGCAAAGACCAAGATGTCCGGATACTTATGCTAGGCCTGGATTCTGCTGGCAAGGTACCCCACGCGCCCTTTCTGTTTCCACCGCCAAACTGAGCCGATTTTTGTCAGACCACAATACTTTACCGTCTGCAGGTCACTTTCACCCTTCAATTCATGGCCTCAGTTCATTCATGATACTCCACAGATCGGCGAAGTTGTTTCAACGATACCAAGTCGGTTTTCCTTCACTGACAAATGACGTATGAACTAACGGCAGCCGAACTGAAGCAATTGGCTTCAATGTCGAGACTGTGCAGGTTGGCACGTTCAATACAAGACACTCTCAATGATTTATAATTCTCTGCTAGTATAAAAACATCAAATTCCAGGTGTGGGACTTAGGGGGACAGTCGAGTATACGGTGAGATCGCACGACTACTGATCTTTGTCCCGTTGCTGATAGATCTAAGGCCATATTGGCGTTGCTATTTCCCTAATACCTCGGCAATAATATATGTCATTGACTCCGCAGACCATACGCGGCTGACGACATCACGGACGGAGCTGTTGACTATGCTATCGGAGGAGGAACTAAAGGGCGTTCCTCTTCTGGTTTTCTGCAACAAACAGGATGTCGAGGGTGCCTTGAAGCCTGAGGATATAAGCGAGCAGCTGGGCCTGGCTGGTGGAGAAAAGTCACGACCATGGAGTGTCCGGGGTAGCTGTGCAACGAAGGGAGAAGGCTTAGAGGAAGGCTTAGATTGGTATGTGTTACGTCTCTAACGGCCTTACATCCTTCATTAATCCCATCATCAGGCTGGTTAATGTCATTCAAAAGAAATGATGGTTGTGTGTACGTCCCATTGTCTTTTGCCAGCATGTCGTATAGCTTTCCATCGTTTTGCACTTTCATTTGAACACTCTTTCTGTGGGATATAAGCATTTATAATTTAGTTATACCAGCCGTACTTGTATATTCATGAATTGAATGGGACGAAGCTTCAGGCGGACCTTCGATGCATACAAGGAATGTGAACGATATCGGAATTGAGTCCGCCGTTGTCGTCTGGTCTAAGTACCATGGCATCTTGTTTCATAGCTTCCGCACTTGATTTGAAGTAAAGCCAAGTTCTCCCAGAATACCTAGTACGGGTCCTTGAGAATAGTTCTGTCCGTAAGGTCCCGCAATAGCACTAATCATTCTATAACTCAAGGTATTAGAAAGAATAAAAGTGAAGAATAAAAGAGTGCTTACGGTTCTGGGCCGCAAATTATGAACAGAACTTTCTGTGGAGGAAGAGGCCGACGTTGCTCTCGAAAAATATTATGCCACCACGACGCTTTATATCCCAGGCAACCCTCGATGACATGCCTGTCTATGCGCCCCAGCCGCGGCGTCACACCAAGAGGAACTTCCTTCTCCATCTCATCCACGAATAGCTTCATCTGGAAGCGTTCCGGACTTGTATGACTACTGGCAATCAGCGGCACGAGAATTTCTGGCGGAGGAAGCTCAGATGGGGAACGCGACGAATGTAACAGCGTAAAGCGCGTTTTTGATGACGGATTTTGAAATGTTGAATGGAGGAGCTGGTAGAAAGGCGTGATACCTGTACCTCCCGATATCTAGATAGTCATATTAGTCGGAACGAGGGATAGCAAGAATTGAAGTCTGACCAAGATCACCTCATCCCAAGCCTCGTCTTTCCACAGCCACGTTTGCAAGGGTCCACGGAGCTCGACCTTGTCGCCTACTTGCTTGGAGTGGAGCCATCGACCTACTTCGCCATGAGGATACTTCTTGATCCAAAACTTCATGTTCCCGTGCTCGTCTATGCCTTCCAAGGGCGTATACGGACGCTCTACCTGAATGTCATCATCTTTGATGAAAACAGACCATATCGTTGAGAAGGACGACTTTGGTGGTATGAGCTTGGGTGGAACGGTAAGGGTAATGAGACGGAAATTGGGGCCACAGGATTCTCTCGACGTCACGGACGCCGGTGTGAAGTGCGACGGCAATAGTGGCGTGTCATTAAATGTGGAAGCAGACTTGGATGGCGAAGGGTAGAGAAAATACAAAGCAGTGGTGCCAGCTATGCCAATGAAGGTCACAGCGCGAAGACGGGGCATAGATGCACAGCCACATGCAGCCGCAAGCCGATCTTAGGTATTCATAAACTGAATATTGAGTGCCTGGAAGATACATTATTACGAATGTACTAATACGTAGAAAGCGAAGACGAAAACAAATACGATGCGACAATGTCAAAATTTACGTATATGATGCAGAACCTTGAACGAGTATTGTCACGTTCGATGGCTAGCAGAAAAACATAAATACACGTTGAAAATCCGTCCTAGATAATGATATAACCTGATCATGGCCGCCAGATAGTATTCCGAGCAGGTGTGTAAGCCTTGGTCCGCAAACGAGACGCGGGAGGCTGGGAGGGCGTCGTAGGACGTAGGTAAGACGTCTCTGGATCTGCACGCCGAATAAATTGTAATGGTGTCAAAGGTGAGCCTTTAGATGATGGAGTAGATTTTATGGAATGGGGACTCTTGCCCGAGGGCGTAGACAGAGCAAATGAAGGCAGGAAAGAGTTGTGGGGTTCTGGAGTCCGGGGCAGATGAGGACGCGAGAGAACGGGCTCGTTTTCTATTTCCGCAAGCTCTGGCGTTTCGAGCAAGGTAGCAGAGCTAATCCATTTTTCTTCTCGATGGCCCATTGGAGGAGGCGACTCTGTAAGAAGCCGGAAACTATCCGCAAAATGACTTCGAATAAACCTACAGAAGATGAATTAGCGATGATGATGGATTACTTGATACCGACATACTTCGACAACTCGGCCCAACCACCGCCCACTCTCACCATGACAGTTTGAGAACGCAGGATGCGACAAAAGCATAATTTCGGGTCATTATCGCCAATCCAGTATTTACCACTCTGGTCTTTCCAAGATATGCCTTCAATGTTGATACCAACAGGAAGATTATTGACAACATCTCCAACTGCCACATCGAGTTTACTCTTGGGGTTTGCAATGTACGTCTTTCTGGGAGCAGAGGGCGCTGGTGGGCGTCTTTGGGAAGTCGAACCTCGCGGAAAGGATATTCTGGGAGCACGAGACCACGATGATGAAGGTCGAGAGCCAACGTTGGACACAGACATATCGGAATGACCGGGAGTTGCGCTGCGCTTCAAGGAGGGTGTATAAATACGGGCCCGGCTGGGTGTTCCTCTAGTCGGTGTTTCAGCCTTGGAACTCAGACTGGTTGTTCGTTGACGAGACGCGAATGTAGAACCGTATAGGCTCAGGGGCCCTGACGTGGACCTATTGGAAACCACACTAGATATCCGGCTAACGGAACGAGAGGGGGTTTGAGTTGCGCTCGAGATAGCCCGGCGAGAAGGTGTGGAAGGAGATAGGGTGGTTAAACCTCCGCGAGACGATGACGGTATCGACAGATTCGAATAAGTAGTACTCTTCTTGGTGAGTTTTTTCGTGCCAACTATAGATACACGACTGTTACGACCTGAACTATTCTGGCCTGAGCTAATCACACTACTTGGCCGTGACTTTGGACCTGTAATACGGTCTTGTGCCATATCTCGTAGCTCGCTCCAAGTCTGCAGGACGCGTTCTCGTTCAGCAATAGCGCGGGTATCCTCAGAAACCAATTGAAAGATAGAGTCCATGTTATCAATGTTCGATTTGGTGAAGGTGAGGCGTTCTGATAATTGCTTCTCTGGAGGCTGATTCACAGGCGAGATGTGCGGAGAGGACAGAAGGCCCAGAGGAATTGCTGGATAGCTATCGATATGCTCTAGAAGATCGCTGAGAGCATTATCACAGAGACATAGGGAATTGGATAGTGACACCAAGTGCCTGATACGATCCATAAGAATGGAGGATGCATCTACCTCTTGCTTCAAAGAATCCAGCTCCAATTGTACGGATGCGTCATCAACGGAAAAGGGCAACTGCTCCACGTCCTTGCAGATAAGGGAGAAGTCACGATTCATACCCTCTACCAATTCTGAGGTGGGAAGCACAGAAGATGACGACGTCGCTCGAGCGACTGAGCCTATACTTATCGAGCGCAGCCTTTTACGCAAGTTCAAGATTTGTACTTGCAAATCGATCATAGCCTGCGACTTTTGCGGACGAGCATCGCTCGGTGAGAGCTTCAAACCAAAGACGTCTGTAGTTTCTTTTATGAGACTTTGTGAAATCAGGATACACATGAGAAAAGTCACCTTCTAGAGGTTCAGGGGCAGCGGAGGAAGCCAGTTTTTTTGCTTCAGCGGCACGGCTTTCCAGTTCTAGTTTCTTCCGTGACTCTGCTGCAACATGATCGGCATAAGATTGCCGCTCTGCAGCTAATTGTTCCTCAGCTTTCTTGAGCTTGACCTCCATAATAGAGCGCTCTCGTTCCAACCGGGCTCGTTCCTCAAGCTCGACCCTCCTCCTCGCCTCTTCAGCTAATGCGATTTCTTGCTTAGCAATCTCTTGCCGTTCGGCCTCCAGCCGTGCCTTCTCCTCTGCTATCGCCGATAGGCGAACATTTTCTGCTTCCCGAAGACGTTCCATCTCTTGTACCTCCTTGAGACGCCGCCCCTCTTCCTCTTTCTCGCGTTCTATCCGTACTTTCTCTGCTACTTCAGCAGCTAGTCTCTCTTGCTCTGCTTGGAGACGACGTTCGTCCTCAAGCCGCCTTTCCTCTGCGGCACGCTGCGCATCGGATAGAATGTTGCGGAAAGACAGCAGGTTACTGTCCCAAGTAGTAAATTTAAGTTCTGCATCGTCGACCGCTCGCGTACGAGAAAGAAAGAGAGATTCGTGGACGGCAGCATCGTTCACACCACGAGCAGTGCTCATGCTTCGCAGTAGTTCACGGATAGGGGAAAACGATCTCCTGATGCGGGTAGAATGTACTTGCAGAATGTCATCTGTGGAGATGTACAAGGCCTGCAAATTTTCGGAAACCGTTTTCTCTGTCGGCGCTGCAGGAAAAGAGCACCTCAAGCCGGACAATTTTTGTATACCATCATTGATGTCATCAATAGTTGCGGATACGCACAAATCGACCTCCTTTGCTAGTTTTGCTAGATGGAGATGGTCGGCCTTCTGCTCCAGACTGCGCAAGTCACCATTTAATCTCATGGTAAACGTATTACAATCGTGGCGAACGGCGTTGTCCAACGAACGCAAAGCGAATGGAAATGGAGCTGGGGAAGGGCATGTTACAGACTGCTTGGCACCAGTTTCGACCCATGGAATTCGCTGTGGTAGCTTGTCAGAAAAAGCATTAACCCCAGAACGAATATCATCAAGGGAGGTCTCTAGACATATGTGATTATGCAAAGAAAGACCAGCATTCGCTTGCCCTGATAGACACTCTTGAGTCGCTGATTCGTACTGGATCCTGATGTCCTCGATGCGAAGTTGGAATGCGTTAACTTCTGCTTTGACACCGATCATGGATGTAGCTTGCTCCTTGATCAAGGAAAGTAGACACGTAAATTCACCGCCGCGATTCAACAACACCTTCAATTCCGACGCAGTTCGGCGGAGCGACTCCGCCAGAGGCTGTTCCAAAGTCTGGCAGAAAACTTCCAAGGGTGAATCAATATCCTTAACGAATTTGCTGTCAAACCGGACAAGCTGTTGGTGAAAGTCCAGATCTGACGAGTCGGCCGGTAACGGAATATTCGGTGGACTCTCTGGTGTCAGGGGAGCATTACTGCGTTCTGCATCCTGCCTCCATCTATGCTTCTGCATGGACATGCTAATTTCTTTGAGGAAGGCCCGCAAGTCTCGAGAATGTATATCCATGAGATTTCGAATTCGCCTCGCCTCCCTTAGTCTCTCAGTGCGCGCGACTAGTTCCGTGCGGACCTCTTCCACATTGGCCAGACGGTCCTTCAGTTCCTCTACTGCCGTGATACCCTTAGACTGGAAATCAGAATCTACAGCTGGAAAGTTCAGGCGGAGCAAAGCTTCCGGTACGTTCCGTACAAGCTGAGAAGCAGCGGTGCCGACGCTTTGTAGTTCCTGAAAAATGGATGGCATCAAAGCAAGAAATACACCATGTTTTGTTGGTTCGAGACAGCCATCCAAGAGCAGATTGGGGGGTGAACCATCTCCGTTATTCGAGGTAACTCCCGTCTCTAGCCTTTGGGTTATATCCCAAAGCTTTGCACTCAAGCTGTCGGCAGTTTGGGTTATATCCTCGTAGGCATGGACAGCTTCATACGTCGAACGATAATCTGCCGCCGCCGCTTCGGCCTTCTTGCACATTGTCGTCGCAGAGGTGATTTCGTTAGATAGCTGTTGAACGAGTGTTTTGTTGAAAGATTGCTGCTCGGGAAATAATGCGTGAACTGGTGTCGGTAATGTGGATGGTTGAGACATGGGATCCCCTCTCACTAGCAGCCTCTTGCGGAGAGCCTCGGCACGAGTCACGAATGAGGCACTTTGGCGACCAGTAGGATGGGTCGATCTCGCTGCCTCAATATCGTCAAGGAGAGTCTGGGCCGATACTTGATCTTTCATTGTCTCCACATGTGTGTCATCTGCTCTGAAAATCCTGTAAGCCTGGAGATTTATATGAGTAGTGGGAATAGTTACTTTCTCCATTGCATAACCACATTCATAACGAACTTGCCAATGTCCTCCATTTGAGTGATCCCCATTTCTTCAAGTTTATCCTGCTCATCCAGGAGCTGATCAGGAACAGGTTTGCGACTATGGTCAATCATTTTATCGAGAATTTTGCCGGCAGTAGAAATGTTCCCGTGTCTAAGCGCAGTGACTCGGCCAGCAAAGTGAGCACTGTCTCGTGACAGTGCCTCCACCTGTGTAAACCTTACTGGCCGAGAGAATCCTGCAGGGAACAACGCATTTTCTGAAGCGATGGACGCGAGAGATGCCGTAGATCCTCGCCGTCGAGGTGTCGTGGGGTCTGCGGTGCTGACGGGCGCATCGTAGAAAGATGCTGACCATCGAGCACGATCCTCCAAAAAAGTATTGAGATCTGCGATGATTTGCCTGCGTTCAACCCATGCAGCAACCCGGTTTTCCTCCCACGACATCCTCACACCCAACAAATCCAAGTTCTCAGAACGGTCGCGGAGTAGGTGAAGTAATATATCCAATTCATAAATAGTCGTTAGCGTCAATTCAATGAGATCGGTATCCTCTGGCGAGAGATTTCGTTGAGTTGCAGCTATGAAAGGAATGAATGGGACTGCCCGCGTCACTCTAAGAACAACAAACCTCTGGTTAGCTTTCTTAACTTCTTCAATTCGCCGGTATCAAATATCTCAATTTCTTTCTCTATAGATTCGTGGTCCTGTAGCCACTTTTGAAGCTTGGACCGGGAGGGCAGACCGGGAATGTCCTCGGCAGAGATCTGCAGCGCCTCTATTCCGACGAACACCTCTATAGGCGGCAATCTTTCTAAGAACTAGGATGCTCGGTGATGAGAAGGATTCAGGCCAAACGGGTACAGTACGTACTTTTATTTTCTCTTCTATCCAAGCCTTTCTCTCGATGAATGTCTGTAGCTCGATGACCTCATGAGACTCCAAAGCCTGCTCTTCACCGTCAGTGGTAGATTTAGGTTGTGTTGCGTCAGATTCGTTAGAGTCGGTGTTCACATCGACGGCCGCTTGCTCCTCTCGTGCGACAACCGTACCAGACGACTCGCCGGAAATTATGACAGGCGCTTCCATTGAAGTATGCCGGCTATTAGAGATGAATGAGAAGCGTCGTTCAGATGAATGGGTGGGAGCTGCGCATAACAGAAGGAAGATAACAAGAAGGAATGGGTGTCTTTAAGACATGTGTATCACAACGAGGCAAATTGGAGTGTTGCTGGCTGTTGCTGGGCGGCGCTGCAGCTACGGCCGTACATAGCCTGTCAATGCCGGTATGCCGAACGATTTCTGCCGAATAACGACCCCTTTATGGCTATATCATTGCCATATGCGTGAAAGAGCGCGGAGGCAGCCGGCCCCCGAGGAATCTACTCAAAAAAAGTCCGTCGCTTGAAACAGTCGGGACCGAAAATCACTGTGTGCATCTTGGTTGCTACAAGTACATTTGTACATTTGTATCTACCTTGGACTAGGTAGTGATACGAAGACACCATTAATCTGACTCATGTGCCACCTACTTGTGAGGATCAGCAAAACAAATAATAGACGATGAATGGCCTGAACTTGCCCTGCTTGATCTGGCATCAGTACGCTGAGCTGACAGACGGAACGCAAGTTGCCGTAATCTATCCACTCTTTCTTCATGTACATGGCCCCCGTTAACAGTGCCCTGAAGACCCATGACGAGCTCCAGTTCTTGCATGAATGCCGCGATATCTGCAAGTGAAGTTCCCAGTGCCTTTGATGTTGCACTCTGAGTGCTTCTGGTAACAATTCAAACGCAAAGGTCATCGCTGCAGGAAACAAGCATACCGAGAATCCCGAACTTCCTCCAACAGACTCTGGAGCCCGCTCCGAACCTCTTCACCCTCCTTTACATGCTTGGCATCCTTCTCCAATGAAACATCCTGCAGCACTCCGAGTTCCTCTTTGATACCCTGGACGAGACCCCTAAGACGTCTATGCTCTTCGCTATGTAGTGAACTCTCCAAAGAGAGCTCTCGTCGCATCACACGATTACATTTCTCCAATTCCAGGATCTGCCTACGCAAGGACGATACATGACCCCTCGTCAATAGGTATGGTATGAACGTCATCGGAACGATGAAGGCGGTCAATATAGCGAAGCGGCCGACTAAAGAGGAGGGAGATCCCCTGCTAGCACTACTCTCGTTTGCGACGGTGTGCACTTCTGATGAGTCCCCAGTGGAATATAGAGGCGTGTTCTGTGTATCTTGAGTAGGTGTCGTAGTGTTCATTGGAAAACGTGATAGCACCTCATGGCATCAGCCTCGCTGTGTTTAGTGAGCGGAAATATACGCAAATACATTCAATAAGAGACAGTGTCAAAAAGCGGTAACATCAATCACTGCGAATCCGGATCCGAATCCGAATCTAGATCTATCGCGGGCATTGCTTGGTCCTCTTCCACTGCCTCCGCCATGATAACTTCTGGCTTGACGGTTGTCCTTGTAGGCGGCCCCAGTGCAAGAGCTGTGGCTGGTGGATATGATGGTTTCGGGGGAATATAGGTTGACTCCGCATGTGGCAGACTATCACCAGGGTGGGCTGGTGTAGGCTTATTGGTAGGGATTAGTAAAGGGGGCTTTGCTGGAGTAATAGGGCGAACACGATGGTTTTCCTGATCTAAATCAACCTGAGGCGACGGTGATGCTACAATGGTGGTCTGCACAGGATCTGTAGCTTGGTGTTGCAAAACCGACAGACCGAGTAATTCTCGATCTCTCGCTTCTTCCGTACCTTCTTCGGATAGAAAGAGTGAAAGGGTTTCAACGTGCGGCAGGGAACGGACGAGAGGCGGAATACGGGGGTGCAGTAATAGATCAAGGGTACGTTGACAAGCCTGACAAATGCTAATGAGTAAGAGAGACAGAAAGCAAGATAGGTATCTACGTTGTCGTCAGTCTTGCTCAAATCAACGGCTCTTAGAACGAGACCCAGACTTTTACTCGCGGTGTTCGTTGTCCCGCAGCCAGATTCCGTAACCAGGGCTTGTATTTTTTGTAAAAGTTTTGGGTGGAGAGTTGAGTCGGACGATAACGACAGGGAGGGGCGCTGGGGAAGGAAGAAGAGGATAGATAACAAGACACGGACTGACAGAGAGTGCGTCACTGGACTGAGACCCGGGTTGCGCAATAGTAAAGCCAGTGCTGCGTAAATATGTTATGGTTATCATTTCTGAAACAGGAATGGACTGACCATCGCAGGCGATGAGTACAGATTTCCCGTCATCAGACAAGGGACATAGTACATTGCGAGAAGCCTTGAAAACCTCATCTCCTTCGTAAGCCCTCGCCCGTTTCTTCCCCTTTTTGCTCCGACCAGCCTGTATCGTGTCAATAGACTGATCCAAGTCGGATTGAGAAGGTAAGATAACAGTAATCGAGGAGAGGACAGCCTTTGTCAACCGATTGCAAGAGACGTCAGAGTGCAAAGGGAAACAATGGTCAAGGATAGAGTAAAGGGCGTCTAGAAACGGAAGACGCTGTGAGCTATGGAAGATGAGACAGTTACTGGTACAATCATAATGAAGACCTACCCTGCCGAGTTCTGCTCTAGATGAGATGCCAAACAAGAAGTTAACCCGTTTAAATGCGAGGTCAAGTGATGACGGAGACTGGAACGATGTGAATATAACAAAAGGCGTACTGCGAGCAGAGCTTACTGGATGGCAAGGCTAATAACATATTCGCATCCAAGCTTCCATAGAGTTGGAACGACAGAGGCTTCGAGTGACCGTGTGCTGATGTCTACGTGCCCATTATCCTACAACAACTATCAACAAAGTTTCGCTAAGAGTAAGGTGAAAGATTACCGGTCCTCTTCCAGCAGTCGTTGATGTCAAAAGAGCAATAGCAAATTTATGAAGGGACCCTATTGGAACTTGAACTGATCGCTGGGTACCAGTCCCGAGAAGATCATTAATGATGACAACAAAACACCGTAGACGATCCAAATTTAAAGGTATTGTGACCTGAACGTCTTCGTTTCGAGAGATAGAACCTGGGATATTGTAAAAACCAGCGTTTGTTGCAAGAAAGCCGCACAAACCTTCTGAAAAGGAAGATCGTAAACTCGAAAATGCAGTCCATCCAAAAGTCAAGGTTTCCTCGACCGTCTTTTTCCACAAATTGGAAGCCCCAACTTTGCCTCCGGTGGCGGGAAGTACAGCGTATAAACGGGAGGACGATCGGAGTAGTGTCACAGAAGTAGGCAAGGGGGCACTACCATTAAGATACTTCAGACACAATCCCGAAAGCGCACTGTGGGATGACCGATGCGCATTGGGATACAATGGAACTACTCTGGCAAGCGTGTTCAACAGAAGTACCTATAGTTCATGTTCACTAACTGACCCACTGTGAGAGTAGTGCTTACCTTAAACTCGAGCTCGGGTTCTCCATCACATAGAGCAATGGTCGCTGCTGTGAATTTTGTGACATTGGGAAGGCAGACTTGTCGTTGGAACTCAGATACATCCATTGCAGAACAGAACATAATCCGACACAAGTTGACTGCTGCTTTTAAGATTGGTGTTGCTTCTTTTCGCTGTCCACAAGTCAATAACGATACATGGATGGTAAGTTAAATAGGATGAACGAACGGATAGGACACGTAAAGCAATGGTAAGCCACTGTTGAGCATGCTCAATCATGATTGACTTTGATAGAAGTGACGTCCTGTGTGCGAGACAGAGTCCAGCCCATTTTCCTGGCGCATCTTTGGAATGTAAGAGAGAAAGTATTCGCGATGTCCATTTGGTGAGATGCGGAGACGATGACAGATGCTCTGAAGTCAGTATATCAAGTATATGCGGTAGATTCTGGGCAGATGAGATGTCGGTGGCCAAGTGAAGCAGCAGCGTCTTTAGTTGGATTGTCGCGTCGTTTTCCATTGCCCCTGTTTAAGCGAAATTTTGGGAGCCGTAAACGGACGACTATGCGTTTGGATCGAAATACAAGCAAACAGCCCAATCGGGTAAGTAGCAGTGGCAAGCACAACGTTGCGACGGTCATCACGACCTTCAACGGACGCCCCGTCAACGGGCTTGGTGTATTCAAACACTAGTATTCATGTCTATACCGTCAAATCTCTATCTTGACCCTAGTGTGGAGGAGCACCTCAAGCCTTCCGTCTTCAAGGTCTGTTATATCGCGTATACCATGACACGTCTTGTTCAACAGCATTATCTTCAGGGAAAATTTGACGTCACAGATTTTGTGGGTGCAGTTTCCGAGAAACTGATTACTCAGTCAAAGGCAGATTCTGGGCGTAGGCACTCCTTCATCGAATGAATGTACTCAGACCTAACCATCAAACACTAGCTTTCGATCCCAAACCCTTTATTCGCAACTTTGAGGCCGCAGTAGACAAGCTTATTGCTGTCAGGAAAGATGTCCAAGCGAAAACTGAACAAATGGAAAAGAGTGTCCGTGTGTCCGAGCGGGAGTATTCCAAGGAGATGGCAGATTTGAACCGAGGCTTTGAGGTGTGTCGCCTCGCGAGGTTTAATAGTGCTGACTTACTCATACCATTGAAGGCGGTCGGAAATTCATTTTCCGGAATGGAAATCAGGATGAACGAAGTTAGCAGTACAGCAATACGCATAGGTTCGTTCGCGGATGCCAAAATCTCATACGTTCATTAATTCTCGATCAGGTGAACAGTTGGAATCTGTCCACACTGAGCGACAACGAGCGCAAGCTGCATATGATTTGATCGACTTCTATAATCAGTTCTCTCGAGGGGATACCACTCGTCTAGATGCAATGAGAAAGGAAGGCCGAAGTGGAAGACGTCAGGTCGCCGTCTTGCTTAGGCGCTTGAATACCGTTGCAAAAGAAGTGGATCTTCCAACAACTGACAAGGTATGTCGTATACGATTACATTGTAGGTCTCCATATTTAACTTCTCAACCAGACGCGAGAAGCCATAGAGAAGTATTGTGAGAAGTTCGAGAAGGAAATGTTGAACCTTTTCGATAGGTGCTACAGGAAGGGTGATCCAAAGATGATGCATGCAGGTGACGTTTCTCGAAATTGCGTGATGTTCATTAACAAGTTACTATAGCATTGTGCTCAGACACTATTAGAATTTAATGGTGGATCTTCCTGTGTCCAGGTTTATGTCAATCAACACGACTTCTTCATAAACAACGTACGAGAGACTAAAGGGGCAGACGACGTTATTCTGTGAGTTCTGCGGTCCTGAGTAACGAAGAGTATGCTTATTTTGAATCTAGATGGAATACATTACCAGATCCGGATTCCACACCGCCAAAGAGTGATGTTGGTCTGACCGAGCTATTCTCTGAGATACGAGCCACTGTGGACACGGAGGCCCAGATAGTCAAGGCCGTCTTCCCAAACCCCTCAGTAGTCATGCAAGTATTCCTTCAGCGTGTATTCGCACAATCTGTAGGCAGCTGTTTCTTGGTAATCCTGATCGCAGCTAACCTAGTTGCTTAGATTCAACAACACATGGAACAGCTTTTACATCGGAGTAATACGATGTCCGACCTGTCTTACCTCCGAATATTGCAGCTGGTTCATATACAAGCCTCCAATCTCGTTGAGGATTTGAAGGCATACGAGCTTCCTACTGTTTCGCCGCGGCCATCATATGAGGCGACAGAGTTTCGTCGGTCATTTATAGGGTCCACGTCTTCTGGACCTACAGGTTCGGCAACCGTCAGCACCATGCTTGAGACAGCGATGGAGGAGCTCTTCGTTCCGTATATCGAAGGCCAGAGATATCTGGAAAGGGAAAGTCGCAGTTTGGGTGCTTTGTACGCTAGTTTGCTTTCCAACTTCACCCGGTATCATGTGGGTATTCGTACTGTCAATTTCGTCCTCCGAACTTACACCATATAACGACAGGAAAAAACGCAGAAGGGGAAATCTTCAGTGTTTGATCGTGTTGTCAATCAGTTGAGCGCAGCTGCCCAGACTACGTCGACGAATGGCGTATCGACAACTTCTGCGCAAGCCGCCAGCGCGATACTAAAGTTTGGAGGCATTGATCGATCCCAGGACAAGGCTGGCGACGAGCCGGTCCATGAAGAGGATGGCCAGTTGAGCACCGATGTTGCTGAAAAGATGCTGAAATGGCATGCCGAAGCCATTGGCCGATGTGTCGAACTTAGTCCTTCCAACGACGTGTGCGTATCCTTAATTTTCATCTCTATGATCTGTTTACATGACTGATTTCAGTGCTAAAAATGCGTTCGCGTTACTTCGTGTTCTTGCAGAAGCAATTGGAAACGCCTACGTAGAGGCTGCCATTGAAACGTGAGCTTCTGGACCACTGGCTAGCAGCATATATTGATAATATCTTCCAGAGAACTAGTTCGTTTAGAGGCGGCTGATGCTAAGGCAGAGCCGAGTCTTCAGCTGTTATCGACCTTACGTTCCGCAGACCTCATCTGCCATCTGTGGCAGCAATACGTCAATACTGCTTTGCTTCCTCTAGCAAGCTCATCTGTAACTACGCGCCGTGAAATGGTCGTCTTCAACAACCAGGCCGTCAGCCGATTAGAAGGTGGCGCTAACCAGCTAACTCAACGTGTAATCGATGGTGAGTTAGGCAGTATGGGTTATCCCGTCGTATAACACCAATTCTTTTAGCAATCATTGCATGGCTATCGTTACAGCTCACAAAACAGAAGAAGAATGACTTCAAACCGCGTAATGACGATCTTTCGTTTGCTCGGGTAAATACAGAGCCGTGTGTTGCATGCTGTGAATCACTGGAGAAAGTTCGGGATGCCGCCAAGGTCAATCTGAGTGGCAAGAATCTAGAGTCCTTCCTCACAGAAATTGGCGTCTCTTTTCATAGGTACGTCATTGTACGCTATATCTCCATGCCGTTGACTCACGGCCTTTTAGTCTATTGCTAGAACATTTGCGCAGGTTCCCTGTTAGCGCAACCGGTGGCTTGATGCTTACCAAGTGTGTATCACTTTGTTCACATCTGCCCCAACTGGAACTTACGCTTTCGGTAGGGACATCAAAATGTACCAAGATACGATAGGCAGCTTCGGTATTTCAGCACTTACCGAAAGATTTGAGTTCATACGCCAGCTCGGTAGTGTGTTCCTTGTTCGCCCTGATATTCTCAAGTCGTACATCACGGAGAATTATCTTGGGCGAATAGATCCTACTCTGCTGAAACCTTATCTTGCATTGCGCAGCGATTGGGGTCAATTAGAGAAAGGCTTCGATGACGAAGCCGACACACCGGCCGAGGACGCGCTGACGGAGACAAAAGGTTTGAAGGATAGGTTTGGGCGGCTAAGCCTGATGATGAAGGATTTGGAGGGATTGAAGCTCGAAGGCATTCGAGAGAACATGCCTACGATGCCGACTAGTATTACGAGTAGCTTTTCAAGGTTTAGCTGAAACGCGTCTTTGCAATTCCTGTTTATACACATATTTTGTTGTTTGCATTAACTTATTGTACTTGCTATTCCCCTTTAAATACAGGTCTTCTCTTGTCTTTGAAAGCTTCCAAAGCCTCGAGGCGATCTGAAGTTGAGAGTAGAGGTTCATAAGACGCTCGTTCAAAGTCCAAGCCTGTAAAAGGTAATTAAATATCTACCAGAGATCCATTGAAAAGGAAGTATACCTGTTTCAAGGGATAGATCCTCAGAACGAGAAATTGCCTGTTTGGCAGCACGAAGAGCAAGGGGAGCTGAAGACAATATTCAATATCCAAGCCGCAGCCATACAAAGCTGAGTTCACCATTAAATGAAATGGTCTCTGCCAAGGTCAAAGCCCGATCGAATGCGTTGGACTCTGGTACGGAAACATAATCCACCAGACCTTGTCAAAGTCAGCACAAATCGAACGCAGTAACCATTATAGTACCCCATTGAAGAGCTTCAGGTGCAGATAACATTCGCGCAGTGAAGATGAGATCCTTTGCTTTAGATATTCCCAAGATTCTGGTGGCGCGCTGGGTCCCACCCGCTCCCGGGATTATTCCCAGCGCAGCTACTTTATCATCAGACCAAAGAAGACGATCAGCCAACAGAGTTGCCTCACTTTCTGGTAACCCAATCTTCGTTACACTAGAACCTAGAATCGGCTCAATAGCGAACGAGGGTTACTAGCAGTGAGATTACCTGCCACACGTAGATCACATGCCAGGCCAAGTTCCAAACCTCCCCCAAGTGCGGGGCCGTCAATGGCCGCTATTGTTGGCATTGGAAGCGATTCCAGCAGTCCCAGAGCGGCACGTAAGTCGACTAGGAATTTCGCAACCTGAACTTGAGACATAGTTCGCCGTTCCATGAGGTCCGCTCCAGCACAGAAAGATCCAACAGTTGTAGATCGAACAATTAGAACGCGGACACTGGGAGACGCGGTTATATGCCGTCAAATTCGGAATGAAACAAACAAGTCACCTCTTGTCAAAGCGCACTGTCTCCAAGCTTTCGCGCATTTCCTGTGAGGAATATCAACAAAAGCTCCCCTCACTATTTCCTTTCAAGATGACCTGTAGCATTCGCGTAGATATTGCGTTCTTGCTTTGCGGTCTGTTAAGGGAGAGACAGGTCACACCAGGATGCGAGGGTATTGGCTCTAGAAAGGCTTGGGGTAGTGATGTCGACATTTGTCGTCGCGACCTTGTAGCCAGAACATGGTGAGAGAAACGAAGGCTCCGATACACAGAGAGTAAAGCGATCGTCATGGTGGTTAACGAAAGGGTGCGGGCGTTTCGGCCGACGATATCACATGACGCACGCACGGACCACCCTTGAAATGTATAAAAAGCCGTTCCGTGCATTATTGAATCTTCAGATACATACTCATCAGGATCTTTCTATAGAAACTGACCGAGTCTCGCATTTTTACAAATGCCGCAACCTTCAAATCCAGTCGATGATAGTCGCCTTCACTCGCTCTACTGAGAGCATGGCCTTGGTTTTCCAAGGTCTCGAGGACGTTTGGCTTTGGTTCTTCCTTTAATGCTCTTGTGGCACGGAAGGAGCTGGGCCGGCGAGTTGAATGCTAGTCTGATGGATTCCATTGTTGTAATTAGTATTGTAGAGGATTGTACACTCTGTATTAAAATGTTTTCCAATCATTTGTTTGAAAAAAAAAATTTTTTTTGTTTTTGTGTGGCAGCTTGCTTGTTTGTGACCATTGATGTTGGATTCATACGAACACCTTTTACCGCCTAGCTGGAAGCCCCAAGTCACTGCATGGCTTGCAGAAGATACACCGTCTTTTGACTACGGTGGATATGTTGTTGGAGAGGTGGAACAAGAGGCCTTTCTGTTTGGTAAAGGCAGAGTCCCTGCAGTCCTGGCAGGATCCCCATTCTTCACCGAGGTTTTTGCTCAGTTGGGCTGTCAGTACGTCCATTATCTTATCGACTCATCCAATGCATTTATCATTTCTCAAGGGTTGAATGGCACGTCAGAGAAGGCGACGTTTTCGAGCCGATCAAGCATGTTGCGACGGTCAAGGGCAAGGCAAGGCATCTGCTTCTAGGCGAGCGCGTCGCCCTGAATATGTTGGCGAGGTGCAGCGGTATTGCTACACAGTACGTGACCTGATCGTTTTCTTTACAAATGCAAGCCGAATAATCTCACTTAGGTCTAAGAAAATCAAAGATCTTGCTCGAGGTTATGGATATAACGGCATTATTGCTGGGACCAGGAAAACAACGCCTGGTGCGTTTTTTTTTCACGTCAAATATGAATGAACTCATACGCTCTAAAGGATTTCGACTAGTAGAGAAATACGGCATGTTAGTTGGAGGCATCGACCCTCATCGTCATGATCTCTCGAGTATGATTATGCTGAAAGACAATCACATCTGGTCGTCCGGTAAGTATTGTCTCTGAACGTCTGTTTCTCTGTGTTCAATTTTTGTCCGCAGGGTCAATCACCGCCGCTATTCAGCAAGCCCGCTCCGTGGGAGGCTTCAGCTTGTTGCTAGACGTCGAAGTCAGTTCAGAAGTCGAAGCCGATGAAGCGATTGATGCCGGTGCGGACATCGTCATGCTCGACAACATCGAGGGCCAAGAACTTGTGAGCGTTGCTAGGAAATTGAAGCACAAGTGGCAGGGAAAGAGAAAGTTTCTTTTCGAAACGAGTGGGAACATTACCGAGGCTAATTTGCAGGCAAGAGCGATCAACGGTTAGTGGCGATTGACGTTGAAGCAACAAACGTACTGATATCAAGTGCCAGAGATCGACATCTTGAGTACGAGTGTCGTCCATCAGTCCGTACAGCACATCGATTTCAGTTTGAAAATACAAATGCCGAAGTAGGTGGGAACAACCAAGAAGTAAATGCATTTTGTACCATTAATTCTTCTTTATGACAAGGAATTATTATTATTATATAGAGATGTAGAATTGCGCCCTCGAACTCATCTCTGTCTCGTGTACAGACAGCACTCTTCCACTTTTCTGAGAGATGACACATCCAACAGCTGCCTGTGTGTCGATTCCCCAGTTCCATGACGCGACGTGCGTGAAATTACTTCGTTGGTTACCAAAGCCGGTTCTTCTGCACGACGTCGAAACAGAGTTTACCTAATGATGCCGCGTGCGTAACCTCGAGCTCACGGAACCATGGTGCCAGCCGAGAAGATAGCTGTGCCCTGAATGCGAATGGGCCTATAGAGGGCAAAGAGAGGTTCAAGAGAAAACGAAGATGACCATAAGAATTGGGGACCTAATGATGCGGTTTTATTTATTTAAATGAGAAACTCAGTGCCGATAACGATACCGGTTGTTTCGATAGCTGCCCAGACAGGGTCAAGTGCATTGTCGTCGAGACCTCTTGCCGATGTCTCGGGTACCCTGCCTGATAATGAGAGATCCGTTTGACGCCTGCGGGTGAAGCAATCGAATCTGTGCCCGTGGGGATCGTCGAGAAATAGTACCCAAGGTTATATCGTTCAAATCCAGTTTGTCTGCTTGGCTCGGTGGGAAAAAGAGCAAGCCGCAACGGTGGTAGACACACACAGATACAAACTTTAGCCTCTACGAGTCCAGGTCCGTCCACGGGTCTAATCCAATATTTACTCACCTCAACCATGGTTGTAGACCACCACCAGGTTACTCGATTTCTCATGTTATCTAGCGCGTCATGACTGAGTTTCTTCTGCGCCCAGCCTATTTCTGCTCCCACGCCCCTTCTCGATCAGCTCCGCGATCGCCTCGAAGAAATGCTACGGGATTATGGAGATCACACAGAGGCGCTTCAAGTAAGGATTCAGACCCTTGAGGAAGAAAAGTGCTGTTTGGTCAAAGAAGTGCAGGCAGCACACGATCTGAATGACGAGCTCCAGCGACGACTTGAAAGCGCGCAGGACTCGTCGACCGGTGTGCCCAAGAAGACCTACGATCACGCCTTGAGAATCATTCGGGACTTGATTCAGAACAGGCCGCTTGTTGCTGTCGAGGTGGATACTCATTCCACTCTTCATATCTTGGTCTTGAATTTGCCCAGGACGGGGAACTCAACCAGGCCGTTGTGAACGACCTCACTAGATTAGAAGACTCCGATACAGAGAAGAGCGCGAGCATGGCCCGTCCTCGGGAAAGTCCATCGCCAACACATGCACCGAATGCACCATTTGATATGGAGCTAATGCAGGCCCATTTTGGCAACGAGCGCTTGCCTGGCTTCGCAACAGACTCTTACTGTCGTTCCAGGAAATGGGTCAAATGGGTGAAATACTTGAATTTAGATACAGAGACGGTATGGTGCTCTCGTGCTTGATATTCTGTCATTGACCATCTGCTAGGAGGATGTCATTGAGAGGTGAGCTTCTTGTTTTTGCATCCAAATAACTCATCACATTCGGATTGACGGTAGTCTGGAGCTTGCAAATGACTTGAATCCACGCATCCATGGTACGACACGAGGTCTGCTTTTTGTGTACCATCCGATCTTTCTGGAAGACCCTTCGGAAGAACAAGTGTCATATTTCATCGATTGGAGTAGTAAGGCGGTGAATCAACGAATTCAACGATACTTATTTGAACGGGAAAGCCACAAGAAGCCTCTCCACGTCTTCGTGTTGCCTCAGAGCAAGGTCAGTTAGACTATCTTCGATGGAAGAAAGACCTGAATCTGTTGTTTTTGGCAGAAATGCTGGTGTTACGTTGGTGCTCACCGGATACTCATCATGGATACAGGGGACCCACGGCTCTGGGCGCGATTAAGCAACTCGGTAAAATGCTGGCTGGCTAAGCGAATTGCTGCGTTGCACTGAAATCCAGTAACACAGGACGGACCTCGTATTGCCCGCCATATCGCTCAACGCTGCTACCACGATGAGAGCGAAGTCTCGAGATCCCTGGACGCTGAGGAGCTGGATGAAGTGTGCCTACGTGTGTATCCGGTAGAAGAAGACGAGACGAATGATATGCTGAGCCGACTCCACTGAGAAGGAGACATCCCAGTAATTTGAGTATGTAGCAACAACGGGGACATTTCAGCGTGGCCGAGTGACATATACAAACGTCGGAAAATCAAAACAAGTGAATAATGCTAAGTGGAGCAAACAAATAGGGTGACGCCGATAAGATACCCTTCTGGTCGCACTGGATACCGGCATCCTCTTTCAGGCCGCCGACCGGCCCTTTAGGGTTCCACCATTCTTTGTTTCCTTTCAATTATACTTCCATCACCATTGTTCACCCGTCTTTACCTTACATTACCTCTCCTTTCTTTGGTTTGTGCGTCTTCTAGCCTCGCACAGGCCAGCTGCGAGCCTAGAACGCCCCCCAGGACATGCTCACGTCTGGACGTCTTTTCTGCACCGTCTCCATCGTCCTCTTTTTTGTTATTTCGTCGCTCATGTTCTCCAATGCACCTCGCAAGGATCACCTTTCTTTATCAAAACGAGACTACATCCTTAGGCGTCAGGGTGATGGCAGTAGTCCATCAGGGAGCGGACTGCCAAATTCCACCGCTTCAGTAAACCAGCAGACGGGCTCATTCACGAGCACGAGCACCACCGATGCCTCTTTCTCCGGAACTTCTTCATTCGATTCAGTGCGCGAAACGACGGTTTCGACATTCGTTTCAACTTCGACAGTGACATCCACGATCTCGACTACGTCCAGTAGTGGCTCATTTTCTCCGACTTTCTCGTCACAATCCTCTTCGTCGTCAACGTCTAGCACGTCAACTTCTTCCACGAGCACGTCCTCAAGTCCTCCGATAACAACTTCTTCATCGACTTCGAGCTCGTTACCATTTGAAACGTCAGTGTATCCACACTCCTGATACGCGTGTCGTAACTCATCTTCTAACGTACAGCCCCACTACCACGACCACGTTGAGCAGCAGCTCATCATCAACGTTGTCGTTGTCTTCCGTGACCACCGCAGTTTCCTCTGATGTCGTGAGGGCCACTACAGAGATCAACGCTGCCACCAGCTCAACTACATTTACCATTGATTTCGCCACTTCCACTGCTTCCTCCTCTTCCACCCCATCTAGTGCCACCGAGACTGCTATCATTGCTGCAGCAACATCAGATGGGTATGTGGTTCTGTTCTTAGTATCCATTGATTCTTGGATTAACTATCACTTCCGTTCAGCTTCTGGGCCAACAAGTCAGCTGGTGAGCCTATCAAATAGATACTGTGACGACACTAGCAACTCATGTTTCATCTGTAGTTGCCGGGACATTTGCCGTCGTGGGAGTGATCATATGTGCTGTCATCGCAGCTGCGATATTTTTCCTGATCAAGAGGCGGCAACGTCGCGATTACGGGAGTGACTATTTCCCGCCAGAAAAATGGACCCCGCCAATGTCAGAGCCTGGACTCAAGAGCCCGTCTCCCGGCCCGAGCATAGTAGAGCTGAGCCACCCGCCCATGGACGTCTTTTCTAATCGGGAAGTCTTTTCCGATAACCATGCCGAAGTGGGCAATTATTACAATTCCCAGAGCTCTCACGATGGTCATTATTATGGTGCGGAGACCAGTATGACAAGAGGTCCGTTCTACGGTATCGATGGCACTCAAAATTATCCGCTCGGTTCTGCTCCGGATATTATTCTCACCTATGCGAAGGACGTGGATCGTCAGTATCCCGTATATGAAGACGATCACAGAAGGGCTTCCACCTCTTCCTCGCCTCCTCGTCCGTCAACCAATTCTGGACGCCCCTCCCCAACTCCTGGTCGAACATCGCTCAACTCTGGACGCCCCTCACCAACTCTTGGTCGGAGGTCACCTACGTCCGGGCGCCCAGCACCTTCCTCCCTCGCGCAACACGCCTATAGCACCTCCAACACGTCGACTACAAGCATAAAGCCTGTCGCTGGACTGACAGTGCCTCCTTCCCGCAAAGATCCTAGTGATCGAGATTCGGAGGTGTCTTCGATTGATTCGTTCTACGGTGCCTCCGCGTCCTCTGCGGGCCTAGCTATCTAGACCCTATCTCCTCTTGTATCTTTAAAAGGTGAGTTTTACTTGGTGTCCGACTGTTGTTATTCACGAACATTCTTCAGATTAAAGGTGGATGGATTTTTCTATGTAACTCTAGCCTTCCGGTTGTCGTACTCTTTTATCTTTATGTCTTTCTTGATTAGTATGGCTCTTATCGCGCTTTGGTTTCTTTGGGCACAAAGGCGGTGGAGGCTTTCTAGACCGGACCATATATCTTGAAGATATAGTCATGTCACGATATTGTTAAATTGATGAGGAATTTCTGCTATTTGGAGTGATCTTGTCGGACTGGGCTTTTCAGAGCGCTAATGGGAGCAACATTGGTCTGGCTCTCCTTGTGTGCACTCTACTCGCGTAATCTAATGACGTAGCGCTCAGTTCAAGGTTGAATGCCGGAAATACTGGCTGTTAAAAATGACTCCAATCACGCTAGTATCGTTTCTCGAAGTACACGGATGTACTGATACGTCGTGTAGGAAAGGAGGCTTGAAATTGTGGCGAAACAGTGTGTCAAGTGGTCTTTTAAAATATGTATTATGACACCTAGATCGATAACACGAACGGTACCGCACCATGTTCTGGGTACTTCAAATGAAGATCTGCTGTTCGTCCGGTGCCATCAAAAGAACCGGTATGAGCAAGCAGTATGAGAATGTGAGATCATCAACGATGCTTCCAAGCCCTTCACTGCTAGCGGGGCCATGGAAATGGGTTGTCTGCGGGGCGATGGCAAGGTTAGATAAAGAAATTGCACAAAGTTTAGATTAAGACGAAGATAAATCTCGTGTACATCTCAGCAAAGTAATGCATATGATGAATACGGTGTTTTTTTAAGTGGCGAAGAAGGTGAATTCGGTCAGTGTTCTGGCGCCGTGCATGATCTCGCCTAGACACCGGAGCCTCAGGTTGATAGGCCGAAGAGTAGATGGGACGAGAAAAAAATGTGACATGTAAATTCGCACCGACAGCAAGACAGGAGCAGATGAGACGGGATGCTGCAGACCAAGGGGCTCGCCGACGGGATCGCACTTCCTCCTACAGCTATGTAGCTTGTTGTACAATTCAATTGACTAGCAAGAAAATGATACACAGAGAAGTTTTGAAGAAGAGAGCAATTCTGGTCTATGTATGCGTAACCACATAGCCACGCCAGAATAACATGGCACCAAAAAGAGCGAAAAGACTAACGAGACCATTATTGCTGAAATCGGTAAGGTGCGGGGCGTTGGAGGAGGTGGTGGCGGGAGCAGTAGTCGTCTCTGCGCTGGACGAGTCGGGTTCGGACGTACCGGAAGCGATAGCAGCAGCAGCGGAGGTTGAAGTACGGAGATACGAGAAGCTAGTAGTACTGAAGGCAATTGATACCCATTAACATTAACAAGCAGATAGAATGAAGATTACCACTTACGTTGTCGTCGGAGTGCCAGTAGAAACAGCCGAGATGACAAATTCCGAAGACTGAGCCAGTATAGTGTTCGGATGCTTAGAATCCCTGACAAAGTTGACACGGAAGGTTGCGCCGACGGGCCATCCACCGTTAGGAGGGTTAACTTGCACCGTCAAGAGCGACCCGCTTAGAATAACCATGAGAATCAGGTCCTGAGGCAAGGCGGTACGATTCTGATAGATGCACGGCATTCAGGTGAAGTGGGCAGGCGTAAGAGAAAGCACTCGCCTGATTGGTGAGAACGGGAGTGACACTCTTTGGATCTGTATCAACCATTTCCCAAGAAATACTGCAAGGCGATATAAGTGAGATGGTCGACGACGCACAAGACGAGAACGACGTACGTATTAAGCCCAGAGTCGGTCCATCCCTTGGTTTCAGACGGTTCATTGATCTGGTACGCCAACGCAGACGCAGCGAACAGTAGAGATACAGAGACGGTGACGAAATGCATGACACGCGAGAGGCAAATTGAGAACAGAGAAATTGGAAGGAATAAAGACGCAAGGTTGGAACGCGTACCATTCGTACGCATGACCGCGATAAAGCTCGGTAGGTGCCGGTAAGTTCTCGCACGAAGCAAATGTCATACTTACTACAACAAGTATGTACAACAGAACCGTCCACTAGCAAATATACGGTTATTCCAAACTGTCTGTATAATAATTTTGCCCCTGCAAGAAAAAAAAGGTATATACGTAAAAGTCCAAGTAGGTAAACAGCACTCCGTGTGTGTGCGTCATGATAGTCCGTGGAATTTAGAACAACATAGCACCGAGAAGAGCGAGAAGGCCAACAAGGCCGCTACTACCGATACTTACGGGTAGCGCAGCATTGGAGGTAGTCGTGGCGGTGGACGAGGCAGAGCCGGATGCACCACTTGCAGTGACACCACTTACAGTGCCAGTGGTAGCAGTCAAGGTGGTTCCAGTGCGAGTTGTCGAAGCAGCGGTGGTACTACTGAAGAAGTGATCAAAAAGCTGAACGAGATGAATGCCAGCAAACACTTACATCCTAGTGGTGCTGGTCGAAGAAGCAGTTGCAGAAGAAGATGAACTTGAGCTCTCTGTAATGTTGAACTCAGAGGACTGAGCAAGAATGCTGTTCAGGTCCTGAGCGTCCTGGACGAGATTGACACGGTAGGTGCCACCAACAATCCATCCACCAGCAGGAGGGTTGACCTGTTGCGTTCCCAGGGAACCGTCGACTAGAGAAGCAAGAGTCTGGTCTTGGCTCAAGACACTACGATCCTTGAAGAGAGTCAGTAAAAGAAAAAAAAAATAAAAAGAAGATTGTACTTGCCTGGTTGGTGAGAACGATAGTGAAGTTGGCACGGTCAGTATCGACCATTGTCCATGAAACGCTGAAAAAGGGGAAAGCAAAAGCAGGCAGCTCATCAGCCAAACTCTACACGAGAAAATGTCACCCAGAAGCATACGTTTGAGAGCCAGAGTTGGTCCATCCCTCGCTTGCGTTGGGAACAGTAACCGAGTAGGCCAAAGCTGAAGTAGCGCAGGCGATGAGAACGGCAGCGGTACGCATGGTAATGAATGAAAACGACGGAAAAAATGGTGAAGGGAGGATTAAAACCGGTATGAAGGAAAACGGAGGGAGAGGTAGTGACGGTGAGTCGAAGAGCAAACGAGTGGGCGACGTCAAAAGTCAAGGCAGAGCGGACTTAACTCGCCTGCAGCCCAGAATGGAATATCGATCCCTTCCAGAAGGCTGTGTCGGCACGTGCTCTCTTGGCACTTACCGCGATTCTTGTCACATATATTTTTTTAAAAAATTTTTGGCATAATTGCAGAACGTCGAAACAGCCAAAATATATGTGTCTACATAGAATAACACCACCAAGGTTCTTTAACGAAAAATTTGCTAGTTCATAATGTAATCAACGAGGAATCCACGACATTCGGGCATTCCTTGATGGGAATCAAAGGCACGATTCTGTCAGGCGGCAGGCCAGAAGCGAACATAGTAAACAGATATATTCAGTAACCAAGTTCAATCTTTCACCATCCTTGTTTCATCTCGCAAAAGTAGCCGTTTCATGGAGGAAAAACCTTGAGCACCATGTCAGCTACGCCAGCTTCAGGCCGAGATCCAATGCGTTGTGTCAGAAACGCGAAAGACGGGGAAAAACAATTATGATCAAAGAAGAACATTTATCAACGATGCAGAGGCTGGACCCTGGATAGTGGTCGTAAAGCGTTACCAGCCTTAGCCCCGTCTTCAACATTCTTTATCAGGCTTCTGGTCACTGGGCACCATATCGTTCATCTTGGCGCCGGTATGAGTCGATTTATGTTATTAATTTAATACCTTCTTGTGCGCAGATAACCTTCAGTAAAATCGGTCGGGAATAGATGATGAAGCACCTATCTTTGCCTTCCTGACTTGAATACTTGTCGTCACGTTTCTCAGTTCTCCGTCAGGAGGAGTCCATCATAGGTTCCTCTTTACGTTCAGTTGAAAGACGTCTGTCCACCGTCTCGATAGGCCTGCAGGGCACATCCGCTGGATTCGGAAATGCAGTCGTTGATCCCTTGACTTGGTACTCTCATGAGCACCAGAACCCAAGTCCTTGCCTAGCGGAGAGATGTGCATGAGAAGTGACACATTTCAGATGCGCAGAGGATTCCTTTCAGTGATAAGGACAGTGACCGACATGCAGAATGTACGCAGCGAGCCTATAGGCGTGTGCATATCGCCCCAAAGGGGATCCTGTCTACAGAAACATGAGTTACGACCTCCAATGCCTGCACCATATCCAAATGTCCATCGCAGAATTTGGCGCGTCGGCAGTTTTTTTTTTTGGCAAAGCTTTCCGAGTGGATTCGTGATGTGGTTTCATGCGTATACGGGAAAACTTACATGCTTTGTCGTTCGAGGGCAGCGCCGCCCATGTCACCATCTGATGAATTATCATGGGCACGTCCCGCATTTTCGCATTGCATTTGCAGGTATCTCTTGACCGCCGTCCTCACTTACAAAGAAAACATTGAGGAATGACCAAAAAAAAAATTGCTTAAGAGTGCGGTTGTAGACGTGTCCCGAGGCGTACCGGTTATACCTGAACCACATAACCGGATCAAAGCAGTCTGAGATGCCTTTGTCTTCGGAGCAATCTGGTGACGGCGAGCTTCGTTGGAAATCGATAAATCATCGGCAAAAGATTTGTAGAACATGAACGTAGTTGCATCCTTAAGACTATTGGTCGCAATATAGTGACAGTGGAGGACCCGAGGGCTCAGGTTTAGACCTCATCGACAGGCGCAACCGGTGATTTCAGACCTCCAAAAAAATCCTCCTAAGACAACGTAGTGTTACATCCGTTCTGGAAGTTACCCGGTTGCCGGTAGCATTAATCGGATGTATGGCGCTTTTGAGGAACCTGGAACGGTGACTCATCGCTTCAAGAGTTGGGTGCTGATTGATTGCCGTAGAGTGTGGTGTGCCTTGTCGCCCGGTGATATAACTGTTGGGATCTTCATAACAGGAATTCAACACGCCTTAAAATTGATCACCGTCGGAAAACGTACGTTATGTTCAACAGAAAAGCGTCCGGTAGGTTCAATGTATCAACACAAGGAAAAATCAAGGACACGAGTGTTAATAGAACTAACATACCACATCATTTATTTCGGTCCTATAGAATTCAACATGCCCTCAGCATCCATCCACAAATCCTGCTGGCCCCAGATTCCAGCGACAGTCGATATTATTATCCAACACGAGTTCTTTCCGATGCCACTATCTTTTGGCCTGGCTTCTTTTTCTTCATAGAGTAAGACCTTGAGCAAAGCAAGGCAGGCACGGGCAAGACTTCGCAGCGAACTCATGTCGTCGGCAGATATGTAATCCTCGACGCGGGTCAGGAGAAAGAATATCCACTGCGCATGAACTTCAGCAAGACGCGGAAAGGGCGGACTCCTTTCGTCATCAAGATGGAGGTTTATCCAATGGGTAAAGTACATGAGGAGATGCAGAGACATGCGCTGGATAGGCTATCAGTTAGAATGAACGGCCACGGAAAGAAGACCTGCCTGGTCAATGTGTTGCAGCAATGACGGCGTCAGTGGTCTTGGTTTGTAAGAAGGAGGAGGACTCTCGCCGAGAGATGAAACATTGTCCAAAGTCTTCGCCTCGTCAGCTGGACCATGTACACTCGACGAACGTACCTGGGATGCCAATTCAACATCCCCATCCTTGTTGATCTGCCAGGTTTCCTGAACCGCTTCATAGGTAATCTCGGCATCGGAATCGTCGGTGAATGCACGCATGCCCTTGAGTTTCTTATTTTGTTTAGGCTTCTTGGGTGGGTTCCATTCAGACTCAGGTTTCCCCGAGAGAAATGCCCACCAAAAATCTCGCTCTTTCTTGCTGGGAATCAGAAGGTTGCCAGGAACCTGCGGAAGCTGGACACTTGCAGTCGGCTGGGATACATTCTGGATGTTAAAGTCAGTGGAATGGAAATAGATTTTAGGAAGGCTCTCACCTTGCGAAAATTTTTGAACCGAGTCTCGAATCGAGCACGCCATTCTGTCGAGGGAAGCGATGGATGTCCGGAAGATGAGTCACGTCCAGATGCTGACGGCGTCGTCATATCTGGGATTTCGTATGGATTTGGGACTCGAGTAACCATAGGCAGTCTCTTAGCATCTCTCCTGCAGATGAATGTTAGAACAAAACGAGAAAGAGCAGCGTATACACACACCGAACAGTGAAAAGATATTCCATGCCGTCTGCAGGAGTTCCATGAAAGTCTGCAGGGAGATTGGCTACAGGAAGGATCTGTCTTCCGAAGGTAGGCTCGTCGTCGTCGAACTCATCCCTCGCACGTTTGCGGGACGACATACTGCGTCAGTGATGGCAATGAAAGGCAGCCAAGACCTGATCAAGAAATTGAAGTTTGAAGCGGAGTTGCATACGACTTGGTTTCGACTTGGTCATGGTCCGCTAATTCTTGTTATACCCTCCTACTGCTTGTCTACTTCTTGGATTCTTCTATCATGGCAGACAACGACGAAATTGACTTAGAAACTCTCCAAGCGCGGATTGACCTCTCGATGTCCTTTACCCATGACTTGGTGTCTTCATGGGTCAAACCATCTCCAAACACCAACAGATCGTCTTCTAGTAAAAAGATTGAAAAAATTCTACAAGAGGAACTGCGTCGGCCCCCGAGGTAGATATGCATTGTGGAAATTTTCACTTTCACCAATAATAATGGGGACATGGATTGCAGGCTAGGTGTAGGTGCTTCAGCATCAGACTATAATACATTGTCTTCGCGAGAAACTGCACGTCTAAAAGGACATCTTCTCAGTAATGGGAAGAAACATCTCAGGGAGGACGAAGGCCCTCAACGTTCTACCTCGAAGCATACTGCAGAGGAATCTGACGAAGGAGAAAGTAGAGCGGAGGCTATTCGCAAGAAGCCTAAAATAGACCCCTTCGCCGGTTACAGCAAGGAAAAGAGGAATAAGGAAACGTTGAATCGTGCATTGAATGTTGAACCATGTTCCAGCACCCCAACGGAAGCTTCATCATCCAATGTTGGTGTTACCGCTACGGAGGAGGTCGCGTCCGGCCTCGTGACGTCCGAGAAAAAGCGGAAGAAGAAACATAAAAATGCGGTCGCATTAGCCTCGAATGATAGTGCTCTAACGACGATCTCAACAAAGAGTAACTCTGCCAATGACGACGATTCTGTCCCGGAGACTTCAGGTAAAGGGTGATTTCTCTTATTCGTTCCGTTACTGAGTACATTTATTTCAGAACCATTTCTGCTGTCACCATCAAGAACCCTAGCCTTCTCACTCAAGACGGTTCCCAAAATACCCATTGGTCTGCCAACATCTCTGCTGAAACAACCCTTATTAAACCTTGAAGGGCCAGTCTTCGATACAAGTGACGACAGAAGCCTCGACAACCATTCACCCACAGATACTCCGAAGAAGAAGAAACGGAGAAAGAGAAAGAAAAAGAGGCATTCAGCTTTTGAAGGACCCTCAGAACAGGTGAAATTTTCGTGACGGTGGGCTGAAAAATTTGTTTTCAAGATTGTTGGGAATGATTAACCCCTCGTTACAGGGCGGGTGATGTGACAATGGAATGGCAATCATGTCATTAGCGTACGCGCTACAATTGTTACATAGAGTTGTTGCACATCTAAAGCTATGAACGATACCTTTTACAGCCAAAACCCCGAACAGAGCAATTTGGAGGGAAGTCGAGAGAAATTGCAACCTTTGTGTATACACTGCACATGTTGGAAGCTGGATGTCGATATTCCATATATTAACCGTCTCCTGTGGCCGAGCCCACGCTACAAGGGTCATGATAGTGAACGCAAAAATCCAGCCGGTGCACAATACACATGCGGTAATCACCGCACATACACTATAAAAAAAGCTCGAGAGCCAGGTCATCATCGGCCTCCTTATACCAGAGTATTAGAAGAGTGACATTGTAGGCCAGGGTAGGAATACCGATGGCGGGATTCGCCCAGAGCTAAAGACGGGTGAACGGTTAGATTAAGGGCGGGACGGGGTCGCCCGGGGTCGGGAGTCGAGAACTTGGCGAGATAATACCCAGATCAAGGGCAGGTAGCGTGCAAAGGACTGGCGTGTTACACAAGGAGACGACATTGAAATGTAACTGGAGCTTAGCCTTATCCATCTGTCGGGGTCTATATATAAGCGCCTGCGCTAAACAAAGGTGCTTGGGGCCAGTCATGGGATCGTAAAATTGAAAGCTCGCTTATAAATTAATGATTACGATGGAAACGATACCTAGTTGTGCACTGGCGACAGGATATGTAGATGAACTGGATGAAACCCCAGACGCCAACGGGGTATCCCAACAGCAGATTCCAGGATATAGCCTCTGGGAACTCATCGGCGCAGCATGGCAACCTTGTGTGTTCCTATGGATGCAGAGCTTTGCCTTCAGGGGCATGGATGCAAACTTTGGGAAGTAAGATGAATGGGCTGCAGTGCCAAAATGTTATTAATACCAAGATCGCCATATTAATGTATCGCGTTATGCGAATACACAAAAATAAAAACCAGATGATACACACGATAAGTATACAGGACAAATCAAACTTCTAGCCGTATAATTTACCTCGTCACTCTACGTTTTGGCTGAACGCGGCGTGCACCTGTGGTTTGGCCGCGTCCTTGAGTGTTCCTCCTGACTCCGTTTACAGGAGCCTTGACGGGTGATTTGCTTCTACCGGGGGTACCAGCTATGCCCGTGGTGTGACGTCGCTGCGGTGCATGCCCGACTAGGCGATGAGCAGAACCCCGATGTCGAACGCGAGGCTGGCTCCGGGTGCCAGAGCTACGGGAAGGAGGCAGCTTGCACCCAAAGAGGTTTGCAAGAAAACCGCACGACTGCTTTTTGCGTCGCGCCTCCCTGCGTTTGTATTCCCGGGCTGCCTTCATCTCGCGCATACCCTAGTAGTCAGATTAGAATAAGTGGACAGTAATGCCATCGAAGCAAGGAACTTACCCTGCTTCTAAGTCTCTCGTCACCGATAAGGGTTCCCCTCATTTTTGCAAGCCACCCATGCATTGTGTTGGGTATAGGGTGCTTCCGGCGCGACCCATCGCGATGGAACTAGAGTCGGAATGTTAGATGGAGGTTGTTAGTGCGACGACGGGAACGGAGGATACATCTGCTGCCCATTCAATCTTCATAATGAGCGATGGCGGTAGAAGGGAAAGATCATGAATCAGATACAGAGAACATTAAGTAACCAATACAACATGCGGTTTAGTATGTAGGATGATGAGAGTTTAATTTCGCCTCGCTTATCTAAGCGGACGTACACGACTTTCATTGGCTTTTCCTGCACGCAATCAGCAGGAAACAACGTGTTTATTTACTAACATGGAAAGTATATTGGTTGATGCATACACGTATCTTCCCCCCCGACTTGTGGTTCTCTTGTACGTCTTGTGGTCACGGAATCATTCTTTTTATAGGAAACCCTATCTGATAAAGTTCACGTCGTATACGCTATTCAGATTCGACGTTCCATATGCTCAGCTCAACTCAGCGCACCTTCGCCAACATTGCGCACTGTTAGGATCTACTCTGAAAATTTCTTGTTTCTTTTGCCCTGGTCCAGTGTCCTGAATTAACTCTTTTTTATTTTCTTTTCAGGCGACGGTTCCGATATCGGGACTCGGATCTAGGCAAGATTAAAATGTGTTCTCTGTCTTACACCCTCGTCAGCATGAGTCAACATTTGAACTGTTCGTATACTAAACATACCGCTATCCATGACTGTCGGAGGACTGCCGCGCGTTGCTCAAACACGATAAAGAAAAGTTTTTTTTTTGATCCGACACTCGATGGGCCATACGTTAGTTGGTCCGCATTGGCTTCAGGCCCGAGGGCCAAGATTTGCGCATGACGTAGATTGAGGACGTCTATCTTGAAACATCTTCGCACCGGTAATCAACTATTCTTGCGCCTTTTCCGAGGGATTCGCAATCGGTAGTCCTGCGAAACCGAAATCACGATTGCAGATATTGACAGAATCTGTCTCTTTTCTTCTGAAATGTCACAGAATATCGATTTTACAAGGCCTATTTTTCCCTCTTTGACACTCTTGACAGGCGCCTCGTAACGCTGCGGCGGTGACTTCACAGCGTTGGAATCCAAGTTCACCTCCGGGTTTGCCTGAATAGGCACCACACGTGGACACCGCTTCTTTCACCGCCATAGGCCCTTTTCTTCTCCTACCTTGCTAATTGCTCGTTCCATGGCGGCTAACGGTTACTACTACTACCGAACGAAAGCGGGAATGTTTATCGACCGTATTGGCTTTCATGGAGAGTACAAGAAGGCACTATGAAGCTGCTTGTCAATTCAGAGTTCGCAGCAAGATTTCCAGCATCTCTACCGAGCCTCAAGAAGAATGAACAACAACTGGCGCAACGTTAATCTTGTGATCGACAGGCTCTATTTGGGCAAGTACGTGGGCGCCCTTTCTCCTGCAGATTCGACCCCGATATTGATTATTTCCCCCCCTTCCCCCACTCCCTCTCATTTTTAGTATTAGAGCAGCTACCTCTACCCGCGCAACTGGCGAGCGGGGGATAACGCATATAGTCTCTGTATGCTCAGACCCTATCCCTGCAGAGCTGCCCGAGTCTGGCATCCAACACCTCCGCATTGAAGTCGAAGACGTCGACTACGCGGACCTTTTGCGCCATCTCCCAAGAGCCATTCGCTTTATTCACGAAGCCTTGTCTAATCAAGGTGTTGTTCTCGTTCATTGCGTTCAAGGTCTCTCGCGGAGCGCTACTGTTGTCGCTGCATACCGTAAGTCCTTCGTCCTCAAATCGATCCATCTCGGAAAGATAAATTGATTTCATACAGTGATGTGGTCCCAACGAATCCACGCCACGGAAGCTTTGGAAATTGTTAGACGAGGTAAGGAACAAACGCATAGCCTGTGAATCCTTTGTAACGTTTCCGGTCCAGCTCGCGATCAAATTTGGCCAAACGCGGGCTTCCAGGAACAGCTCGTCCTTTGGGAACTCTGCGACTACAATCCCACACCAGACAACGGCTTCTACAGAACTTGGAGGTTGCAGCTTGACCGCCGCCTAGCGGCTGCTGGCTTGCGCTGAGTGCTATATATTTCTCACTTCAATTTATGTGCCATGACGACTTGGGAAATTTTCTCCTTCGATTTCCATTTAGTTTATACTACTTATGGCTTGGCCTCTACGTACTCCTCGTTACTTGTAATTCTTCAACTTTTTGGTTACTTTTTGGCTTATATGATCAAGTTATAATTCCGTTTTTTTCCCAATGACCATCTTGACCTCGACTTTTTATAATTTCGTGCAAGATCCCAGTCTGATTTGCTTTTCTAGCCGCCCTCTGGAATTTGGATCTGTAGTGTACGGTCGAGGAGGATCTCAAGCCTCTGTGATGGCTGTCAATCGAAAATTAAATAAATCGTGGACCCTTGGCATATGTCCACATATGAGAAAATATGCAGCACCAGAGCGTTCCTCATAATATGACACTCTCACAGCAGACAAGCAGCCACGAACCACTTACGTGGAATGAAATGTCCGCAGACGAGTCGGGAAGTGGGTCGGATATAAAAGGAAGCCTGAGAAGCGGCGATTCAATTTGTACGGACTCACACGCTCACTCTCTTCCTCTCATCCTCAACAACCGCCTCTTCCGCTTTTTCTTATTTTTGTCCCGTAATTCGTTTGCAACAATGGGTCTCTCGGTCTCACGTCTTCTTGCCGGCCTTTTTGGCAAGAAGGAAATGCGTAAGTCGCTTTATCGATGTCGTGCGTGTCAGATGGTGAAATGCATCTATCATAGGTATACTGATGGTCTGCTCCAAATTCTTCTCGCTGCCGTCGCAGATGCTCATCTAAGCTCCCTAGGTCGGTCTTGATGCTGCCGGTAAGACCACTATCCTATACAAGCTCAAGCTGGGAGAGATCGTCACCACCATTCCAACAATCGGTAAGCTTGGCGCTAATTTCTTCCACACCGGTATGTTCATATCGATGCAGGTTTCAATGTCGAGACTGTGGAATACAAGAACATCTCTTTCACTGTGTGGGACGTTGGAGGTCAGGACAAGATCCGTCCTCTCTGGAGGCATTGTACGTACTTACACCCCTGTGCATCTATTCTCTTCTCATCCTTCCGTAGACTACCAAAACACCCAGGGTATCATCTTCGTGATTGATTCTAATGATCGGGAACGTGTTTCTGAGGCGCGAGAGGAACTCCAGCGGATGCTCAACGAGGATGAACTTCGTGATGCTCTCCTTCTCGTTTTTGCCAACAAACAGGATCTTCCCAACGCCATGAACGCCGCTGAAATCACCGATAAGCTTGGTCTTCACGGATTGAGACAACGCACTTGGTATATTCAGGTCAGCTACACGTTGTTGCCTTATTGCATTGTAGCTTACGCCCAGCTTTACCCCAGGCTGCTTGTGCTACATCTGGAGACGGTCTCTACGAAGGTCTCGAGTGGTTGAGTGCCAATATCAAGCGTCGGGTGTAATAGGTGCCTGGCCGTCGGATACGCTTCAGCGTTGTTTACTTGTATCACGATTTCTTTACGATGCCGAAAACGTATGCAACGCCTGAGCTCACAATACCGCTAGTAACTGTTTTTTGTCTTCCCTCCCTTCCCCTTGTTATTGGATCACTCGCCTTTCCTTTTTCCTGTATTAAATGGCCCGGGGGTCTTTCAAAATGCTCTTTGATTTAGAATCTAGACTGAATGATCCAATAATGCATTGATATTACAACGTGATAAGTATACAGCTCTCTACCGGCCTTCGCCTGGATATAGTCTCCCTACAGCCTCTGCTTCTTTGCGCCGTCTCTCCGCAAGCTCTCTCTCCCCCGCATCACGTCGAGTGGTGCCGTACTTGGCGAGCTTCTCCAGCAGCGCTTGGAGACGTTTTTGTTTGACGGACGGGAATGATGATTGACGGTTAGCGAGGACCAAATACTCTGGGACGGAATTGTTCAAGGGAATAGAAGTTGTCTATATGATTTCAAGAGTAAAAGCGATCAGCATCAGAATGAATGTGGGGAAGGGGGCAATGTACTCACGGAACGCAGCTCAATGAACGCGCTGGATAAATGTTGCCTTCCTATTCGCCGCAGTTCTTCCTCGATGAAATCCACATCAATCAGTAAGTTCGAAATGGCATTTTCATTCATCATTGGTATGTTCCTCCCGGTTAGGAAATCCTACAGTTTACGAAGTGATTATCACCCGGATTGATCATCGATCCAACAATAAGCACATACCATGAGACAGTCCGCGATATATCCTACAGCTCCTCTATAGGCCTCGTCCTTGTATGCTTCTTTGATGACAAGCGAGTCCACCACCGTGGTCAGCCAATTGACCAGCTCATAGAGATACATGCTCGGCGAATCCTCGCGCTTGTTAGGTGTCCAGTCATACTCAGAAAGCTCAAAGAAATCATCCAACTTGGAGTTGATCAATCCCGAGATGCGTGCCAATGCCCGCGATAAGGTGCTCTCAAATGAATTGGAGGCAGCCAGGTGGATCGTCCCTCCTCTCTGAGCGGAGCTTAACCATAAGCCGCCGCATCAGCCAACAGCACGGGTTGTTGGAGCTGAGTACGTACCGCAAGTTAGTCAAAGATCGTTCTAGTTCCACACAGGCAACCTGAAAATGTTCGAGATTGGTCACAATTTGGGCAATCTGGGTGAGGGTGGTCGTTCCTGCAAGACGTTGCCCGATAGCTATACTGATGCTGTTTGTTAAGAGGCTGTCCAAGGACTAGATGATACACCTTAGCATGGACGCTGAAATTGCATAGTTGCCTCACCTTGTTCAGCATTTCATCGATGTTTCGGTGATGTTGTGATACTCCTTCCACAAAAGCATAGAATTTTTGAATAAATCCACGTATCTGAAAGCCCATGGAGGAGATACCAAGCTGGTACCAGAAAGTCCACTTACGTCCTGACAGCATAGATAGAATGTCTGCGACCAGGGAAGGTCTACGGGCAAAGCCCGCCTGCAAGTGATCATGATATGCCCTAAATCCAGAGGCACGAGAACTTACTGTTTGATTTCAACTCGCTCTGACTCACTTAGCCAGACTATTTCCAAGACTGTCGCCAATTCTGAGGTAGTTTCGATATACATTGACAGATGATCATCATGTTGTATAATCTGAAAACAAAAGATCAGCAATGTTCACACCCACAAATGAAACTTACGCTGTCAAAACGTCGACTGAACTGAGCTTCTAGCAGCCTGGCATACCTTTCAAAAAGAACAATGATAAACGAATGCAATGATGCAGTCGGATAGGATGGTGACTGGTTATGAATCAGAGTCTGCACGTAGGACATCATTAAGCTCACCGACGTCTAAGGTCATGAGAAATTCTATCAGATATTCTTTCACCCGTAGGAAAGTATCGGGATCATTTTCTGTCTGTAAAGCGTTTTCAATTCCTGTTCTCAATCGACCTACAAGTGAGTCCCAGAGTTCTTCTATGTCTCGCTGGGACCTAAAAGTATCCGTCGTTTCAAGGACGTGACTTTCCACAATGAAGAAACCAGAAATTTCTTGAATGAGTGATGGTAATGAAGATATAGGAAGAGGGTCGGGCAGGATCAGGTCAGATTGTGCCTAAGATGTTAAATGAGCTGGTATAAAGCTAATGTGACTGATAAGCCACATACCTTTCTGTCCCCTTGATATGATCGCTGAAGCTCACCCAAGGAATCCAAGGCTGTATAAATATGTATACATTCAAAAAGCGGCTTAAAGTCGATCTTGAGTTCATCGTTGTTCAGAACGTCGTCTGTAGACTTCATTAGAACAACTCAAGAAAGGAAAAGGATAGATTACATTCAGATTTTTCTGAAGTGACCAATTCCACAGCGCTACCGACGGGACTCATCCTCAGGAACTGGTCTTTCTCTCGTCTTGATCTCCACCTTCGTGACCTCGTCTCCATATTGTCAAGTGCCAGCCGCCCAACATCGCCACTATTATTTCTTATTTCAAGCAGCCATTGCTTCATGGAAGCGGTTACTGCATCCTTTATTTGACCGCGCAAAGAAGGTAGGGAAGATAGCAAATGTTGATAGAAAGGTGTTTGGAGTAACAGCGTTGGAGCAATGCTCGGGATGTCGTCAAGACACTGGTTGAAATGTACGTATTAGAGTAGAATGTTGAAACACAGGGTGAAGAACGGACCCTCAACGCGCTCCAATATTTGCCTTCCGTAACCATTACGCCCACTCTATACACTACATCCAAGACGCGTAAGCAAGCCTGAAGGGTGTCGATTGCCTCGTCAAGATTTGCAGCGGTCTTCTTCGACTGTAACAATGCCCGTTTCTTCTCTACTAGCCCATGCCCCAGCTGCGCGACACTGGTATCCAGGGTAGCAATGTTCTCCTTCATCTTGTCCGTGTACGACTTTACCGTAAACAGCGTAGAAACCGACGAAATAAAGTCTTGGTAGTTGTCTCCGCATATTTTCTCGATCTCTTGGTCTTTGGATTCGATGAGCCCTTGAACGGTGCGAAGAAAGGCTTCCTGCTGTCTGTTGGTGTGGATTTGCTTAATTAGCGGACCCAGCTGTTCCAAATTTTCCGAGGAAGATGACTGGTCGAGAAGATGGATTTGTTGCAGTTGTTGGTTGATGCTCTCCTGGGTGAAGACGTGAGCTCGTCGACGCGGAGGCATGGTTACAATTCGTTCTGTGGCAGTGCTCAAGCAGTAGAACACCGGTGCTTGGCATCTCCACCAAAGCCAAACAATAGCTGTCCGGAATTCGGGACTCCGGATAAATGTCGGAGGATAAGAGCGCGTGGTTCAATTCTTGCAGTCATTTACCCTCATCTACTAAGATAACATGCCGTCCACTACTTTTCACGTCGACGTGGTGTAGGTAGCCTTTTTTTACTTCATGGAAATCTTCTAACCATCATTCAGGCTGTTCGACATGGACGGAACACTTGTAGATTCCACTGCTGGGGTCGAGGGAGCTTGGGGGGTATTCCGACAGACATACCCATCCATCGACATCCACGAAGTCTTGAGCTGTGAGCACGATTGTGGTCCATCCGATATTTACTTATGTACCAGCTGCCCATGGTGTTCGTACTGTTGAGAATCTTCGGGTCCACTGTGGGATCACAGATCCTGACGAGCTTGAGGTAAATGTCAAGACAAACTACGCGTCCTATATATTTGCTCAAAGCCTCCATGTAGAGAGAAGCCGAACGCTTTGAAACCGCGATCGTCACCTCTGCTGCTGCTGATGGACTCCAAGGAATTGTTCTCCTTCCCGGGGTAGCCAGAAATTTCGCAGAGGTAGTGATTCGACTTCCATACCTGAATTTGATCCTAAAGCCGCGATATATCAGATCACACCCTGTCACAAACTTCCTAATCCCAGTTGGGCCATCTGTACCTCTGCCACAAGGAAGTATGCCACCGCAGCCCTTGGCATCGCAGGTGTCACCATCCCTGACGTCCTCGTGGTATCTGAGGATGTAGAGAAAGGGAAACCTGCGTATGTCTTGTTCGTCCCACGTCCGATTATCGATTGACCGTACCTAGCCCCGATCCATACCTTCTTGGTGCGAAAAAATGCGGCGTGAAGCCAGAGAATTGTGAGGATCTACACATTAATCATGCTCATTCCTCACTTTGTTCTTTAAGGTGTCGTTTTCGAGGATGCACCTGCTGGCATCCGCAGTGGCAAGGCCGCAGGTTGCAAGACTATTGGGTTCCTCACGACCCACAGCAAGGAACAGATGGAGGCAGTCCAGCCTGATTTTCTTGTCCCCAACATGGATAGGCTAGTTGCATTAATTTGCTGTACCGCTGTGGTTCTTACTGTTCTTCTCTAGCGTCACCATCCGTCGCGTAGACACAGGTTTAGAAATTACAGTCTCCACTGAATAGATTACATATAGATGAAAAGTGGCACTTAGATGTTCGGACTTGTATAGATGCTCATTTTAGAGACCCCATTTAACGCACAGCTAATTACATTGTCTCGTTGGATTGAGTATCCACATACCACTTCCAGAAAAGAGTTTGATTCAAACGATAGATTTAAGGTAAACCGTTATAAGCGTAGAACTAGGAAAGAGCAAGAGCGGACCGAAAAAAGCAAAGGGTATTTTCAGACGAAGGGATGATTGACATCTGATTATGTCTAATACTCGCCATCCTCTTCCGCGTCAGCGGAGTCTGTACCGACTTCTTCGTAATCTTTCTCGAGCGCTGCAAGGTCTTCACGAGCTTCAGAGAATTCACCCTAAGAGATGACTAGTAAATAAGCGGTCATGTCTGGTCAAAGAGATGCTTACTTCTTCCATACCCTCACCAACATACCAGTGCACGAAGGCACGTTTAGAGTACATGAGGTCGAATTTGTAGTCTGATGGTACAATTAATTGCCGGTAAGACAAATGAAGAGTTCTAGACTTACCAAGGCGGTTCCATGCAACAGCAATAGCGGTGGTGCTAGAAATTATAAGTAATAGCTTCTGAGCAAAGAGGAAAGCGCGTACTTTGAAAGCATGCAAAGGCTGCGAGTCGTCTTAGCAAGGTCACCGCCGGGTACACATGCTGAGGGTTCGTTGCAGACACCGAGCTGTCGAAAAGTCAGGCGACACCTGCGAATAGACGTACAATCTATACCTTGAAACCGGTGGGGCACCAGTCAACGAATTGAATGGTCCTCTTGGTCTTGATCGTTGCGACAGCAGCGGTAACATCCTTGGGCACGACGTCTCCACGGTAGAGCAAGGCACAGGCCACTATTCCACCGGTCAGAGGGTCCAGAACTTACGATGAGAAAACATGAGCATACTGTATTTTCCCTCTTTAGGGTCACATTTTACCATCTGGTTGCCGGTCTCGAAACAAGAGAAAGTCATCTCTGCTACGGAGTTCTGTTCATGGGTAGCTTTCTCGGCGGAAAGCAGAGGAGCATAGGTGGCAAGAGGGAAGTGGATACGAGGGAAACTGAACCAGGGATAAGAGCATAGGCAGCGCAAGAAATGACAGTACTCACGGAACCAGGTTAGTCTGGAACTCATTCAAATCGACGTTCAGAGAACCATCGAAGCGGAGAGATGCGGTGATTGACGAGACAACTTGCGCAACCAGCCTGTTTAGGTTGGAGAAGCTGGGAGAAACAACACCCAACTTTGACTTGCAAATGTCGTAAATGGCTTCGTTATCGACCTGAATGATGTTAGGTTAGAGCTAGGAAGATTCGTAAAAGGGTTCAGACATGCCATGAATGAACAGTCAGAATGCTCAAGAGTTGTGTGAGTCGTCAGGACGGAGTTGTAAGGCTCGACGACGGAACTGGAGAGTTGCGGAGCAGGGTACACACAGAACTCCAGTTTTGATTTTTTGCCATAGTCAGTGGAGAGGCGTTCCATGAGCAGGGCACCGAAACCTGAACCTGTTCCACCACCGAACGAGTGGAACACGAAGAAGCCCTGTAAACCAGAGCAGTTATCGGCGAGACGGCGCAGCTTGTCCATTACAGGGTCAATGAGCTCCTTTCCTACTGTGTAGTGGCCACGGGCGTCTTGGTGCCAGCACGTTAGCACACATTTGATCCAAAATGCGATGAACGGACATACAATTGTTTGCAGCATCCTCCTTGCCTGAAATCATGGTTTCTGGGTGGAAAAGTGACCTGTAGGGGCCCGTCTTAACATCATCTATTGCACCGGGCTCTAGATCCACGTAAAGGGAGCGTGGAACGTGTTTTCCTGAGCCAGTCTCTGAGAAAAAGGTAGAAAATCCACTATCAGAGTGAGATGGCGAGTCGGGACCGAGACGACCATCAGGCTAGGGCAAAGGGTAAGCATTGCAGTACGATGAATTCAGGACGACGACTCCTCACACTGAGTCCGTGTTCGAGAGTATAGAGCTCCCCTGCACGGCGGTTAGTACGCGAATCTCGACGCGAAAAGAAGGAAAAGGGCAGTGGCAAGGAAGGACGACGTACAGCAAGCGTTACCAATCTGGACACCAGCCTGGCCAACATGGACGGAGATTACTTCACGCATGATTTCTAGAGACGGAGTGGATTTGAACGGCGGTTAAGGATAAGGTCGTTACTTAGGAGAAACCAGGTGATCAACCAATAATTTTGGCACTGGTCACATCACAGTCACGCGATAGAAAATGTCATGAATTCATCAATAAATTCCGCGTAACTGTATAGGAAGTAAAGGGTAATGCTGGGAATCACATAAAGCACACAACAAGAACAATTATAGGTCAACTAAGCTGCCATCGCAATCGTGAAAAAAATGCATACAACCAGGTCTAATATTCGCCGGCCTCTTCCATGTCGGCCGAGTCAATACCAACCTCCTCGTAGTCTTTTTCAAGAGCAGCCAGGTCCTCCCGGGCCTCGGAGAACTCGCCCTCCTCCATACCTTCACCAACGTACCAGTGGACGAACGCCCGTTTCGAGTACAAGAGGTCAAACTTGTGGTCGAGGCGGCTCCAGGCCGACGAAATAGCAGTCGTGTTTGAAAGCATGCACATACTGCGTGTCACCTTGGCGAGATCACCGCCTGGAACGTGTGCGGGAGGCTCATTGCAGATACCAAGCTTGAAGCCGGTTGGGCACCAGTCGACAAATTGGATGGTGCGCTTGGTCTTGATGATAGCCACAGCAGCGTTGACATCTTTGGGAACGACGTCTCCACGGTAAAGGAGGGCACAGGCCACTAAGAGACATTCTAAGTTATTGATCGATCCAATTACGCATGTACGCACTGTATTTCCCTTCCCTGGGGTCGCACTTGACCATCTGGTTGCCGGTTTCGAAACAAGAGAACGTCATATCAGCAACCGAGTTCTGTTCATGGTGCGCTTTTTCGGCGGAGATGATTGGAGCGAAAGTGGCAAGGGGGAAGTGAATACGGGGGAACCTGAAAAAGCACGTCATTCTGGCCGTCTCCCCTGTCCAATGTAGTGACTTACGGAACCAAGTTGGTCTGGAATTCGTTCAAATCAACGTTGAGGGATCCGTCGAAACGCAAAGACGCGGTGATTGAAGAGACGACTTGTGCGATCAGCCTGTTCAAGTTGGTCAATCCGGGAGAAGAGATACCCAAGTTCTTCTTGCAAATGTCGTAAATAGCTTCATTGTCAACCTGAGTGGGTCTGGGTCCGAGCAAGTTCACTCAAAATGTCAAGTCAGATCACATACCATGAAAGAGCAGTCGGAGTGCTCCAAAGTCGTATGCGTAGTCAGAACTGAATTGTATGGTTCAACGACGGAGTTCGCCAGCGTTGGGGCGGGATACACGCTGAACTCCAACTTCGACTTCTTGCCATAGTCCGTGGATAGGCGCTCCAAAATCAAGGCACCAAATCCGGAACCAGTTCCACCGCCAAAGGAGTGGAATACAAAGAAGCCCTGGAGACCAGAGCAGTTGTCCGCGAGGCGGCGCACTCGGTCCATTACGATATCAATCATCTCTTTGCCAATGGTATAATGTCCACGAGCATCTTGGGCATCGTCAGCCATCAACATAACGCATATATGCCAGCGAATCAACTCACAGTTGCTCGCAGCGTCCTCCTTGCCATTGATCAGAGTCTCAGGGTGGAATAAACTCCTGTATGTGCCAGTCTTGACCTCATCAATGACATTGGGTTCCAGATCCACGTATAGAGAGCGTGGCACATGCTTGCCCGAGGACGTCTCGGAGAAGAAAGTGCTGAAGCCATCATCGTTGGCGACGGCGCCATCGCTGAGACGACCGTCAGGCTATAAAAAGATTAGAAAGGAAGAATCTTGGGAGTGTGAATGAAGGAAAACGTACGCTGAGACCGTGCTCGACAGTGTACAACTCCCCTGGAGTAATCGGATCAGCATCGTACCACCCACATATCGTCGAAAAGGTGAAGATAAACAATAGCACGACGCGTCGACTCAAGGTGAAATCGCGACGATAGGCAAACGGATACAGAAGAAAAAGTGTACTTACAGCAAGCGTTACCAATCTGGAGACCAGCCTGGCCAACGTGTACGGAGATGACTTCACGCATGTTTCTGAAAGACCCTGTAAAAGCGACAGAGGTAATAATCTTGGCAGGCGGAAGTCCCGCAAGGCAGATAATACTCACAAAGAGAATGGAATAGGAAAAGATGAGAGTGAAGGCTGAGAGGCAGACGAAAGGCAAAAGAATTTGCTCAGCAGTGAACCGGGACTGAAGAATTCTCACGCCTGCCATCCATCACTTGGCCCGTGCGCACCCTTATTTGACGGTCAAGCAGAACAAGCACGACGACATATATAATTGGCATACTTAGTTGTGAACATACTCTATAGAAAGACGGCACGAAAAATCACAAAAATCACAAGTCCAAGATCAAACCGAGCTCTACTTCCCTAAATGGAGACGTTTCTATTAGCATGCATATCCGCCCCCCTAGAATAGCATTATTTAGTCGCTAACGCAGAAGAACCATCAATCATACGAACGACTTACCCCACAGAGGCATCCCACAGTTTAAACCACGAAAAAGAATGACATAGGTACGCACTTGTTGCTCCGATACCGATTGCTGTGGTAGTTTCGAAGGGTAATCAAACGTAGCCCGGAGTGCATCCCTTGCTGGGGACCGTCTCATGACTTACAGGAGGCGTATGGTATATACATTTCTTGAGCAGAAAACCTTCAGGCTGCACAGAGAATGAACAGAGATATCAGTGTGAAACATGACTCACTGTGTCCCTACGTCCGGCGACCGAGGAAGGTGGACTCTCATCATCAAGGTCGAATGGAACCCCATCTTCGATCTCTTGAATGGTACCACGCTGGTCTGAAGTGCTCTTAACACGAGAGGCCCTTCTTCGAGGGACTTTCGTGGAATGTCAGACAGAGTGCAAAATGAGGCCTTGCTCTTTCGCTCGTTTAAGCAGTTTAATGGTTTTGGCTTCCAGTGTCCATCGATGTTTGGTAGCTTTCTGTGTGGTGTTCTTGAAGGATGTGTCCCACTCCTCTTGACCTTTTGCCCGCCGCATAGTAGGAACCTCCTTGATCAAACCAATCTCCTCGGGTCGAATGCGCAAAGCTGCAATCTGTTCCTTCGATTCCACGGGCCTCGTCTTATCCCGGACATCTACGCGCTCGAGAATCAAATACCCGGTATATCAGTCTGTTGGAATGGTCAGTAAAGGGTGCTGGGACAAAGGAGCCACACACACTGTAGTGGTTTCATCTACCACATTTCTTGACTCAATATTGTCACGCCCTAATGATCTCCTTCGCCGATACTTACACCTCTTCCTTGAATAAATTGGTGTTGGATACCTGAGAACTGAAGCTCATGATTTGGTTACGGTCCAGATTTTTTCATTTGACTGAATCTCCAGGTTTCGCCGATGGAGATCAAGTTCATAATCATGGCTCCATACAGGCGAGGCGGGCCTGTGAAGCTCAGGAAAAGGTTTGCGACTGGGATGGGCTTCGCCACTATCCGTGACATGTCTGGCAAACTCGGCTGTGGATCGGTAGGCATATTTTGCCTGAAATCATTAAGATGGTCGGCTCAGTGTCGAAATGAAAAACGCCTACACTGTTGGTAAAGCTGAACACTGCCAAGACATGGCACATACCTAAGAACTAAGATGACGAAGAAACGTTTACAAATGTAAGCACACGTACCATCGAAAATTTGAAGATGCACCAAGAAAACCAATATTTTCATATGGAAGAGGCACATGCTACGGATTTTGTAGGCTTTAGTTGGTGTCATGAAGGTTTTAGAATTCGATAATTGTCTTTTACTATCCTTGATTACACCATCTCTTACCGGATACCTGGATGAACAAGCAGCACGATGAGCAAGATAGATATCTTCATCACGTAAAATCTCTCCATCACCATCAGGATGTACAACGGTGGTAAGTTCCCTAATAAGCCCTGAAGTATGGGGAAAACCGATGGGTGGGTGAGCTGCCCTAAAAAGTTTTGCAATGACATTTCCTGATCCTACAGCTGAAGAGACAACTTACTTTGTGGTTGTGTACGGTTGTATCTGGAATTTGACCTCACGTGGAATGTCATTTTTGTTATCCATCAATATTTTTGGAGGTTTTGGCTGGAGGTCCCCGCGAATTTTTCTTTGAAAGATCATCCTCGTGCCTTCCCTGATCCGATGAGGTTTCCGTCGCAGCCATTCGGTGTGTCGTTCTGCGAGTGTTCCTTCCTTCGTGTTGCAGATGAGAGGCAGAAGGTTTCAGTGTATCGGCATGGCCAGGTTCTGACGGGGACTTTGACTTTTGCGGGTTGTACTCTGCCATCCTTTGAAGGCAGCAGATCGACCGGCCAAAGAGTCAGTGGCTTTGCGAGAAAACTATGCGAAGGTATGATGTCCTGCAAGGAAACCTATTGATGCTTAGAAGAAAATTACTTCGTATTACGTACGTACGGTGTCCACATTGTCTATGACACTCGGAAAGCTGTGTGTCAGACCAACCCAAGGACTAATGAGGATGGCACCAGTTGGTGACGGAAGTCCCATAACGCGTAAGGTCGTAAGAACCGTGAGAGAGAGTCCACCACCAGCCGAGTCACCTGCAAAAACGACTTTTTAAAGGCGGAATTGCTTTGTGTGGTGCAGTTGGAGGTGGCTGGATCAAATACAAGTCTGAGCGGATACAGAGTATCAGTCATAAACATGTTCAAGGTGTTGATGAGATATGGTAGACTCACAAGGCTTGAAGAGACTCGATTGTATTCCTAGTTCCTATTTCTACGAATGTTATGCTCAAATCTCATCACATACGTGCGTCTATTGTGCTGTTGAGGATGAGGCGCACCCTCAAATGTCATTTTGGGATTCACGGTGGTGGCCCACACTGGTACTAATAAAGCAGCTCATAACCCTAACCCTAGTGGGGAGGCAAGTGGTACTTTTCTACCATCTCATTTCAAAAATGATCACCTTTACACCTCTGTCGGGGGCCGGTGAGCCTACTGCCTCTCTTCTTTATTTGCTTGAATTTGACCCATTTCCTGCTCCAAGCCTGTTCACAGCGCACGACGCCTTTAGCTTATTTGCTTCAGGTTGACGATGTTACAATACTTCTTGACTGTGGATCTCCCGACTGGGTTCCAGAGCCCTCGACGTCAGCAACAACCGGGGACGACGTCGAATGCCCGTGGGAAGCGTACTGCAAGGCATTGAGAGAGTAATAATCCTTCTTTTTTACCCGCGTTCCCTAACCAACATTGAATGTAGATGCGCGCCCACCGTTGACCTTGTTCTTCTTTCTCATGGTGACCTCGCACATTCAGGCCTGTACCCGTATGCATATTCTCGCTGGGGTTTGAAGGCTCCGGCATATACAACGTTGCCAGTTCAAGCAATGGGCCGTATCGCTGTTACTGAGGATGTTGATGGTCTTCGAGATGAACAAGATATTGGTGACGAAGGTCTGTCTGTGAGTAATGACAGCGATGACGTGAACGCTGTACAAGAGCCGGAAACGCCCCCCTCTGAGGACGTCAAACAGAAGAGCAGGTATATCGCTACATCACGAGAAGTACACGATGCCTTCGACTCTGTCAATACGCTTCGTTATTCTCAACCCACTCATCTACAAGGTGCTTCAATAAACGTTCTTTAAATTCTGTACTGAACATGCTTTTAGGAAAATGCCAAGGCTTGACAATTACGCCGTACAATGCAGGACACAGTCTTGGAGGAACGATATGGAAGATTCGCTCGCCTTCCTCAGGCACAATAATATACGCTGTGAACATGAACCACATGAAGGAACGACATCTTGACGGAACGGTGCTCATGAGGGCTGCAGGTAGAATTTTTGAGCCTCTTTCCAGACCAGATCTTCTCATTACAGATGCCGACCGCGCATCTGTGCTCATGAGTCGACGAAAGGATCGTGATGCTGCCTTGATTGGTATGTCTTGATACATACGGACTATATCACCGAACTCAATTCTTCCTTGATACAGACACCGTCACCGCAACTCTTTCATCTCGATCATCCTTACTACTACCTTGTGACTCCAGCACTCGCGTCCTTGAACTCTTAGTCCTTCTTGACCAGCATTGGAATTACTCCCGCCTAAGATATCCTATATGTTTCCTATCAAGAACGGCGAGCGAAATGCTCACATTTGTTCGAAGTATGATGGAATGGCTCGGGGGTACAGTCAGTAAGGAAGATGTAGGTGAGGATGGTACTGGTGGGCGTCAAGATCATAAACGCAAACGAGACGATGATGGTGACGAAGATGCTCTCGGTGCCTTCGCACTAAGGTTCAGGTTTGGAGTGGCATTTATTATTTCAAGAATCATTCTTGATGATTCTCCAGGCATCTAGAATTCTTCCCGAGTCCCCAGGCTTTGATTCAGAAGTATTCTTCGAAAGATCCCAAGCTGATACTGGCGGCCCCCGCCTCTCTTTCTCATGGACCATCCCGGCATCTGTTCTGCGATTTTGCGGCAGTCCCAGATAATGTGGTACTGCTAACTGGCCGCGGGGAGGAGGGCACTCTGGGCCATGTCCTCTTCAACAAATGGAACGACTCCCAACGACCGGACGATAAGTGGGACAAGGGCAAAATCGGCAGCAATATCATGATGGATGGCGCTCTTAAGCTCCAGGTTGGTTTCATCCTTTGCCATTCTCTTTATGTCTGATGTTGGCGTTATGAGATTAATTCCAAAGTCCCGCTACAAGGTGCAGAACTGGAAGCCCATCTGCAAAAGGAACGTGCTGCGAAGGAAAAAGAAGCTGCACATCAGGCGGTCTTGGCGCGGAATCAGCGAATGCTTGAGGCGGATGAAGATGACAGTGACTCAGATTCTGAAGATGAAGATGAAGACGAAGCTGAAGTTCGGAGAGCTCTAGGAGGAGATTTGATGGATACGGATGATGACACAATGGATAGACGGCGGCGGAGCGACAAAGGAATGGACGGCGATTGGATCGATGGAGGAGACGAAGGCCTCACAAAACAAATGTTATCATTTGATATCTATCTGAAGGGCAACGTTTCAAAAGCTACGTCCTTCTTCAAAACTGTTGGAGGACAAGCGCAGCGATTCCGGACGTTTCCCTATGTTGAGAAAAAACGGAAAGTTGATGAGTATGGTGAGCTTATTGATGTAGGGATGTGGTTGAGAAAAGGAAAGGTGTTGGAGGAAGAAGCTGAGAGTGATGAAATGAAGGATTATCGGAGGCGGCAGGCAGAAGAGGATGCCAAAGTAAGCCTTGAGTTTCCGCGCAGGTGTGGTTGGTTCAGTGATAAATCAAAAACAGAAAGCACACCTGGAGCCCCCATCCAAGTTTGTTACGTCGGAGGTGGAGGTCCAGATGGCTTGTCGGTTGTTGTTCGTAGACATGGAGGGTCTTAATGACGGTCGCGCTGTGAAAACCATTGTCCCAAAAGTCGATCCGCGGAAACTGGTAGGCAAACCTGGTGGGCATTGACTAGCTTTCCACTGACGCCGTTAGATCATTATCCATGCGTCGGAAAAAGACACGGAGGCTCTTCAAGAAAGTTGCGCCAACATTCGAACCATGACAAAAGACATTTTCGCCCCCGCAGCATTCACAAGTGTTAAGATCGGGCACCAAATCAACAGTTTCTCTATTTCGATCAGCGACGAACTGTTGGCGTCTCTTAGAATGTCACGCGTATGTTTGTTCCTTATGTCAATCTAGGCTTAACCTGACATGTTCCGGGCAGTTCGAAGACAATGAGGTCGGTTTTATCACTGGTCGGGTCGTCACTCATGCCACGTCCACGATACCTACGTTGGAGACTATATCCGCTTCGTCAAGGCCTGCACCTATGGACCAAGATTCGTCTATGCCTGCTGCTTCTCGTATCCTCGGATCTAGACCAAGCGAACCTTTACCGAGTTCTACCATGATTGGGGAGCTGAAGTTGACATCGTTAAAACGTCGGTTGACAGAGGTCGGCATTCAGGCGGAGTTGATAGGTGAAGGTGTCTTGATCTGCAGCAGAGGTGGCTCCTCTGATATGTTAGAGGAATCCGTTGCTGTGCGCAAAACGCAACAGGGAAAGGTAGAGCTGGAGGGCGGTGTGTCAGGCATATATTACACTGTTCGCGAGGAGATCTATGATATGCATGCGCTCATTGCCGCTTGATTTAAGATTATCTGTGTTACTTTGTACCCAGTGTAGACTTTGCATTATGACAGATTCTTAATCGGACGCTGGCTATGCATAATGTAACTCTGCACCATGTCCAGGTCAGTTTCGTCTCTGTCGCTTCGGAGGCGGTCGAGATGTTCCGGCACCAGTGGTATCGACCGAGGATACTGACACTGAACGGCGCTGGCAGAATATCAAGCAAGGAATTGATCACATTTCGAGTGACTTACCTGTTTCCGACTGCGTGTGCTCCGAGTACTAACTACACTTTGGGCACGACCCTCTTCCGTTCCTTCAATGGCCTCGCCATCTGCTGCATCGACAACACCACCCGCTTCTTCCTCGACGGGTGCACTGCTCCTCACGTTCAACCTCTCCTTCAAAACTTTAATATCATATTCCACTTTATCCAGCACCCTCTTTGTCTCTACCAGAGGAAGTGTGGCATCAATGAGTGCATTCAGCCGCGCAACATTGCCTTCTGTCGGCATGACCAAACGATTATATGAGATGTTAATTTCTGCTAAAGTCTGCGAAATCTTAGGGACCACAGCAGCTTTAGGAACAGGGAGCTTATAAGTTCGAAGGAAGGAAGGTTGATGAGCCGCTTTTGTCGCAGGGGTGGTAACGGGTAGGTCGATGTGGGTAATGCAATGCAATGCATCTGCACAGCATTTTAGTGAGTGCTACACACCATACAAATGGACATCCTTACCATACACGGGATTCCTTGGGCTCGGCTGCGGCCTTTGTTTTGGTGGTGCCGCGGAAACTGGTGTGGATGGGCTATCTGCATCAAGCCCCCCTTTCTTTTTCTTTTTGCTGTCAAAAAGTATCGTAGGGAGTTCATCTTCAACGATGTCAGGTAGGCCTGAATCGATACCAGCCAGCGTGCGAAGTAGTTCCTCTCTGTCTCGTTTGAATTTTCTCTCGTTCTGCTCGATACGTTTCACTTCGAGGTACAAAGCTTCTTCCTCCTCAGCTTCGCGCGGGGTTCGGTTGTCGAGATTAGCCAAGTAGCGTTTACGAATCAACTCCCTTTCTTTGTCGAACATGAAAGTAGATATTAGTTGAACTCTCGAGGCTTCATCACCGGCCCAAGGTCGATCCCGTACGAGACGTCTGCATACATTGCAAAATCTCTCTTTTAAATCCTACGTTGAAATATTCACGCAGGTAGTATGATGAATAGCAGTCGAAACACTTACCTCCATCACACGATGAGGACCGCCAGGATAATCATAACGGTCGGATATGATATGCCATCTCTGGTCATATTCCCGAACCAAGTTGAAGAGATAATCGGTTTCGTCCTTCGTCCATTCAGGGTCTACTTCAGTATTAAGACGTTTACACAGACAAGACAGGAACATCTGACCTTCCAAATGTTTGGAATACTCATCTTGAGAGTAAATGAAATGAGCTGTCTGAACGTTATACTTCGAGAAGGGATACTCTAAAATGCAATCAAAAGGATGGAGTATGGTGAATTTGCTACTCACGTACCCGTATCCGGATCTGCTGTAGCTTTTACCCAATGTCCCAGTTCCAATGAGTCCCCTCGAGCACCATTCCTGAACTTCCTCCACTCCCTGTGACGCTAACAGTCATACACGGTCATATATTAAGGATGATAATGCATACCATCTCACGGCGGAAGATCCAAGTCTTGGCTTTTGTTTGAGCTGCGGTTTCTGCAGTTGAGCTGCTAGAGACGGAGCGGATGGACCGATAAGCGAGTATAGTTCCCTCGAAATTCCTTCAGGCTTTTTGGCCTGGGATGTCGACTGTTTCTTTGCAGCTGCAGACGGTACAAAGTGGGCTTGGATAGAAAGTATGCTACGGACGTCTGCAGCGGTCGCCGTCATTGTTCGCGACGTTCGTGGTGGAGGTAAAGAAGAAAGGAGCGCGTCTCGATCATTTGATGAAATTCCGACTGTGGCTGTGCTATCTGCGGCAGCTAAAGATAGCCGTTGCTTCTTGATAATAATCACCACGTTTCAACAGACGGCCATGAAGTCTCAGGAAATGGGGGAATTCGACGACGCCTTCATACAGATTTGGAGGGATGAAGGTAATCCTGATGCTGCCGCTGTTGAGAAGGCTGAAGGGAATGCATTCTATGGAATATGGACGGAGCAATGTGTGTATCCGGCTTCAATTTCTGCGGCTCATTAACATTGTGCACTCAGCTTCAGCGAAGCACTCTACGCCTGTGCATACTGCGTGCGTTCCGCCTTGATCCTGGGTTCCAGCTTCTGAGGTCTATATACAGTTTGGACGCTCTTCGCAAGCTGTACCCAAAGCATTCAGTGGTCACAACTTCCGACTACCGTCTCAATCTTTTGAACTTTCCAGAAGCGTATAAGATTCCGATGGAGGCTACGCCTTTGGTTTCGGAACTGGTCTTCCGTCCGTTAGCGAAGAATATCAGTCCAATACCTGGTGTCATTGCAGAACTTGTTGAATTTGGTGTTTTTCACCTGGCTTGGCAAGTGAGTCATTGATAGTCTACATTCCGCACAATGACCAAACAGCCTTATGTGCTTCGCAGAAATATGACTTTATTTTATACATGGTCCGGGTAAGGTGTTCATTATAACATCACCAGAATCATGAATAACGAATTGATTTCTAGTGCCCGGTAGGTTCAATGGGTGTTTATGTCACGCAGACTTTCCTCGTACATGAAGGTGAGACTCAATTTTCGTAGTTTTGAATGATTTCTTATTATGCACTAGGCTCTGAGGATCCTGCACGTTCTCTTTTTCTTGCTGCAGGACTCTGGAGTGACCAACTTCACAATGAAATATGGGTCTTCAATCAGGGCTTCTGGCAAAAGGATTACGCGTTATGGACTGAAGTTCAGAAGGCAGACTGGAGGGATGTCATTCTGAAGGAAGAATTCAAAGAAGCCTTCAAGAAAGACGTGTATGGGTTCTTCACGTCCGAAGCGATCTATAAAGATTTAGCTATCCCCTGGAAGGTTCGTGTCCAATCTCTGTAGTGTCAGCCGATCCGACTGTATATAGCGTGGAATCATCATGCATGGACCTCCCGGAAACGGTAAAACCATCAGTATTAAAGCCATCATAAAGACGTGCGATGCAAAGGGTTTCACACCTCTCTATGTCAAGTCCTTCAAGAGTAAGTACAGTTTTTCAGTCCTAGATGTTAATGCTCAATGATTGCGTATCAGGTTATATGGGTGAAGAAGGTTCCATGGCTGCTGTGTTCAACAAAGCAAGACAGCTCGCCCCTTGCGTCCTCATTTTAGAAGATCTTGACAGCCTCATTAACGACGCTAACCGATCTTTCTTCCTCAATCAAATCGACGGTCTTGAAGGAAACGACGGTTTACTGGTCATCGGAACAACAAACCACTTCGATCGCTTGGATCCTGGACTTAGCAGCCGTCCTAGTCGCTTCGACAGGAAATTGTCAGTACCGAGCGTCTCTGCAGCTGCAGCTTTTGACTTTTTTTCCATCTGCTTATCTTATGATAGCCTGTTCGGCGATCCAGACCAAGAGGAGCGTGGCCTGTATGCAAAATATTGGCAGAGGAAGTTACAGGCGAACAAAGACGTATCTTTCCCGGATTCTTTGGTCAATGAAGTAGCCGCTGCGACTGATCGATTCAGCTTCGCGTACCTCAAGGAAGCCTTGTGAGTGCACCAAATCGAGCAAATGTTGGACCCACCTGACTCAAAATTTGCACCAGTGTTTCCTCGCTGGTTATGCTGGCAGGATATGAAGGCGAAAAAACATCTTTCGCATTGATATTGAAAGGGCAAATTGAAGCGCTCCGCGAACAACTGGATAAATCTGTGCAGAGCTGCAGGGCTACGACTGAGGGTCCTCAAACACCTCTACGGGACAGAGACGTCCGCACCCTGCTAGATAATCTCTGCGAGGCCATTGCCACCAGTCCATCATTTTCCTCACGAGTCCTTGACCACAGCGTCGTTGAGCGGACAGACTTGTGTGTTCCTGGCAGAGGTATTCGTCGTCTTCTCGACACTTTATCGGAGTTCAGTGGTCGTCAGTATCAAGGTACTGATCAGCGAGAGGGTACAGACCATCGAGCCATCCTTGACCGTGTCCTTGCGCATGTCGCTGGCGAAGATCGAGTGTACCTGGGTTGAGACCCATGAGAAAATATTTGTGTAGGGTGTAAAATGTATGTGCCATTATACTTAGTATCTAGTAAGTATTAGCGAAGAGACTCGGCTTGAAACATTGACCTGATGACCAAGAAGGAATGCGACTGCTCAAGCTTATATCGCAACATCGCCAGGAGTTAGAAAGGGATGTGACGGTTCCGAGTCGGCTGGTAATCAGAGTGTCGAGTGCTCACATGAACGATGTGAGCATTTCTGACACTACAGAGAAGTTCCATGTTGCCGATGCGACCGTCGGAGACCCGGAGGAGGATTAACAGCAGTGGAAGGACCTAGTCATGCTCTCACGCCTTATCTCGAAGCTGATAAGCTCGAGAGAGAGAACAGCCTTTCGTGCTCTCAATCCCAGGGGCCTACCCGTCATTCCGTAGGGGTGTCACTAGTACTAACCATGAAGATTGTCTGACGACCTAGGAATCCCTACGTAAATGCGCATTATCTGCTGGGAAGCGACCAGTTCTATGACTTTTTCTAAAAACGGTGTTACAAAGGGAATAGATGTGACCGCCAGCTACTTAGTTTACAGGCCATGCAGGACACCTCGACAGCAACTTGGTCAGCTGGAATATAAGAGATTCCTGTTGAGAGGATGCTGCGAGATAGACATCGACAAACTCTTCGGGAGGATGAGATGTAGCCGTAGGTGTATCCTCGCTCCCGCCAAATGCCAAGTTCCGAGGCACTCACGGTTTTCTTGGGGATGTTGATAGGAAGATAAAAACGCATACATGTTTATTGTAAAACAAATCGTTTCCGATGTGTAGTACCATATAGTCATTAGTCCATATAAATGAGAGCAAGATGTCGTTATGTCTGCGTAAACCGCATTATGAAGTTGACGATGATGGCCACTACAATGAGAACAGCGTCAATAATAGATGGAGATGTAGGTACCGAAAAACGTGCCTAGTAACGCAATGCAGAGTATTGTCTAGAGATGAAAGATTAGCAGAGCCATTGTACCTAGCCACAATGGACTCACCGGGCCAAGCCTATCATCATACGGACCGCGTCCACCTCGTCGAATAGATGCGGCACGCCAGTGATATGTAAACAATGCATATATCATTATAGCCATCGCTGTACGAAGCATGAAGCTGCACGCCAGCACCACTGGAGCTTATTTCCACACACCTACAACTGAAAACATCGCGGCGCTGATTTTTCCGACCTACAGCCATTACAGTAAGGAGGCATGGAATGATTTCTGTGGATAGAATCACGGACCTTGTCACCAAAGTTCAAGAGCCCGACGGCCAGGCCGCCTAGTACGACGGTGAAATGCAACCATGACAGGAATGTCCGTTCGTTGGCAAAGGATACTTTCGGCTCAACTCGAACTGGCAGTGCAATACGCTTGGAAGCTGTACGTTGGAGTAATGGTTGAGTAGACATTAGAAAGAAAGTAGTAAAAGACACAAAGGCAGATGGCGATAGGAGGCACTCTACAGGGGGTGGAAGATTTGGCGGAAGTGTCTGATGCCAAAATTAGAAGCTTGCCTTCTGACCCACGTTCGCTATTAAATCGTAATTCCGCTTACACCCTCTCTTTCTAAATAGAATTTTGTAGATGCTAGTGGGGTCAGTCACACTGACAGTCTCAATGCAACACAAGTAAAGCCATTTACATTTCGACATCCTTTTATGACACGTACTTATTGATGCAAACGTTAGTCAGTCATCCAGAGAGTGCGCAGAAATAACGGGATAATCAAGTAGAGAAACCCACTTGCATTCACGGGGACAATGAATGGAGAAAGGATATGGAGGGTGGCGTTACCTTCCGCCACCGCCCATCATCCTCAATCGATCTGGATGAATGCTTGGTCCACTACTTGGCGGCCCTGAGGGCGGAGCTTGAGTAAAAGAACTACTTGCGTTGCTATCATTAGGCGGGAACGGAGGGACTCCAGCAGGTACACCGTTAGGAGGAAACGGCGGCATGGCGGCCCCCGCCACACCGTTAGGCGGGAATGGTGGGAAACTCCCCGGTGCTCCGTTAGGTGGAAATGGTGGGGCGCCTACATGTAGAAAGATGAACTGACTAGCAAAAGGATAAGTTACTGTACGAACCTGGGGGTACATTTGGAGGGAATGGTGGCAAGGCACCAGGAGGACCCATCATACCACCTGGGGGGAAGGGTGGACGAGCTACCATAGAACAGATGAGCCAACCATTTAAAACAAGTTTGCAAAAACTCACGGAATCCAGGTGGAGGCCCACCGAATCCCATGGGTGGACCAAAACCTGGCACAGGGCCACCAAGATGCTGAGGACCGAAACCGAAACCACCTGGGGGCGGTCCGCCACCAGACTCGTAAGCAGAAGTGATTTGATCAATAATATTTTGTGCCTTGTCATGTCCAAGTGCTAAAAGAATCGGAGTCCGTCAACGTTGAGGCGGAAAAAGACAGGACTTACACGCGTAGTAGTCTCGAACATTTGCAAGGTGGTTCCTTCCACTGTTGTGCGCCTTTCGCACTGTCACCAAAGAGCATAAGCATTTGCTGACCAACAACCATCACTGCAATACATACCAGAGGCGGAATCGTGAGTCAGAAAGACATCACAGTAGTCACAGTAATGTTTCTGTATAGATATTAGATACAAGGCTGTATGAGATGTGGGTAGGACGCACTGGCATCGCAGCCCAATGATGTGGTCGAAGCACGAGTGGCGGAGTTTAAATTTCCCATTTGCCAGTTTGGAATATTCAAAGCAACCTTCATGGACTCTTCAACGTCGAGCATACAAGAGCCTTTCGACCTTATCCGGCTCTCACTCAGTGAACGTGTATTCGTCAAGCTAAGAGGAGACAGAGAGCTCACTGGCATTTTACACGTATGTTCGCCGCTGTTTTTGATGTTGCGATACTGACCTTGTTACGCGCAGGCATATGATGGACACATGAATCTCATTCTCAGTGACGTTGAGGAGACCATCATGATTGTTGACCTGCCTGAGGGCGTGGCTGAGGGTCAAGGGACGGTCAACGTGAGCAACCTTGACAACTGGAACCAGCAGAGAGACTCATTCGCAGCATGCAGGTCGCGAAACGAAAAATGGACATGCTATTCGTCCGGGGAGACGGAGTGATTCTGGTGCGTAACCTATTCCAATTCTCTTGTATGAGAATCATGACGGCTGCAGGTCTCACCGCCTTCTCGGACGTGAAGTTGCAGCCGCATCTGCTTTTGGCTCATATGGGCTCTGGGCCCTCTGCCAATATATTGTTGTAACACTTGTGTTTTGAACCCGTTATCGCAACAGTAACTTGAAAGAATTGAAGGATATATGCATGTCAGTGTCACGGCAAAGCAATGTCAAGGTATTTCGTCCATCTCTCAACAAGTCTCTGTCCCATCCCATTCACTCTTCCCCAACTTTTAGCGACGATCATCACCAGGGAGTCCAACCGGTAGCTCATCGTCTGGCTCCGGTGCTATAGCACCTAACGGCCATGTATTATCTCTAATCCAAGCTGCATGTGTGATTTTTATCTGGGCAACATGTAGATCCACTCCATATTGAAAGTGAATGAATGGACATACGATAAGCGAGAGAGGCATTGAAACAGTCAATTTTCGGCCATTGCTGAGGCCTTCCCAAACCAATCGAATCCCTTCGTTCCAGCCCGATTCTGTTTGAGCCTTGGTTGGATCGTTGACTAGATCAGTCAATTTCTTCTGTTGGGCAAGAACGAGCGGCTCCTTGTTTGCTTTTGTCTGATTAGAGGTATTTCGTGGAGTGAGCCAAAGAGCTCTGCGTGCAGTGTAGTATGAAGGCCCCGGAGGAGGAAGGTCTGCGACAGCGAGAATGGTGTCCCAGCGACTATTTTGAGCCATTACTCTGCAGGAGTATCATTGGATATCGGTCGGTATCACTGGTATCGCGATGTGATTATCATGGCAACTGGGCGGAGGTAAAAAAAGAGCATGTGAGCCACGTGTAGTCAGCAACCGACAACAGTGGTCCGGCCTCCGTCCACCGTGGTCTCCGCTGTCTTGAACCATGACGATGTACAAGCACCGTATACCGTCGACGACCTCATTTTCCGACGACGATGCTGATGATGACCGCGGTAGGGCTGTCTATCTCATCGACCATGATTCCCAGCCTCTTGTCGTCTCTCCCGCCCAGTGGTCGAAGCGTCGAACAAGACCGACCGTCCTCCAGTCGCCTTCGCCCATGTCAAACCTTCCTGCCGAGATTCTCATCCATATATTCAAGCATCTTGTCTCTCCAAGAGACCTCTACACATCTCTTCGGGTCTGCCGAGCATGGTGCGAATGCTCGGTTGAATTGCTCTGGCACAAACCCGGGTTCACCAGCTTCGAGACTCTCGAGAAGGTGGCGAAACTCCTTGGTGCGCAGAATCAGACCTTTACTTATTCCAGTTTTGTCCGCCGTCTCAACTTCATTGCCCTTGCCAAAAACCTTAATGATGATGTTTTCGCTGCACTCATCAATTGCGATCGTCTCGAAAGGTTGACGCTCGTCAATTGCGTTCTCCTTACTTCCACTGTCCTCACACGCGTTCTACCGTCCTTTCCCAATCTCGTTGCCATTGACGTCAGTGGCGTCATCAGTACCACCGACGAGGCTGTCATCGGCCTCGCTTCGTCGGCGAAGCGCTTGCAGGGCATCAATCTCACCGGTTGTAAGAACGTTACCGACGATGGCATTTTGGCGCTTGCAGACAACTGCCCCTTCCTTCGTCGTGTCAAGCTGAGCAACCTCGAGCTGCTCACTGATGTTTCCGTCTCTGCTCTCGCCAAAGCCTGCCCATTGCTACTTGAAGTGGATTTCAACCACTGCAAGCTGATTACCGATCTCTCCGTTCGAGACATTTGGATATACTGTTCTCAAATGCGCGAAATGAAACTATCCCATTGCCCAGATCTCACGGATGCAGCTTTCCCAGCCCCTCTTAAAGAGCAGGTCCTTCAATTAGAAACCCCCAATCCGTTTCCATCATCGGCTCCCATAAATTCAGATAAGTTGCCACCACTCGACATTTCTCGTACATTCGAGCATCTAAGAATGTTGGATTTGACCGCGTGTCCATTAGTTACGGATGATGCGGTTGAGGGCATCATCTCCCACGCTCCCAAGATCAGAAATCTTGTGCTCTCCAAGTGCACTCTCTTGACCGATAGGTCAGTGGAGAACATTTGCAGACTGGGGAGGCATTTGCACTATCTCCACTTGGGACATGCCGAAAAAATCACAGATCGATCGGTTCGGACGTTGGCTAGATCGTGCACACGCCTGAGATATGTTGATTTTGCAAGTACGTTGTCGATGTGGCTTTCTATTTGTATGTACTGACCCTCAGCAGATTGTACATTACTTACGGATATGTCCGTCTTTGAACTATCAGCCCTACCGAAACTCCGTCGTGTTGGACTCGTCCGTGTTAATAATCTCACGGACGAGGCCATATATGCCTTGGCTGAGCGCCATGCTACCCTTGAGCGCATCCACCTATCGTACTGCGACCAGATTTCAGTGATGGCAATACATTTCCTTCTCCAGAAGCTTCACAAATTGACGCATCTCAGTCTCACCGGTGTTCCTGCCTTCCGACAGCCTGAACTGCAAGCATTCTGTCGAGACCCTCCTTCAGTATGTATTTAATTCAACATTTTATATTTTTCTATTCAAGAGGTCTTTAACTTTTAGGACTTTAACTCCAATCAACAGTCCGCGTTTTGTGTATTTTCTGGAAAGGGTGTATCCCAGCTGCGAGCGTTTCTGACCGAGTTGTTCGACCGTATCACCGAGATGAACGGCACTGATGATACAGAATACGAAGATGACGACGACGACGAACTCGAAGAAGAGCTGGAAGATGCCGGTGAAGACGAAAGGGAAGATATCGAGGAGACTTACGACTCTCAGCCGGTGTTCGATGACATGCCTCACTCCGCTGCGCAGGCATCCATACAACCCAACTCTGTACCAGACGATGAATTCGCCGTTTCCCACTCACATCCTATCCACCCCAATACATTTCCACCCACCACCACCTCAGAGGTCCCGTCCACATCTTCAAACTTGCAAGGTGCCACCGACCGCTTAAATAAGATCATGGCATCTTTACCCAGTGCTGGTGCTAATGCTGGTCCTTCCCGCCGTCAGCGCCAGCCTAGCAGCAGAACGATGGCAGATATGTTACCCATTGTTGAGAATTCGACTTCCTCGCCACCCAGTGATGTTGCTTCAAATCTCAGCGGTGCTACTAACCAGTCCAATGGTGCTGGTTTCTTCCGTACATACCAGGACGGGATACCGTCTCGTAACAGTGGGGTTTTGACACCAGATCTCAATTTTGCTGAGATTGGGCACGGCCGTGGAGCACAAACGGGCTCATCACAATACCAACTTCGACGAGGACATGAGCACCAACCTCATCATCGACCATCAGTCATTGACGTTGACACGACAAATCTATCAATGACAGCTACCCCTTCCACGACTGAAGCGGACAGAGCGATTGTTCTTACGGATTCCTCCAATTCGTATCGCACTTCTGGGCAATCTGCACCGGATACTGGTGTTTCATGGCCCTACCGTGAACCGCTATCCCCTGTCACTTCAAACAAGGAGTCACCAGGACCCACACCTAGCACTAGTAATATCAACGATATGAGAGGAAGAAGCATGAAACGAAGCTTCAGAAATACTCTTAATGCTGCTGAGCACTATGCGACTTCGTTCCTTTTCGGACGTTCACCGACCAGGAATCTACACGATGAGACTGGTGGGCCAAGTAGTTCGAGGGGCCGTTAGTTACTTACCGTGATTTTGTTTTTGTTTTCGTTCATTCGTATACTACATATTCACCTCTGCCTAGGTCTAGATTGATAATATTGTTTTGTAAGGAGCTTCAAATTATGATGCGTATTGACCGTATGTACTTGATATGGGCTGTATATGTAGAAGATACAATCTTGATTTTTCTGGTTGATATCTTCATGGGCAAAATATGGCAAATATCACGATCGATCAAAAATCGATTGTGACTCGGAGACACTCATCTTACTTTCCTTCCAAAACGGTAGCCTTTTTCTCTTCACATCTGGCGCATATATGGCCACATCGCAAACCGATCCCGCGTTGAATCCTGTGGTGCCATTATTCAAGTCTTTGGGTCTAACCCAAGCCAAGGCCTTGGAGGCGGCCAAGTCGCCCAAAAGCGCCACCGTGCTTAAGGACATCATAGAGAAATACTCCCTTGTTGGGAGAGCAGACGAAAAGCAAGGAAGTTTAGTTGTGGCGCTGGCTGGACAGCTTGCTAAATCTGAGAACGTTGGTGAGCCAGAGCGCAAATACGTTATTGACAAGATTTTGGAGGGAGATTTGAAATCTGTGGACCAAGTAACGGGTATGTACAACTCTCTCTCTCCACGTTGCTATCTCGTTGAACATGCTGCAGTGGCGACTAAGTATGTCGAAACACACCCCGTTCCAGTCAACGAAGCGAAATTCAATCAGGAGTGTGGTATTGGTCCGTCAAAGGCATTGCATAGAGTCAAGGTCGCCTCCCTAACGTTATACAGGTTACAGTATTTCACCGGAAGAGGTCTATGACAAAGTATTGGCGTACGTTAAGGACAATGTCGTCGCTGGATGGAGCTGTCTTGGCTCGGTCATTTCCGCAATTCGTTCTACACCGGAACTTCGTTGGGCGACTCCGGTGGAGGTCAAGAACGCGGTGGAGAAGGTGTTCACTGCAAAGTTTGGTCCGAAGGAGAGCTTCAAGGGCAAAGGAAAGGTATTCATCCATGTCATTTTTGATTGACCCTTATTTACACAGTCTAAGAAGGATACTCTGAAGATTAAGGCTTCCGTCGCCCTCGTAGCTGAAACTTCTACCCCGAAGAGGACCGTATTTGAAGAAGGCTTCCTAGGGAACCTACACGAACCCGGTGAAAACCCCCAGATCATGCCTCACCTTCGTGATGCCCATCTAGCTGCCACTGGCGGTAACGTATGGACGCGGTTTCCCCCTGAGCCTAATGGCTATCTCCATATCGGCCACTCGAAAGCTATCTTCGTGAATTTCGGATATGCCGCTCACCATGGTGGAAAGTGCTATCTTCGTTACGATGACACGAATCCTGAGGCGGAGGAGGTGCGTTATGTGGAAAGTATACTGGAGATTATCCGGTGGCTGGGCTACGAGCCGTGGAAGATTACCTATTCGAGTGATTATTTCACTGAATTGTATGACTTGGCGGTCGAGCTCATTAAACGGGGCAAGGCTTATGTTTGCCATTGCTCTCGTGAGCTGATTTCCTAACATTTGCTCCGATGTATTAACTCTGTTCTTTTCAGAGGACGAAATCAAGTCTGATCGTGGAGGTGGACGTGGACAGCCCAAATCATGCATCCATCGTGACCGCCCCATCGAAGAGTCGCTTGTGGAATTCGAGAATATGAAGAATGGGAAGTATAAACCCAAAGAAGCCAACCTGCGCATGAAGCAGGATCTAAATGATGGTAACCCTCAGATGTGGGACCTTACAGCGTATCGTGTACTCGAGAAAGAGCACCATCGTACACACGGCAAATGGAAGATATACCCCACATATGACTTCACGCATTGCTTGGTCGATAGCTTTGAGAATATCTCGTAAGAATATTCCACTGGATTATCTTCGTGTTTTTAATACCATCCTATATAGACATTCACTCTGTACGACAGAATTTGTTGCCTCTCGCCAGTCGTATGAATGGCTTTGCGATGCCTTAGAGGTCTATAAGCCCAGGCAATCCGAATATGGTAGATTGAATATAGAGGGTACGGTCATGTCGAAACGGAAAATCCTTGCCCTCGTGAATGAGGGATTTGTGAACGGTTGGGATGACCCGCGTCTCTACACCCTCATCGCACTAAGGAGGCGCGGTGTACCACCTGGAGCCATCATTTCCTTCGTCAGCGGACTAGGCGTTTCGACCGCATCATCGAACATCGAAATAGCTCGTTTCGAACAAACTGTGAGGCAATACCTCGAAAACACCGCACCTCGGCTCCTGATGGTGATGAACCCCCTCAAAGTCACTATCGAGAACGTACCTGAAGATTCAGTAACCATCGTCGAGAAACCTCTACATCCCAAGGTTCCAGAACTAGGTGCAAGCAAGATTCCTTTCACACGCACGATATATATTGATGCAGACGATTTCCGGCTGGAGGATTCCAAGGATTACTTCCGGCTTGCACCCGGAAAGACCGTGGGCCTTTTCCAAGCCCCTCACCCAATTACCTGTACATCGTACAAGACCGATCCTGTCTCTGGGAAGGTCGTGGAGTTAATCTGCCGTTTGGAAAACACAGGAGCTTTTCAGAAGCCCAAAGCTTTCATCCAGTGGGTGGCAGAACATGCACCTTCAGGAAGTCCTGTCATTATAGACGAAACGAGAATTTTCAGCCGTCTATTCAAGAGCGACAATCCTTCGTCTGACTTCAGATCTGACATCAATCCCAGTAGCTTGGAGGTCGTCAAAGGAGCTATGCTTGAGGTGGGCTTCCTGCCGTTGGCATGGCGTGCGATGGAAGAAGCGAAGAAGGAGAGCAAGACTAGGACAGAGGCTGCATTGAAAGATGCCGAACCTCCTGCAGCTGACAACGCTACCCCGCATGCGACCAGTGGTCAGCTTGTAGGCAATGAGTGTGTACGGTTCCAAGGCCTTCGAGTTGCGTATTTTGCTCTGGACAAGGATACGCGGCTCGCTTGCTTGGATGGCGGTGCTGAGGTGAAGCAGCAACAAGGAGATTACCTGGTTCTCAACCGTATTGTCAGCTTGAAGGAAGATTTGGGCAAGTCGTGAATAGGTTTGTGGGTGCCAATGTATGAGTTATGTCTGTATACTTTAGAGTCAAGTACTAGTTGGGATATCATCTACGACGGATACTAGCATGGAGATAAGTCGACGAGATCTGGTGACGTGACTCTTCGCAATAACTACTGATAGTAATGCAGAAACAATCTGAACACGGCACAGCCGACTTTTTTCTGGAGTAGTATGGTGCAAATTGAATGCTATACGAGCTTGTCGCAGGTAGTCAAAACGGCGAGCTATTGTTTCCGCGGTGCAGGTGCCTTAGCCTTCACAACTTTGAATGCAGGTTTTGTATGATATACATTGAACGCTTCGTGCTATTATACAGTCCTCCGGTCTGTCATGGTTCGTACGATGCAGCCCAATCCGGCAACCTCGGTGAGCTGCAAAAATGTTAGCAAGCTAACAGGGTATCTCAGCTTGACGATCACCTTTTCGTGCCAGTCAAGTAGTACACTTCCACTGACATCACCTCCGAGCGCAGCCATGCCCTTGTACAAGTACTTCATCAGGGTATCTTGTTCTTCCTGCGTGAGTGCTTTGAGGACGTTGGGAATTTCAGTGGACTTTGTGGAGCTTAAGATGGTGAAGACAGTCTGCAGAGTCACGACCTGAACCGGTGGAGCTGCCATTATTTCAAAGGCGGTTACATGTGTAACCGTACATTACCTTGGCATCGTCAAAGGTGGGACCATAAGGTGCATTCTCTAGAACAATGGACAAAGCGCCAGCTATATCACTCCTGTCTGACCTGGTCAGGAACAGAAACAGAGAAATAGCGTAGTGATCGCACTTGGATAGAGCGCTCCTGACAGCTACCTGCCGCTGCTTTGCCTCATCAAGAACCTGCGCTTGTCCTCTGGGATCAGCATCGTACAGCTCCTCTTCATGCAGAACGTCTTCGTCGTAGGCGTCGATGTCTATTTTGCGGAACGCGCCGTCCATGGTGGAAGGATGAGGAGAATATTTGTGCGTATTTACCAGTGGCGTTGTAGCTAATCAACTTGACCAGCCACCATCATCGACAAGAGCGCCTTGCCTGCGCTCTAGCCCTCTTTCAAGTCCTTTAGCTGTCATTTTATGCCCAATAGCTCTTTGAAGGAATCTCAAAACGACGTTTCGTATCAGCATAACCTTTCTGACGCTTCTTCAACACGCAATCATGGACTCGACATTCCCTCTGAGAATCTCACACATATCACCGCTTATCTCGATCCTCACTCTCTGCTTTCCTTATCTCGTGTCAGCACTCAGCTCTATGCCCATGTAAAGGAAGAACATACATGGCGTACTGCATTTGCCTTGAATTTCCTGGGCGTTGGCCCCGAGGGTGATCTCAACGATTTCAAGGCGCGACTTCTACGGAGATCCGAGCCGAGCTGGAGGCGGGAGTACATTGTGCGCTACAACTTGCGACGGTATTTATTTCGCCATATCCTACTGTACCTTTTGGCTCATAATTCATACTAGACGATGGGAGCGTTCCCGGACATCGACAATCATTCATACTCCTGTCCTTTCACCGATAACGAAGATACATCTTCTGTCATCCAATACGCTACTGTCATCCTCTTTAAAATACGGCATTGTCGCTCGTTCGGTGCCTTTGACAGGGAAAGTTTTACGAGGATTTCTCTCCCCCTCTCCCTCTGGGACAGGGTTAGGCATCGGCAATCCTAATACCGAATTTTCACCTCATGTGACGGCATGCGACATCACTTCAGATGGTGGAACTGCCAAGATTGTTTGGGGTTTTAGAAGTGGAGAAGTCGCCGTGATGACAGCATCCAGAGTGATGGATATGGGGACGCGGTCAGCAGCGAATCTGGTAAGATGCCCTGTCGAAGACGAGCATGCCGGGGAGGTTGCTGACGTCGTATGGGACGATCTTGCTGGAGTTGTTGTCAGCGCCGGCAAAGACGGTTTGGTCAAAGTGTGGGAGACCAAAAAAGTTCACTGCATCTGGAGTTCGACCATGAAGGTCGGAGTATTTGACCCTTGCATGAAGGTGGTCTCCAGGCTCTCAAAAGGATGTATACTGGCCGGCTTCCAGAGTGGCGACATTGTTGTCTGGACCGGATATGAACGGGACGGTACCGTCGTCAATGACATACACGAAACGAGAATCCCTTGCCTTGTCGAAATGGCATCAGATGAGCCAATGGCACTTCCAACTATCTCTAATATTCATGTTGACGGGAGTAACCCGCGGGCTATTGCTTTGTTGGTTACGTATGAAGCTCAACCGTACTTCTATCGTATCTCACTCGCCCCTACTCTGGAAGTTGCCAAATACGGCGATCCTTCGTGTGGTGCCATAACCGCTTTATTTTCCTCATTCACATCAAAGCTTAGTGAGTGTAGCCTTGTTATTGTTGGCGATATTTTGGGTTGGGTTGGTGTCTATGACTGGGCTTCTACGTCTCGTCAGCCTGCCAGGAGATTCGAGGCACACAGTGACGGATCCGCCGTATCGGCGTTAGCCTGGAATGGAGTTACACTCGTCGTCGGGTCTACAAGGGGACAGGTCGATGTTTTTGATGCATATACCTTCGAGCATCTGAGGACATTTTCGGCGCAAGCCAATCGCCGAGGGGAACAAAGTACGATTGTACAGGATATCACAGTCAATTCTCAAAAGGATGTCCTCATTGTCAGCCTGGTTGATAGAGTTATGGCTTGGAAGGCTGGTATAGTTTCGAGAAGCGGAGGTGGAGGCGTGCGGGGCCGGAATACGACTGGGAAAAAGAGGTCTAAAGTCGTGACCAGTTCCAAGGGGTACGGTAAGCTGTCATGGTCTAATTATCTTGTATTCGATTGTTTGATCTTGCCTCGTAGCACAACTCGACCTGAAAGCCAGCGTATCTGATTCTCTTGCCCTTCTTAAGCTGGAACAAGAACGAGCTCGACAAGCTCACAACAGAGAACGCAAGCAGAGAGAACATCTGGAAAACCTGGGTCTAAGCGAGGTTGAAGCTGTCGATTACCTGCTTATGTTAAGCCGAGATGAGCATGCAGAAAAGGAGAGGGAGATAATGAATGTCCCCTCTGCCCGAGTGGAAGAAGGCGTATTTGAATGGGATTTCGACGATAATTCGCATTCTGGACCATCAGCAATTGCTCGTCGTCGATCCCCGAGTTCCTCGACACCATCCGATCAGAACGCCCAAACTTCCCCGAAGCTTGCAGGAGGGCCTACCGGAGCAAGTTCATCCAAAGACCGGCAACCATCTGCTCCGTCTGAGAAAGATTTCCCTTTCGCTAGCAAATCTCGAAGCGCCTGCAGCAGTGTGGGATCTAACTCGGCTTGGGATAACGGAAGTCCAAAAAGACGACTGGTGAATAGTCCCTGGGATTCGCCGCGTGCTGGCATATCAGTTGCTGCCACGCCACCGGTGACAAATGCTTTGGGGTCATCCTCGAGCTCGTATGATCGACGACAACAGCAAGAAGAGGAAGATTTAAGGCTTGCTATCCGACTCAGCCTTGAGGAGGCGAGCAGAGGCACCTAAGCAACACTATTTGAACATACTTTCACGAATTTCTTTTGTTGAGTCTATTAGACGTTTAGGATATGTAGAAACAGGAAAATCATCGTAGTGCAGACGAGTTCGTTACAGCAAAAAAAAGCCCGGAGGGTGAAGCTGTACAGTGTAACACACCCGAGACGCGTCTTTTGGAATTTTTCTAATTCCATATCAATTCGCATTTCATGCTGATATTATTGTGTACGTACGATTCGCCGAGGCACATTTTCGATCGCAGGTCATACGTACTTTGCACGTACTTTGCATTTAGGTCCCCTTCGATCGTGAGAATTCGTGATCATGTCATGACATCATCTCTGATATGACCCGCAATCGTAGAATGCTTTTGATCGTATGCCTTTCTTTCTTCCTGACTGCCATGATCTCTATCCGGTCGGCGCGACGACCTTTGTAACTCCCGTGAGGCCATCTCGTACATATGGCTTTGCAAAACTGTCCAATGGACAGTCTGCTCTTGTCCTAGACGAAATCACGTTTACAGCATACTATCCCGCCAACTTAACGAGTGGCAAATGGTGGAAATCGAAACGTGGAATTGACTGGTTAAACAGACCTCTGAATGAGACTTGGCACGGGTTTGTCAATTTTGCACGTAGGCCTATACGGACACGTATTATACTAAACGCTCATCTCTATACAGAAAATTTTCCGTCTTGGCTTCTTTGGCCTCTTGTGTATCTGTATGGAGCATTTATCAAGGCTAGTGTGATACCTGTGTCATGAAGTGGCTCTCACTTTTGAATAAAGGTGCCTGTATATCCCAATGCCCCCCTTCTTCGAACGAAGCAGTGGCCCTTAGTCATTTTTTCTCATGGACTTGGAGGTAGCCGTACCACTTATAGGTGACTGTTAATCTTCACGATTCCCTGAAACTCGAACATTGATTATCTATTATTTTTCTAGCCAGATATGCTCGCGAATAGCGACTTCAGGACGTGTTGTCCTAGCTATCGAACATCAAGATGGCACCGCACCTGCATGTGTCACTCGAGAATGGGGCGTCGAAGGTACCCGTAGACCAAGAGTAGTAAGATATATGCAAGAAAATGATGTCAAGTGAGTCTTCTACTAATTCCAAATCTTGTCGTCTTGAGTTTTAAAGATGGGAGCGGGAACCCCCGTCCAATCTTCTGTACCCTCTTAGGACGGATCAGCTGGCGTTCCGACAGCATGAAGTATACCTTACACATTCCATCTTCTCTTCACTTGTACGAAACGATGAGAATCTGCTGCTGGAAACTATCGACGGCTCTGCTATAGACTGGGACAGTTGGTCGGCCCGCGATGACGAGGCGGAAACGGTACAGTGCAGCGAAAACGTTACCTTGGCTGGGCATTCATTTGGGGGTTGCACTATGGTAAGTGGACTTACAATCCCTTTTCTCTGAATACTTAGATTGATAATACACAACAGTTCTATATTTTATCCGCTGGACACTCTGAATGGGTAGCCCCAATATCGGTTTCCAATGCGTTGATCTTCGACCCATGGCTAGATCCTATACCCTCGCCATGTCCCGAACATCTCAACCAAGATCCCAAAATGTCGGGAGATGTATGTCTCGAAGACGTAATCAGACGTAGAGTCTCGCTTCCAAGACTCTTGGTTCTTAGTTCAGAGAACTTCACTCTTTGGAAGGAACACTTTAAACGTCTGAAGAATACTGTGAGGCTTTGGGATGCCGACGGAACCTTGTTGACGTTAGGTACGTTCAGCTTCCCTCATATTTTTTCATGCTATTTATGATTTTTATTTAGTACGCGCGCGGCATGAAACGTTTTCTGATTTACCTCTTTTGCCCTGGGTTCGGGATAAGGCCAGCCTGCGATTTATGAATGTCATTGCCCGACTTTCTAATGCGTTTTTGGACAATCAACTCAACGAAACCCTGAATACTCAGCGAACGTCAAAAATGGAAATTGAGATCGTTGGGAAGCGGAAAGATGGACGGCCGAAGAGACAGATAAAAGGATCTCCTGGTGACATTGTCGTACATTGAGCTTGTGTCGTTTTGCGAATTGAGTATAGGCGAGTCTTCTCTTCCTTTATATGCCGCTTCAATCACTAACTACCATTGATTAGTCCCTAAAGAATCAGTCGTGAAGGACAAATTGATGTCTGTCGTTCTTGCTATCGAGCCTTTATTTCTCCTAGCGTGCTTAGCTTGGCGACCAAACTCACCGCCGATACAAGAGCCATATGGTTGGTACTGCTCCTTCTCTAGCCCATAGGATTCTAATGCTTCTAAAACTCTCTCAAACTTCGCTTAAGCAACTTACATAACGGCATCTTTCATTTTGGACACGTCAATGGATACACTTGCAGCACTTGTACCAATGCACGCCAACATCAGAATCTAACTTCGGAAATCTTGCCTCGTGTCTACAACAACTTCCTGATGCGGTATGGTCGCAAAACGATTACGAAAGAAACCTGCGCAGAATCACTCTTCGGACTCCGATCATAATAAGTCCAAAACTAATTCATGAAGATAGCTATGTATGACGCGTGAATAGGCTATTATAAATTCAGGATGGATGCCAGTGGGCATAGTATCACCCCCGTTAGTGGTTATCGCATTCCTGTTCTGGTACCCAGCTCCTCCCCATCTACCACTCTACCACTCAAGGAACATTCGATAAGTGCATAAATTTATGGATGTAATCCCTCAGTAAGTCATTGGTAAGTTCATTAAGACTAACCCCTACTTCAGGCATATGGACGCAGAAACAGCGGTTATTACTGGGCTGACCACGGGGCCTGATCAGTGTCCCCGCATCCATCCTCTATCTGTTCGTGCCACGGTAGTATCGATAGTATGCCAGGAACGCACCCATTCTTCCCTGCTACACCCTTCCAGGGCCAGGATTGCCTCGGCCATACTGGAAGTCAAGCCCGGGATCATCAGCATGCCCTACACCTTACGCGCAGCCCAGCTACAAACACGACTCCCCGAATGATGTCTGTTCTGTGAGGTATCCCATCTAATCGAACTCGTGTGCGCTCATTTCTGCGAAAGGTTCTGGATGTAGTATTCCTGCCTATACTCCGGTCCATCTAAGCTCTCAGAAAGGCCTTATTCCATTCCTCAACTGACCGCCATCGCGATTTATAGCAATCCGCGTAATAAGGCGTCGACGACTGAAATTAGACAGGTCCTTATGGACCGTTTTGAATATTTCCGACATAATAAAAATCAACTGAAAGTTTGTCGGTCATATGTGTTCTAATACCTGACTGTCATCAGGAATCCTTCAAGCACGCCTTATCTGTCATTTATTTTCAAACGAGCTCCACATGCACCTACGGAGCCTAGGCAAGCCTTGAAGGTGGTGTCTGGTATTTTGACGTTAGTAGGAGCAATCTACACCGTGGTTTGTGTCCATGTAGGCGTATTGCTAAGTGTAATATGATAAGGCCTCGGTGCAGCGGCACGGTCCGGGTTGATAGAGACACGACATTCAATGCACTCTCGTCCTCACATGTCCACGATCTTGGTGTCACCTCGGTATATACATTTGACTGTCCTTCCTACTTTGACTCTTTCGGAGAGAACTCCTACACATCCATGTTTCTTCCGGCCAACTATATGTTGCAATCTAACTCTGGACAAGATAGAATGCATATATCAAACGTGCTCGTCTTCGCTTTTTGACTTCCCACAACGACTTTGCCAGTGCAAGTAAATCTGAACATAGCAGAGGACTTCAATAATCTTAAACTGTGTAGTTGCCTTTCTTGCTATCATTTTGTTCATCATCACTGCATAGTACTATGGTAATACGTCTGTAATTGTATATATGACCTCCTTACTACTATGCATCTCACAGAAATGTCATCGCGATCCAACGATAACAACGTTGAATCTTCGCAAAGATCAGTGACGCGTAATCACCTTTCCCCAGGAGCTCTGAACGGCCTCAATGCCCTCTGTCTCGTCTCTTTATAGTGAACGATTGGTAAGGGATACCCCAGAGCTCGAACAGTCTCGGCAGATAGGTTGTGTATCTCTGAATCATGGTGGTTCGAACGCAAGAGATGGTAGTACAAAGGAACGACCGGATTGACAGTTTCACTTATATTTATATTCTTACAAGTCGATCAGGAATCTCAATCGGGATTACATGTGGTGACGATTCATGACGTACGCTCTTCTGCCTCTTGCTCCTTCTCTTCAGCTTCAACGACTTCAATATCCAGTGGAAATGTAAGGATGGCGGCGATTCCCGTTAATTGATTCAGCTCTGCAACATAATGAAACAGTGAACGTTGATTACGGCAATGGATTTGGCCTACGCTGTCCTGACTCATGCATACTCGAAAATATGACCACTTCACCACCCTTTTGTTGGACAGCTTCAACTAGGGCAACATATTTCTTTCTTGTCTCGGGATTGTTTGCCCTTTGGGTCAAGGTTAGCGTAGAACATACATCCAAATGTACATTATGCATGCCGGAAAAGTTCGTCAGAAATCATCAGCGTCCCGATAGCGCCACGATCCGCAGCTAAAGAGACATGATCGCTCCCGTACCAAGCGCGCATTTCGTCCGAGCCTAGCATCTTGAAGAATCTAGAACCACATCAGTCAACGACTGTCCTAGGGGACACATAAATGTCAGACTTGTCTAATACGATGCCTTCACGAGCAAATTTTGTTTCCTTTAGCTGTGAAACGATCTAAAAGATTTGTAGAGTCAGTTGTGGCATGGATAAATCATGACACTCACCTCAGGACTCTTCAAGACCTCCACAAGACTATGCACATGCGGGCTGCTCACATGTACTCTGACTGTCTTCTCTCTTAGAGCCTTCAAAAGGATCTTGTCTCCTCTTTTCCCAGCTTCATCCACCATATATGTGAATACAGAATCGCGGACCCAGCCAGGACTGGCAATAACAATAGCCTTGAGACCGACATTCGAGTAGGGTATATGCCGGATGAACGAGTCATATATTGAGCCATAGAATTTCTCCAAGGCCTTCTCGTGCTGTGACGCGCCCGATGATGCCGCCTTCCGCGGAATGGAAACCGAGATTCGTTGTGTGACCAATGTCATATGTTCTGAAAGGAGGCAGAATGCAGCGGTGCCTTCACCACACACAACAGCACCGACTTCAGCACCTCTTCCGGGAACGATGGACTCCTCCACACGCGCTAGCGCAATGCTATCCCACCCATCCACCTTCTCTATCCTTACATCACGATTTGCTTCAATGTCGAGTGTATGAAATGCTCCCAATTTGACGTATTGATTCTCAGAGATAACTCGACCAGATATATGGAGAGCGGCAGTATTGGTATTAGCAGAGGAGATGCCCGTAGATGCAGAGCCCTCGCTTGCTGATGGGGCTGCAGAGGATGAAAAGTCGACACGGCTAACTTGTAATGTTAGGTTCACGCGAACGCGTTGCGAATCAATGGATCCAGTTGTGGATATTTTTTGTACTCGTCTGGATGAAGAAATTAAGGACCGATTGAATTTCAGGTCCAGCAAGACTCACCGTATGGCAGTAGCCCTCACAAAATCCTGCTCTTGTATTAGATTGTACAAATGCCACATGTCTTCGTCATCCTCTGGACGCAGCGTAACATGTCCCTGCACCACGCTATTAGGAATCAAGTCACGATGTTGACAGACCAAAACGAGACATACTGCGCCATGCTTGTCTATATACTTGTTGATGAGCTTCATACCAGCGTCAGCGTCATATGTACAAGCAGCAGAATGGGTAGTGTACAGTTCATGTACAGAGGGAAAGGAGGTGATTTCCTGTTTTGGACCTGCAACGCTCGTTGATCTCGAACGATGAACAGGTGCGGTTCTTGTGTTTCGTCCTCAGCTAGCCTCATGTCCATCCTCGCAGTAGTAAAAGAATTGAAAATCTTGCTAATCGCTTGGTAGCACCTAACAATCCTCACAACAGCGCACAGGATTCCGACGACGATGATGAGGCGCTCTTTGCAGAACTAGAAGCAGAGATAGAGAACGACGGGAATTATGCGATGAGAGAACAAGGCCTGGAGGTTCTCAAAAGAGAGTAAAGTGCTATTATCATCTGAAATCATCCATCCTATCGCTGATGCGTTCTGTAGGATGGAAAAGATGCAGACGATGAAACAAAATCAGCATGGCTCATACACGGAAATTTTCGACGAGAAAGAGGTTATTCGGGTTACCGCGTTAGTCAAAGGTAAATCCATCCGTGTCGTTGCTGAAATTTCGCCCTAGACAAGAGCCTAAATCCGTTGTCCATTTCTACCATCCGAACTTCAAGCGGTGCGAAATCATGGATAAACATCTTGCTGTAAGTGTACATGGATAGGTGTCTGAGTCTGATATCAAGACGAGACTTTAGGCATTGGCACCCAAGTATTTCAATACTCGCTTCATTCGAGTATTTGTCGAGAACGTGCCGTGGTTAGTCGAGAAGCTTGCTATCAAGGTCCTGCCTTGTGTGATAAGCTTTCTAAACGGAACGACGAAAGATCGGTAAATGCTCCGAGCAGCCTTCACTCCAAGACAAGGCTAACAGCGAATAGGGTGATAGGCTTCGAAGAGCTTGGGAATAACGACGCCTTTACGACTGCTGTGTTGGAGCTGAGATTATCCGTGTCAGGTCCGTCTCTTTACAAGATTCTATGTGTATGTTATCGTAATTGACAGAGCCCTCCAGGCGTATTGCAAAAACAACAGCCCTCCGGCGTTAATGACATTTACAACGTGTCCTCCTCGAGTGCCATACGCACCAGAATAAAAGAGCAGGATGATGATCGTGACATATTCGATCTGGACGATTGAACCGTCGGTGTTAGGCTGGTCGAATCAGAGCTTCTGGATTGCTTCGAGATGGTCGGAGGATGTTAAGTATCAATTGGGTTTGGGGCGTTTCTATCGTGCATCCTATTCTGATGCGGCGTTTGTACCCTTGCATTCTAGACTTGAGACAACGTCCGGATCCAAATTGGATTTCTGGAGGCGTGTCTCTCATCGTACCGCGTTTTTTTGTATAAAAACTTTGTGCTCTGTTCACAGACGCTGAATAATAAAACTTGGATAGTAGCGCTCTCTGTTTGTTTCGACAAGTGCCGTTGTCAATTGGACAAGTTGCAATGAACCTCTTTGGGACTTTTCTGAATCACATCCATATATTTCTTCTTGTAATGAAATGATATACAGATTTCTTAATGCCTTCAGAGCAGTCATTTGCGTACCAATTATTAGTATTTACTTCGACGACGCGATAATGTAATCACATGATCTTCCAGGATTTTGACTCGATTCGGAGATGGTCGTTGTCGTCGTTGTCTATATCTGAAAAATTATGCCGACCGTCGCTGTGGACAAAGCTGAGCTCTGGGAGAGACTAGGGCAGGAATTTTGTATGGGTTTCTGTTCCAGCTTGAAATGCCAACTGATTTGTCGCTCAGCTACGGAGGATTTCGATGAGTTGTGCTTTGAATATGGCTTGGAACTCGACGAGGATGTACGTATTCTGCACATAGATAGACTTGGAGTCTTATATTCTTTGCTAGACCACTGAAGAGGTCGAAGAAGCCATCAAGAAAGGGTTACCTGCTGAACGTCCCGTGCGTTGCATCCATCCCAAGTCACTCAATTTTCACCTCATCCCTTCAGCAACTAAAAATCGAAATACCAGCCAACCGGTATATACATCTGATCCTTCGTCCATTCGTCTGAGTCCCATATCTCTATTCTAGATACGATCTTCTTTGCATCGAAGGCATCGCAGGAGCGCTCAAAGTCTTCCTAGGGAAAGCCAAAGCGCCGCAATACAAAGTCGTCTATCCTCTGGGTGGAGATTCGAGTCTTCTGACTGTAACTATAGACCCGGAGGTGAGTCCTATCTCCCACAGTCTTCCTGCGGCCTAACATGTTTAGACTCAAAAAATTCGGCCCTACTTCGCCTGTGCTATTCTGCGCAACATCAAGTTCACCCCGCGATCCTATGCCTCGTTCATCGATCTGCAGGACAAGTTACACCAGAACATTTGTAGAAGACGGCAACTGGTCGCCATCGGCACACACGATCTAGATACACTTAAAGGGCCTTTCAGATACGAGGCCCGTCCACCGCAAAACATCAAGTTTGCACCGCTCAATAAGGACACGGAATATACCGCTGAAGAGCTCATGACGATGTACGAGGTGCGATACATTTGCTTTCTTCTAGAGCAAAAGGTGAATCTGGAATCAGTCGGATAAACACCTCTCGAGATATCTTCACATCATTCGCGATTCGCCGGTATACCCTATTATTTACGATGCTAACGACTGTGTTCTGTCAATGCCTCCGATAATCAACTCCGACCACAGTAAAATCACTTTGGATACGGAAAATGTTTTCATAGATGTGACTGCTACGGATAAAACCAAGCTAGATATCGTTGTGAACATTGTTGCTACAATGTTCTCAGAGTATTGCGCCGAACCGTACACGTAGGCTTCCCAATTTATCTTAATGCAGCAGGCGCCTCATATTTTTCCAGAGTCGAGCCCGTTAAAATTATTACATCGACAGGAGAGACCATCATTTCGCCCAACCTCACACCCCGTGAAACAATTGCACACTCGTCGTATATTAATTCATGTACAGGACTCGGCCTCACGACAGACCAGGTCGTTCCACTATTACAAAAAATGTCACTGGAAGCGACCACGGCCACCGGGGACCCAACGAAAGACACTATCGATGTACGAATCCCTGCGACGAGACCGGACATTCTACACGAGTGCGACATTATGGAAGATGCAGCTATTGCTTATGGTTTTAATAATCTACCCCACACCTTCCCCAGCACAACCACTGTTGGCCAGCCCTCAGCCATCAGCAAGCTGAGTGACATCATTCGAGTCGAATGGGCCTTGGCTGGATGGGTCGAGGTGCTACCTCTTACGTTGGTGTGTTATGCAACTTGTATACAGGTGTATTGAAACGCGCTAACTAGTACAACTTGATAGTGTTCCCTCGAAGAAAATTTCTCCTATCTCAATCATACTGATTCCAAATACACTTCCACCGCAGTACGCATCGCCAACCCCAAGACCCTTGAATTCCAAGTCGTGCGCACGACTTTAATCCCAGGGCTACTGAAGACGGTTCGTGAGAACCGTTCTCACGCGCTGCCGATCAGGATTTTCGAGACCGGTGATGTGGTAGTCAAGGATCTCTTCCGGGAGAGGCGGACACGAAACATCCGACACGCGGGTGCGGTGTGGTGTAACAAGAGTGCCGGTTTCGAAGTCGTGCATGGGGTTCTGAATCGTGCCATGAAGATGTTGGAAGTGCCAAGGATTGGGAGTGAGGAGTATGAGAAGGAGACAGGGTATTACTTGAAGGAGACAGCAGGTGAGTGCAGTGATGAATTGATCTCGTGTATAACGATAATAAACGACGGCGATGGTCTAGATCCTGCGTACTTCCCTGGACGTGCGGCAATGATATACTACCGACCGCCGCCGGTGAAGCATGGCGTCCTGACAGATTTGAAGTACAAAGTGGAGGCGGCGCTGCACGCGAAGAGGGACATGGAACTAGGGACACTGGGAGTGCTGCACCCGAGTGTGCTCGAAAAATTTGACATTGGCTACCCATGCTCTGCCGTCGAGTTCACCCTTGAACCGTTTAAGAAGGAGATGCAGGAAATTTGGACTAACGATGCATGATGGGGAAACAGTGACGATAATATAGCAGAAATAAATATAGAAGACGTGCAAAAAGCAAGTGTTGTTGTCATATGTACTCCTCGTCACTGGAGGTTCCGCGGTACTCTGAATGTGAGTAACGTCTAGAAATAAGAATTAGAAAAAAGACTCGTTGGCGCAGATGCAAAGGAAAGACATACTTGGTGATGCGGGATAGGTGTGCTCGATTAGCATTCCTAATCAGCCGGTTGATACGCTGACAGCTCTCCATCCTAGACTGCATGATAGATTCGTACATGTCAAGGACACGAAGACTGTGTGTCGGACGACGGGGCAATGCGGCGAGCTTAATTTTCAAGTCCTTCTTCCGCCTGATCCAGCGGGACGAATGTGGCGACTTCGGCGATGGGAGGTCAGGAGACGGTGTTGGCGAGGGACGGGGGGAAGGGCCCTCGTCATCATCATCAGAATCCTGCAGCTCGGCGCGCGTCCGACGGATCCACATGCGCTCCTGCTGGTAGAACGAGACAAGGGAATCGAGGTTGGTGAGCGACGAGCGTAGGACGGGGATTATTTCGTTCATTGGGGGATAAACAGTCATTGGGGCCTTTGGTGGAGACGGCGGGGTATATAAAGCATAGCAGAGGCTGGACGGTGTTAGGTTCGAACTAGGCGTCAAATTCTGCATCATACTAGTTAGTTCCATAGGACGTAAGACAGAACGGGATCGCCTGGCGCGTGTCTGGACTGGGGGAATCTTAGGATTACATAGCCGGTCGATGACTTTAAGTGGTCCAGGCTAGCCGACTAGGCACCTTGGACGCGTGCCAGAGATCCAAGCCAGATATCATGTCGATATCAAGATTCTTTAACAGATACGGCAGCAATCCTACCGGCCAATAGATTTCAATGCAACCGCGGAGGCGAATACAACCCAACATAGACTCCAGAGCATATGTCAACCACACGCAGCCAACAGAACTCTAGACCACGTAAGTCACGTGTCCGTCACCCACCAATCACAGTCCTGCCCCACTTTCGGAGTGGCTGTGCTGCTTCGTCTTTGGCCGTCATGGTCTTCACGCCCGTACTCGTCGCTGCCGTCGTTGTCGTCCACGTCGCCGCAGCACTCGACGTCTTTCATCGCGGCGTGCATCCCGACCTTGATGAACAGCCTTTCTCTCTTCGTGGCCAGCTCCTTCTCAACGACAATACCCTGGCCTTTACACCGTCACCCTCTTTCTCCAGTGACCTCTTTTCTTTCGCCCAGACGCTGACAGAATTGAACCTCGATAATGACCGCGCCTCCTACCAGGTGGCCCTAGATCGTTCACCTAGTTGGGAAATTTCTTCTGTAAAATTCGTACGTTCCAGGTCTATTCGCAATCTAGAGCCTCCGCTTATACGCGCCTCTGCAAGTGCCATCTTGCTCAGCCATTTGCTGAAGATTTGATACTCTACACAACTTTGGTAAATCCATCGACACCGTACGCTATTAATTATTTCGTATCGCCAATACCCCAAGATGGATCTTGTCCAGAGACATTTTGGGTAGATGTGTCCCATGCCGGGCCTATAAATACAACAATCACTCTTCGCGCGCGACACTTTCCACCCTTGTGAGTATTTATGAATACCCTAATTTTTCTGCTTCTATCTACTGTTCTATTGCTTATCGCTCATCGTTGTCTTCTGAATATTATTCAGACCTGAACTTCGAACTCCCCCACCTCTGACGCCACAAGGCGAACCCGTCCAGCCCCCCGAAGAAAAGAGCTTCTTCCAGAAGTATTGGATGTACATCGCTGCGGTCCTCATTGCTCTCAGTATGTTCCCTTTTCTTTTTTTTTTTACCCCGAGTTGTCCACTGATCGTCTTTCAGCACTTTCAGGTGGCGCTCCAGAAGAGGAAGGGGCTAGACGTCCGGCATGATATTCGCCATCGAGGTTCGACATCAGTTCTACCCTGCATTCCCGGGCTTTGTTATATTTTTCTCGGTCATCGGGATCTATGCAGGATCGCAGATTCTGTCGTGTGTTCTACACGTACTCTATGAATATATTTCTTGGCCACCATGCCTTTGCTGCTAACAATAATGCGCAGCCTTAGTGCGGTTGCCTAGTATACTGAGATGACCGGCGTATCACAAAGTCTGACAAAGACTCAGCCAAACAGAGACAAGCGCCTCGGTCACTGCAGCGGGGTGCTGTGTCTTCGACTATTGTTTGCCAAGCCGCCACAGATTCCACCATCCATGTATTCAGAACCGCTATCTGAGCCTGGACTGGTCGGCGCGCCAGTATCCAAAGAGAAGCAGGCCGTTTCGGATCTGCTATTACTCGTATTCATTCACGGCTTCAAGGGGGACGACGAGACATTCCTGCAATTTCCTCAACGGATTCAACACGTCCTCTCCGGCACCATTCCAGATTGTACTGTGGAATCTATAGTATTTCCTGCATATGAGGTACGGTCACACGACTCGGACTGTCTGATCACATCATCTGAACTCTTTCCAGACGAAAGGGGAACTAGTAAGCACGTTTTCACCCTACACAGGAAACACAAGTCAAACTGTCATGTAGAATGAAGCGGTCGTACGGTTTGCTGATTGGTTGACAACACTGACGGTGGAGAAGGAGGTAGCCTCAGGAGGGGGAGCCGGGAAAGCGAAGATCGTGTTGTGTGGGCACAGGTACGTGTCATTATCCAGATTATGGGGAATATTTTACCCAAATGGATACAGCATGGGTGGCATCCTTGCTGCCGATACCCTACGCGAATTTGTCAATACCAAGCCCGACCAAAGGGCACCTCTTTGGCCAAAAATCATCGCCTGCATCGCCTATGACACTCCAGTTCGTGTATTATCCCCTCAACCCAACTTGAAAACTCAACAGGCATTCTCAGTATCTCGGTCTACATCCCTACGTATTCAAAAACAGCGCGACGAAAGCGACGGAGTACGTCAGTACTGCCCGGACGGTTGGTTCCACTTTGCTAGGTTCTTTCGCAGGGTTCGGATTAAAAAAGGCCGTCGATTCAAAGCCAGCTGCAGAGAGTACGCCACCCCCTCCTGAGTCAAAAACTTCTTGGAGTAAATGGGCACCAGCTGCATATGCCGTGGGTGGTGCACTCTTGGCCGGAGCGGCAGCAGGCGGGGCCTATTACAAGCGCGATGATCTAGGCGTAGGATATACATGGGCCACGGATCATATGAAGTACGTGAGGAATCTATGGGATGAAGCGGCCCTCCGCCAGCGAGTGGACGACCTGGTTGATATTGAAGAGCAAGAGGGTGTCGTTTTCCGAGTGTACGTACATCAATTAATGACACGTCGCCATCGAGACGGGGCTAAACTTGTACTTTCGCAGTTTCTATACCAATCTACCTCCGGTTCCACTGGTTCATCCCAATGACCGAACATTTATCGTGCTGCCGAAGAGAAATGCACGTTCTGCGGGTAATTTCCTGCTGGCGAATAACGGTATCGCTCCCGATGAGCTGCAGGCGCATACAGGGATGTTCAGTGCGAAAACCAATGACGGTTACTATGAACTCGGGCTGCAGACTGCGAAAAGTATCCGAGAAGCAGTTATGTTGGGTAGGGGGATATTTGAGGATCCAGAGACGCAAAAAGAGAGTATCCAGGAGGGATTGGACGTGGAGGATTCTAAGAAGACACGATCATGACTTGTGACGACATGGTTGAATGTAACTTATGATTGTAAAATATGTACTATACCTCATCTATATCCACCGTATCATTATATCACTTTAGGGATAGCTGCATGGCGTAGGCGTCTTCACCGTCAGCATCTGTGGGAAGGATAAGCATCGGAAAGCATGATTGAGCGTGTAACATACAATATTTGTGTTCAACACTTTTCACGGTGAAGCCCAGCGTATCCCTATACAGACCCAAAGCGGCGCGGTTCGATTTTCGGACGTGTAGGGATACATAAGAGGCATGATAGACAGCAGCCATTGCTTCCTCTATAGCAGCACATCAGTGGAAGTTCCGATAGTGAGCAATTAAACTGACGAGATTGCACCATCAGCTTTTTTGCCAACCCCAACCTTCGATAAGTGCGCAGCACCGATATTGAGGTTACGTGTCCATGAGGGTCATCTTCTTCTCCTAGCTCCTCTTCCCTACTACAGCATTAGCGAGCTTCGTAACGAGAAGCTGAGACGCATACATTTTAGCAAGGATGTATCCGACCACTCGACCTTCGCTGTCTTCTGCGACGTAGGAGAGAGAAGGCCATGTCAGGATGTGGTATAGGTCTAGGAACGGTTGAGGACGGACGAGCCATGTCACTAAATCTTGCGCGTACAGTATTTCATCGTGTAGTTTTCTGGTAAATTTTGAAGGTTGCAGGCCTGCATACCATTGCAATCTTTGACAAATGAGCCAAAATCGAATCAATCTGAAGCGAAAACAAACCGTCGATACGGGCGAGGCGAATGTTCATGGTAGAGGGAAAGATGGATAAAATTATTTATTTTTGACTCTAAAAAATATTGTGATTAGAAAACGCGCGACGTTTATCGTTCACTAATAGATGCTATTCATACGCTGCAAGGTGAGCCGTTGGTTCGTTGCTGTACAGCACAATCTGAATGTTTTCCAGTGGTTCGACGATGACCGCCAGCCCATCGATGGAGGTTGCAAAGGGGAAAGCACGACCTGTGCGTTCATCCACCCTTCATCAAATCGATGGGACTTTGCCCCTCGCAAAAAAACAGCGGTTCCCAGGGTGCGTCGGTGATACCCGTCATCCATTTCTTGTTTCCATACTCAGCATTCACACCACAGAGTCTGATGAGTCCCAGGAAAGGCCCGTCAGGTTGGAGCGACGCGCCTCGTCGTGACCGTAATGCCAGTATGACCGGCGCAAACACAGTTAGTCTCGGTGCCAAAAACCGTTACAACGCGTCTCCTCCTAGAGGTCCGAAGAACAAATGGGACACTGACCTCTGGTACTCAAACCCACAAAAGTCTGGTCAATCGGATGCTGGTCCTTCCACAAGCACACAAGCTGGCGCCTCAATTACTGAAAAACCTGCCGACAGACCTTGGGGCCCGACTAGCTGGAGCATGTCTGACTCTCCGTCCTGGGGCGACAAGACCAAGAATAGTGGCGTTTCGTCTCTAACGGCAAACAAGGACGAATGGGGCACAAGAGGCTGGGGCAGCACAGAAGACACGGCGACAGATATCGCCTGGGACACTGGCACCTGGGGAACTTCGGATGCTGGCACAGGTTGGGGGGGCGCACCTATCGAAGAGCCGCAGCCAATGCAGGTCAACTCGACCTTGCCATCCTCCGCAAAGGGTAAAGAGAAGGAAGTGTCAAGACACGATTCACAGGATACGATAACGGTGCCTCCTCTTTTCGATCTCACCGTCATGTCGTCATCGCACATACCACTGCCAAAAAAGAGGAAAGACACGGGGAAACAGCCAGCAGCCTCACTGACTGTTGATCTATCTAAAGTCGAGGATAGCACCAGCGGTCAACCTCACTCGCCATCGCATTCGATTACAGATGCCCAATGTGTCTACAAGGAGCTCATGAAGTACGTCCTCATTTCCTTTGTTCTATCCGTAGACTTATGCAGTTGTGATAGACACTTCTTCAAACTGGTGCGCCTCAAGATCAAGAAATCCGACCATGAGGAAAGATATCGCGCTTGGACTGCGGCTCAAGGTTCATCGCCCTATTCCTTCGGACAGGAAACTGCAGGAACACATTGGAATCAGGCACAGAAGCAATTGGATAAGATTCAGGGCCTTTCGCGGTATATTGAAGATACTACGAAACAGCTTTTGAGCCTTCCAGATGTGTCTACCCCCAAAATATCTCTGGATGATATGGAAGAAAAGATGGAGCAAATCATTAATTATGCGGAAGACGTTGAGCGGTGGATGAGGGAACTGGCCAAAGCACAGGAAGAGGTAGAAAGACGTGCCGAAGAAGCGGTGGCAGAGAACTGCCCAATCGATGTCACGCCGCGTTGGAAGCCTAAAGAATGGCCGGAGAATCCTAGCATGGACTACTTCCAGAGACGCATTGCCGAGTTGCAGGATCAAGTCAACGACATTTCTGACTTCCTGGATCATATCAAATCGATGGACGATGTTGATTCTCTGTTTGAAGAGGGCATCCAACTGAGCGATGGCATCGCCTGTTTAAGGATGGAAGAGAAGGTTCCAGAGGGAGATCTTTTAACCTTGAGAATAGACAATGCTGGTGGACAAATCGTTGAAATGATGTCCACAATTGCAGAGCACGCGGGCAAATCCGTGAACCAGAAGAATGAGTTAGAGGAATGGAAAGCCAAGAGGGATGCCAACCTGGCAATTAAGGCAGAGGTTTGTTTTTGGATCTTTGTCTCATATGTCGCTTACCGTATTTCGGGTGTAGCTCCAAGAGAAAATCACCGGCTTCGAGCAAAGGTCCAAAGAGCGCCATGCCCGTATCCAAAAAATGACTGCCGAGTTAACGGAACTCCGAAAAATGGAACGGGCCTATCCGTTCCACTTAATCAATCCACTACTCGAACAAATCGCCGACGAGGTTATTGAAAAGGAAGTACAACCTCTCTTGACAGCCTTACATGCTGCCTGTGATGCTGCGTCAACACGGAGTGTGGGTCGGATGACTGAGAAGCTCCAGGCGGTTGCTCAGCCTACGGTCGAGAGTACCAACCGTCTTCGAGAGCAGGCTCGCCGGTCCAGGGCGTCCACGTCATCTTAAGTTTCTTTGTATACTTTGTGATATCATCTCTATGCACATACTGCTTACTCTTATCTATTCTTCCTGTGTTCTGGGTTCCGCTGGATTCTGCATACCCCCGCGATTGCATCAGTACCGCTCATTTGCTGCATTCTAGGCCAGTGTATAAGACATTCCGTGCTGTACATATGTATCAACTAAAACGGCCTGTTCCAATTTGCATAATGCCTAGCTACGAACAGTTTCAATTCAGTTCCACTTACGGCGGCGTCCTGGACACCGATTCCGTGACAGGAGATAAGGTCTCATTGCATGTCGCGTCGTATATCAAGTAAATCTCGGAAAGAAGCACCCAATTATTCGACGACGTTATGAATAAATTATCCTACATGATGAGGTACACCATCGATATTGGCTTAGTTGAAACGTCACCAAAGCGAATAATAGACTAATGGGGGCAAGACATTCGGGAAGGCCCAATCAGTGTCACCGCCGTTATTGCTACTGTTGCCGCCTATGCTATTGTCATTATCATCAGATCCACTTCCGGTGTTAGTGCCAGTATTCGTGTCATTGTTACCGGTTGAATCTCCTTTAGAGTTCATGTCATTTCTAATGAAAGATTAATTATTTAACACCAGATCCGGAGCGAGATCCAAACCTCACAGAACAAGCTAATCAAGGATTTCACAGAGGCTAATGGGATTAATCCAAGCTTGATTAATAGGAAAGCGTACCAAGGCCACTAGAAGAGACATACTTAGCCACTCTGTCAACGAACAATGAAGAACACACAATGTCCCCCCACTACAAGCCTTGCTTTGAAACCCTGCACTCCCCCATCTGTACTGTTGTAAAAATATCCGAATGGCTGGGAGCTTAGCCTACTAGAGACCCAATTTACGACGGATAGGATGAGCAAGTCCCGAGTAGAATTGTTCATCATGATTGTGGCAGTCCAGATTTCCCAAACTATGGAGGACACATTGGGTCACCGGTGAACGAAGAGATGCAGCCCACGTACCGCTCAAGGTATATGTGTGTCTATAAGGAGTCTCGGAAGTCCAGTGCTTGTAATACTTGTAATGGAAGGTGAGAGCTCATCGACTATCCAGCAGGACACCGTACTTGTCTTGAAGGCATCAGTTTAGGTGCATAGAACAACGCTCATTTCCAGAAACTCACTCGCAACTGTGGGTTACCACTTCGTCTCTGTTTGAAAATGAGTTCGACCCTTTCCTGAAATACAACAAGAACGTACGTGTTTCATAGGCAGATTGGGGGAAGATATTGAGATTCAATAATTTATCGGCGTATAAGTTATAGGATAGGCCCCAGCTAAAGCGAGGTGAGTTAACGCAACCTGTACTCCGGGCGGGAGACGTTACTCACCTGGGAGAGTTCCCATACTAAATTTTTCCATAGGTCAGTCAAGAAAGGTTCAGCCCAAGAGACAGAGATTACAGAGAGAGTAAGATGGCTATCGTCATCCGAAAACGCCAGGTTCTGCCATTGTGAAACATAATCTGAGCGATGGCCTGGAAATAATTGAGGTTGAATGATAGCAACGGTTCATCGAAAGAAATAAACATTGTAATCGCTGCTCTTGGTATCATCGCCTAAGATGTCAGCAATCTGCGTCATCGCACTGATTCCGATGATTCCGATGATTGCGAGATTGGTCTGGTTCGCAAGGCTGCCCGCAAAGTCATCGGTGCTGAGTTGATAAGCTGGAACGAGAGCGTCGGAGATCAAATATTGCCCCCATTGGTCCAGTAGGTCGAACTGAAGGAAGGAAAGGCGTCTTGTTAGAATACCCGATGGATGAGAGTCTGGGAGAAGCAGTATCTTACATATTTCGTGAGCTGGGAAGTGTCTCCAGTCTTCTGGGCGTAGCTCCACGCCATGATGATAATGTTTCCGCTTTCTTTCCAAAGAATCAGCACTACATTTCAGTAGGAAAGACAGAGAATACCTTCCACCGGCATGGCTTCATCGTTTCCATCGTTGTGACCAGTAGCATTGGGGTAAGGGGAACCTATAGTGGATCATCAGCAAACTATGCATTAATATCTTTCGAAGATATTCATACCTATATCATTCACACTATTGGCTGGGGTACTGCCCTTGTTGGATTAGCAAGCAGGAGCTCCATCGTATCCCGCCGGCCGAGCTCGATACCCCTTTATGTCGGGATGGACTATATATATTGAATACGGTCCGTCGAACACCCTCACCGTGTTTCTGCTTATCGCTACGCTGTGTGAGGTCTACATTATAGCTAACAGTGCACTCTATTAGGTGCTACGAACGTGCATCACTTTCTTAGAGGTTATACGGCACCGAGAATTATTCTATCCCATCCTTCATACTCAAATGACTTCCACCATTGCTGCCTTGACTACAGGCCTACCATTGAATGTCCCCACACTGAACATGTCTGGTGACAACTGTCCATCTTCTACCTCTGCTTTTCCACTGGTGTTCAAGCCAAAGGGAAATGGGATCACTTCAATGGATCAAAGCCCAAACCCTCTCTCACTGCACCCACAACAGCTCTCATGGCTGAGCTAGATGAATGGGAGAAAGATGAGGCTGTAGCCAAGAACCTCCAGCTCTTGAAGATCCCTGACTCAGTCACTATGAAGATTCAGCATCTTCCCACAGTTGCTGTAGCCTGGTCAAAGATCAAAAAAGAGTTTGCCGATAAGCATGGCTATGCATTATGGAGTCATATTGCCTGGCCAAAGACAATGTTCATGAGTTTCTTGACAGTCTGTCAATGAAACAGGAGTCATTAGCTTCCATCAGTGTCATCATCAAGGAGAAAGATTACTGCTCAATGATTCTCACCTCTATTCCTCTCTATTTTGCCAAGTATGCATTGACTCTCCTTATGGTGGCAAAGCTTTTTAGTTCCAACAAGGAAGTCGATCCCAAGAACCTGATCCATGCCATTTCTGAGGAATATGACCAACTGGAGTGCAAGTGAGCCAAGCATAGTTGGCAGTCTGAAAAGAGAAAGGACTTGGAGCAAGATGAAGCCATGTCTGTTTCATCAAGCTCAGGTGGCAATAAGAAGGGCAAGAAACCCAGCAAGAAATTGTGCTGGGGATGTGAGAAGGAAGGACACTTCAAAAACAAATGCCCTGAGAAGAAGTTGTCAGACAATGACAGCAAGGCCTCTGGATTGAAGGGTGAAATAGCCAATGTGGCTGAGGAATCATCAGATTCAGACTGGAAAGCTGGTGGTGCATTTGAGGTTGATGATGCTAGTGACATGCCATCACTGGCTGCAGTTTCTGAGTCAGATGAGTCAGAAGTTGAGAGCTTGTCAGAGGATTTGGAGGATGAAGATGATGATACTGATCTTTTTTTGGAGGTTGGTGATGAGTCATAGGATGAGCTGAGCAGCACATTGTCCTCAGATATTGATTGGAGTGATGTGAACTCCTTTGTTGACAGGCAATCAGATGCCACATCTGACATGCCAACTTTGGAGGATGTATCTGCTTTTAAAGAGTCAGTTACAGCTGTTACCAACACTGTAAGCTTACCCAATGTTCAAATTCATACTAAACTCTATGACTCTAGCTGTACACACTATATTTCCCCTTACTGTGACAATTTCAACTTGTTCCAGTCTGTCCCACTCAAGGCATTCCATGCTGTGAACACTCAAAAATTTTCTGCAGCTGGAAAGAGCATAATAAGCATTAATGTGCCAAATGATGCAAATGCAAGCAACCTGCAACTCACCAAGGTTATGTACTCTCCCAAAGTTGGCTATACACTCATTTCAGTTGGCTGACTTGATGATCTTAGTTTCAAGTTGACTTTTAGTGGCAGAAAATACATCATCTATGCACTAGATGGAAAGGTAGTTGGGGTTGTCTCAAAAGATAATGGTGGCCTATATCAGATTTATCATGAGGGAGATTTGGCTGGGACAGCTAAGGAGGTGCTTACTCTAGACCAATTGCACTGTTGCATGAGCCACATTTCATCTGAAGTTGCTGGTTGTCTAGTCAAAAAAGACTTCATGACCAGAGTAAAGCTTGACAAGTCATCTGGAGAACCACAGTTCTGTGAGTCATGTGTCTATACTAAAGCTACATGAAAGCTGGTGTCTAAGGCTTGAGGAGAAGAACATGCAACTGATATTGGAGATGAAATTCACTCTGATTTATGAAGACCTGCACTCATGGAATCTCTGTGTAAATGCTGTTACTTTATCTCCTTCATTGATGATAGCACTCATTGGGCTTATCTTGAATTCTTATACTAGAAGAGTGAAGCTTTCATGATGTACAAGGCCTATGAAGCTCACATCTGCACCCAGCATGACTGCCCTGTAAAAATCCTCCATTCAGACTGTGGAGGTGAATACTTCAACAAAGCATTTATCTTGCATCTGAAAACTGCTGGCACAGCAAGAAAGATGACTGTGCATGATATACCACAGCACAATGAGATGGCTAAAAGATATAATCACAGTTATTGAAAAAGTCAAAGCTATGCTGCATTTGAGCAGCTTACCTTGCTTTCTATGGGCTGAGACTATTTGCTATGCTGTCTGGATTCTCAACAGAATATTAACAAAGGCTCTGGATGGGATAACTCCTTATGAGACTGTCATATAAAAGAAGCCAGATCTAAAAGGATTGCAGGAATGGAGAGAGAAATGCTGGGTACACTTTGAGACTAAGGCTATGAAGCTGGGTCATCACATATGTGAAGGTTGGTGGATTGGATTCAACAAAACAAGCAATGGATCTCATGTCTACTAGACAGAGAGCAAGACTATGTCTGTCAAGTGAAATGTCTATTTTGATACAACTTGTATTGCCACTGATGATCTTGAAAGAGAGGAAGATATTGAGCTACACAAGATTTTGTCAATGCTAAAAACTCAGTTCAACCCACTTACTGCAAAGCCATTACAGGTGTCATCTATCTCTAAAGCTCAGCCTACAGTCCAACCCATAGTTGAAGAAACCCATTCTAAACACACTTGAAAGTCTAGCCAGTGGGTGCTGAATCTTATCTCTGGCAAAGGCAGTGTATCAGCATACTTAAGTGATCCTGTAGTACCTGTTGATATTCAGTTACCAGTTGTCAATGAAAATAATGAACCTCTTGAGTTTGAGAGAGAGGGAGAGGCAGATTGATTGATGATACTTGAGGATGCTGACTTCCTTGAGGAGTATGCCATGGCCATTTCAACAGCTGATGCAGAAGCCTTAGAGCCACACAGTCTAGCTGAAGTGAAGCATCAGCCTGATTGGCCTTTGTGAGAAGATGCAATACAGAAAGAGCTTACAATATTAAAGACTGTGGAGATTTGGAAAATTGTCAAAAAACCAATTAGGGCAAATATCATGGGCTTGAAGTGGGTCTTTTGAATCAAGAAGGATGCTGAGGGAGGCATAGTCAAGTTCAAAGCTTGCTTAGTAGCACAAGAGTTCTCACAAGTACCTGATGTTGACTACTTCAACACTTATGCTCTTGTTGCAAGACTTGCATTAATCCATTCAATCTTTGCTATGGCTGTAGCACTTGACCTAAAGCTCCATCAAGTTGATATCAAGGGTGTATACTTGAATAGAAAGCTCACCAATGAAGAAATCATTTATATGCATCAACCTTCTGGCTATTCTGAGCCTGGCTCCTATCCTAGTCAAGTCTGCCATCTCATAAAGACTCTGTATGGTTTAAAGTAGAGTGGTCATTGCTGGTATCAATGTCTTGTTGAGATTTTGATGGTGCAGCTGAGATTTAAGCAGTGTGACATTGATCAAGCTGTGTTTACAAGCAGGAGAGCTGAAACTTGACTGTTATTGCTGTCCATATTGATGACTGCACCATCACAGCATCACCATTGCATCTAGTGCAAGAGGTAAAGGAAGGTATGGCAAAATACATAAAAGTCACAGATTTGGGAGAGCTGCACTGGATTCTCAGCATCAAGATCACATATGACTATGAGTCATGCTCTGTTTCTCTTTCTCAATGCTTATACATTGATGCCATTGTTTGTCACTATAGCTTTGAAGACCTCAAACCAGTCTCTACACCAATGAATATTAATCTCTGCTTGTTTTCCTTTCCTGCACTAGCCTCTACCCAAGAAATTGCAGCCATGAGAGATGTCTCTTACAGAGAGTCTATTGGCTCTTTGATCTGGGTTATGCTTGAGACATGCCCTGACATCACATTTGCCATAACAACAGTCTCAAAATATTCAACAGCTGCTGCAGAGGCCCATTGGAAGGCTGTAAAGCACATCTTTTGCTATCTAAAGAGCATGAGAGATTACTGGCTAACATTTAGAGGAAACAAAAAGGTTTTGCATGGATATGTGGATGCTAATGGGAGCATAGCAGAGGATAGACATGCTATTACTGGGTATGCTTTCATGCTGAATGGTGAAGCTGTTTCATAGTCATCTAAAAAACAGGAGATTGTTTTGCTTTCAATCACTGAGTCTGAATATATGGCTGCAACATATGCATTGAAGGAGGTGCTCTGGCTTCATAGTCTGCTCTCTCAAGTTTTCTCATCGATTACTAATGCTACAACTTTATTCTCAGACAATCAGTCTGCTATTGCACTCTTGAAAGATTATCAGTATCATGCCTGAACTAAGCACATCAACATTTGCTTTCACTTCATTTGCTGGATCATTAGTGAAGGCTCTCTTCATCTTGTTTATTGTCCCACTGAGGATATAGTTGCTGATGCTCTCATTAAGCCTTTATCTTCAGCCAAGGTGAAGCACTTTGCTACTGAGCTTGGACTTTGCTCTGCTTGAGAGAGTGTGTTGGATTAGCAAGCAGAAGCTCCATTGTATCCTGCTGGCTGAGCTTGATACTCCTTTATATCAGAATAGACTATATATATTGAATATGGTCTGTCAAGCACCCTCATCATATTTCTGCTTATCACTATGCTGTGTGAGAGTGAGTATCTACTTATATTACTTTATTTATGTTACTGATTGATATTCTGTAGTCTATATTATAGCTAACAGTGTACTCTATTAGGTATAGTGAATACAACACTGTGTTTCTGCTTATTGCTATGCTGTGTGAGGTCTACATTATAGCTAACAGTGTACTCTATTAGGTGCTATGAATGTGCATCACTTTTTTAGAGCCCTGTAGCCTGATGCTCAAATGCCATATTTAGTAGATACTTTCTGAACTCAGAGTTGGTGTAAAGAAATAATGGCCAGGCTGGGAACATACATCCACTGTATTTATATTCTTTTTATGAAACATTGGCAGAAGATGCACAGAGCTCATCATGACTTATG